TCACCCATCTCTTCGTCTCCCACCTCTCCTCCGCCCTACTTCTCTGATTCGCGCCGCGCCCCTCCCCCGCCAACCCTCACCGGACCCTTCACTTTCGAACCCACCAACTCGAACCTGCAGCGTCCGATAGCTAGCTTGTTAGATCACGATTCTTAACATTCCGTCCATCATATTCCACTTCTCTGGAAACAACGCCGCCGCCGCATATCTGAGCGCGACCACCACCACCACGATAGAAACGAAGAAAAGTGCCCCGTTACTTTTTTTCCCTCCCTTCTCGCCCACGGCCTTTGATCTTTTGGTGACACGCTTCCCATCAACTCTTTGGCATCCCGGATTGTGACATTTGTCGTCGACCGCATTTTTTCATCCTCGCCTCTCCCACACGACTTCGTCATACCCCGCTTCTCATCAGGTTTGCCTCGCGCCTGCCTTCGGTTTCGACTGGTTAGTTTTTGTTCCTCCCTTCCCCGCGCGCATATGCGCTGGGTACCTCCCTCGCCATTCAGACGTCGGTCCTGCCAGACTTGCTTCTGTCCACTTCTTCCTCTTCCATCCTCAATGACCTTTGCGGTAGACTGATGCAAACCCTGTTGATAGCACCCCTCTTCTTCCTTGTCTCCCCGCTCCGAAAGAAAAAGAGACCGGCTCACTACCTCCACCCTCACCTCCTCTCACCTTTCAGACACCATGTCGAACACGCAGGACATCATGCCTACCAACGGCGGCGACATTGCCGACCCCATCGACGACCTTCAGATGGAGGACAGGCTCGGCAACGACGGCGAGATTATCCCCCGAACCGATGAGGAATACGCCCAGGCCCAGCTCACACTGCGTGCCATCGTCTCCTCTAAGGAGGCCGGTGTCATTATCGGCAAGGGCGGAAAGAATGTTGCCGACCTTCGAGACGAGACTGGCGTCAAGGCTGGCGTCAGCAAGGTTGTCCAGGGCGTCCACAACCGCGTTCTGACCATCACTGGTGGCTGTGATGCCGTTGCCAGGGCTTACGCCATTGTTGCCCGCGCTCTTCTCGAGGGCGCTCCCGCCATGGGCATGGGCGGCGTCGTCCAGAGCAACGGAACCCACCGTATGTACCGACACTGCCCGCAAAGTCCCCTCTCGTCGTAAAATACTGATATGTTCTACCCTCAGCCATCAAGCTCCTCATCTCGCACAACCAGATGGGCACCATCATTGGTCGCCAGGGCCTCAAGATCAAGCATATCCAGGACTCATCGGGTGTCCGCATGGTCGCCCAGAAGGAGATGCTCCCTCAGTCCACTGAGCGCATCGTCGAGGTCCAGGGCACCCCCGAGGGTATCCAGCGTGCCCTCTGGGAAATCTCCAAGTGCCTTGTCGACGACTGGCAGCGCGGTACCGGCACCGTCCTCTACAACCCTGCCGTGAGCACCCAGCCCGCTGGTACCACCGGCATCAGTGGCGGAATCAGCAGCAACACCACCAGGACCGATTACACCTCTCCCCGCGTGATGCGTACTGGCAACGGTGCCGACTTCAGTGACGGTGGCCGACCCTTCACCCGTCGCTCGGACTCGGACGCTGGCCTTCGCGGCCCCCCGACGCACGACGAGAATGGCGAGGAGATTCTCACCCAGAACATCAGCATCCCCGCTGACATGGTTGGCTGCATCATCGGACGTGGCGGTACCAAGATCAGCGAGATTCGCAAGACTTCGGGTGCTCGCATCTCGATTGCCAAGGTGAGACGATGCTCCCGGTGCAAGACGGGGTTGAACCAGCAAGTGACTGACACTGGGTCCGCAACAGGCACCGCACGATGAGACTGGCGAGCGCATGTTCACCATCATGGGCACTGCCAAGGCCAACGAGTCGGCCCTCTTCCTCCTCTACGAAAACCTCGAGGCCGAGAAGATGCGCCGCAGCCAGGTGCAGGAGTCTGACTGATCTGACCAGGACAGACGGGCCATGCTTCATGCTTCCTCTCCCTGACCGATGAGATGGCCCCGACCTCGGTCACTGTTGTTCTTGTTCCCTCTCTTTCTAACCCTTGCTCCTTTCATACGCCATGTATTCTAAAGGCACTGTTTTGGTCTTCTGTGGCGGGTTTTTACGGCCGCCATCTCATATGTCCCAGATCCGACCCTTGCCGCAAGGCTTCTTTTCGTCTACGAGGCACAGCGGACGGACCCGTCAAAACAACGACATGTCTTCGAAACAAATGAAAAAAGCATAACTTAATGACGACAGTTTTCTTTCCTCTTGTTTACCCCCTTTGCGTTCCTTCTTATCCGCCTCCACAACTCGGCCAACCGCACTCGGCGAGACCGTCACTCCAATCGCCACTTCACACATCATCGGCTTCACTCTGTCACTCTGTTGAGCACGTCGCCGCCTCTTTCTCCTCCCCCCCCATCCTCTCCTCGACAGCATCGATTCGCTGTTGGTCCGACAACGACAAACAAGGGAACCTCCCCGTGACAATCCGAGAACCTTGGCCCAGGACCCTTGGCGATGGAGCTTCCTCTGGTCAATCCATCTATCCGTGGCTCAGTCCACGGATGGATCTTGTTGATTTGGGTAGCCGTGGCCGATGGCTGTCATCCTCTCTCTCTCATACTATCGCTTTCACTCTCGCTCACTCCACTCTATGCGAATATCATCACTATCCTCCCACTCACTGTGCTCTCTCATCTTATCGACACCTTGGCCACACGCGGCCATTGATACACGAAACAAAAAGACGAAGTAACGAAAAAAGAAAAAAAAATGGAAAATGGAAAATCTGTCAGGAGATTGGGCGCATTGTACTAGAATTGTATTGTGCAGTTGTCTAGACCTTGGCAGTAACGGCACCTCACTGGCAGGTTTAACAGGTGTCTTGGACGGTATGCAGCCCAGGCCGCCAAGGCGGAATTGGGACGGAATGTCTAGATAAATACCTCGAGAGTTTATGTATTAGCTGTTCACGGTGGCTCCAATATACTTGAGCAGTGGACAAGATATTTTGAACAGATGTTACGCTGTGATTTCCCGTGCGTAGAATTGTAACCAGTCTATGCATATAGTACGAGTACTACTAGTATCATACTACAAGTATCATAGGATTGGAGTTGGTGATGTGAACGTGTTTGGAGCCGACAGTGTCTCTCCCCCCCCCCCCCCCCCCACAAGAGGTTTGGGCCCAGTGGCCCAGGTCTTCCCCCCCCCCCACGACGTAGTAAACGTCCCTTTCAAGGCAGTCCATTAAACATGGTAAAGCCAACCTGGCAAGTTCAAGCCCTCTAGGAGTTAATTGCGACTCCTTGCGCCACGCATTGAAGTCCTCGCACTCTTTTTTTCTGGTTCTGTTTCCCTTCGTTTTGTTCTTTCATATCTTCGAGCTATCTATCTTTTTTTTCCCTCTTCATCTCATCTTAACCACGACCTGCTCGACAGCTATTAGCTAGTCTAACTCTCTCTCATTCGCCATCCCTCATTCTTTCCTACTCCGACGAACGCGGCGCGTCGCATACACATTCAACGCCATCATGGGTCGATCGAAGCAGCCGCCCATGAGGCGCGAGACGTCTTCTGAGTACTTCAACAAGAAGACGGCGAGCTGGGAGGTCACTAAGGAGAACGAGAGTGCCAACAGCAGAGACAGCGCCGATGGAGTGACGGGGACCGAGGCAGAGACGAGCGCACCTGCACCCGCACCAGCGTCAGCGCCAGTCGAGTCTACGGCCGAAGGATCGAGTGCGGGTGCGGTGCAGCTTGTGATCTCCGTTGTGGGCATCTATGCATCTTTGTGAGTGCCGTCTTCTTTTTTCCCTCGCGGGTTTTGATTCCTGGAGGGAGAGACGATGAGACGGAGAGAGAAGAAGAAGGGGAGTGGCTGACTGACCGACCCAGCCTGACATGGGCTTACCTCCAGGAGAAGCTGACGACGACGCGACACGGACCGGTGGACGCGCCGGAAGTATGGCACTTCCCCGTCTTCCTCAACACGATCCAGTCGGCATTCGCGGCAGTGGTGGGCAGCGTATACCTGTTCGCGTCGACGGGGCGCGGGCAGTCGGTGGCGCCCATCATCCCGTCGGCGGGGATCCTGGCACCTCTGGCCCTGGTGGCCGTGACGAGCAGCCTCGCCAGCCCGTTCGGGTACGCCTCCCTCGCACACATCGACTACATCACCTTCCTGCTGGCCAAAAGCTGCAAGCTCCTCCCCGTCATGGTCCTGCACGTGGCCGTGTTCCGTCGCCGGTATCCCCTGTACAAGTACCTCGTCGTGGCGGCCGTGACGGCCGGCGTGGCCATCTTCACCCTCCACTCCAGCGGCGGCAAGCAGAAGAAGGCCAGCTCGGCGGGTGGAGGTGCGGATGTCAATGCGAACTGGGGCATCTTCCTGCTGTCCATCAACCTCCTCTTTGACGGCCTGACAAACTCCACCCAGGACTACATCTTCCAGTCCTACCGCCCCTACTCGGGCCCCCAGATGATGTGCGCGAACAACATGATGAGCACCCTCGTCACCGGGCTCTACCTCGTCGCGAGCCCCTACCTCGTCGCCACGGGGCTGGGCGAGTGGATCGGCATGGACGTCGCCGGCACCGCCGGTGAGATGTCCGCCGCCCTCGACTTCATGGCCAGGTATCCCGCCGTCTGGAAGGACGTTCTCGGCTTTTCCATATGCGGTGCCGTCGGTCAGGTCTTCATCTGTAGGTCTATGTCTTGCTCCTTTTGTTGTGTTGCCTCTGGCGGCCCCGGCCGGGGTTTTCTATTCCGGCCTTTGGCTTGCCATCCTGCCACCCTCCCCCCCCCCCCCCCCCCCCCCCCCCCCCCCCCCCCCGGGGCCACTCGCTAATGAATCGTTGACAGTCTACACCTTATCGACCTTCTCGTCCGTCCTCCTCGTAACCGTAACCGTCACCCGCAAAATGTTCACCATGATCCTCTCCGTCCTGGCCTTTGGCCACCGCCTCACGCGCATGCAGTGGGTTGGCGTCGCCCTCGTCTTCGGCGGCATCGGCGTCGAGGCCGCCATCGCCCGCAAGGAGAAGACGGCTAAGGAGGCTGCCAGGCGCGCTGACAAGCATGCCAAGAAGCAGTGATGGCCCCGCAGCAACCGCGTGCACTCCTTCTACATCATCTTGCTCTCAACACTCTTATGCGCGAATAGAAAAAAAAGAACTAAAAACTAAACATTTGCATCGTTTGGGGGGGGGGGGGAAATCAAACCTAGACATTCATAGTAGAACATGTTTCTTCTTCGCCTCCGCTGCTCGTCTTATATGCTGTGGTAGTAAATAAGACAGTTGAAACATATACGTTGCCTCCGGTGGCCCTACCGGGGCTTCACCTCGCTTCGCTCGCTTCTTTTGCCTAGGAATATCAGCAGTATACAAACACCTACTCATAGCCGGGGGGTACTGAGCATCACATCACATATCATCACTCTTGTCAACTTTAACAACAGCACAGCCGTTTATTAGCACCGGATCCTGCCCTTGCTTAAAAATACTAGAAAAGACTACCAATAGAGACAAAAACACCGTCCACCCCCATCCCCAACATGACGCGGTCGCTCCTCCACTTTGATTTCCAATACCGGAATAACTTGTTTTTTTTTTCCTCCAACAGAAAAAAAAAATGTTGATTCCAAAAAGAAAGAGAAAAAGACAAATAAAAGTTATAAAAAAACGATGGGACATGGGTAATATCAGTTAAGTTGCCGTTGAAAACAGTAGGAGCTCCTAAGAGTTTGCAGGGAAAGAAGAAAAACGCCTTGAAAATGCCCCTTTTGTCCAGTTTCGCTCATGGGTAGCAATGGCCCCTTTGGCTTTTTTGTGGGTTTTCTTCATGTGAGCAGTTTTGTTTCGGACGAGTTTTGTAGAGAAACGGATAGCGAATGATTAAAACAAGGAGTTGTGACAAAAAAAGAGTGCAGTGAGAAGGACATTATAGGATATCGTCAATCGATCTCACAATCGGCGTTTCACCCTTTGTAGGCGGGCTCCGCGGGTCAGCCACCTGTGGCGGGCGCCCAAAAGGAATAAACGGATCACGAGGGAACATGGTCGTCCGCGGGGAGAAGAAGTTGTCGTGTCCCGGGGTGGGCGGCTGGGTCTCGGCAAAGTGCATGCCTGAAGGCGCTTCTTGACCATGGTAGTCGCGCAGGGGGTTACTCATCATAGCCTCGACGCGTGGGGACATGATGGAGTCATCGTCGGTGGCGCTGCTGTGACTGTAGCAAGTGTACGGCGCTGCATGGAGCGGTGGCGGCGGAGAGGCACGGGTCGGCGGAGAGGCACGGGCCGGCGGAGGTGGTGATGCGCGGGTCGGTGCTGGCGGATGCGAAGGGGGGAGCGGCTCGTCCGTCTCGGTAGGGAGAGGAGGCATAGCTAAGAGACGTGCCGAGTTGGAAAATCGCGGGAACGCCTTGTTCTGCTGGAATGTGAAGCCTGCGGGGGCCGAGAATCCAGGCGTAGGTGGGGGTTGATCCAAGTTCAGATTCACGCTGAGGTTCAGGTCTAGTGACGGGGCGTCGCCGAATTCGATGGTAGGCACGACGACTTCGCTCAGCCGGGTGGAAGAGGGGGGAGGAAGACTCGGGATGCTGCCAGAGATGGCCTGCTTGGGTCGTTCGGGCAGCTCCGAGAGTTGACTTGGCGGTGCTGATAGCGCCACGGCTGACGAGGGCACGGGTATCGACTCGGACGAGGCAGACTCTGCCGCTCTGCCCTGCTCCACCTCCTCCTGCCACGACATCTTGGGCGGTGCCGTGGCCGGACCGGGAGACACATCGCCCGGTCCGGGCATTGAACTTCCCCTACGGTGAAGCTCGTTGGCAGGACGCAGACGATTGCCTCCAGGGCTGCTGCTGCCCTCGGGCTGGGAGCTGTTGTCTTCGCCAGGAAGAGGTGCGGTGCGTGGCTCCTTGGGGGGCAGCCCGACGGCCGAGGCAGACAGTGTGAGCCTGTGCTTAGTGGGACTGCGGCCGGCGCGCCCGCCTCGCACGTCTGGGCCGGTGGGCCTCCTCTTCTGGCTCAACTCCTTCTGAAAGTCCTGCAGCGAGTACATGAGCTTCATGTTGGGGCTGATCCACTGGCTCTTGGACTGGGCTGCGTAGTAGGCGTCGTTGACGCTCGACTCGGGTCGGCAGTACAAGCCGTAGGCGATGATGAGGCTGGCGGAGCGGCTGGCACCCTGCTGGCAGTGGATCAAGACGCGCTTTCCACGCCGGGTGCGGTCCTCGATGGTCTCGCACAGGCTCATCAAGTCGGGTGAGATATCCGTGTTGTGGTCCCAGGGAATATGGATGTACTCGGGCTTTTTAAGAGAGTCGATGCCCTTGGGCGTCTCGGCTGCTGGCGATGCTGAAGAGCTGCCGGCGCGGCCAGGCTGATACTCAAATGCCGTGGCGAAGCTGGCGTCGGTCACGGCCGTATCGGGGACGGGGCTGAGGATGGGTGTCGAGCTCTGCTGTGTCTGCTCCAAGCCCTGGAACGAGGGGCGTGATGCGAAGAAGGGGTTCTTGACCTCCTTGGCAACGTTGATGACCACGTCAAACTTGGCAGCCTCCTCGCTAGAGGGCTCCAAGTACAGAAACACATTATCGTCGTACATGGCGATGGGGCCGTCGGGGTACCCGGGCGTCTTTTGGTCCTCGTTGTTGACCTTTTCGTGGTAGGGCTCGATGTCCATGCGGCTAGCCATCTGGGGCCGAATGGTCGACGTGGGCGGTTCCTCCTCAGTGATTGGATCGTCGAAGGTGGGCTTGATGCTCGTCTTCATGGGCCTCAGGGCCTCGGACAGGCCAGACTCGTTGCGCTCCAGCATGTTGGGCAGCGTCATACCGCCGGTGGGGCCGAAAGTGGCTGACTTGATGGTGGAGAGCATGTGGGGGGTCGAGGTCGAATGCTTGAGGGCACGGCGCTGCAGGATGGGCGGCATTGCCGGGGAGGGGGGGACCTGCATCTCTGCGCGGGGCCGGGTGGCCAGGTCCGAGGCGTTCGTGTTGAGGCTGAGGGTGCTGGGCTTGCGCTTCATGGCGGGAATCTTGGGCTTGATGAAGGAGGGAGATGCGGGTTCTGACGTCACGGTGCTGGTCATGGTACTGGAGACGGAGGGCGGCTGTATCGAGAGCCCCTTCATGTTGCGTCGCCTGGGGGCCGGGGACGTCATGGGGCGGCCGAAGCAGTTGTGCTTCTCTAGACCAGTCGGCCCCGGGAGCTGCTCGTGCTCGTGCTGCTGGGAAAGTGACGAGGGCTCGTCTGCCGCTGAGTGTCGGGCGCTAAAGGTAGTGGCGGGATACTGGTTTAGCGGGACGAGGTTCACGGGCGAGTCTGGCGACGACGATGGCGAGGGGTCGGAGAGGGGCGATGAGTCGGTAGTGGACAGGGTGGTGGTGGGTGATGAATCGGCCGACGCTGTTGCTGAGTTGCTGTTGACGTGCTTGTGCGACGCGTCGGCGTCCTGCGCGAGCTGCTGTGACGGGCTGGGCATGATGGGTTGCTTGGTGTCTGCGCCGACAAGTCTGGGGTCGACAACTGTTACTGTGTCTCGGTCGGCCATGGTCTCGGCGTCGAGGTCAAAGACAGACATGAAGGACGGTATCTGATCCTCGTACACTCTGCGAGCTGCGGCAGACGGCATGGTGACTGCGGGACTTGAGGACGGCGGCTGCGGTGGCAATGGTGAATATCGTGAGTGGCAGTATGACGTTCCTCCCGTCCTGTTCACTCCTCCACGAGATCTAAGCCCTTGGCTTGCGTGCTTCGCTTCTTTTTTTCACGACTAGACCGGGCCGATAAAGATATTATAGCGATTCGATGAAGGGGGCCCAAACCAGAAGGGCTGAAGAAAAGAAGAGTAAGAGACGAAGGAGAAAATGGTCGTATGCAAAGGAGAGACGGTCCGCGTACCCAGCACAGCGGGGATGTAACAGAAAAAGGCGAAGTGCCACGCGGAGTGGTAAAAAGGTCGCAGCTGTCTCCCCCCGGGATGAGGTCGACTCGTTGCGTCGGGGGGGAGAAAGGATGGTCTAGGAGGCGCGCGTGGGTGGTAGAAGTAAACGTGTGTCGTATGCCAGGGGCTCGAGACAAAGAGGTAGTAGGGGTTGTCGATAGGGCCCTCGGACGAGCGCGGGCTGGTCGAGTAACGCGCAGGGCGTTTTCTGGTCAAAGGACGTCCTGACCGTGGGGCCCGAATGGCGCAGGTATGTAGCGGCGTGGGGAAACCGGGGTAGGAGGGAGGGGAGGGATAGAAAGGACGTCAAACGAGAAACGAAGTAAAAGTAAAGTAAGAGAAGGCAGAGAGAAAAGGAAATGAGAAAAAATGAAGCGAAAGGGAAAAAAAAAGGTAACTGGAGAAAATAGGTTAACAGGATTAGAAATGAAGCTCGTGCGTTTGTTGTGTCGGGGTGTGGTGGGTTAGGAGAAAGAGAGAGAGAGAGAAGAGAAGGGACTGGGACCGGATTGGCGCTGCTCACTGTTCCATGGGTACGAGAAAGAGTGAGAGGAAAGGGTACACGAGAAGGGTAGAGGGTACGAGTAGCGACGAGTAAAAGGTACAAAGGGCGCGGAGTACTGTTGCAAGGTAGAGAGGTACTCGCAGGTGGTGGCGGGAACAACGAGCAGGGGCGGGTGGGAAATTCGAAACAAGACTGCATCGACGTACCTGAGGGCCAGGCTGCGACAAAGTGGCTCGTATCGGGGGCCAGGTACAGTACTAGAGTCGTGGTAATACCTGTTACTCGTAGTAATTGTACTTGGTCATGATAAGTGCTCGAATACGCTGTCCTCTCTGGACCGGTTCTGCACGAGTACAGGCTATCATCAACTCGTCAAAGGCGTACGGGGAGGAGGGTCACAAACGCCGGCGGCTGCCAGATGGAAGGGCGGGCGGTTGTCTGTTCGAAAAGTCGAAAGGCGGGGGGGGATGACAGAGAAGAGAGGAAGGGAGGGAGAGAGCAGGAGGAAGGAGAGATGGAAGGGCGATTGTGGTTTAGGGCCCGTTGAGGAAGCGGTTGGTATCACTGGCTGTGACTACAGATTACTCGTACTCTGGTACCAAGTCAAAGTAATCTGTAGTCATTAATAGTTCGCCCTGTTCTATTATTATGATTTCTCTACCGATCAGTGCTTCAGAGGTACATGTACGAGTGGTATTACTCCGTAGTTCATACGAGTAATAATAACATAATACTAGCAATACGGAGAGTACTTGCAGTATGATTACTACGAGCGCTAGGCTCAGTAGAGTATTACTCGTACCTGTAGTCATGGTTGGTGGAGAAGCGCTTGGAACTGGAATAGCAACTGGGACTGCAGGTGACGGGGCGGGACCTGTTGTGCACAGACAGAGCAGCAACAGGCCAGTAAGCGGCTGAGCCTGTGGCAGCCAAGTTGGCTGGTACGACAAGCTCTGGTACCGGTACCGGTGCTGTCGATGCGACGTAAGCTGCGGATAATAACACATCGACGCCTCAATCACAGTGGCTGTATCCGCCGAACAGGGCCCTGTCTACCGCTGGAGCCCATCGACGGGTGTAGCCCGTAACAGAATCCACTATATTCCCCTGTATCCCGCCCGTGGATCCCTTGTCCTTCCATCTGCCTCTGCCCCAGCTGGTTGGCTGGGTAGTGGCGCTGGCAGTCCCTTCTCTCTTCTAGTTGGCCAGATGCCGGCGGATCGCCCTTTGCGTTGGTGCTGTGCAGCTGCTAAGCGCTGAGCATGATGGAGTAGCTGTAGGTGGCTCTGCGGAGTACGGTGTACTTTTGTAGGACTCTCGTTCTCGAAGAGAGGAGAGCGAGGACGAGTATGGGTGCAGTTAACCGGTTTTACGGAGTATTCCATCGTAATTCTCGTGCTCATAAACCAATTCGGTCGCTCTCACACGTAGTGCGAGTGATATTACCAGCAGTATTACCTCGCATGTGTTAAAATACGTGTAAAAAACCACGTTGAGTCGAGGAGGCATAACGCGGAAGATAATATAGCACAAAAAGAGAACATTCCCGGTACAAGTATCAGTACGACTAGCACCTGTACCTCCTACATGTAGAACCGGTATTAATAGCAGCATCTTTGCTTCTTTTGCTTCCCTTCCATTCCCTTCTCGCATCCTTCCTTTCTCTCTCAACTTCTCCGTACCTCCGGAGCACTCCGTAGCCTCTCCCTGGCACGCAGAAAGACCCAGCCATCAAGGCCTCATCCGACCTTTGCCTTTGCATATTGTTCTTGGTTCACGCTCTAGTCTCATCCATCTCACACAACGTACGACGTAGAAACTCTCTCTCTGACAGCTCTGTCACTCCGACCTATTCCCCTCTCTCGTCCACCCAGCAACAGCGACTCCGTAAACACGACCACCCCGGTCTTTCTCCGTCTCAGCCTTGGGCCTGGATGGCATGACCGCCCCCCGGAACAAGCGCGCACCTTGGGTCTTCTTCCTCTCTTGATACGAGTGGTAGCGAAGCCCCCAGTTCTCAGGCTCGGTACAGGCACGGAGTACAGGTACGAGTGCCATCACTGCTCGTACTCTGTACCTCTCTCAGAGGTACTCATACCCGTACATTACTTAACATGGGTCGCATTCGAAACAAGCCGTCGGAGCTAAATATAGCTTCCTGCAGCCCGTCCAGCTCCAAAGCACCGCATGTTATGTACGGAGTACACCAGCAAGATAGATGCCTACCAATCACATTCACTCACCTACCCAGTCGTCCCAAGTCTAGGCCACTTTCCCTACATTGAAGTCACGGGTACCAGCAAGAAGGAGCAGTAAGTACGAATTAGTAATACGATGCACTCCGTACTCGGTAGTCATAGCAGTGAGCGTGCCCCGTAGTGATGCGGCCAGAGTTCCCTACTGCCTACCTGCTACGTGTAAGAGTACATGCAGTCCTACGGTCCTACTACCTACGTACAAGCTTTTTGCAGAGTTCAGAATGCTTTCTGCGTATTATAATACCCCTCTGTCGTGCATGTCGGTGCTTTGCATTTCCCATCTTGCTAATTATTGCATCGCTTGCTTGCCTTCCTGCACCTCTCTCCGGGAGGCGTTCATGTGTGTGCGTATGTATGCTTTTGCCCTATGTCCGGTCTTTCCTCCCCCCTTGTACCTACTGCACTTGAGACTTGCGCTATCTGTACCATAATTTGCCGTCGTCAATCCATTCTCAGTGACGATCCAAAGACCGTCGATGAAACAGAAATAGAACAGAATATACACACGGCCCAGAAGAACTCCCGTGCTTCGTTTCCTTCGTTCTTTCGGATTCTGCCAAGGTGAAATTACGTCGTTTGTCGTACGCAAACCCCCTTATCTGTATCTGTAATCGTAGATGGCAACGTGTGTGTACGCGTAAACAATAGACCTTACGTGTTTGGCTCCTTCTCGTCTTTTTGGCACGCACGTTCCTGCAACGTAAGACAAGAGTTCATGTTAGTTCAGTATTAGTTGTTGCTCACACATGAGCTTGAGAAGACGCCCATCGTCGGCCCGTGCGGGGGTATTCCTGGCTTTTTGCGCTACGATGGTCATTCTTCTTGCTGTCGATATTGCATGTGCTCCTTATTCCGTACTCTCTGCCGAATCCTGCTCTAACGGTTAAACTCTGGATATTCTCGTCGGGGGAGATGATGCAAGACAAGGGACTAGGACAAGACACAGAAGGAATCGCTCTTCCTCCAGCGGACATGATATGTGCACATACCGACAACCGCATCATCCGCATTGTACGACTAGAAGAGGCCAACCGAGAAAAGAAAAGAAGAATAGAGAGCACTCTATCGGTAAACACAGCTCCATCTCGCTGGTTCGTCGTTCGTTTGGACCATGCTAACCCGATAGGATATCTGTCCAAGGACACGTAGAGCCTCGGTTTTAGATATTCTGGATAGTATCACCCACCACCCACATCTCTCCCTCTTCTCAACCTTGTATCCGTAGGCTTGTCAGGTAGAAATAAAATCCACGGAACCACCCCCCCAGCCCTCCAAATAATTGGAGAGACCCTCCGGTAAATTGACAACCCTTTTCTCTCATCCCCCCTGGTCCCGGACTCCACTGAGAGGAGGGGCGGTCCTCCCCCTGGAATGTCCCTGTAATAAAAACCAGCAGCCGCCACGCCACAGGGGGCGAGGTAAGCAGCCTACAAGTGGAAGTTCGCAAGCATTCAATTCCAAAGCAGGAAGGAACCATTGACGTGCACTCTGCCTATACTTGTAAAGGTATGTCTGTTGAAGCACAAGTCCCGTGACTGAACTGGGCGCCCGGATCTTCCGTACTCTTCTACGGAGAACGACATGCCATGCGTCATTCCAACTTTTCCCCTCTCGTGACCGTTCTTGTAGACAGCAGAAGGCGCAGAGCTCACGGCAGCGGCCCTCGAATATATATGGATATCCGTATGCCATCTAAGCTCAAGCCAGAGCACAATGCTCCCCGTCCGTGGAAGCATTCGGCAAAGTCGATATCCTGCAAGTACGGAGCAGCTACATGTATGGATTCGTGCTACCAATGGCCCTCGGCCACGATTCTGCAGCCCCGTTGTTGAAGCAGGGATGCAGCCTGAAGCTACGGAGTAAATTCAACGACCAGCAAGCCTAGGCCGCCCAGACCCATCTGAAAAGAGACGACAGTTTGGTGATGAAAGGCCGCCGATGGACCATGCTGAATGCAATAGGCCAAGGACTGTTACCTTTTAGTACTACCCATAAGGGGCGGACGGGCAGCGCCGCAGCGGTCCTTGTCGAATTCATCTCCCCCTCTCCCCACAAACATCAGCTAGCCATCCGCCGTTTCGCACCCAGCCAGCCATCGCCAGCGCACAGACCCGTCATCTGGGTGCAACCTGTCTATCTGCCGATCAAGGCCTAGGTAGTACTCGTAGATAATATATCAGTTATATGTCATAATACAATACCCATAGAGGGAGAGAAAAATGAAAGGACAGGTCGGTAATTACGTCGTAGAGAGGATGGGTGTGTATGGTCTGCCTGCATCATCAAGAGTATCAGGTCATAGGACATCTGACCGGGGTTTATGTTAGAAACAATGGCGTAAGAGGCGCACAGAGTGTATGGTACAACCCTCATGCTCAGTCTAGCGATACTAGTCTTAACACTGGTGAATGTATGTGCGAGCAGGTACGAGCTGCAAGACCAGAAACTAAAGATACAGGCATCACGGGTCATTATATGCTTACCGTTCGCGATCCAGGACTGTGACCCATGTCGGGACCATGACCACGCTATCTGTAGGCGCATATGGAGAGATGAGGGGGGAGGGGAGGGCGGCCGATAAAGATGGTACCGCAGCGTACTATTATTACTCGTGTATACTGGTTTCCCATACCCAGAAGCGGTGGGATTCTGATGTATTTTTGCNTCATTATATGCTTACCGTTCGCGATCCAGGACTGTGACCCATGTCGGGACCATGACCACGCTATCTGTAGGCGCATATGGAGAGATGAGGGGGGACGGAATGGCGGCCGATAAAGATGGTACCGCAGCGTACTATTATTACTCGTGTATACTGGTTTCCCATACCCAGAAGCGGTGGGATTCTGATGTATTTTTGCTCCTGGTAGAATAAAACTTCTCATAGCTTGGACGGTGTCGGTTGGTAACTACGCGTTGGCATGCAGCACAGCATTTGAATTGATGCCCTGTTTGCTCATGTGGGGGTTGCTCTTTCCCTCGCGATGCTGCTGCTAGCAGCTTGCCGACTCCAGTTCCTCTCCCCTTTTTTTTCTTCCTATGTCTTCTCTTCCCCTTCTCTTTCTTTCTTTTCCCATCTTCTTCAAGAATCGGGCCAGCTGGGCTGTCAAATCAAGTGGCGAGGGAAAGAAACGAGAAAATCCCCTCTTCTTGCCCCAGACATCGTCATTCTTTTCTTTTCCATTTTTTGCGTTTGAGCCGGCGTAACTTTGTCAACCTGTTGCTCTCCTCCGAGACCCTCTATTTCCCACCTTATATTTTCTCCCCGAAAGAAACATAACCTGGCCCCTTGCTGTTCCACAACCGACACGATCCTACAGATATTACTACTTTTTCTTCTGACATCCGTCAAACAGAATCAAGGAATGATATGCTGAGAAACCCCTTGTGTCCTCCACCCAGGCTCGCGCAAGGAAAGAGGAGCCGGATAGCATAATATTACTCGTATACGAGTATTACTCGGCACTATGGCAGAGACAGGCGTCCGTCTCACAACTGCGGGCCATACAGCTGGTCCCCAGGCGAGTCTCCAGGGAGATCCCCAGCGCACGACGCCCACTATGAGTCCGGGCACGAATACCGCCGCCAATAGCACCGCTCCCACTATAACCACCGCTGCCATCACCAGCGCAACCACGACTACTGCAGCAACTAATATTATTGCCACTGCAGCTGATAATGGTCCAGCCCGCGCGAGGCCTATTACGCCTACACCTACGCCGCCTGCTGCCAGTGAGGCCAGCCATGCCCAAGTCCAAAATCAGGCTTCACCACAGCACAGCCAACTACACCATCTTCACCACCGATTAGGGTCTGGTCATGACGACGCCGACGAAAACAGACACAATAACCATACTGCTACCATTGCCAGCGTTCTGGATCAACAGTCGGCTCCGTCGTCGAACAGCGCCACCAATAACACCCCTGGCTCGTCTGATCTGCCTATCTCTCACAACGCTCCTACGTCGTCGTCTGGGCTGCCCCTATTGCCCCAGTACCGCGTGGCTCCGCAAACAACAACTGTCTCACCCAATTCGGTAGCGCCTGACCGCGACAGCCCCTCAACTGTCTCTCACCACCGCCAAACCAACGACACCGCACAAACACCAGAAGCGGTAAATATTCATCGTCGGTATTCACACCAGCGCCAGCAGCAGCAGCAGCAGCAGCCGCCTTCGGAACAGACTCCGTCCTCCCTTTGGCCGTCTGCTCCTCTCTCAACCACCAGTTCTCCGCATGAGACTGCCAAACGCGACGTCGGCACACCTCCGGAACACGACCAGCCACACCACCAACATCAAAAACACCACTCTTCGCAACAGCCAGCACAGCAGCGGCAGCAGCAGCAATCGTCTGCGACCGAAGTCAACCTGGACACACCGTCGGTGGACGCTCATCTCGCGTCGCATCCACAGCGTCGAGCTTCCGCTCCTCGCAGCTCTCTCGTTATCAATACCTTGGATGGTCACCCGGCCCCCGTGAGGACTCAACGCGCACACGGAGCAGCCGAGGGCGGCACTTCCAGCAGTGCCGCCACCGTCCCGGACACACAGTCCTCAAGGGACTCGCTCCAGGGCCAGCGGGAGCTTCTTCTGGTCAAGTCGCTCTCGTCGCTTTCAAACCCTTCAGACGAGAGACGAGCGTCGATTCTTCAGCAGCGACCGCCCGTCTCATACAAGCCTCCGCCCAACGCCGCCTCGACGAAAGCTCCGTCCGCCTCGTCTTCGGTTTCCTCCACATCCTCTTCTCCCGCTGTTCGGGTACCTCCCATCCGCTCCTTCCGCTCCTCGGGCTCCCGCAAAAGCCTCACCCTCGATATGAACTACTACCGATCCCGGCCCGGCGACTCCTCGGCCGACGAAACAAGCGACGACCCTGAAAATGACAGAACTCTCCGCGCTCTTGAGGGGAGGCAGATCCAAGACATGTTGCAGATGACCCCTCCTAGCTCTGCTAGACACGGCGACTTCAACGACGCTGATGACGGCGGGGACGTATTTCTCCGAATTGCTAGGGAGGAAGACTCTCACCGAGCCGCCTCCACCGCCAACGGCAACATGGCGGATGAGACACAGAGTCCGGTGGTAAGTACACTCATGGCACCCTCGCTTTTCTTATTGGTCGTTGTATACGGCAGATGCACGGCGCTGCCATGTGTTGTTGCAGACTATTCCCTTTTGTTTTTTCTGCTAGTCCTCTTTTCTTTTCCTTTTTTGACCTCATCAGTGGTCACTTTTTTTTTCCGTCTTGCGTGATATCAGACTTATCGTTTACCCGCTCTGTTATCTAACCACCCGCTGTTCTTGTATAGTCGCGAGTTTACCGCTCTCACCGCCGCCCACTCTCGACCAACGTTGCCACGTATCAACCCAAGTCGCCGCCCTTTGTCGGTCGCCGCCTCTCAGACCAACGAGACAGCCCGAGGTCAAGGGTTGACGACAAACGTGCCAGCGAGATCACCCGATCCATGACCCTGAGGGGCTTCTCACGTGATCACCCCAAGGCCGCCTTTGCTCACCCTGGCGACGCCACTGCCAGTCCCCCGAGGTCCACGGCCCCGACATCCCTACGGCCCTCCCCTCTAGCACCTCGAGCTGTTGCCTACTACGATATCGGTGCTGCCGACAATGTCAGCAACAACCCTATACCCCAACACCGTCGCTCTTCTGTAACGGAGCACATAGTCTCGCCATCTGTACGAACGTCGACTTACAGGTCGTCTGGTTCGCGAGACACGGGTCCTGGAAAGATCTACAGTTCTTCTCCGCTGACCCGCTCCTTTAACTGGCAACAAGGAGACCGTCAAGGTGAGGATGCCAATGGCGCACACGCTGCCAATGGCGTGGAAGGGACAGAGTCGACTGCTTCCAACACGGCGCCATCGACTGTGTGGGACGAGCTGGACGATCTCAAGTCGCGTATTCACCGCCTAGAACTGACAGGGAAGCTCCCTGCCACCTCAGGTGCTGCAGTCTCCAGGCTCACCGACGAGCGGCCACCCACAGCTGCCACGACAGCCACGACCGCTTCGTCCTCTCCCAAACGATCCAGGGAAACCGGGCCTCAGAACAACAACGCCAGCGCCGCCGCCGCCGCCGCCGCCAACAATGGCAAGGACAACGCCAGCGAGACACGCGGTAGCATCATGCCTGCCCAGAAAGAGGCATACCCCATTCTCGTCTCAGCACTATCCAAGTCGAAGCCCTTCCTCCACCTGGAAATATTTCGCGCCCTCGAGTCCGCAGCCAACGACGCAATGTCTTTAGCCTCCATGATGGGGCAGCCCGGCGAACCCGGCCCCATATCCAGCGGTGCAAGTGCCATCGGCCCGGGTGGAGCCGTCGTCACTGACCGCCAGCTCCGCCGAAAGGCTGACAGCGTCTGCCGTAGTCTGACAGAGCTTTGCGTCGCGCTGGGTGAGGACTCGGCCCACACCCGACCTCAGACCCAAAAGGCGGCAAACACAGCTCCGTCTCAGATCCAGACTCAGACTCAGGCTCAGACTCAATCCCAGCCGCAGGTCCTCGCACCAATCCAGACTCAGAGTTCGAGTCAAGGCCTCACACAGTACCATCCGTCGACGTCGTCATCACAGGCAGACGGGCCCTCGACACCCACCATCCACAAATCCTTTAGCGGCCTTCACTCCCGACGACCTAGCATCTCGTCGGGACAGGGTCTCCGGGACCCTGTCAAGCAGCAGCTGGCCAGCCCACGAAGCGTCTCCAAGTTTGAGGAGAGGAGAAATACCATACTCAACGGGGGCGCCTTGCCCAGTCCCCGAACTGTGGTGGCCTCCACCCCAGCCACGCCGCAGGATCCGACGGTCAGCCGCCGGTCGTCTCTCCTCATTGCCAGAACACGCCGGGCAGTGACAGAGGAGCCCGAGGACGCCACTGGTAGGAAGTCATCCCTTCTCAGGACCCGGCGCGCAGGCACCGAGGAGCCCGAGGAAGAGCGCCAGACGGCGATCCGACGGGCAAGGCGAGGCACCACGGGCGAGGGGGATGACGAGGCCGCGACTGCGGCTGCCGCCGCCTCAAACTTCCGTGCTCTGTCCCGCGCCTTCACCGAAGTGAACGCAACACGAGGCCAGCCGCGAGAATACACCGAGGTGGCGGCGTCGGCGAGGGGCCCTACTCGCGAGTACAGCACCGTCTCGACAACACGTGACTACGCCTCACACCGGTATCAGGAGCCACTGTCTCCGACTTCGACGGAGCAGCCTGATCCTAACGTGCCATCTACTCTACCTCGCCGACGATTCGTCTCATCTCACGCGACCAATGCGCGACTGAGTGCTGCCAGTACGCCAGCACCGGGAGCCACGTCGAGCAGCGCGCTACCCACGAGGAAGAATGCCGGACCACCACCCACGTCCATGACCACGGTGCCCAAGGAACGGGACCACACAGCACCTCCTACGTCCCGGTACGCATCCCTGGGACAGACGCTATTCCCCGGGCGGACGGGCAATCTCAGCACGAGACGGTACAACCGAGACAGCAGCATAGGTACGGGTACCACTGTTGCTTACAATCGGTAGAGAACCACGGACGACATGATCCAATGATGATTGTAACAATATATTCTACTTTTATATTTCACCGAACTCTTTTTTCTTCCATCCCTCTACCCTTCTCCTTTGTCCTTTCCTTGCCTGCCCAACTCAGAACTACTAGCGCTGCTACTGCTTTCTCTTTGTCTCCTTGCATTGTTCCTTATTATTTTCGATTTTCGGACAAGGGTATGTTCGGTTTCTTTTCATTCTTGGAAGCGTATCTCATATTCCGCTTGTTTATCATAAAAACCGGATGTTTTTGAGAGGAAGATGAGGGGTAGTTATGTGTTGGACAAACTCACATGACACACAATATGAATGACTGGCTTTGGGAGCCACCTGGTTGTAATATTCACCACGTCTTTTGCCGTACTATTTCTGTGTGCTTCTCTGTTCTTGCTACTACCGCTATTACTACTTCTACATGACAAGGTAGTAGAAATGTGCAGATGTAGCACTACACCTATTAGATCTAAAGAACTCCGTTTCCCAGAGTAATATAACAGAAGTTGTGGTTTCCACGGGTCGAGTACAAGATGTCGCTGGCTGACTCACCTACTTGACGTAAACTTACCCTGAACATCACACGACGAACGTCATAGTTTTTTTTTTTTTTGCACATGAGCCACACTTGACTCGAGGAATAAAGAGACAGTCAGAACAGGTGAAGGTTATAAAATATAGGAAACCACTCGGCGATCAAGATTTCTCTGCGGCCCTCAGGCATCGGCTTAACTGTGTCTCTCCACGCTCAAGACGAGGCACATCATAAAGTATATACCCACCATTACTTTGGGAAGTATTCTAAGACGAACGCGCAAAATGGACTACGACAGCAACGAAGCAGTCTTATCCATCCAGGATGCCATCCAGGATTCCATACCGACCAAAGGACCAAAGAGCCGCAACGGACGCGGCGGGAAGCGACACGGTGGAGGCCGCGGCCAGCCCCGCGAAGTGCAAGTCTCCAAGGCGCTATCCAAGCTGCTCCGGCACCAGGCCGACAGCGCAGGCATCCAGCTCGACGGCGAGGGGTTTGCCCGACTAGACGCCGTCCTGCGCTGGGGGCCGATCAAGTCCCTCGGCGTAACTGTGCAGGAGGTGCGGGATGTGGTGGGCAGCAACGACAAGCAGAGGTTTCTCCTCAAGGGGACGGCGACGACGGCAAGTGCCCCCCCGAGCGAGAGTGACGACGCGTCCAGGTATCTCATCCGGGCCAATCAGGGCCACTCGATCAAGGTAGAATCGTCTTCCCTGCTGAGACCCATTGCGGTACCCGAGGACGTGCCTCCCCTCGTCGTGCACGGGACATACTACGCCTTCTGGCCGGCTATCGTCGAGGCGGGCGGTCTCAAGGCCATGGGGCGCACGCACGTCCACTGTTCCACGGGGACCCCCGAAGATGGGAAGGGCGGCGTCATCAGTGGGATGCGGCGCGACGCCGAGCTCCTCGTGGAGATTGACGTCGCCAGGAGCATGGAGGAGGGAGGGCTGAAGTGGTGGAGGAGTGACAACGGCGTCATCCTCTCCGAGGGGGACGACGAGGCGGGCCTCGTCAGCTCAAAGTTCTTCAGGAGCGTCAGGGGGAGGGGCGGGGACGTTGGCGTCCTGTGGGAGAATGGGCAGTGGGTTGCCGATCTGCCAGAGGGCCTCAAGATTCGGGCTCCGCATGGGAAGGGCAGCGGCAGGGGCGGAGGGAGGCAGGGACAGCGACGAAAGGAAAAGTCGAATGACGGGCAGCCGTCTTGATGCAGAGTACGTTAGCAGACAGTCTGCTGTCCACTTCACTGTATTGTTCGTGAGTGAGAAGGGACATCTCGTATGACAGCTACCACGTGCTACTAGGTAGAGAAAAGAAGAAGAGAAAGATTAAAAAAAATAAGCAAGCCAACCATTCCCAGTCCCGTCCCCCTTCATTTCAACATATCATCGATTATTTCATGTTTCCTCCTCAGCCTCCCCTCAAGAATAGACAAGGTCCTCTCGGCAATCTGCACCTTGGTCTCAGTCCTGCCCAGAACGCGCTCCACGTTACCCAACCTGTCAGGCAAGGGTTCAAACTGCACCCACCCGCGGTAGAAGTTGGGAATACCGCCAATGTCGGGCTCGACGTGGTACTGGGGCGTGCCGAAGCCTAGCCTGGTGGCCAGGTGGCTGACTCGGTGGTATAGTTCTCTCTCTTCTACGCCACTCCCGCACATGTTCAGGCCGTTCCTAGATGCGGAAGGGGTTGATGGGGGCGGGGGTGAGGAGTAGGCGCTTGACGTTATTGCGCCGGCCATGAGAGGGGAGACCTGTTGCTGCTGCTGGCTCTGTTGGGCCCGCGACTGGTCCCGCTGCTGGTGCTGCTGCTGATGTACGATGGATGGAAGGGCAGCGTTGGTGGTGGGGGGAGTGAGAGGAGGAGCGGGAGAGGCCATGACGGGAGAAGCAGCAACAGCAGCAGCAGAAGTGAGTGCCGTCACGCCGCGGCGTGGCGCGGTGTTGGGGTTCAGGTACTCGAGGGCTATTTTGGCGGCGAACTGCTTGGCAGACTTCTTGCTCTTGAAACTGGGGATATCCTCGCCAACGGAATAGCCGTGGCCCTCTCGGGGGAAGTGTTCCTTGTCTGGGTCGAGGGAGCAAAAGCACCTCCATCGTTTCTCGGTCAGGCCATTTATCTTGACATCGATGGGGCCTTCGTCGATGAATGTTGGATGAGCAAGGTGTTTAAGTTGAATAAATCCTTTTTATTTCCATTTTTGTTTTCATCCCAAAAGTCAGCTATAACTACGGGCAAGTCTTGAAAAGACAGAAGACGGGTAGCGGTTGTATGGAAGAGAGAAGATACATACTCATCAGGTTACTGACATGGTCTTCATCACCAACTTGAGGCTCCTGCATGAACGGCACGAGGTTCGACACGGCGACCAGTTCACGTTGGACGAGAGGGGCGGGAGCACCATGAGTGCGCTCCCAGTTTTCTTTCTCGTCTATCCAGGCTCGGAGACGGTCCCACGGAGCTGCTGGTGAGAATGAGGATGGTGCGGTTGTAGCCATGGTGGGGATTGGCGGGGGTTGGTGGTGGTGGTGGTGGGGTAGGAGGGGAAACGTCGAAGCGATGCGAGAAGGTGATGGGTGTTGGGCGTGGAGGGAGGGAGAGAGAGAAAGAGAGAGAAGCCTAGCCACGGCGGGTGAAGCAGCCTGTCAGAGGCGCGTCTCGATTCGTGCGCGCATTGTGTGTGTGCGGTGTGTGTTGGCCGTCTGTGAGGCTGAGCGTAATCGAGAAAATCGAAAGAGAGGAGAGAAAAGAGTGTAGTACTAGAAGTTGAACTCATGATCCACCGCCCACAACGTTCCACTGGATAGGTGCAATAGAATTATCCTTGTGTGTTTTCAGAGTGCTATATGGAATAATGATGAAGATACTTTGCCGAAGTCTTGCCTAGGAATAGACTGCTTAAACTAAACGTATAGCTACCGACATCATGCCGGTTATCCTTCCACCCAAGATCCAAAGCCATCATGTTCCTGGGGTATCAAACCTCAAACAGTATACACAGAAATGCCATTAGGCTTGAACAGTGCAGGAGCAAAAACGAAGAGAAGAAAGAAAGGAAGAGAAGATCGATGCACATCACATGTCAAAGAAGCCCTCACCGTCGTCCTCGTCCTTCTTGGCCTCAGTCTCACGCATGAGTCGTCTCCTCTCCCTGCGGTTCATCTGTGCCGGCGGCGTCTTGCCGTTACTCGTCGTGGCGGCCTGGGTATTTGCGCCGACCGCCGACGCCGCCTTGCCATCAGGCCTTGTAGGCTTGGGTGTTGCGTTTGCGCCGCGCGCTTGGTTCTTCTTCCTCTTGTTGTTATCGTTGCTGTTGCTGTTTCTGTTGTTCTTGTCTTGCTTGCCGCCAGCAGTGGCGGTAGCCTCCATCTCCGGACGCCGTTCCCTCAACCTCCTCAGGGCGTCGGGACCGTCCTTCATGGCCTTCTCGACCGTGCTCCACAGTGGAGGTCGCTGAGTGGCGTCGAGGGAGATCTTGGTCAAGGTCGACGTCGTCGTAGTTGGCGCCGTCGCCTCGTCATCCTTGTCGTTGTCGTCGGCGTCGTTGCCATCCTTCTTCTCCGACTTCCCGTAAATGCTTATGTAGGGTTCGGTGTGGGGGTGGTTGACGGCGTAGGCCTCGTCTACCTCGGCCACGTGAAGTTGGGAACGCAACTTCTCCAGCTCTTGGGCGTCTGTCGTCTCGGCGATCTTCTTCTTCACCTGCTTGGCCAGTCGCATGGCCTTTTTCCGTTCTGTCCCGGCTATGTTAGTCTCGTGGGGCACTCCCTCGTCATCCTCCAGTCTTCCTTCTTCCTCCATTCTGCTCCGATATCGGAAGGGCATACCGAAGAATCGCACCATGTGGTACTTGGAGATCATGGCACTGCGCTTCTTCTGGAACGACTTGTCGTAAACAGTGGCCTTGTGCGTGGCCAGCTCTCGCTCGAGATCGTTGCGCACCTGGGCCGGAAGGTCGGCCTTCTTCTGGAACAGGCGCTCGATGGCGCGCGACCTCTTCTTAGCGTACTCGATGGTGCCCTCCTTGGCCCTGTGCCTGCTCTTGCCACCGGCCTTGAACCTTTTTGTCGACGGGCCCGAGTCGCCGCCTGCCGAATCCTGCTGGTGACCTGGGCTCGCGCCGTCGACCTCGTCGTGAAGCCTCTTGAAGGCCATTGCGGGTATGTCAAGTATGTCACTCTCTTCTCCCCCGAGTTCATAGACATGTATTTATGTGCGCCGTATCGAGAATGGATCAGCGAGGGGAAAGAGGTTGAAAAGAGAAAAGAAAAAAAGGACGAAAAAAAGGACGGTGGTGATGATGATGATGGATGGATTGACGGATTTCGACTTTTTTGGTGGGGTCCAGCCATCAAAGCATAGAAACGTGCCCGTATCGGGTTTAGCTCCCTTATCCAGGACAGTGGCCAATGATATGCCTAAGATCCTGCTTTCCATTCCCCACTTCACCTTCATACATCATACAGACTGTACAGATCTGTATAGGCAGCTAAACTCACCTCTCATCTCGAATCGTGATATCAGCTGATGTACAACCAATTCTAGCGCCCGCCGTTCTGAGGAAACAAAAATAAACAAGAAATCTGCCCCTCCAACGCTTCTTCTCTCACTCTGAGAGACATGCCATCGGTTGCAAGGGAGTCTGACCGAGGGACCTGATCCTACCCCTCGAGAGCGCACACCACGCTCAGAAGAAAGAACTCGTATCTCACTCATCGGGTGCTTGTTGCCTTCGTCATGGACCGTCCAGAGCCAGGACTGGTCAAGTGGTCGCCTAACCCGTCCATTGACAGTTTCGTCCATGTCAACCTGCAACACCGCGTCGTCCAGCTCTACGAGCCGACGGGTCACGCTCGCAACGGCCGCTTCGACTACGACAAGATCAGCCGGCACGATGACTTCCCGCCCCTCACCACCTACGACTGGTCTCCCACCAACCCCGGCCTGCTGGCCGTCGGCACCGGCACCGGTATAGTCAACCTCCTCAAGATTGACGACAACTCCAACTCGTTTGCCGAGCTGGGCCTCAAGATGACGAGGACGTGCCAGGCCGTCGCCTTCAACACCACGGGGCTGCTCGCCGTGGGACTCGACCGCGTCCGCATGGATCAGAGCCTGCATATCTGGGACGTCAGCCGTCTGTCGTCCACGGACAAGGGTTTGTCCAAGGAGGTTACGGAGCCGAAGAACAGGCTGGAGCCTAGCGTGTCCATATCCAGCATCAAGTTCTTCGAGGACAGCCCCCAGACGCTCGTGGCGGGTATCAAGTCCCAGGGTCTCCGTATGCATGATCTTCGAGGTGAGTGCATATAGAGGCATTCGTCGGTGTCTGCCACTACCGCGTTCCTGTGTGGCTCATCCGTTATACTTACACACACCACGCAGACCCGCAGAACATGGCCCTCTTCCAGACAAAATGCAACAACAACCTGGCCATCGACTACGCCGACCAAAACTACTTTGCCTCGTCGGCCCTGGACCAACCCGGCGTCATGGTATGGGACCGCCGCGCCACCTCGCGCCCCGTAGCCTCACACACCTACACCCAGGCCATAGCGGAGGACGATATCCCCTGGGGCGGAGCCCTCCGCCTCGACCGGGTCATCGAGACGGACTCTGACCCTTTTCTCGCCGAGGGCAAGCACTCCCTCATCCGATCTCTACGATACTGCCGTGACCAGCGCGGCCTGCTGGCCGTCCTCTCGCGCACGGGACAGCTCCGCGTTCTCGAGACCAACAAAGAGAGGCCTTCATCATCCGCGTCGAAGGCTCCCCAAGCACCCGAGAGCCCCGAGCTACTCGAGGTGAGGAAGTCGCACGAGATGGACCCTTCGTACGTCGAGACGACGAGGAAGAATAACCGTATCGTCTCGTTCGACTGGGTCAACCTCGACTCGCCGACGTTGCAGCCTAGGATGCTGGTTCTCAGGGCCAATGGCGGCTTCGACATTCTCGAACGTCCGTCGTACACGGCCGATCATGTTTTCAAGATGGTGCCGTGGCAGGCTCCTCATCGGGGTCTTGAGGGTGCGTCACCTACCCCAATGTTCCTTCTGCTCTCTATCTTCCCCCTCGAGATGAAGGCAAGCTGACCGAAGAAGAGGGACTTCCTTATCTCGACTTGATGCGCTTCGAGCCCCGACAGGCACTGCGCATGCTCGGTCCCGTCCTTGTAGACAAGGCACTGTCGGACATTCCCATCTTCGGCTCCGGCAAGGCAGACATCGCGGCCACCATCGAAGCGTCGCTGGACCCAGCCTCAGCGTCGTCACTCATGGCCGAGATGACGGGCACCATGGATGCTCCCCTCCCGGACGCCTTCTACCAGGCGAAGACTGTGGCCGCCAAGCTCCGTGCCCTCCGCACCTTTGTGCGCGAGGAGTTCCCCGGCAAGGCGGACGGCAATGGGAGTGGGCCGCAGCAGCATTTCGCCGGCGACCTCGGAGCGATCAAAGACGGCCTGGATGAGATGTCCCTGGCATCGAATGGCGTCGTCGGGCCATGCCACGAGATCCACGACGCCCTTCTGAGCATGCTGGTGGAGGTGCCGGGCCTGCCGCGCGAGGCTCAGTGCGTGGCCGACCATGAGATGGTCCTGCGCGCCAAAGAGCGGTACCTATTCGACGCGTCTACTAATAGAGACATCGTTTCTGATGATCCCTGGACGAGGTTTGTATGGGATTGGATAGACGGTATGGCCACACCATCAACCTTTTCATTGCTCATAACAGTCTGTCCCACTAACACGTCCTAGACGCCCACCACGCTGCCGAGAATGACGGAATGATCATGTCCAACATAGATCTAAGCTATCTAGGCATCTACTCAATATGGATGAACGACCTCGGTGAGAAGAACACAACTCCTGCTACCCCCACCTCCCACCTCCCAGCTAACAAAGAGAAAACGAAATGCGGCAGGTCGGACCCCCATGACTCGTCTTAGCGGCACCACGACCGTGCCGGACATGGTATACTGGGAACGCGCGATAGGAGGCCACTGTAAGAAGCACTACCTTCCCAAGTTTGACGGCGTACACACGCGACGGCCGCATCACCGCCAGCTCTGCCTCTCGATCTGCGGGTGGGGCGACGTGCAGAAGCACCCGGGCAGCCAGGCGATGAACTCTGGCGACCCAGCCTCGGCGCACACCATGGCAGCAGCACGATGCCTCTTCCGCGGCGACACGAGAGAGGCGGTGGAGATACTCAAAAACGCCAGCACGGCCCACCCGTCGCTGTTATTCGTCTCTCTGGCGCTGCAGCTCGTGGGAAACAACATCAACCACAACGGCAGGCGAGGATCAGCAGCAGCAGCAGCAGCAGCAGGAGGAGGAGGAGGAGTAAGGGGCAAAGAGCAGCAGCTCGAGTTCGACGAGACGGCGGCGTCGCGGACAGACCCGTACCTGCAGGCCATGTCATCCCTCATCGCGACGGGCGACTGGACCTCTGTGGCGAACCAGCGGTCGCTGCCGCTGTCGGACCGAGCTCTCGTGGCGGTGCGTAACTTCCCAGACGACCAGCTGACGTCGTGGCTGGCGCAGCAGGTGTCGCGGGCCGCCGAGGAGGGCGACGTGGAGGGCATAGTGCTGACGGGAATCGGCGACGCGCTCGTCGACGTGTTGGCGCGCTACGTCCAGAAGTTCGGCGACATCCAGACGGCCACGCTGGTCATGTCCTTGGCCCACCCGCGCTACATGGACGACGTGCGCTGCCGGGCCTGGCGCAACGCCTACCGCTCTCTCCTGCAGCGCCACAAGCTCTTCTTCCACCGGACAAAGTACGAGGTCGAGTCTACTAAGCGCTCCAAGCGACGGGGAGGTCAGCCCGCCCTCAAGCCGCCCTCTAGGCAGATCGCCCTCCGGTGCGTCTACTGCGACGCCGAGACTTCCCTCGCCAATCACAATCACAACCAAGGCCAAGGCCAAGGCCACGGTCGCGGTCACGTCCACGGTCGCGGTCACGGCCACGGCCAGCTCTCCTCGGCTGCTACGCCGGCCACGGCCGCGGCGGTCGTGGGAGGAGTCCCAAAACCACCCGTGGTCGAGTCGAGGAGGAACCCCCTCCTCGCAGCGAGCATAAACGCCGGCGTGAGCTGCCCCAACTGCGGTCGTCACCTGCCCCGGTGCGTCGTATGCCTCGAGATCGTCGGCGTGCCGAGGTCAGACAGGCCTGAGGAGAAGGGCGACGAGACCAGGACGGCCGGCCGGTTCCCGACCTTCTGTCTCAGGTGCGACCATGTCCTCCATCTCGACCACGCCAGGCAGTGGTTCGCCAGGCATGCGGAGTGTCCTGTGCCCGAGTGCAGGTGTCGGTGCAATTTCAGGGCTAATCCCGAGTTGGACTATCATTGACTCTTTTATTTGTTACTTACAAACATTACAAACATACAATGAATGGTACTAAAACCCCTTTTTTTCATATTCTGCCCTGCCTTGTGAATCCTTACCTTAACCCCCCCCCAAATTTTTTTTTAAAAAAAATACATAAATAAATGAATAACCAAAAACGAGTACTACTGATGGATGTGGTCGAAAATCTTTGTTTTAATTTTGAGAAACCTATAACTGCTCGTTCAGTCTCGACACTTTGCATGCAAGTTAAAAAGAAATCAAAGACAATCAACGCCCTGAAATTCTCATTTTCATTTTTATCAACTCCACTTTGTAAGTCGTCTACATCATTTTTTTTTTGGTTGTGTGTGTATTCTCATTGTCATCGTTCTTTAAGAAAGAAGGGAAAGGGAGAGAAGGAGAGAAAAAAAGGAACGAGGTAGGTGGGAAGGAAACTTGTGCGCGCGCGCGGGCGATGGAGTAATGAGTCGCCATAAAGTGATGCATCAGTGTGATGATGCCTTCCATCATGCCTGCAGCCAAGGATGGGCAAGAACTTGCTCGATATCGTATCTGTGCTCCACGTCCCGATCTAGCATGCCTCGGATCAGGTCGATGCTGTCTTCGCTCATGACAAATGGGATGCGCAGGTCGCGGTCCATGATCTCGTCGATGCTGTAAAACGGGTTCTCCTTGTAGATGATTGTGTAGAGGAGGATGCCCAGGGCCCACACATCTTGCTCTTTGCCGCCGTAGGGTCTGCCGGCCAGGACTTCGGGTGCAGCATAATCTTTTTTTTGTCAGTACGTTAGCTCTAGAGTTCTGTCCTCAGATTAAAAAGAGAGAGTACAAGGGGTGGGAATGGGAGGGTTAATGGGTGGTACTGTCAGGATAAGGGGAGAGGACGAGAGAGAGATGAAGGAGAAGAGCTCACCAATCGTGCCCACAAACACATCAAAGGGCCCGCTCTTGATATACGCTGCGCTCCCAAAATCAATAAGCTTGATGTTCCCGTCACCGTCAAGAATGACATTCTCATCCTTGATGTCACGGTGGACGACGCGTGCCTTGACGTGGAGGAACTGGATGGCCTGTGCCACCTGGTGGAAGATGCTCCGGCACTCGGACTCATCCATGTTGGAGCGCAGCTCGATGTAGTCAAACAGGTCCATACCCGGCAGGCCGTGGGGCTTCATCTCGATGTAGTAGTTGACGTCGTCCTCGAAGAAACCCTCCATCTCGACAATGTTAGGGTGCTTGAACTCGGGACGGCTGAGGTAGTCGAGAACGTGAATCTCCAGCGGCACCGTGCCCAGCTTGCGGTCTCGCGTCCACGTGTCCACCAGGATGCGCTTCTTGGTCACGTACTTGAGCACCATCTTGTTACCCGTGTGCTTGTTCCGCGCCAGCTTGACCTGGCCGTAGGCGCCCTGGCCCATTTCCTCGAGGATGGTGTAGTCGTTTATGTTCCTCTTGCCCGGCTGGTGCTCCATCGTCTTCAGATCAGACGACTGTCGCTTTTCTGAACGGACGGCCGCGGCCGCGGCCTCGGGCGACTGTGACCCCTTCTGGCCCGTGATCTTGGCCGCGGCATTCATCGCCGCGTCCTTCAGCTGTCGGGACAGCGCAGAGGTCCTGGATTCCGAGTCTTTCTTGGCATCTTCCACTTCGCTTGGCGTAGAGGGTGGCTTGTCAGGTGTGTGTGTCAGCGGCGTCTGTCCGGGAGACGGCTGGTGCAGATGGTGAGAGGAGAGAGTTCCTGCCGGCTGGCAGGCAGCGCTGACGTTTATCTGAGGCTGTTCGGCGTGGAGATGGCGGGAGTACGTGATCCACAAAGCATAGACCATCTCGGGCTGAGAGATGACAAAATGGTCGTCGTTCTTGCTCTCATCTTCTTCGTCGCTACCCTCGATGACGGTCTCTTCGACGATGTTGCTCTGCTTCTCACTCTTGACAACGCGCATCTGCACGTCAATCTTGAGTTCCGACCCATCGCGATGTTTGGCCGGGAGTCCCTCGGGCTTCAGGAAGGCTTCCGAGGCATCTGGACGCTGCTCGCGAATGGCCAGAAGGCCTGACGCCCTCCGGAACCGGTCCTCGGGAACCACCATGCCGTCCAGAAGCTCCAAGCCCTCGACTTCCGTCAGCATCTCCAGGATCTTGTCGAACTCGGGGATGAGGGCATCGATGGCCATGCCGTCCGGCCTGTCGAATCCGAACAGAGCACCGCAGAAGACGGCGTTCGAGCTTCGGATGTGGAGCGTCTTAGGGTCCACGACGATCATGCCGGCAATGTGAGGGTACGATGACACGCGCAGCTCCAGCGTCCCTTGCTGCTGCTCGATGGTGCATGGAATGTTGATCTTCCGTGCGTTGGGGCAGGTGAAGTATCTGCGTCGCCTGACTTGGGCAAAGTCGATCTCGCCCGTGTTGGGGTCGATGCCTTGTCGGGGGATGCGAGGGATGAGTGTCTTGATGTCGACGCCGGGTTTGACCGAGTCGACGCCCCAGATGGCCTGGGTAGCGCCCGAGACCTTCTTGACCAGGCCTTCCTCGTCGAGCTCAACGCAGGCAGTGTCGTCGTGGATCTCTTCGAGGACCCAGATCAACCCGATGCGTTTCTCCTTGACCCATAGACTAGCAGAGCCGGTGGAGCCGTTTCGCTTCTGGATCGGCACAATGTCACCGCACAGCAGAACACCTCTCGACCGGGAACTGCGATGCCGTGCGCCTCCACGCGTCTTGGGCGGGGACGGATCCCCGCTGTGTACCGTCTGGGACCGTCTCTCCGTGTACTTCAGGGGCTGCGGGCTTCTCGAGCTGGGCTTGCCGATAAGCTGTGCCGTCATGCCGGACCGATTGCCAAGGAGTGCCGAAGCAGCCGATGAGGCCGGGGGTATCGGCCGCGAGGACTGCTTTCCCTGTTCCACATCATCGTCGCCCTCGGACAGGAGTTTGCGCTCCAGCCAGCCCCGTCTCTCCTCTTGGACGACTTCGAGGATGCCCATTCTCCGCACTTCGGCCTTGGTGACGCCAAATACGAGACAGGCGAGGTCGTTGGCGGCGATGATGGTCCAAGGGGGCTTCGACTCGGTCGTGAAGATGGCCTGGGCAGCGGGGACCCATCTGTTGGTGTGCCCGTGGACCGAGGGGCCGAGAGCGAGGTTGGGTGGCACTCCAGAGGCTGATTGCGGGCCTAGCAACGGCGAGGCCATGAGTTCCTGGTAATAGGGCTGGGACAGTGTGTCGACTAGTTTGTTCTCTATGCTCATGTCGATAGTATCGGTCATGGTACGTTTGAGGCTGATGGGCCTAGATGCCGGAGGAGAAGTCACGGCCGTGGCGGTACTCTCGTCTGTGGGGGTTCTGCTTGAATCTTGAGAGGTATCGGCTCGAACATACTGCTTTGCCGTCGTCGCCGTCCTGGTCCGTTTGGCCGTGGGTGGTTGCCGATGCTGTTGCTGCGAGTCGTTGGGGTGTAACTGCGCATGATTCGGCAGCGGTGGCGCTGTTGCTGACCCTGGTGATGCTGTGGGCGAAGCTGAGATGGGATCGATAGGCTCGGGACTGCTGCTTCGCGGCGTGAAGTGGTTGTCGAAGACGTTGTCGGCGGAGATGGCGGGAGGGCCAGTAAGGGGGCCCGGGGGCACGGTGAATTCGGCGCTGGGGAGGTTGCCTGCACCTATCAACTGTGCGCGAGCGAGGAGTTCGAGGACATTCTGGGCATCGACGTCACCGTTGGCGCGGGCCTGGGCACTGGCGAGACCGGCCTGGGAAGAGTTCATGGGCCATCCCATGCGGTCCTTCATGAACTCGATGGAGCGTTTGAGGACATTCTGTCGGTTGTGAAGGAAGTCCTCGGACTGGTGGGCGAAGGAGAAGGAATGGAGGGACTCGGAGGGGAACCGTGACAGGTCTTCGGTGAAGGTGCGGGAATCTAGGCCGGGGGAGAGAGGAGCGGTGCCGGATTGGGAGAGCATGGCACCGAGGGATGGCGTACGGGAGAGGGCGACGACGGAAGGGCTCCTGGAAGAGGAGGGCGAGGCGGGGTTTCGAGATGGAGGCTGCTGCTGACGGATGCGATGGAGCCCGGACAGACCGAGTCCATGCTCCTTGTCTGCCATCAAGGAGGTGGTCCTGCATGGAGAGAAGGTGTGAGATGGACATGTGAAGGGAGAAGAAGAAGAGGGGCCCATGACGGCGCTCGAGCGGGGGGGGGCAGAGATTTTTTTTTTTTTTTCCTATCTGATGCACGGAAGTCGGGGAAAATTTACCTGGTGAGGGCTTCATGGTCGGCGGAGGAGGAAGCGGATGTTGCGTCAAAGGACATTCTATAGCGGCTCCTGTTTGACTCGTCGGCGGAGACGTGCAGGTTTCCAGTGCTGCGGTTCTTTGGCAGGGAGAGGGGGTGGATGGCCAGCTTGGCGCGGCCTCGGGTTTCCTCATCGCCATGACGGTCTGGATCTGGGGATAGAGATGGTTCGGCAACTGGAATGGAAGAAGAAGCAGCGTCAGCGTCGAAGCTGGGGTCGGGGGCGGCAGGGTGCGTCTCGGTGCGGCCAACCATTTCTGTTCTGACGTCGGCTATGCGTCTCGGGCATAGTTGAGAGGCGGCGGCGCCTGCGCAAAGGGGCGCTCCCTTTCTCTCTATCTTCTTTGTGGAGGAGAGGACGGTTGAAGAGCCAAGGCAAGATGGGAGATTGGAAGAGAGAGGTCTCGTTCTCTCACGGGAGAGAGAAAAGGTCTTTACCGTTGTTCGTGAGGAGTCTAGGAAAAAGAGAGAGGCTGAAGGGGAAAAAAAGAAGGAGGAGGAAGAAGAAAAGAGGAGATGACCCCGGTGGGGAGAGAATACGCGCCCGTTTCTCAACAACGGATCGCAACTCGAAGTGCGCACACAACTGCTGAGGCTGCGGGTGATGGCGGTTTGGTTGGTGTGTGAGGTCTGGTATGGGAGCAGACGGCGATGATCCGTAGAGGGAGGGGGGGGGGGGGGGGGAGAGCAGAGAGGGACAAGATGAATCTGGTGGTGGGGGACGGAGGCTTGGGTGGTGAGTGACGCTGACGAACTATTCCAGTTACGGAGTGTCTCGCTGGTCTGGTCTGGCAGTTGCAGTCGTAGTCTTTGCTAATGTCTAGTAGGTAATAATAGTCGTAGTAGTCTGCTACTGGGACAGTTTGGAGCAGTAATGAAATGATTGCCAGGCTGCCAGCTGAGCAGACGATCAGTGCCATATTGGATCTGTTAACATTGAGTGCTTTTTCGGGCTCGTACTCGGTACACTAGTAGCAATACTCTTGATGGTGACTGCCAGTGGTGTATCAACACGATTGATCAATATCATTTCTAGCTACGGATACAGGTGAGAGAGGTGAGAGAGTATTGATATGGATATATCGCAAGCTAGCACCAGGTAGCGATAATATTGCCAGGTGCGGTATGCTAGAAGCGCGCGCAACCATCTGGTGTCTGGGTGCGAAAATAGATGCCCCAGGCACAGCTATCTTCAGCTACCCGGAGCAACCTCCCGTGTACGGACCACGGTTCTCGATGTCGGATAGAAGAGGATAGTCGGTGCTTCGGCATGGATCTCTCATCGTTATGGCGATGCATCACCTATGCGTGATGCTGACCATCGTGGGCTGTTCATGGCAGTCCATGGCAGCACCAGCAGGTATTATGGACCAGCATTATTTTTATTTTTATTTTTATTTTTAGCCAGCTCTCGTCCCGGGTGCAGCCTTAAGCCGTTCATACCTAAATCACCACCATAACCGTCACCGTAGACTGCACGCACCCAGGTCCTGTCCCCTCTGAGGGCAGCCCTCGGGCGATCTATATGTACAGCATCTTCAGGTCTCATCACTGAATCATTCGATGGACCCTTAAACGCGCATTGACAGAGACCCGAAATGAAATAATAATAATAATCAGCCAACTATAGGTAGATACCCGCCTGTGATTGAAGTCAAGTCTGGGAATATCCCCCCTCCCACCCCCCCCCCACACAGCCACAGCAGCGGGATGCATTGATTCATCTCCCATGTGACCACGATCACGACCACGAACCACTACGAGTACAGGGTACGACAGCCACCATCAAACCACGGGTGATACAAAGTCTACGACGTGAAAACAGCAGCCGCGGCCTGATAGCCCCGAAAAACCCTGATCAGAACGGCTTGTAGGAGGGATTTTGGCCGGCCCCCGGTTGGTGGAATGCGGGCTGCGATCACTGGCTCACCCTGTAGCGGGGCCAACAGGAACCAGGAGTTGCGGACGATGCTGGTGGTGTACTCGTAGCCGAGTTCTGGGCCTTTTGCAACGCCCGTCCATCTTGTCGTCTGCCTTTTTTTTTTTTTTTTTTTTTGGGGGGGGGGGGGGGGTTTGGATGATGGAAGAATTGGACTTGTGGCTCGAGTACGAGGTACGGTTTGGCAGCTCGTCGTTTCGCCTCTCATTACCCGTAAATACTCGTATTACCGTTGAGGTGGTATAGTCTGGTGCTTGCATCTTTGTCTCTGTGTCTCGTACTCTCCTTCTCCTCCCCCTCCCCCCCCCACACTACCATCTCTACTGATACTAGACAGTCAAGTCCCGTACAGTGTGGTTGTCAGAATGAGCGTGGCCAGTACGTTGAGATTGGCAGGATACATGTAGGAAATGGGAGTAGTCATCCGGAGACTTCGATACCCGCAGATGGCGGGTGCTTCCCCTGAATCCGAGTCAGGAGTTGAATTTTTCTCATCATCTAGAAAACCAAAAACTTGGATGAGAGAGAGAGAGAGCCTCTATTGTCCCCCCCCCCCCCCCCCCCCCCCCCCGATCCCAATCCCGCCTCGGAGGTGATGTACTCTTCCTGCACGAGAGAGGAGAGGGAGAACGCTGAGTCTTGTGTTTTTTCCGGAAATCTTCTGGGCATGGCTCAAGGAACCGAAGAGACGGGCCATGGGCCCATCCACCACCACCAAACAGACGCACCCACCAATCCGCCACCCCGAACAGAGCACCCCCCACTGCACGCACACAGTCACACACGCGGCACACGCGTATCATGTCCGAAGCCCGCCTGGTCTGTTCTGTCCAAAGTTGCTGGGCGAGCTAGTGTCTGGACAAAGCGTCTTGAGGGACTTTCCAACCACCCGTTTAGCCCCGGTGGGTGGTCGGCGTTCGCCTGAGTCGTCCGAACAACAAGAGACTTGGCAGCGGCAGCGGTGCACACAGAAGACTACATGTAGGCGGGGGTGCCCGGCCACTCTTGTAATACGCCGTAGAGTATAGCGAATCAGTAGTAGGTCGGTACTAGCAGAAGCATTGCGAGGGATAGAGAGGTATCCGTATGTGTGAAACCAAGGGTGTCGACTCTGAGAAGAGGCTCTTGAAGGGTGGCGGCGGTGGATCCAGAAAGTGAGGGGGGGGGCGGCTTATTTAGTATGAGAGTACGAGTAGTTATTGATGCTAGACTCTAGGCTCTAATAGTACATGTAGAAGGAGGTAGAGGCAGTGTACGAGTAGGATATGGAGACGGTTGATAACAAGGTAATAATACTGGCTGACCTATTATTACCCCAGGTCTGATCAATGCCCTCCCTGGTCATGGCTTGGTGCCAGCTTATTCCTCTTGAAGTGTTGACTATCAAAGTCCCATCAATCACATCAGTATGACGTGTGCTGATCATGGGAGTGCTCCGTGACAGAATACCCTTGCTCTGGGTCATTCATTCCACGGTAAGAAGAGAGAGAGAAAAGAGGTGGTTTGCCGTCGTCGTCCAGGTCCTAGAAGCCATGGAAAGACAGAAAGACGGATAGACCGATTTGGAGTCTGACAGTGGCAGTCGTCTGTGGACCCTGGAAAAGAAAGGGCCCCGCAGACGATAATGTGGGCTCGTCTTCTCTAGCCTCTTGGGGGGAGAGGGGAGGGAGGCCCAGGGAGAGGGAGGGGGGGAGGGGAGTTGGGGGAGATTTGGGGGGAGGGGACCAAACTCTCGTGCTTGCATTGCAGAAGACTGTCCGCCCTTCTCCAGTTCCTTCAGCGGCTGGATGCCCTGAAAACTCCGGTCAGCTAGCTGGGTGTGCCGACTGATGCGAGTATTCATGTCTTTCTGTCCCTATAATATTATTGCACTACATACGACTGTTGATCCTGTATCTGGTACTTGGATGTATTCGCACCGCTACTCGTGCTGCTATGCTGCTATGGAAGGCATACGTGTATGTATTCGTGGTGGTGCTCGTACTACCTACAAGTACGAGAACTAAAAGCATCATTATTGATAACTCATCCATATTAACATGTACGAGTCTGTAGGAACCGAGCATTTGCATGAATAACACTGAACACCACCGTACGAAGCCAGTGGCGCGGCCATTAGGTCCACCTGCCCAATATCCTTTAAACACGCCTTTCCTGCCTTCTCCTTCCTCCTTGTCTCTCCCACCATTTCTATTTGCTTCTTCTACTTCTTTTTTGTTTTCTCTTCCATCATCTCTCCTCATCCCATTCCTCTCAGGTTCTTTCCAAAAAAAAAAAAAAGACCTCATCTCTCTCTCTCTCTGTCTCCCGTGGTTGGTTCTCTCAATCCAACCAAGAACACGCCATTCTTGCACGCGACCTCCCCCCCCCCTCTTCCTCCTCCCTTCTAAAACAGCCATCAATCACCCCGCCCGACCCTTGGCTGCTGACTTCAAACCCCGGTCGCCACACCCGTCTTCTGATCTACAACGACACCTGATACCCGGCTTCTTATCTTTTCAGTCTCTCTCTTGTCTCTGATTCACACCCATTTCTTTATTGATCCAAGGAGATCATTGTCTTTTCCTTATACTCTTCTATCCAGTCTCCTTCTTGAGAGATTATTCGTCCCTCCGTCACATCAGGGTAACATGACTTGATCACGGAGCAGATGCTCGCAATCTGCAGCGGTCCACCACCCCCAAACCGTTTACTTGTAAACCATCCACTTCCCGATATCGTCGTCGCGCCTTAAAATCCACAAGGAAGGAGTCGTTTCGAACAAACGTACAGAAAAAGAAAACAACAGTATCATACAACGATATCCCAGCACTCTGCCCGACATCCTCGAGAAGTAAACGAGACAGGGAGAAGCAGAGAAGGGAGAGAGAAAGAGACAGATGTCAGCCTCTCCCATGTCCGGGGCTAGCACCCCTGGGGCCACCACCTCCGGGGCCACTACCCCAGATCCCGAGATGCCTCCCTCTAAGGGTCGGAACCGTCTCATTCGCGGCCTACAGCGCATGTCCTCCTCCCCATCCATAACCAGCCTCCGCCGATCTAGGTCCCACAGTGCACCCTACCGGTCCAGCACGAGGGGAGCCCTGTCGTGCGTCAGCCTCGCCTCGGCCGCTCCGCCCCAGATAGCTGCTCTGCGAAGTGCTGGGCTCGCGACCCCTCAGCCTTCTCAGCTGGGTCCCAACGGGTCATCTACCTCCTCCAACCCATCCAGGCCCGTCACGCCCGCCGAGTTCGTCTTCCCCGAGACGGACGAGTCCGAACTCGCTGCCGTGCGCAGGGTGGAGAATGCTAGGCCGACCTCGTCCAATGCCGGCACCGCACCGCTCCCAGCCGGCTTGGCCAGGGTTGGCTCCTCCTCCTCCTGCCTTGGACAGAAGAAGACGCACCAGCAGAACCAGCACGAGCAGGACCAGAAGGACCAGCAGGACCAGCGGGACCAGCAGGACCAGCGGGACCAGCAGGACCAGCAGGAGCCTCCTCCGTTCCAACTCTGGGATAAGCTGCCGTACGAGCTCAAGATCTGGACATTGTCGTTCCTGCAGCCCAAGGAGCTGGTGCAGGCGTCGCGTGTGAGCCGCAGCTTCTACGGCGCCTGTCTGGATGGACAGCTGTGGATCTCCCTGGACGCATCGGAGTTCTACCAGGAGATCCCGGCCGAGTCGCTGTCCCGCATCATCGTGGCGGCGGGCCCCTTCATCAAGGATCTCAATCTCCGCGGGTGCGTGCAGATGGAGCATTACAAGCGGGCCGACGTCATCGTCAAGGCGTGCCGGAACCTGATCAACGCCACGCTCGAGGGCTGCCGCAACTTCCAGAAGAGCACGCTGCACAGCCTGCTCGAGAGCAACTCACGCCTTGTGCACCTCAACCTGACGGGCCTGGCGGCCGTGTCGAACCGGTCGTGCAGGATCGTGTCCGAGTCGTGTCCGCAGCTCAGGACGCTCAACATCTCGTGGTGCGGCAAGGTCGACTCTCGGGGGCTGGAGTCGGTCATCCGCGGCTGCGCCAACCTAGAGGACCTGCGGGCCGGCGAGGTCCGCGGCTTCGACAGCATCCCCCTCGCCGAAGCCATCTTCGAGACCAACAAGCTGCAGCGCCTCCTCGTCAGCGGCTGCGCGGAGCTCACGGACGAGTCCCTCCGGACCATGATGCATGGCGTCGACCCGCCCATCGACATCCTCACCGGCCGGCCCCTCGTTCCCCCTCGCAAGCTGCGCCACCTCGACCTGAGCCAGTGCACGCGCCTGTCGGACGCGGGTGTCCGCTCGATGGCCTACCTGACGCCGGAGCTGGAGGGCCTTCAGCTCTCACGCTGCCGCGACCTCAGCGACGCCGCCCTCGAGCCCATCCTCGCCTCGTGCCCGCGCCTCACCCACCTCGAGCTCGAGGACCTGCCCCTGCTGACGAACGCCGTGCTTTCCGAGCATCTCGTCAAGGCGCCCTGCGCCTCCAAGCTGGAGCACCTCTCCCTCAGCTACTGCGAGACCCTGGGTGACGTGGGTATCCTGCCCGTCATGCAGCGCTGCGTCGGCCTGCGAAGCGTGGAACTGGACAACACGCGCGCCAGCGACCTCGTCCTCGCCGAGGCCGCCACAATGGTATCCAAGCGATCCAAGCGCTCATCTTCCACCTCTTCCCCCTCCCCGCCCGAACCCACCCTCCGCATGGTGGTGTACGACTGCGCCAACATAACATGGACGGGCATCCGCGAGGTGCTGTACCGCAACTCGCACGCCTACCCGGCCGCAAACCAACCCGGGCTGGTAGCCTACCCCACCGAGGCCATCATGCTCAAGTGCTTCTACGGATTTCAGATGACGGTCGACGAGCACCAGAAGCGCGTCCTGAGCGGCAAGTTTGCCGCCGCATCGCGCCTCGAGAAGAAGTGGGCCGAATACATGCAGGCGAACGAGGAGGCCGGGACGGGTGGATCAGGCCATCGCCGGAGGAGGAGGAGGGCTAGGGAGGCCGAAGCTATGCATCTGGACGAGGAGCTTGGCGGGAGGCAGCGTTCCAGGACTGTGGGAGGCTGCTCCGTCATGTGAACTTTCTTCTTTTCTTCCTTTGGCCACTTTTCTTCTTTTTCTTCTTTCTTCTCCATCCCCTCGTGTCCTTTCTTATCCGGTTCTCAAAAATTGGCAGCTGGATCTGGCAACGGATGGACTCCCCCCCCCATTTCCCCCCCATTTTCCTCATCAGCAACTGGACGGCATTGCGGCGCAAGGTGTTTTTTTAATCTTCTTTGTGACACTTCCTTACGGAACTCCATGCTACAAGATTGCTGGGTTTCTGGATGTTCATTTAGTGCGTATAGAGAGAAATTGATTTTTATGTCTTGAACTGACAGAAAGTTGACACTGTGAAAAGAAAAAAAAATGCCACGAAGTTGACAATGGATATTAGGAGAAACAAACATTGCTACGTTGAGCGTTGAGACTCGGTAAAAAAAAAAAAGGACCTGGGATGCGGGGGCGGGGTATAATTGCAAGGATTGAATCCCCACCGTTTTTTTCTTTCGTCCCCTCCCCATCCACGTCAAGTCTCATTCACGACATCAGCATCATTCATATATCGTATACTGTATAAAGCTGATCTCATCCCCTACTCCTTACTCTCCACCAACTTTGAGATAGCAAGAAGGTCAGCACAGAGAGAGAAGAAGAAAAGGGGTAAAGGTGGGAGAACAGGATGCCTCTGGACACAATCTACGTCGTCCGTCACGGGGTAGGTTACCACCCATGCCTTCCCACTAACCCTCCAAGAACAAGATGAAGACTGACGGCGCCGCGGCAACCGGCAGTTCCGCTCCGCATGGTCTGTGGACCACACGACGGGAGCGTATACCTCGACGGTGCGGTCTCCGACGGGCATACCCGCCGACCCGCCTCTCACGTCGTACGGCAAGCGGCAGGCCACCGAGATGGCAGCCCACCTCGCCACGCTCGAGCCTGCCATAGACGCCGTCTACTCCAGTCCGTTCTACAGGTGTCTACAGACCATCGAACCTTTTGTCCATGCCCAAGCCTCTTCTTCTTCTTCTTCTTCTTCTGTCTCCGTCTCTGCTCCGACCTCTACCTCTACCTCTGCCGGAGTAGCCCCGGCCCCTTCATCCCACTCTGCTGTTCCGGCCTCGGCCGTCATCCGTCCGGAGCACGGCATATCAGAGTGGTTCGGGTCGGCACCGTTCGAGCACCCCCGTCCGGCGGAGGGTCAGGTCCTGAAAGGCATGTTCCCGGCCTACAGCCTCGAGTACGAGTCGGCCAGGAGGCCCTCGACCAAGGGGGAGACGGTGGCCGAGCTGTACGCCCGGGTCGGGGAGGTGGTGGAGGCGGTGGTGCGACGCAGCGAGGCCGAGGGACACAGATCCATCGTCCTGTGCACGCATGCCGCCGTCGTCATCGCGCTCGGGAGGGTGCTCACCGGCCGCGTGCCCGAGTCGCCCGACGTCCGTGACTTTCAGGCTTACACCTGTGGGCTGTCGACGTATACGAGGAAGAATCCTACTACCGGTGACAGCGGTGAGCTCTTCTTCCTGACCTCTCTCTTCTTCCCCTTCTTCTTCTTACTCCATTCTCCTGCTCCATTCTTCTCTCCCCCTCTCATCATCATCATCATCATCATCATCATCATCATCATTTTCTTCTTCTCTCTTCATTTCCCCAACCTTTTCCCCTTACATCTCTCCCCCCCCCCCTCTTTCTGTTGCCATGTCCAAGAGCAACCCGGATTTCAGGCACGGAAAAGAAGATGAGGACCAAAAGAAAAAGAAGAAGAAATGAAAACTGACAAACCCTTGCACAAAGTCCTCGGCGATTGGATATGCAAAGTCAACAGTGACTGTAGCTTCTTGACCGGTGGCGCCGAGAGAGGATGGTACGTCTTCGTCTCTTTCCTTTTCTTCTTTCCTTTTTCTCTTCTCTTCTTCTTTTTGCCCTTTTGCCACTTCATCTTCCTCCATGCATCATTTCTTTCTTCTTCTTCCTCTTTCTTTCTTTTCTTTTCTTGATGCCTGCCTCTCTTACACATCTTCCTTCCCATCATGGCAAGAGTACGTCCAGCCCAAAACTCGTGTCGTGTCACTATTCTCTACCTAAGACATGGGCTAGGAGAGAGACACATCGTTTTTATTCTTCCCCTTCTTGTCTTGCCATTTGCTTGCTTCTTTCTTCTTCTTGCTTAAATTTTTTTTTATACTCACCCTCCTCATTAATTCTCCACTTCCCAACTCGGCCCAATAATCATTCGTTGAGAAATATCACAAGAAGAGTGATATGAAAAAAAAAAGCAAGAGAGTCAACAAATGCTTACGAGCACCCTTCCCCCGCAGGACATTTTCCGGAGATGAGTCGTTTCCAGGTACAGGGTCCATGTCTCAGGAGACAGATCCGAAGTTGTGAAGTGTACACATAATAATAGCACTCATAGTAAACATGGCCTTTTCGGAAGTATACCAGTGGGCGGATTCTGCCGAAAAAAAACTTTGCCCATCATATTCGTTTCCTTACTCCCCCCCCCCCTCCCTTCGCGGCTTCTTGCCGAGACCTGGATTCACTTGACAGAGAGAGAGGAAACTATAGTCAGGAACATTGCACTTGTTCCAACTAAAGCTCACAAGATATATATACACATAGACGTACTAGGAAAGATGATTGAGAACCAAAAGAAAGGAGAAAGAATATATATCTTTTTCACTCATATCTAACTTGCCAACCAACGGTCAGAGACAACACGCCATGGATGACAGCTGGATCATGGACGCCAAAGATCCTTACTGCACTGGGTAGCAGTTCTCGACGGCACCAGCCGGAATCACGACGAGTGGAAGATGGAGCTCGTCGTCTGCTTCCCCTTTGGTGCCTCTTTTCTCTCCTGTTCTTGCTTTCCCTCCCCCCTCTGCCATTGAGGTTCCCGCTAAAAACACCCCGCTTGTCACTGCCAATGCGAGTTTGAAAGCGGCTTTGTTGGAAGGAGAAAGCAACCCGGATACTTCTGCGAGAGAAAATCTACTCACCTTGTTGCTAAGGGGTCATCAGGGTCCAAAGGGGTCTACAGCTACGCCTGTTCCTGATGGGAACAGGCGGGCTTCCTTTTCCCTTTCCGCGGTGCTTTTTGCCCTTGGAATAATTCCTTGGATTGCTTTAAACCAATTGGACCTTGTGTGTTACAAGATGTATCATACACTGTACGAGAGACAGGAGAAGACGCTACTGGTATCCTCTCTATATCTCCCTCATGGGCGAGTGAGGGACAGTTGGAATTGCCTGGCGGTCGGACGTGTGGGAGCCGAAGCCGACGCAAGCACAAGAAGCAGAATCGGACATCACACCACATCTGGAAAAGATCATGGTGGATCAGGGGTGGATGGGAGATACAGCGATGCCTTGCAGATGCTCCCTTGCGTCTCTTGTTGGGTGTCTGATATCTGGTGTCTGTGTGTATGTGCACGTGCGAGCGATACCCTCTCTATAGGTCTGTACGTGTGCCTGGTATAGCGGGTCATGCAACGTGGATCGGCGCGCCTGGCAGCCCTGCATTGCTATCGACAAGAGCAAGAGGCAGTGCAGCATGAATGGCCCGGAAGCCGAAGTGCGATGAAATGAAGCATGATGAATCAAGTCATGCATAAAATTGCACTCTCTGGACATCCTCAGTGCTATGTCGGTGTAGCGTTCGAGCGTATAAGGGAAGAGCGGGGTTGTACCGCTTGCCAACAGACTCAGCTATTGCCCGAGACTTCTGGTCACCGCCACCAGCTCGGCGATGTGAGAGCTGCGATGGTCATGGCCACCGTTATCCCGTAGAGGTAACGGGAACCCAAGTTGCCAGTGCCTGCCAGTGCCTTCTTCTTCTTCTTCGTCTTTGCTTCTTCTCAGTCCTCACGTTAGTGAAACAGCTGGCACAGACCCAACGAAAGCAGGAGGGAGAGAGCTAGGCTGGCGAGGCCGCAGAACCCTGTGCTGTGCTGTGCTGTGCTGTGCTGTACAGCTTGCGGGGCGCACAAGGCGATCAAGAAAAGCGACGGAAAGGAGAGAAAAGTAAAGAAAGGTCCGTGGGTGACGTTGCAAACTAGAGAGCCATTGTCTAATTAAAAAAATGAGTCCAAGACTCTGGGGACCGGGTGAGACCAGGGAAGCAGCACCTGCAGATCAACGAGGCCGCTAAGGCGGGGAGGTGAGACGAGAGACATATTACCTGGTATACACTTAGTCGAAGAAAGAAGGAACTAGAGGAGGTGGGGGCTGGGGCGAACGAAAAAAAAGGAAGGTCAAGTTGAGGAGCTGGACCAAGCCGAATCTGGCCTTTTTTGTTTTACCACAGGAGGTAGAGCGGCTCTGTATATACAACTTCAAGGTAGAGAAGATTGAAGGTCTGACACCTGTACGAGGCCGACGTAGATGTTGTCATCGTCGTGCGTGCAGGCCAGCGTGGTGGGAGCTGTAGGTCGGAGAGTTTCCCTTCTCAGGGCCGATGAAGAGATAGATGTAATCGTCAAGAGCCAAGGGGACCGTGCAGAGATGATGCAGAGGTGATGGGTCGTTCGTAATGGCAGCTGCGTGGATGCAGCAATAAGAGCCAAAAGCTTCCCAAAGGGTGGAGGACGGAAGGGAATCACTAACTACTATGGAAAGTGGAGGAGGAGGAGGAGTGTCTTTACACTCATAACAAAGGGGAATTATTCCTAAAAGGGAAAAGAGAGTAAAAAAGTAAAGAAGGAAGGAGCGAGCGGCCGCCCCAAGATCAGTCACAGAGGTGAAGCGGAGGCTGAGGCTTCCTGAAGACTGCCAGTAGACTGCCAGTAGACTGCCAGCAGCACATGTAGTGCTCATACATACCGAATGTACGAGTGTATGAATCTTGATAGCATGCAGCTGCTGTCACGGGCTATGGACAAGGTAAATCAAGTTTGGCCCAAGTAAATCGCCATGAATACGTACCGCCTCTGTAAATAGTAATAATACACAGTAATAGCAGCAGGCGGCGGTTTCTCGAAACACCCCGCCACTAGAAGCGTTATAGAAAGACTGCTGAGAGTGCTGTTAGCCGATAATACTGCTCTAATACTGCCTCTGTAGTCTTGTCCGGATCAGGACTAGGGCAGACATACGCAACGCACAACACACAACACAAACATTGACACGACGATACACGACGCGCTGGACAGACAGGCATTATGGAAAGCAGAAGCAACAGCCTTCACGTTTCACGTTGATGGCTGACAAACCGACAAAAAAAAAAAAAAACCTCTTCGTTTATTCGTACCTGTACTCGGGGACTCTCCTCAAACTCGTCGGATCAAAAGCTGCATGGTTGAGTCTTGTTAACCCTGGTCAAAGCACCCCCCACCCGCGCTCCGCCGCCAGCCAGTGTTCCATCCCTTGCCGTAATACGGCGCGATGATCGATGCTGGTAACCGTTATGGGTCCTCAGATCTGACGCTATTAGCATCCGTTTACGACGTAATACCAAGTACCCAGGCTGGCTGGCAGTCCTAGACTCTTAGCTACTAGTACGAGTACGGTTGTACGGATGATTGCTTGCTCCACTGAGCCAGGATGACAGTCGACCGTACCCGTTTTCCTGTCACATATCGTCGGCCGCCAGGGAGGGAACGAGGAACGAGAGAGAGAGAGAGAGAGTGTGTGTGTGTATGTGGAATAATGGTTATTCTACCCACTCTACAGATTATATACTCGTACGGGTACATCCAACGCGCACAAACATGGGGTTTGTCAAACAATCAGTCAATCACTCGAGAGCATCGACTATATATATCTACGAGGATTGAGAGCAGTACTAACAGATGCAACTAACCATTAGCAAGCAGATTTGGGGGGGGGTAAACGGATGAAACCGCGGGACGAAAATCAGAATATGCATGTACAATGACGATATGCATGGTGAACAAATCAATACATGACAAAAGCAGGTGGCCGACTACTCGTACTGCTCGCTCTTACGATCAGCGAGCATCGAGCACCGAGTACGAAGTGCGTATTCCCAGGCAATATTAATATTACATGTAGATACATTGTACATGCACGATGCGACGGCGCGCGCGCCACCCACCCTGCAAAGACAATCAACAACACTCCTCGCCATGACCTTGGCCGAGAAGGATATGCGAGGCGCGGCGGGGACCGGGAGGTCCTTGTCGTGCAGGACTGGCCGCCCTACAGATCACAGGTCACAGGCCAGATCTCGTGCTGGTGGTATTTCGGGATCCTTGCCTCTGGGTACTGCTCGTACGGATCTGTCCCACGGATATGTACATGGGTACCATCACTGACCGACCGATGCGTCGCAGACCAACAGCTGCTCTCGGCTCGACCAACCTCTCTCGACGGCCACCATCTTGTTCCCCCGCAGCAGGGCCACGGAAGGCCACCTGTCGAATCACGGTGACTGGGCGGTCGCGGATTAATCGGATTATTGCCCATATTATTACCGAGTACGGATACGGCGACGAGTACCGTAGTCCTACTCTGCAACATCATCTGAAAGGCAGCGCCGCCACTCGTCCCAAGAGACCCCAATCAGGACTGGGAGGTGTTTGGCGTGCTGCCGTGTGGAGAGATTGTGCTCAGGTCATTGCTTCTTCTTCTTGCTTCTTCTTCTTCTTCTTCTTCTTCGTCTTCTTCATCTCCTGCTTTTCACGCTCATCGGTTCGAGAGACCACAGGAGTCGGCCAGTCAGTCATTCAATCATCCAGAAGCTGGTGCGCCGCCACCGCCTGATGCTCGTACTACTGCGTGTTCTGCTCATGCGTGTTCTACTTGCTGCTAACACCGCATAGTACTCTAGGTTGCAGCATTCCAGCAGCAAAAAAGCAAACTGACTGATTAGAGAAGAACAGAAAAAGAGACGTATATACATACACACACACACACATATATATACATGTACATGTACCCGTACTTGTAGCGTATATACGTATGTGTCTAGCCAAGCTGGGCACAATGCTAACTCCGTACTCTGCAGCCGACACACGGACCGGCACCAGAACCCATTGTCCTTTGTTCCCTCGGATCAACCATTCGGGTTTCTCCACTGTCCAGCCAACAACAGACGAGCATCTCTCCCAATTGGCGTCGAAGCCATGTCGTGCATCATCCGCCACCAACGGTACGGATACGTGGGGCTCATTGCTAGTGATGCTGTAGTAGTCGAGATAGTCACTGTCGCCGTAGTGCTGCGAGTACGGAGTGGTACTACGGTACTCGCAGTATCAGAGTTGCGACGTATTGTCTATTACTCTATGGAATACTTACCCGGCGATAGACGAACCGACATTGGTCCTCGGTCCCGACAGCGTGGGACACGACAAGGTCATCTCGACGGGGGGGGAAGGAGGACGTGATTCTCTAATGGTGCCCGGTCTCTGCTGCTACTCCGTGTACAATATGCCAAGCACTAAGTCATGTGGCTATTACATGCATCAGACGTTCAAGGAGGGGAAAGGGGAGAGGATCTACCTACACCTGGTGGTGGTGGTGGTGGTGGTTCGTGTGTGCATCTCGCACAACTCTCTGTTCCTCATTCAGAAGCCTATTCATGGCTCACCGTCGACGGCATTCATCGTGGTCTACAATAGTCCAACGCGTTCCCGTGCGCCTCCGCCGACGCCGCTCCCTCCCCTCCCCTGCCGTCGACCCTTGACAGAGCCCGTGGAGGAGGTAACGAGATGGCCTGTGACGATGCAGGCAGGGCCAGCCACCAAGGGTTGATTGCAGAGAGGGGAAGGGGGGAGGGGACCGTGCGGGTGGACAGATATCCTGCAGCGCGCTCTGCAGAGTCTTCATCATATTACGGCCCCCCCCCCCTTCTCTCTCTCTCTCATCAGCCAATATACGTCTCAATCAGTGGTCAGGTCTTGGGCTTCTTTTTTTTCTTTCTCCTTCCAACTTAGCTAGGTCCCCCGGCCCCTCCCCGACCGGTTAACCCTTGTCGAGAGACAGGGAAAAGGAAAAAAAAAGAAAGCATACACACAAAACGGCGAACAGGGAAGAAGACATATTGCACCTCCTGTTCTCCACCAACGGAGGTGTACCTCGTCTCTCAGCCGGACCAGCCACGGGATTCTGTCTGCTGCTTCTGATACCTCTCTCATGATAATCCGTACTCGTGGCATGCCTCTCTGGTTGGTTAGTTGGTTTTGCTATCCGCACAGTTCATCTCTATCGCGTCCGTGCCGAGTACAGTACGTCGTCGTGGTATGATATCCGTATGCTACGCTCTGTCGCTCTGCCTGACCAGGGCTGCTCGGGCTTGGTCCTCCTCGCAGGATGGGACTTACAGTAGCGTGTGAGTACTTGGGGTACAAGTTTTTCTCTGCCGGCCGTGCGTCTGGCCCGTCGACTCCGTAGTAGTTAGTATCGATACTAGTATCAATACTAGTGTCAGTACCCTCCCGACGTCTCCGTAGAGTACATGTAGATTACAATGGGTACCCTCGAGCGCACTACTACGATGATGCGATGCCATACTCGTATTGAATGTCTTGGATGCACGACTTATTACCATGTCTATCGCGCAGGGCGCACCAAGATGAGCAAACTCCACCGACACACTAGAAAGAATAGAGTATATAGATATCATATATATTATCGAGAAAAAAAAAATCAAAAAGAAGAACATGCGTCGACAAGTTGCTTGAGCTAACCCATCCAGACAGATATACGCACTACGCACACACACACACACACACACACACACATACACGCCCTGCTTCAAGACGCCGCAGGTACGACTTTGCTTGTAGACACTTTTCTTTCTTTTTTCGACTGCAGTAATGTACTTGATCCTCTCTAGGATGGAGGGCAACGGACCAGCTCAAGAATCCCAACCTTGGTACGCTGTTGTCATCTGGGATCGGGAGAGCGGGGGGAAGGGGAAGGGGGGGGGGGGGGGGGGGGGGGGGGGGGGGGGGGGGGGGGGGGGGGGGTTTTTTTTTTTTTGTTTTTTTTTTTTCCCCCCCCCCCCCCCCCCCCCTTTCAAGGTAAGTGCTGTGGCACTCTCTCTTTCTCTCCCTCTCAGACCCTCCCCCCCCCCCCGGGTGAATCAAAGACACAATCATCATGTCTGTGTATGTGCGTGTATGAACTGTGGTTAGGGGCCCTCCTTCCTTTTCTTTTTTGGCCTCTACTACTCGCCACTCTACCTTGATCCGGCAGTCCTCGGCAGTACAAGTTGATTCAGTTATATACTCGTTTTTTTTTCTTGCGGATCAACGAAAGAAGAAACGACCACGCTTTTACTACTATCGAGTACTCATCTTACAACTACTACTGATATGTAGAGCACAATAGCGGTACTATAATATCCTCTCCATCTTGCCCCTTCTCTCTATCTCTCTCTCTCTCTCCATCTTCCTCTCATTATCCCTCGGCGGTCAGACAGACATTCATCCACACACACACACACACACACACACACACACACGCAGAGTACAAGAAGAAAGGGTCTTGGCTTCGCTGGTCCCCCCCGCCCCCTCCTTCATCCTTGCGTGTGCTGTTGTTGATTCAGTCCTTCTTCGTCAATAGATCGCCTTCTTATTTATTGTCCCTCCCTCCCCCCTCCGACCATTCGTTCTTGTTTTTCCTTACTACTTTTCCCCCGCCCCTCCTCCTTCCCTTCCCACAGTCTTAGACCTCTTGTGTCTTATCATATCAACCGTCGGGAACCATCCGCTCGCTACCTTTCATCTGCTTTCGGAGAGATAATAAACAAACATCTACTACCTTGTTGATACCCTCCCCCCCCTCCCCTCTCTGGATATATAACGGAGCAGAAGAAGGAGCGGGAAGAGAGACAAGAACCAGAAAGCCCATATCCTGGGCCTCTAGAAAAACCATGGTGATAGTCCTGGAGCAGCAACAACAACAACGACAGCAACAACGACAACGGCGACAGCAACGACCAGAGTACTACGCTTCACCGACGAGGGACATGACCAAGATGAATATCCACACCATCACCGATCTCAAGACGCCGCCGCCCTCGAGGCGAAGCTCCTACGAGTGGGAGACGGAGTCCCGCCGCTCGTCTCTGCACGACCTGCTCCCTCACACGCCGCCACAGTCAACTTCTGGAAGTCCTCATGTCAAGTCTGAATGTGAGTGGTGTGCTCCGAGATGTGCTGATATAATCAACAGCTATTCAGGAGGCCGTCGTCTCATGTGCATGTATCTGCGTGTGTATGCTGACCATCCATGTCCTCCCAGTCTCACTCCCCAAGGCCCAAATCTCGGAGCACTTCCCTGTACGCCTTCACTACCCCAACACGCCCATCACCTCGCCCATCCGACTCCCCAGCCTCGAGGAGTTTGACCAGGGAGTCGAGGCCCTGGCCAGGTCATACAGCCCTCCACCTTCATGGACAGCACCTTCGCAGTCGACGGCGACACTGCCCAGCATCAGCCAGGCCGTCTACGACCAGAAGCCTCTCCCTACTCTGCTTCAGCACCACCACCACCACCACCAAAACCACCATCATGCCTACTCTCGGCAGCAGCAGCAGCAGCAGCAGCAGCAGCAGCATCCTCTGGCCGGATCGCCCCAGAACCACCACGGCTATCACTCCGGCTACTCCCCCATGGGAGACGGATACCCCTCCCCCCCGCCCGACCTGGAGAACCGCCACTGCAACAAGAAGTACACGACCGAGGAGGGCGACTTCATCATCTACGCCTGGCACGACAAGAAGCAGAAGTGGCAGAGCATCCAGAAAGACTTTGCCCGCCTGTTCGGCACCACGCCCGAGCGCACCATCCAGGGTCTCCAGGCCTGGTACTACCGCATGAACCAGCGCATTCCCGTCTGGGACCGCGACGGCCACCTCATCTTTGACGACGAGGACGACATCGAGCCCCGCTACATCAGCATCAAGTGCCGCGAGCGCGACGCCGTTCACAAGTCCGAGCCCCTGGGCCTTGCCCAGCGGTACCCCGAGAGGGCCATCCACTATCACTGGGTTGATCCTGAAATCAAGCGTCAGTCGCGCGACTGGGGTACGTTGCCTCATATACATTACTACTCGCTTCCCATCTTTCATACTGACTTGTTTCCCCCTCCCCCCCAAACAGCCGCCAAGAGGACTCAGCAGTACCAGGATCGCAAGGAGAGGAGGAAGCGCAAGGAGCAGAGGAGGTCTCGTCTTTGACGGCCCTCCCCCTCTCCTCTATCTCTCCCGCTTTCTTGTCAGTCATCAACACGACTCTTGACCTTTGATCACCGCCATGCTCAAACTCTCACATTTGACGACCAAAATCTGCCTTAATGCGCTCACGACATGGCCATCTTGTACAATCACTTTTCTTTTTCTGTTCTTCTTGTCCCCTCACTCATACACTCATTTGGATTATTCTTCCTTGCAGTCACAATCACAAAAGGTGGGCTGGTAATGGGAAACCCTAGGCCTTCCTTTTTTTTTTCACATTGTATTTTGCGCAATCATTGTACTATTAGAGTCCTTGAATAGGACTCAGATTTCGGGTTTTTTCTTTTTCTCCTTTCTTCTTTTTCTCTGGATATTTCTTGTTTCCACAACACTGACATACACAAATACTACCCCTGAAAATGGGGGGGGGGGGCGGCGGAGAGAGAAAACGGGACGATGAGAATGATTTTTTCTTCTTTACTTTTCTAGGAAGTCTAATGAGGAGGATGGCACCTTTCTTTTTTTTTTCTCTTGCTGAAGACGACTTATGGATGGAAATGATGGGATGGGAATGGAAATGCGGTGTACAATGTTTCTGGGGAGAGGGGCAAGGGATGGGAGGGAGGAGGAGGTCGGACAGAACGGACAGTGTGGGCGGATGCAAGGGGGAATTCGTCAACAAAAAGGACAGACGTCTTCTTCCGTCCAACGTCATTTTCCTTTACTCTTATCTTCCATTCCCCTTTTTTTCTTGTCTATTAATCTTGTTCTCTTTTTCTTGTTTGGTTCATAAACAAAACAAAACAAAAAACCCCAAAAAAAAGCTAGCGGGAAATCTTTTAGCATCGATACCCTTTCCCGACAATCTGACTCGAATATATAATTTTATATCAAGTCTATCTGGATTGATGCGTGTGAACACTTCTTCGCCAACATGTGCCTGGCCCGGACCAGGATTACATGATTGATAGTCGTTGGAATCATCTATGGTGTACTGATATTACCGATTGGCTCGCGGGATATCAATAAATGCTCGAGAATGGAAATGCATGTTTGACAAGATGGCATCGGCAAAGACAGAGGAGGCGGGGAAGAAATAGAGAGAGTGTGAGCATAAGAGTGTGATGAGAGACAGACAAAGGGAGAGGACGGATCAGCGCATCCGAGTCTTGGCCCGCTGCATATAAGCCTTTATACGAGCCATGGCCAGATCATCGTCCTCGCGATCCTCATCGCCCTCAAAGGCCATGTCATCGTCGTCCTGACCCTCCGCGTCAAACTCGTTATTATCGAATTCCTCGTCGTCGGAGGCGTTTCCCGTACGGTAGTAGTATGCGTGACGGTTGAATTCGTCGTCCGAGTCTACCTCGTCTTCTGGGTAATCTGCCGTATAATGATTTTCGGCTTTATTTTGTTCTCTTGATTAGTTTTCTTTTCCCATCTTTTCGTATGTGCGCGCGTGTGTGTTGTGTATGTGTATGTGTGTGAGTTTAAAGGAGGGCCGGGGGAGATGGAAAAAAAAAAAAAAAGAAAGAGGGGGAAAAAAAGAGGGAAGGATAACCCTACCATTTTCATCTTCATCGTCCTCAAGAAAATCATCATCCTCATCAAACTCTGGACCGAAAAACAGTACATCGTCCTCCTCACCCTCCAGGATCAACAGACCTACGTCTCCGGGAAGGATGTCTACGGTCATGGAAGCCGCCGGGACGCGAACGTACTCCTCAATGACCCAGTCACTATCATCTCCCTCATCGTCCACCTCCTCCCCATCGTCCTGAACCTGGACCATCTCCACGTCTCCTTCTTCTTTTTCTGCATCCTCGACCTGGCCTGGGTGTCTCTCCCTGAACCTCTGAGAGGGAGCTTTGGGGCGCAGCTTGCTGCTGCTGCTGCTGCTGCTGCTGCTCTGCTGTCGCTGCTGGCGTTGGCGCTGATGTTCCTCCTCGCGAGCCTTGTCGTCATCCATGGCCTGCAGGTTGGCCCCTATAGTTGACAGGACCCACTGGTTCATATCCGCGGCGATCTTATCCATGTCCTCCGCGTGGGGGGCCGCCGAGGACGCAGGTAGTGAGGGCGTAGGTGTGGCTGCCCCGCTGACGCTGGCAGTCTCCCCCCCCTGGTCCTCTTGCGTCTTCTTGACTCGCGACGTGCGCGGCTTCTTGAGCTTGGGTTCGGGCTGCGGCTGCGGCTGTGGCTGCGGCTGCGGCTGCCCCTGATCCGATCTAATGGCTTGGTCATCCCGAGATTTGGGTTTGCGGCTGCTGTTGCGCTCTACAAAAACGGCTGCTGCCCTCTTCTTGGATATGCCACCGCTCCCCCCCCACGTTGCCGACGCTGCATTCAGCATGGCGGCACGTGAGAGGTGGAATCTTCGAGGTTGCTGCTGCTGCTGCTGCTGCTGCTGCTGCTGCTGCTGATCATGGAGACCGGTTAGCTTTCGCAGACTATGGCGCGGAGTGAGCGTCTTTCGCAGGGTAGGCTGCTGCTGCGCATCGTTGTTGTCAGTCGGTTTATATACGTGTATCACCGGTTGTTGGGCGTCGTCTCGCGGCACGGCCGGTGGTGCATCCGGCCCCGTTGACGTGACTGGTCTCTTGGTTCCATCACGTCGCTGGTAGACCACGTTGTTTCCCGTGCGGTGTCGCTTCGTCCCCTCGGAATCCAGCTCTGTGTTTCATATATGGCGATTAGCAAACGAACAGATCAGGGAGGAGAAGAAGAAGAAGGGGTGGGGATGGGTAGACGAGGTACGCACGGAGAAAGGTGACAGGCGTCTCATCCATGCGTTTCCGCTTGACGCGGATCGTCTGCGGGGGAACGAACGACATCTCTATGTGCGACAGTCAGGGGAGCTACTTTGTAGATGTTGGTGGGTAAGATGTGGATTAAAGATTGATGGTCTGCGGTTTGTCTCGGGGAGTCAGTGACTTGGGTTGATGGTGGGGTAACGTCAAAAGAAGTTTTGTGGTGCCGTTTTGTTTTAGTTCTTTTTTCTTTTCTTTTTCTTTTCGGTACACGCTTCCAGAGACATCAGACAACAAACGTCATCTCCTACACAACGTTTCTCATAATGATAACAACAACAACAATAATAATAATATGAAGAAGAAGAAGAAGAAGAATAAGAAGAAAAAATAATAATAACAAGGCGACTCTATTCATGGAAACAAAGGATCTATTCTAATTCCTCGTTCGCTGCAACGACCCCATTGATCTGGTATCTGGAAAACATGCGACTAGATATCTTCTTCTCAAACATGATATCTAGCTCCTCAAATGTCCGACCCTTGGTTTCTGGCAGGAAGAAGTAGCAGTAGGCCACGCAGAACACCGAGAGTCCGGCGAAGAGGAAGCCGATCTTTCCTCTCCAGTTCCCTCGATCCTCATTCATGGCATAGGGGATGACGGCGGCGAAAAGGATGGATATGACTTGGACGGCCACGGTGGACAGCCCGACCGTGATGCCGCGCAGCCTCACGGACGACACCTCGGATAGCAAGACGTAGCAGTAGGGCCCCAGCGTGATGTCGTACACAAAGTTGCACACGACGATGAGGGCGCACTGGGCCCACGCGAAGGCACCCGCGCCAGCGCCAGCAGCATCCTCCTCCCTGGGTGCCAGGTCCAGCGTCGCGATGACGAAGCACAGCGTCATGAGCGCCGAGGTGCCCCAGAGATAGGCTGTGCGGCGTCCGACGTAGGGCATCATCAGCCAGGACAGCAGATTGCCGACGAAGCCTATAGACGTGAGGCCGAGGTTCATGCTGAACGCGTCCGAGGCGCTCAGCCCGGCCAGCCGGAAGAAGTACACGGCATAGCTGATGAAGAGCACGTTCCCCGTGAGGCCCTGCATGATGTACGCCATGACGCAAATCGTCAGCCGACGCAGGTCGGCTCCCCTGAAGACGTCGAGGGACAGGGCCGACAGACTAGGCGCCGACGACCCATCTTCACCGCCACCATCATCCCCCGCCACGGACTTGAGCGCCTGCTCCAGACGCACCGTCTCGCGTACATGCGCCAGCTTGAGACCCGGGTCGACGGCCGACGACGCCAACCGGCGTATAGACCTGGCGGCCTCGTCGACGTGTCCTCTCCTAGCCAGCCAGAAGGGCGGGTCCGGGCAGAAGTACACCGACAGGAGGATGACACCCGGCAGCGCCCACTGCGCCGCGATGGGCCCCAGGTACGCCGCCCTGCCGTCGATCGTCTCCGTACCCTTGAGGATGCCCGACGCGGTGAACTGCCCCACCACGAACGCCAGGTTGGTCATGGACGCCGCGAACCCCCGCAGCGCCATCGGGCATATCTCCCCGATGTACGCGCTCGCACAGATGGGGAAGAAGCTCACCGCGAAGCCGTTGAGCAGGTCCCCGGCGAACAGCTGCGCCGGCGTCTGGCTGTAGAACTGCACCAAGGTGAAGGCCACCGACAGGCAGCAGCACGCCGACATCATGACCCGCGGACCGAGCCCATCGTATGCCGGACCCGAGAGCACCGCGCCCGCTAGACAGCCCAGGTTGTTGGCATAGTTGAACGCTCCCAACCAGTGCGCCTCGATGACCCATTCCCCCGGTCGGAACTCGTACCCGTACTGCCGCCGAAACGGCTCCAGACCCACCAGGGAACCAACTATTGACCCGTCCACGCCCTTGAGAACCGTGGCCAGGTTCACGTACAGCGCCCACAGGACCGCTGGGTAGTGCTCCTGGAAGGCTTGCCAGAACGTCGACGAGTGTTCCATGTCGGTGTACCGGAGGGACTTTTCGGCCTCGGAGAGCTCCCACGCATGCGACTGCGACTGCTCCTTCTCACGAGTGTCCTCGGGGGTGTTTTCGGGCGCTCCCGCCGAGGGTCGCGGGGACGATATCTCCTCCATTGGCGTGGGACAGTGCTTTAGGTTGGACAAGGTGGAATCGTTGATCCTTACCTGCTGGCCAGCAGACGCACCTCGTCTTGTGCAGCTCGTCGTGTGCAACTCAATTGACACAACCTACTCCATGAGTAGTAGCTTCGCTGTCAGAAATTTCCAAGTGGTGTGGGAGAAGATGCATAGTGGGGGGGGGGGGGGGGGGGGGGGGGGGGGGGGGGGGGGCCGGGGGGGGGGTTGTTATGGTTTTTAATATGGTTAATGTGAGTGTGGGGGGAGGAGGGGGGCTCTTGCAAGTTTTTTTCCTCTTCTTGTTCCTTTGCTTTGTCGCCAATCTTCTTCGGCTGCCGCTGGTGTTGATATGCATACATTCTATATAATACTACAACATCGTATCGTGGTAAATTTTGTATATACGAGCGAATTTGGTATTACCTTTTTCGAACATTGTCCCACTGTTGACCTCGCGGTGTACTGTACTACTAGAACAGATCAGCCGTCCGTTGGCGATGCTTCCATATGGCCTCTATGCAATCGATACCGCCCTTCACCGTAGATGCCCTCTGGGCATCCTTGGCGCTCCGTATGTCCTCAATATCAGAGCGCACCCTCCGGAGGGAGGGCAGCATGCGCAGATGGTGCATCTCGTCGAACCTGGAGCGCACGAGGTGGCGGTGATGTTCGTCGACAGCCTCACAACCGGCAGTCCAGATGGGCCATACAGTCCAGATGGACCACACGTGGGCCGAAGCCATGCTGGAGGTCGCCGGTATGCTGGCCAGAAGTCGCAGACAGGCGTCGACGTGTTCGGGCGATGCTCCGGTGCGGTAGGCCACGCGGGTAAGATAGATGGAGGCGGCCTGGCGGTATGCCTCGGCGGTGTTTTCGATGACGTCGTCGTCCTCACAGTTGCCTGTAGAGCATCACTGAAGCGCTGTGAGCACGCTGCGCAAATGGCTGCTGTAGGCCAGCATGGTGGGCTCGTCCACGCAGTGCATGTGACTGATGTGCCCGACCACACGGACCACGGCTGTCCGCCGACGCAGATTCCCTAGCCCTTCGACCACGATGCCGTCCTGACCCACGTTCGAGAGTTGACTGGACCCCCTGGTCACAGATGCCAGCACATCTTGATACAGGTACCTCCCCAGGAGGAAGCTGCCTGTGGAGGACGACGCCCACCGGTCTGGCGGGCGGCTCTGCATCGCGACGTCAGCTCCGACGAGGTGGTTGGCCGGGCTGTCGTCGGCCGTTGCGAAGAGCCGATCGGCCAGCTAGAGCATCAGGATCGTGGAGAGCGACACCTCTGCCTCGGCCGAAGTTGACGGTCCACCGGAGACTGGAAAATGGCTTTCAGCCGGTGTCTCCGCCCAGCCATTTCCATCGAGATGCACTCGCTGCCTTGCTGCATGAGTGACAGGTGCCACGCCGACATGGACAGGCGTGGCGGCTCTCAAGATGGGCGAGGCGATGATCAGGGACGTCAGATGTGTCAAGTAGGGAGGGTTTTATTGGCGGGCCCGTCCGCCATGGACGTGACGGTGGCGAGGACCGTCATCCAGTGGTGGAAGAGCCGCCTGGTCCAGGACGGAGATACCTCCGGGGGCTAAGTGTTGATCCAGGCCGTTCTTTGCGGGCGCTGTATACGGCCATCCGGACAGTGTGGACGCCGTCCTCTTCCTGTCCGTCTCGACTCGACGCGCAGTTGCAGACCGTTGCCCGAGCACTCCCTTCCTAAACGGACGCATCGGCGGCACGGAAGCCGCTCCTCATCACACTTGTGACCGTCACGACAGCGTGTGAGACACTCCGTTCGTGTCCGTTGACGAGGTATTATGCCTGCATCTGTGCGTGTCCCTGAGCACCTCCCGAGAGAGCCTCCTAGCTTGACTCACTCTGTTTCTACGTCTCTGCTGCACTCGCTTTTTGATTGGCGTGTGGCAACAGCCGTCAAGCCCAAAGGATGTGCGTCCCACACCCTCTTCGCTCGACTGCCTTTTAGCTATGGGATAGCGCTGCGCTCGTGGTGTGCGTGAGTATGCGGAAAGGGAAAAAGGATATGGCATGACACTGGAACGAACGATTTTTTTTTCTGCTCTGCCTAATAATGCATGAATGAGCGCAGACAGGTGGGGAAGCCCATGAATCGGGTTGGGTTTACGTACAGATTACATAGAAACTCATCTCGTGACTTCAAAGCAATTCTTTTTCAACGCACCCAACGAACCACCAACGCTGAGGATTCATACAAGGATCCATATCCTGGCAAGTGACTTGGTGGTTCATCATTCAAAAGTCTATATTGATGTCTACGGGTGCGGCAGACACGTTTTCTGGCGGTCGAATGTCGCCCCCCCTTCCCCCTCCCCCGCACTACGCATTGCCCCGGGGAGAAACCCAGATTGTTACTGCCAATGCGAGATCTCCAACGAGCTGGACTGAGCAGGAGGCTTTTGGACGATGCTGAATCTTGCTGTCATAGACGGAACAGGTTTTCAGAAATGCTACCATTACAAGTGCATGGAGTTGATGGCAGGGAAGTCACTCATTCTCAATTGTTAAACTCGGCGAGTGCATTCTAATTTCTAGGTATCATCAATAACACCGGGGGGTGGGGGGGGGGTACCCGGCCAGTGGTGTTGATACTAGTCCAGAGGTAATAATATGCGCTGTAGGACAGGTACAGATTAGAGGTTCCAGGTACTCTTAGCACTGTACAGATTACAGATTACAGGTAATACACAGATTGAAGAGGTAGTAATGATACAGTGGTCATAGCACCAGCGGCCCGTCGGCAAGAACTGTACGGGTACGAAGAGGTGCCCGGGCCTTCCGCCCCCCAGTCAAATCTGTAATACTTGTAATAATAGTACTGCTTCCGTCGCCCCAACCTTGCGCCTTTTTTTTTGTCGTCATCGACGATGGATGAAAGCAATTCACTATAATAATGGTGTTTCTATAACATCCCGACTTTCTCATCATCGTACCACTTTTCCCGGTTCTTCTCTATCCGGACACAATTCTCCGTCCTTGACGTAAAAAACTGCACAAAGCTAAATCGACACCAACATCGATTTATCTCACCATCCACCAACCATAACCTCGTCATCTCCAAATCCCATCATCTGCCGCCACCCAATATTTGGGCAGTACACCACCATATCTACAGCCTACAAGTACCCCCTCCCCCAGACCTTCCTTCCGGGGTCGGCGACATTTCCCCAGGTCACGGACCACACTATTCTCACCCAATATCCCCATACTCGTACATTCCGCACAATCAGTTAACCTCCCACCTCTGTTTTTTTCTTTCTTTTTCTTTCCTTCCTCTCTTCAAATTCCGTCTTGTCGCCATCATCATCCAGTCTTTCTCGACTCCTGTGTCTCTTCTACTCCAGTCTCCAGTCTCCAGTCCCTGGTCGTATTGCTCGTACTCGTATCACCATGTCGGCCCAACTCGGCACCACGACTACAGTCACGTTCCATAAGCCCGGCACGACCCCGCCGGTCTTTCTCGCAGGCTCGTTTGTCTCTCCATCGTGGAAACAGCCGCAGGAGATGTCATACGTCCATGAGAGAGACTCGGATGGAGAAAATGTCTACATCTTTTCCAGCACCGTCCATGTCGCTCACGGCCACGATTACCAGTACAAATTCCGGATCGGGCAAGGACCCTGGGTTCTCGATGAGACTAACCACGTAGGTGAGTCGCTATTAAATTCCAGCCTAGACAGTAGACATAGGACATAGGGCCAACAAGCTACGGCGACGCACTGATACCTGTACTACTATGGGGCACTCCTCCACGTATTACTCGTGCCTACCAACCCTGGTTATTGACATGCTGCCGATCGAACGAATCCCCACTGACATACGTCACTATATTCCTACTGTTACTTTACTGCATAGCCACGGATGACCAAGGCAATAAGAATAACTTTGTCACGATCCCCCCGATTCTCCGTCCCGCTGCTCATCCAGTTTCCACCCAGATTCTGAGCCACCACACTCATAGTCCCGTCACAGACATGTCCACCGACAGATCTTCTACTCCAGCAGACAAGGTCGCCGACACGGCTGCCGACGTCGCTGACACGGCTCAGGAACTTGATGGTGTAAGTGCTCGCTGATCATCACCCCTTATTGCCCCTCTCTGCCCTCGTCTCTCCACCGAGACCCGATATCTGCATACATGCATAACGGGAATCGTCAGACTGACAATTCCCACCAGCCTGGCCTCGAACCTACAGATGCCGCTGGCTCACCAGAGCATCATGAGCCAAAAACACCCCTATTCTCCCACGAGAATCTGAGCTCCTACGAATCCATGCTGGACGGCAGCAGGCAGGATACTAGAAGCCGCCTGTTCTCCCACGAGGATCTAAGCCCGTACGATGCCACAGTAGACGACAGCAGACAGGATCCCAGGTGTCGTCTCTTCTCCCACGAGAGCCTGGGTGCGTACGAGCCTCTGGACGACGACATCTACAACGAGTGCCCCGACATGGCACCGGCGACACCCGAGCCCCTGCAGCGGACAAAGTCATCCGCCTCCAGCTTCGCGGTCGACGATGCAACGGACATGAACGATCCCACCATCGAGACATTCCCCAGCGACCGTCTCTCCGTCATGAGCACACTACGCAAGATCCAGTCCAGCTCGAGCCAAGATCACGCCGTCGATGTGCAGGAACCGTATTCACCCCGCTTTGGTAGCGGCACCTGCAACAGCGGTGACCCGAGAATCAGGAGACTCAGCGGTGATTCCGCAGATGACGGCAGCAACTACCTGGCCGAACCACCAATCAACCACAAGATGGTTCCTTTTCCCCGCAGACGTGATAGCCGCGCATCGCACGGCAGCTTGGACAGGGGTGCTACATCGTTGGGTGCCATAGCCGAGGAGCCAAAGAAGGTAGCTGGCAACCCTTCGACTACGCAGTATTAGTCCATCAAGGCCCTGCCATGACATATCACATGGTGTGCAAAAAAAAAAGAAACAGCTTTTTGGTTGGCTGGCCTGCCTTGGCGAGGGGGGCGACGATGGAGGGAAGTGGGAATGATTTGACTTTTTTCAGGTGGCGAGCATTTCAAGGAAACATAACATAGGCTTGTCCATGGTGATCATATGGTCCCATGATGGTTTCCTCCTCTCGAACAAGGGCGGGCATACTATCCTACCAGTAGTACTATTACGACTTACACCTATGCATCGTCGTATCACACTGGGCTTGCGCCAGCATGTCCAGATGCGAGGCACTCTCTTTCATCTGTACCAATACTTTAATCGGTCAGCCTTCTGAAAATTCACTATTATTGTACATTCTACGACTTCGTTCGAGAAACATCATTTTGCATAGATAAAGAGTTGAGGACCATGTCTGTTTATGGCTACCAATGCTCACGCGGGGCACACGTGACCGCGATGAAACCGTACGCAGTTATACAGACCCCATAATAGAACATTAGATCGTGCAGGGGCGAAAAAAAAAAGATACAGTATCTAACACGACAACGCAACATCCGCAGCCCAAGATGATGCGACTGTTGTTATCCCCCAAGGGCCCGGTATGCTCTGCTTGTCTGACGGACACACTCGGAAGACGACCTGTCCTCCCGCAGCAGCCATGGGTCGGACATCGATTCGTTTCTCTCCGCCGAGGACCCAAACAACACCAGGAACGACCCTCGCGCATGGTCCTTGCCGACGACGTGGGTCGGTCACCTACCAACCGACCGCGAGTACGACGCGAAGGTCCCTTTGGTGGGCTGAACCGGAGAGTGGCCAACGTGGACGCTCCATTGCCTCGACGTGGCGGCGGCAGCGCTGGCAGTGATGCAGCAAAGGGCAAGAAGGGCAACTCGGGGGGCAAGGATGAGCGGAAGGCTCTCAAGATGCAGAGGGCCCTAGCTCCCGTGTCATATGGAAGGCGCAACATGACGAAGGAGCGCATGGCGCAATACGAGTCTTTCGATCAGTTTGATCTGCTGCCCAGCGTCAAGGAGGCGCTCATAGGGGAGCTGTTCAAACGGCTCGTCGACGTCAAGCCCACGCCGGTGCAGAGGCTGGCGCTACCCGCGCTGCTGAGCCCGCCACAGCCAGAGCCCGGAGCGGAAGGGTCGATGAAGTCGTTCCTCCTGGCGGCAGAGACGGGATCGGGAAAGACGCTGGCGTACCTCCTGCCTGCCATCAACGCCATCAAGAAGGCCGAAGCGCAGGATGAGATGATCCGCGCATGGAATGAGCGTCGTGACGTCGAGAGGCAACTCCAGGCGTCGGGCAAGGTGAAGAGGGCCCGCCCCTTTGACGAGCCCCACCCGACCATGGCGCGGCCCAAGGCTGTGGTGCTCGTACCTACGACAGAGCTGGCCTCGCAGGTGACGCGGGTGGCCAAGACGCTGTCGCACGTCGTCAAGTTCAAAGCTTGCATGCTCCAGTCGACCATGAAGGCGCAGCAGATCCAGCGGGAGCTGTACGCCCCCGGAGGAGTCGACCTGGTCGTTGCGACCCCCCACCTTCTTTCCTCGATTGCCGAGTCGGACCCCAACGTGCTGTCGCGCGTGACACACCTGGTCGTCGACGAGGCCGACTCTCTGCTGGATCGAAGCTTCTCCCCCCAGACAACGGCCATCATTGAGCGGTCCACGCCTTCGCTGACCCACCTCATCTGCTGTTCGGCCACGATCCCCCGCAAGATGAACAACTACCTGGCCACGACGTACCCGCGCATGCACCGCATAACCACACCCAACCTGCACGCCATCCCGCGCCGCGTCCAGCTCGGTGTGGTGGACGTGTCGCGCGATCCCTACCGCAACAACAAGGACCTCGCCTGTGCCGACGCCCTATACACCATCGGTCGCGAGGCGGCCGCCCACGAAGGCCCCCAGAAGGACGTCATTGACGTCCGTCGTGTTATCGTCTTTGTCAATGAGCGTGAGAAGACGGAGGAGGTTGCCGCTTACCTCCGTACAAAGGGCATCCACGCCGACGCCCTGCATCGCGACACCCCCGAGACGCGCCATGGCGAGATCCTCGACACGTTTACGACCAACGAGACGCTCACCATCCCCGCCCCGAACTCTTCCTCTTCGGGCCCCGGAACTAGGCAGCAGGGTCGTCGCCTGCATAATGTACGCGCCTTGGTCGTCACTGACCTCGCCTCCAGGGGTATCGATACTCTCGCTGTCCGGCATGTCATCCTGTACGACGTGCCGCATACTACGATTGACTTTATTCATCGTCTGGGTCGTGCAGGCCGCATGGGACGTCGCGGCCGCGGTATCGTCTTGTCCGGCAATGATGATAGGAAGGATATCATTGCTGAGGTCAAGAGGAGTATGTTTATGGGCCAGGCGCTCCTCTGACGTGAATCTTGATTTGTCGTATTTGTACTATATTACTATGTATCATCATCACCCCTCGATCATTATAAGAGAGAGAAAAAACCAGGGGGACAGACGAATGTAAAAGCATGGGTTAGAGCATAGACTTGGATTTTCAGTAATATTACTTTGTATAACACAATACATTTTTTTTTTAAAAAAAAAAAAAGAATTGTGATTAACAAGGAGAAGAAGAAGAAGGCAAGCAAGATGAAAACTACCCGTCTTGGTGCTTTTGAAAGGTGTTCATGCTACAGTTTTTGTGGTGTGGATATTTTTTCCCTTGGTTGGGCTGCCTTGGGTGAGTTGTCGCGTTAAACGCGAACGATTGAAGACGCGTCTTGCCATCTTCAACAACACAACAGCGCCGCCAAACGTTAACCTCGAACCCCGCCACAAAAACAGAAACCAGCTCGGCCCTCCCCCACTCTAGCAAGATTGAGAGGGTTGGAATAAAGGAAGAAGGGGAGAAATCATTTACTGAATATTCACATTGTTCTTTGCACACACTCGGAGACGCACATCTACACCATGCCACGTCCCAAACGCACACGTCAGGCCGCCGCGAAGTCTGCTGCTGCTGCTGCTGCTGCACCGGCAGCCAACAACGTTGAGGAACCCGAGACTTCTCGAGGACGGACACGCACATCGACTCGATCCATGAGGACACGCAGGAGCAGTGGCGCCGCAGAGGGGCAGGCCGACAACAACATTGAGAACGATGCATCCGAAGCCGCACCTACTCCCGCAGTCGCACCCGACAACATCAACAACAACAACAGCAGCAGCAGCAGCAGCAGCAGCGATGCCGTCGAGACAGGCCGTCGGGTCACTACCCCACAGCGGCGCGACACTTCAGGCCTCGACCTAGGCGACGACGACATGTTTGGTGACCTAGACGAGAGCTTCGACAAGGAGGCGGGCGGTATCGGCAACCTGATCCCCTCCTCGGGGGGCAGCAGGCGGTTCGGCGACAACTCGTCCGTGTTCGGGGGCGGCAGCAGCCACACAAAGCCGCGCTCGCGGTCCCGCCAATCGAGCATTATCCGCCCCACGAGCAGGGGGGGCAACACGCCCCTCATGAGCTCGTCCCTCAACCTCGGCGCCTTCAGACGCCGGGCTCGCGAGCCGAGTATCCTGGGTACCGCGCGCAAGGCGTTCCCCGACATCAGCCACGTCACCCACAACACCACAAGTGCTGACCAGGAGCCCCACGAGGCGGAGAGTGACGACGACGACGACGAGTCCGTGCCGGAAGCTGAGTCTACGCCCATCAATAACCGACGAGCTACGCGTTCGTCACTTCGCCAGCAGGAGCAGGAGCAGGAGCAGGAGCAGGAGCTGAGTGGTTCGCGTAAGCGCAAGAGTGACGGGAATGATGGCGGTAGTAGCCGACCCGACAAGGTGACACGGACAATACTAGGGGGGCAAGACGAGAATGCGGACGCGAGCGCGGATGCGGCGGACAACGGTGATAGCGATTCCGAGCTGTCGTCCCTCCCCTCGTCACCGTCATCCCTCCCCCGCTTCACCATGGCCGAGAGGCCCGTCACGCCTAGCAATGACAGCCATCAGGACTTCGCCGCTCCCCCCGCTAGCAGCGACGTCGACGGCGACGACATGGACTGGTGGCCCGACATCCACGGGCTAGCCAGGAAGCGCCGACGCCCGTCCGTCGCGGAGCCCCTCGCCGGCCCCTCGGGCAATGCTGCCGACGACGACGGTGGCGACGTGGCCTCGAACGTGTCGTCACCTCCGTCCCTGACGCACTCGCCTAACCTGCACGCCAGAGGGGGCGGCCGCATCGGTGGCGCCTCAAAATCGCACGCGCGCGCCCGTCGTGTCCCGTCGCCTCCGCCCCTGACGACAGCCGATCTGGCCAACTTGCTGCCTAAGCGTCGACACATCAGGGAGCGCCACCACCACGCCCAGGATGATCAAGCAGAGTACGACACTGCAGGTATAGCCCACGACCAGGACGAATTGTCGTTTGTCGGTGCCGATACGCGCCGTCGTGCAACCACCAGGCATAATACTGCTGCTGCTACCGCCGCTGCCGCTGCCGCTGCCGGCAAGAAGAAAGAGAAGCAGGCTGGGGGTCGCCCCGGAACACGCAGCTCCTCGCGTCACACACAAACGTACTCGCGTCGGTCGTCTGACAAGGAAAACGATGATGACGATGACGACCAAGAGGGTGAGGAGAGCATGTTCCAGCCGCTTGCTGATGAGACATTTGACGGCGACACGGCCAGCGACGAGGCGAGGAGGAATGCCCTCTTGTCGGATGAGGAGCTGAAGACTGCAGCTATCAAGTTCAAAGAAGTAGATCGGTGGGAGCTGTCGTTTGAAGAGGCGTCTGAGGCGGAGGAGGTACTTGGTGCTGAGGCTCGATAGAGAGCTTATAGGGTCTCTTTTTTTGCTCTTTTATTCTTATCTTTATTCTAGCCGGTTTCAAAGTCTGGAGAGGAACTAGTACCCTTTTTTTCTTCTTATTGTCATCCGGGCGTTTTTTTGTTTTTTGTTTCCTTCCATGTCCACGGTACAGATAAGATTAATCTTACTTCATATTTTGTTTTCTGTGTCACAACGGATCATGAGTTTCTGCTGAATCCTGTACTCCGTGCCATGATATAATATCCTTTTTTTTTTTTTTGAGGACGCGAGCCGGGGGGGAGGGTCTTCTTTTTTTCTCTCTCGTCATTAATTACGTAGTATCAAACAGAATTTTATAGCTCTCGCATCTTGCTGACCATAGTCAAGAATAGTCTTTCAGGTGGACTGCCTCGGTCTCATGCTCGACGACTTTGAGAAACTGGTCTAACACGTTGGGATCTCGTAGGGAAATGGTTATGTCGTCTGGTAGGCGGCCGGTCATGAGGAGTCTCTGTAGGTGGGAGTTAGCCTGTACACATTCTTCGGTGCGCGAGAGGAAGTAAGGCGGATAACAGGAAAGAAACGAAGCAAGATGGGAGAATGGAGAATGAAAACAAGCATAAAGATAAAAAGCCTCACCCTCTTTACTTCATCAAAGCTGGCCTCCTTGGCAGTATAATCCCGAATGACGAGGTCCGTCTCGAAGTCGACATATATGCGCGTGTCCCGGATACGCACGAGGACGTTGTCGAGGCGCATAAACAGCCGGCAGAGGAGGAGCATGCGTCTCTCGTGGACGCGCAGCTTGGCACTGTAGATGGAGATGCCGTTGTCGTCGAGCTCGCTCTCGTATAGGACCACCTCGTCGAAGAAGAGGATGGGGTCGCGGCGCTTGAGCAACTCGATGGGTATGACCTCTTTCGTGGGTGCCAGCACGGGTGTACGGCCCACGCCGTTCGCGGCGCCCTCGCCTTCGCCCTCGCCCTCGCTCTTGCCCTTGCTCTTGCTGTTGGTTACGGTCCCCTTGTACTCGGTCGAGTAGCTCCAGTCGTAGGGTTTTACGGCCTCCTTGATCTTCTGGGTCTGGTCCTCGCGCGTGCTCTCCCAGTCGCGCGCGTACGCCACCCTGAGCATCTTCTTCTCCGTCTTGTCCACGGCGTCGAGGGCGTCGGGCGTCGAGAAGGCCACGGACCAGCCCGTGGGTATGTGCTCCACCGACACGAGGTTGTCGCCGAAGATCATCTCAGGCATGGGAATCCCGATGCGCTCCGTCAGGTCGTCTATGGGGCCGGACTTGGAGATGGGCAGCTTGCGCGTCGAGATACGGAACCGGCCCTGGACGTGCGACTTGGTCGCCGCCGACAGCGCGTTGGGACTCGGAAACGGCTCGTTGACCATCGATGTGACGTGGCTCATCGTACGCGGGGCCTGGTAGTGGCGTCGCTGAGCGTCCGAGGAAGCCATGGTGTCGGTGTAGGTCGCAGCCCAGAGTTGGTGCTGGTCAACTTGGGCGATGGGGGGTGGGGAGAAGAAGGTGAAGTAAAGATGCCTCTAGTAGTATCAGTACGACTCGAGAGCTACGTAACTTTGAGATGTCGATAGTAGACCTGGAGAGTGTGTGATCCGTTTTTGGTGGGGTTGTTCTGGGGTGTCCCAAGAGGGGCACGTCACCAGGTGGTACTATCAGGGAGGCTACTGTAGTACCTGTGCTGTGGCTCGCTGATTGCCGACAATCTACGAGTTTCTTCAAAATGCTTCTTTGGTCTTCATCTTGCTGAATCGGTAGGGATCTGATCGAAGATGGCAGATCATTACGATGGGATCTTCATTTATTTCTGAATAATTCCATCCCGTCCAGCTACAAGCACAGCTGTTTGTTTCGACTCGAAGCTGCGGAGAGTAATAAGGCCCCGCTGTCACAAGAGAGCTCGAGGGATACGTACCTCTCGAGCTCCCCATCCCAACCGTTGCCCTGGCAATCCCATGCTGCTCTTATGGCACAACCATCAACAAAGTCAAAAGACCCCGAGCTCCGGCTCTCAATCCTCCAGCCATTTCACCAACCTTCTGTTCTACTGCGAGCGCCATAATACTAACCCCGACAGGCTCGTGAGCGACTACCTTTCCTCGGTTGACCTTTTTGTGCTCTCACACTCCGTCTTCTTTTATTGAAAGGCTCGTGATTACCTTCTTTCCTGCCGTGCCCTCTGGCATCATCAGCCTCTCTCCCTGCCTCCCTCGCTACCCGACAAAACCAAAACCGACCGGAATCAACAGGCCATGGCTCCCACGTCATCGATCGAGGCCTCGCTGGAGCGTTTGACAGTCACGGATGAGAACGACGTCGGCGAGGGTCTCAAGTCATATACCAAGCCGTCCAAGGTTCGTCAGAGAGTACCGGCGTGGTTATTAGGCGGCAATGAGGAGAGCACGATATTCTTATACCCGGACCTGGAGCTGACACCTAAAACCGCCGATCAGCTGACGGCCTCTTGCGGTAGCAAATCGCAGGTGCCCACGAGCGGTGCGCGGCACAACCTGTTCAAGGTTGCCCTGCAGTCGCAGAGCGGCAATGTGGCCTCTGTGACGCTGCCGTCGCAGGCCGCCGCGCAGCAGCACAAGGCCGGCAGCGGTGGCGGCGGCGGCGGCAGCGGCAGTCACAGCAACGCCCCTACCTCGCCGACCCGCAAACCCGTCCCCGCCAGCCCCAACCGTGCGGCGGAGCCTCACAAAGCCGACAGGCTGGCGCGCCTGCGGGTAGCGGAGCAGACGGAGGCACAGCGCGAGCAGGAGGAGCAGAAGCAGCGGCAGCGCGAGCAGCACATGGCCGAGTCGTCCTCCATATCGAGGATGCCCAACACGCAGTTCCACCTCGGCATGTTCGAGGTAGGCAAGCCCCTGGGCAAGGGTAAGTTCGGCAGCGTGTACCTGGCGCGTGAGCGGTCGAGCGGCTTCGTGTGCGGACTCAAGGTTCTCAAGAAGAGCGAGCTCCAGGCCGGCGGCGGTGTGGAGAAGCAGGTTCGCCGTGAGATTGAGATCCAGAGCAACCTACGCCACCCCAACATCCTCAAGCTGTACGGCCACTTCCACGACTCGAAGCGCATCATCCTCATCCTCGAGTACGCCGCCCAGGGCGAACTCTACAAGATCCTCCGCAAGGCCAGCCGCTTCCAGGAGTGGAGGGCTGCCCAGTACATATCCCAGATGGCCTCGGCCCTGCGCTACCTCCACCGCAAGCACGTCATCCACCGCGACATCAAGCCCGAGAACATCCTCGTCGGGCTCCACGGCGAGATCAAGATCTCCGACTTTGGATGGAGCGTCCACGCACCCACCAGCCGCCGCAAGACCCTCTGCGGTACCCTCGACTACCTGCCCCCGGAGATGATCAAGCCCGGCTCCTCGGATAACTACTACGATGAGAAGGTCGACCTGTGGAGTCTGGGCGTCCTCATGTACGAGTTCCTCGTCGGTGAGGCCCCCTTTGAGGACACGCCCGTCATGACGCACCGTCGCATTGCCCGCGCCGACATGACTATCCCCAAGTTTGTCAGCCCCGAGGCCACTGACTTGATCAAAAAGGTATTTCCTTCTTCCTCCTCTCCTTTTCCTCCTCCCCCCAGTTCACCCTAACAGTTTTCTCCCCCCAGCTTCTGGTTCTCGACCCCAACAAGCGTATTCCTCTCGACGACCTCCAACAGCATCCCTGGATCGTAAAGTATTGCGTCAAGGGTGAACGTGCCTCTAACCGGCAACGATCCGAGTAGAAAGCACTCATCGTACAATATTGCAATTTTGACATACACACACATGATAATGATGGGTGTGAGTGAGATATTCTGTCTATCAAAGCGGTGTTGAACACTATAACGGCGTTCTTGTTTTTCTCTCCTCGGTTCTTTTTCTTGCTTAATGGATTCGGTGGTAACGGAGTTTGTTGCATTCTTCCTCTTTTACTCTTTTTACTTTTTTTTTTTTATACTGCTATTGCATATCACATTTACAACAAATCATCTCTCATCAAAGCGGCTGTGTCAAGTGCAGTTGAACGTTTACGAGCAAACTACGAGAATGTGGTGTTCATCATGAGAGTAACGTGTGGTACTATGTGCGATGATATCCGCTTCATGACGCAATACATGGGTGGTGGTACATTATTTTCGGCGTGCTTCTTCTCTTCTGCTCCTCTTTTGAATCTTGCTTCTCCCCTCACCTATACACTTCGTCAAAGGGTCGCGTGTCGGCAAAGCAGGAATCCCAGACCTGGTTGACAACCTTTGAGGCTTGTTCCTGGTCCTTGCACCGGGGACGGGCCATGACGGACTGGATGGCCCTCTTGCGGACGCAGTGCTGGAACTGCTGCGTCAGAGACCAGTTGCCCCTTGTGAACGCTTCCCTTGTCCAGCGGCACTCTCCGCTGAGCATGGAAGCACGGATCTGTGACTGGTCATCAGCTTTGTTTCCGTCTTCTGCTTCCCGTGAGAGAGAAGAAACTAACCTCTGTGCAGGCGGCGTGCTTGAGATCCTTGTCGCCCATCCAATCGACCTTCCAACGCAGATGGTCCCAGGCGTGGACCATCTCGTGAGCCAAGGTGTCCTCGAGGTGCTTCCGGTCGCGCACCTCGTTAGCGCAGAGCAGGATGCCGTGGTCCGGGCTGAAGCCGCCCGACTGTCTGTGGACCTCGCCGTTCTCGTCGAGGCGGGCCGGGCAGCGGCGGCAGACGACATTGGACGAGTCGAGGCGGCCGTTGAGGTCGGACACCTTCTCCGATAGGAAGCGGACGACGGGCGAGTACGTCATGAGCCAGTCGCGGTACTCGTCGCAGCGCTTGCAGTCGCGCTCCTCGTGCACCTTGTAGCGCCACTCCCGATAGTGGAACTGGCCCTCGGGCGTCATCTGGCCGGACAGGATGCGGAAGTAGTTCATCCACCACTTTGTCTGGGGGTCGAAACCGGTGCGGGCCGGGTCGTTTGTCATTTCTCGGGGGGGTGGCGCGCCAGAAGACACGGAGCCCGACGGCGGCGTCGTCGCCGTGTCTTGGTCACCCATGGCCGACGGCTTTAACTCTCTGTTGTATATCTCTTCTCAATGGCCCGAGCCTCCCCTCTCGCTTGCGATGTGCACGCGACGGCGGTAACCTCGACCGTAGAGGAGGGCACACTCTGACGTGCTTGGGATCGTGCGCGCAGGGTCAGGCGCGGGTTGCTACTCGTGAAGGATCCGTAGACGAGGGAAGAGGGAAGGGGTGGTGGCTGTCGTATAAGCAAACCTCCTATTGCTGAATGGCACAGAAACGGACGGCACTGTGCCTCGAAACGATGGAGCGTAGTTGGTCAAAGGCTCGAAGTCGACATGAGTAGCGAGTGGGTCGGCGTTGCGGGCTTGAACGCATGTGGAGGCTTTGGTTGAGTATAAGTGGACAAGGAGGAAGTTCCTGCTGTACATGTAAGCGAAAGGGGTACGTACATATTTGCGAATGTCCCAAGACCCAGCTGTGAGCTATGTAATCGGTAATCCTGTAATCTGTACACTCTCGTAATAATACCACGAAAAATGGGTGCGTCTGTCCCACTCGGAACTGGTGTACGGGTACGTACTCTGTATATATACGAAGCTTCGATGGGGACTAATACGTCGTGGGGGTGGCATGGTTAATCTCAACTTGCTCCAGCGGTCCCTTCAAGCCGCGTTAGGCGACGTTGAAGAAATTGGAAAAGATATTCCCCTCTGACGCTAAAAACGAGGTTGTGAAGAAGGTTGCGATGCTCGGATGGAGGTTGGAGGTTGAGGGAAACATGGAGTGATGGATCTGTTTCGGAGGGAATAACGATTCGAAAGAATGAATGGATGAATGGTGTAACTATGGGCGGGGAAGGAGAGCTTGCGTCTATCAGTACTATGGAACCCCGAGAGAACATTATCGTAGGGTTGGTGATGAATGTCAAAGGAATCAGACGGACGGAAACTATCCAGAATCTCACCACCTAATCGAAGACAGGACTTGATCATGGTCGAAATCGTGCCATCCCAAGGGCGTGAAGAGCTCTGGAGTGTTTATCAGTAGTAGTAGCCTTTTACTGGCAGTTACCAGACACTCTAGCACCTCTAGACTCTGGCACGATCGGGACATTAGTACGGCCAGCAGGCAGTAGGCAACGCCAATCTCAGGCGTTGAGTGAAAGACGGCACAGCGTCTTCGGCGCCTATATGTACAGCTAGATGCTACTCTACAGCCTTCTACTCCGTGCTGCTCCGTAGAGAATACCGATACAAATACGGTATATTATTACCTAGACTCAATAACGCTGCGGGGGTCAATTCTCTCCGTACAGCAGTACTACAGCACCCACCCATCAGGCAAATCTATCGGCCTTTGTCCCTCCTTTCACGCAGCAGTTGAAAAAGAAAGAGAGAAAAAAAAAAAAGGGCGACTGGAAGCCTCACAGATCCGATCCTCATACCATACCACACATTCACACTCACACCCCAGGTACCAACCCGCACCAGAATAGTCCCGCGCCCCCTTGCTTGGCGCGTCATACGACGTATTGACGATGGAGGGTGAGTCCTTGTTCCTTGCTCATGTCTTCTCGCCTGCATCGTGGCGTCTCCACTGCGGTACGACGACGACGACGTATACTCTCCGGCTGGCCATTTGAACTACATGTCGATACGCAGATCGGTACATAACCGGTTGTCCGTGTACAAAACTGCCAAACCCGTATATATCGTCATCTGTCCGTCGTCTTTCCCGTTTCTCATCCTTCTCGTCTCCCGTCCTTCTCCCTTTTTTTTCTTCTCCTCTTCTCAACTTGCTTTGATACCTTCATTACATCTCCTCCTTCTCCTCCCTCTCTTCAGATCTCTCCCCTTCCCCACTCCCCCCCCGAGACATGAGTCACAGGTTAACCTGAACTCATGGAATCTCTCGCTGTACCTGGCCTACCCTATCTTCTGCTAACTCTTATCGCCACCGCCCGTAGACATGAAGAAAGGCGGAAGGCATCTGACCGTGGTCATCAAGCTTGGTAAGTCTCCCCTTCCTTTGCTTCTCTTCGGGTAGAGGCCGAACCAGACTTGGCTAACTCTCTCTCCCCAACAGGTACAAGTTCCATTGTCGATGAAAAGACACATGAGCCTCTGCTTCCAATCTTGACCCTCATTGTTGACACGGCCGTCAAGCTGCAAAAGTCGGGCCACCGCGTCGTCATTGTGTCATCGGGCGCTATCGGCGTTGGCCTACGCCGCATGGACGTTGACAAGAAACCCAAGCACTTGGCTCAGCTTCAGGTAGGAAGAGTCCAGCGTCTCTACACTCTGTACAGCGGAGACTGACATGGGTCCCAGGCACTCGCTGCCATCGGCCAATGTAGGCTCATCAGCCTGTGGGATAGCCTGTTTCAGCACATGGACCAGCCCGTTGCCCAGATTCTCCTCACCAAGAATGATATCGCCGACGTACGTCTCTCCTCTCTTTCCCCCTCTCGCGGTCTCAACCCATATAATGACCTTGACCTTTAGCGCAAACGCTATCTCAACGCTCAAAACACATTCAACTCCCTGCTAGACATGGGCGTCATCCCCATTGTCAACGAAAACGACACACTGGCAGTCTCGGAGATCAAGTTTGGCGACAACGACACCCTGTCAGCCATCACGGCCGCCATGATCCACGCCGACTGCCTCTTCCTCATGACCGACGTCGACTGTCTGTACGACAAGAACCCGCGGTCTCATCCAGACGCCCGGCCCATCGAGGTCGTCTCGGACCTGACCGATATCCACGCCGATGGTGAGGCTCCCCGTACCCGCTGTGTCTCTCTCGGAGCTTATCCGGAACCCCTCCCTCCCTGAATTGGGCCTTTATCAGTGAGAAGACGAGCCTAACGGGACGATAAAAACATTGCAGTTTCCAGCGCCGGTTCCTCTGTCGGCACCGGCGGCATGAGCACCAAGCTCATCGCCGCCAGGCTCGGCACGTCGGCGGGCGTGACCGTCATCATCACCCGCTCCTCCAACCCCGGCAACATCCTCAACATTGTCAACTATCTGTACAGCTCGCCGGCGCCGGCCGTCGCCGGCGAGGATGAATTGGACGGCGAGTCCGTGGTGGCCTGCTCCACTTCGCTCAATCTCATGGCCCCCTCGGGCACCACCCACAGTCCTCCCCTGCATACGCGCTTCATAGCCTCGTCAGACCCTATCCGTGACCGCCACTTCTGGCTGCTGCACACCCTCACCCCCCACGGCACCGTGTACATCGACAAGGGTGCCCACCGCGCCCTCGTGGGGAAGGCAGGCCTTCTTCCCGTCGGTGTCGTCGACGTGGAGGGGAACTTCGCCCAGCACGAACCCGTCCGCGTCGTCGTCGTCGACAGGCTCGCCGAGCCCGGTCCGGACGGCAGAATTCGCGGCAGTCATGCCGAGGAAGTCGGACGCGCTCTGGTAAACTACGCCTCTGCTGAGATCACGAGGGTCATGGGCCACCAGAGTGCCGAGATTGAGGATCTTCTCGGTTATGCGGACAGCGAATACGTCATTAACCGGCAGCATGTTGTCTTCTTCCAAAAGGGCAGCCGCCCAGTGTCTCCGGTGGAGAATTAGGCTCACAGGTCCTCCCTCGGTCTTCTTCCTTGATCTTGTTCAAAGTATGTTCGTCTTGATTGTTGCTGGGAAGCGAAGCATAGCATCCGGAGTGGGTGCAGTATTGTACACGCGTTAGAATCCGGAGTTACTTTTTTGGGGGGTTCTCTTGTTTTTTTTTTTTTTTTTTGCATCGACGAGGTCACTCTTCAGGTAGGAAAATTGGAATCTGGGAAGGGTTAAAAAAAAAAGTAGTATTCGTCGTTTCAACATTAATAACCACGATGGTGCACATACTGATGAATGTCATAAGCTTATGACTTATATAGAGATGTATGCACCGCATGACGCAGAGTTATTCGAGATACTGACTCTGCTCATTGAAGAAGAGTTCTATTCAAATATTCGTCTTTCATATAACCCGCGTACTGCTTTTTTGACTGTTGTTTGAGTCTTGACAGATGACGGCCCGGCTGCAGGGTATGAAGCAGAACAGCTTCCGTTTTAGGAAATTGTTCATTGTAGCATGGATGGAGGGGCATCGGTGATCGTTTACAGGACACTTTAGTGAGGGCGTTTCGGCGGGACTGGGTTGTTCCTATCTCCGGGCAGCCTTGGAGCCTAGGGCAGCAACTTCAGCGACTCCAGCGCTGTCCCTTCCCTCTGAGGAGACCCAGAGACCCGGTCACAAACCCGAGCTGCAGCGAATTTAGGGTCAACCGACCAAGCCCGAAGCCCTTTCCCGTGCGCCCATCGGTCCCATCTATCTGGGACCACATTGGAGGACCCCTCCCCTCCCCCTCCCCCTCCCCCTCCCCCACTATACAGAGGAGTTCTGGTGCAGTTGAGTTTTTGTGACTCACGCGCACCTTCCTCTACTCAAGTTCAGCTCGTGGATGACGCCCCTTCGACTCCGCGTACCCTACGCCCTAACCCAACGGAACGTCAGTCAACGCCTCCTCCCCCTCACATTACGACCGTCCCCGTCGGCAACGTCACCGATACGTCCCTTCACCTCCTCAAGACACGTGTGCCGAGTCCAGGTCCAACGGCCGAAGAATTATAAGGCCAGCAAGATGTCCTCGGGCGCGACGACTCTCAAGGGCCAGCCCCTCGACAAGCCGGTCCTCGAGGCCATGCTGAGACGGCGCATGTTCTACACCCCTTCCTTCGAGATCTACGGCGGTGTCGGTGGCCTCTACGACTTTGGCCCGCCCGGCTGCTCCCTCATTGCCAACATCACCGACATCTGGCGCAAGCACTTTGTCCTCGAGGAGGATATGCTCGAGGTGGACTGCACGGTCCTGACCCCCCACAACGTCCTCAAGACAAGCGGTCACGTCGACAAGTTTGCCGACTGGATGTGCAAGGATCCCAAGAACGGCGAGATCCTGCGCGCCGATCACTTTGTCGAGGCCATCCTCGAGTCCAGGCTCAAGGGTGACAAGGAGGCCCGTGGCCAGAAGGTGTCCGAGGAGGAGGACGCCGACCCTAAGAAGGCCAAGAAGAAGAAGAAGGCCAAATCCGAAGCCATCAAGCTCGACGATGCCGTCGTTCAGGAGTACGAGGAGGTCCTAGCCCGCATCGACAACTACGGCGGCCCCGAGCTTGGCGAACTCATCAAGAAGTACGACCTGCGCAACCCCGAGACGGGTGAGATGCCCTCGGCGCCCGTGTCCTTCAACCTCATGTTCCAGACCACCATTGGCCCCAGCAGCAACTTCCCCGGCTACCTGCGCCCCGAGACGGCCCAGGGCCAATTTCTCAACTTTGCCAAGCTTCTCGAGTTTAACCAGTCGGCCATGCCATTCGCCTCGGCGTCCATTGGCAAGTCGTACCGTAACGAGATCTCGCCCCGCGCCGGTCTGCTGCGCGTCCGTGAGTTCCTCATGGCCGAGATCGAGCACTTTGTCGACCCCGAGGGCGGCAAGAAGCACAGCCGCTTCAGCGAGGTCGAGGACATCGAGCTCGTCCTGCTGGACCGCGACACCCAGCTGTCCGGTAAGACCACCACGACCAAGGTCAAGATTGGCGACGCTGTCAAGTCTGGTTTGGTCGACAACGAGACCCTGGGCTACTTCCTGGCCCGCATCCATCTCTTCCTAGTCAGGATCGGCGTCGACACGTCCAAGCTGCGCTTCCGTCAGCACATGGCCAACGAGATGGCCCACTACGCCTGCGACTGTTGGGACGCAGAGCTCTTCACCTCGTCTGGCTGGATCGAGTGTGTCGGCTGTGCCGACCGCAGCGCCTACGACCTCAACGTCCATGCTAAGAAGACTGGGGCCAACCTGGTGGTGCGCCAGCGCCTCGAGGAGCCCATTGTCGTCGAGGAGTGGCAGGTGGACATTGAGAAGAAGAAGTTTGGCCCCCTCTTCAAGAAGGATGCTAAGGCTGTCGAGGCTGCCATCGAGGCTACCGCCCAGGACAAGCGCGAGGCCCTGGCCAAGCAGCTGGCCGACAATGGCAAGCTGACCATTGACGTCGAGGGCATCGCTGACGGCAAGGCCACCGTCCCTGCTGACGCCATCAAGATCGAGTTCCGCAAGCGCACAGAGCACACGCGCGAGTACACGCCCAATGTCATTGAGCCGTCGTTTGGTATTGGCCGTATCTTGTATGCACTCATCGAGCACAACTTCTGGACTCGCGGTACTGAGGGTACCGACGAAGCTCGTGGCGTAAGTTTACTTCTTCTTTTGTTTTGCTCCTCACTTCACCTCGCCCCGCTGTCACAAAAACAAGATGCGACGTGAATGAGAGGGATAGGAAAAAGATGTCTAACACGATGAATATATAGGTGCTCTCCTTCCCCCCCACCGTCGCCCCCACCAAAGTACTCATCGTCCCCCTATCGTCCAACGCCCAGTTCAAGCCCCACCTCAAGAAGATCTCGCAGAGGCTGCGCAGCCTGGGTATCTCCAGCCGTGTTGACGACTCATCGGCCAGCATCGGCAAGCGGTACAGCCGCAATGACGAACTCGGCACACCCCTCGGTATCACGGTCGACTTCCAGACCCTGCAAGACAACACTCTCACCCTGCGCGACCGCGACTCGACCACCCAAGTCCGTGCCGAGGAGGACAAGATTGTCGAGGCCATCAAGACTATCGTCGACGGCAGCAAGGTCTGGTCTGACATTGAGTCCACCTTGCCAAAGTTTGAGGGTCAGGAGGTCGAGGTTGTTGCTAGGTAAAAAGTCAGTCAACATGACCGATTCGTTTTTTTTTATAAGAAGGGTGGACAGGTGTCGAAAAAAAAAAAAGGAGAATACTACAAAAAGGAAAGGGAAAGGATCTGCAGTGTATGGAGCCAACATAGTCGCACGCACTTGAATGGTAGAAAGTCAACGTATGATTGAACGCATTCGAAAGGAAGCGCCTCCCCCTCCGAATCAGTCGGAGATTTATACTGTACGCATCACCTGCTTGCATGTCTGCATATTCACGTACAGTGATGACAGCTGAAGTCACGTAACCGTTCATCATGGCCTTTGGGATGCTGTCTCATACCACGACATGACTCTCATTATTTATGACCGGGTGATGTAATTTCACTAGCACGTGCAATGTACATGTAGTCTTGGTAGAATCCCGCCACTCAGTCTCTACATGCCTACGATCGTGATGCCATGTCCCTTCCACCGACCAACCTCTAATAGATTCATCAAAGAAGGCTCTACACCATCGCCCCTCGACTATTCTCTGTACGCGGAAAACAACCATGTCCCGTGGCGGGAGGGGGGGGGAACGGCAATATGTCGTCTGGCCTCGATGGTCAGCACAAGATTTCTGGAGTTTGAGAGATGGATTGTATCAGGATCGGGTTTCGTTCAACAGTAAAGTCTGCCTATATGCCTGTGTTGTTTGGCATTGTCGCGTCGCCTAGCCATTGGGGGGCGGTCTCTGTTCATCTTACATTTTGTATTAGTAGTGTATTTAAATCTGACGATATCATGGCTCGCTCAAGAATAGACTGGATGCAACATGCAGTCTAACCTCTTCAGAAGACGGAATAGACGGCCCGCTAAATAGCGTGGTGCAGACCTGTCACTTGCGACGCAAAGGGTATTATTGCCACCCTCATCATGCGACGCACTTCTATGTCTTTCAATTGTCTGTACAAGTATCCGTAGAGTGTCGTTCATGTCCTCGGACCCGGGGCGCTTGACAGTGTAACACGGCTGCTAGTGAGTGTACGAGCAGAGTTCGATTGCCAGATAAAACAGGGGACGACGCTCTTGAGTCTCAGACCTATGGGGTATATACAGGCAATGCGGAGTACGAGAGAGGTTAGACTTTTTGCTGCAGTGTCTCGTCTCGCATTGTCCGTCTCCTTGCGTCCCTTTGAATCGGATCGTGGCTCAGGTACATGGATATATACGAGTCGCTGTACGCTGTATGCAAGCATGCTGAGTAACATGTCTGTAAGTGTATCCATAATCGTATCTGCAATAATAATACGAGTACGGAGTAGTCTGGATGCCATTAATTAGTAGTTCACGTCGTATATGGTTGCATTCATTAGCCGCCGCCGCCGCCACCACCACCACCAACCTGGTCAGGGACTGCCGCAATTTTCCCCTCTCTGTCCCTCCGTCTTTGCCTCCCCTTCTCTCTCACACTCTCTCATAATCTCTCTCTTTCCGTTTATTTTATTTTTTTTATATTCTAACCATTTATTCGATTTTTAATTGGTAGTATCATTCGGCGTCAGTCTCTCTCACCAGGGGAAATGATGGCCCTTGCTACGTCGCCACCCGTGGCTTGGTTCGCCGCGCATTCGGCTCAAGAAGCATTTGTGTATCACGTCCTGAAACACTAGAAGCTCTGGCGCACAACGGACCGACATCATCTCAATCGAGAGGGTTAATATGTGGCGTAGCGTAATAGTGAAATATTCTCGTGATTGCCACAGTCGGGGATCTCGAAAGTCTTCCTGTCTTCGGTCTTCTCCTTCCTTTCTTCCGACTATCGGGCTCAGTGAGTGAGCCGTTTTGAGGGACTGGACGTGCCACCTGCTGGGTGGCTGGGATAAGTGCAAGGCTATTCGCGCTGTTGGTGGGAGGAAGGCTCGAAAGAGTTGTAGGTAATGCAGGATTGCTGAGCATATCCTTATGGAGGAGTACTTATGTGTGAGCATCCAAAGAGAGAAACTGGACAGGGAGAGAAGGGTGGGGGGGAGGGGAGGTTCCAGGCATCAGGGGATATATCTAGGATGTGCAGGGGTGGCACGTGAGTATCTAGACAGTCTGAGAAGAGCCTGAAAACTGTACCGAACTAATAGTAAATTGGTTTCAGAACAGGGAGCTTCTCACTCCAAACGCACTGTGCGGCGACAATGCATCAGCGAAGCGACCGCCGCAGAGGCCAACGGATGCCAACCTCCTCAGGCTCTACTCCTCCTTCTTTCCCCACAGCCAGAGAGGCAGGAGCCAGCGCGTGCAGAGGGGCCCTTTGTCCCCTTCCCTCTATTACCCATCCGATCCCGTACTCCCCCCGTCGCTTTCTCTTCTTTCTTCTTCTCTCCCTCTCTTTCTATCTCGGTCAGAAGACGGAAAAGAAGGAGAAGAGAGAAAGAAGGCAAGAAAGAAGAAGAGGTTTCGCTCCGGGCTATTTTGGCTCTCTGTCGTACACCTCTCTCCCCCTTTTCGTTCTTTCATCCCCCCCCCCCCGCTACAGCGACGTCGCCAAGAGAGAGTCGCTAGAGGGTCAACCCACTATCACTATTGCTACTCCTACAACTTTGCCCCTTGTGTGCCCCTCTCTCTTTCGCTCTCCCCTATCGCGCAGGGCCATCACCAAGCCGGCTGTATTACCGCTGCACCACCAACCACTATTACGGATACCATTCCCACCGCCCTCACCCGGCGTCAGAGGTGAAAAGCTCGTATCCCTAACTCTCATGCAACAACGCTGTCGACCCTGAGAGAGGTCGTTGTCCTCATCACATCTGTATTCGCGGGGTGCTTCGTCCTTGCCGCTCCGTCCAATCCTCCAGCGACTCTCACCGCGCATTCGTCCCCTCTCCATCCTCCCCCTCCGATCGCCTCCATAACGCCTTGGCGAGTCCCCTACCGCCCACACCCCTTTTCCTTTTCTGCTCCTGCGAGCTTTCCTACCCCCCCCGGCATTTCAATTTTTTTTTTGGTCGTATTTCAAGTCGCCATTTGTTTTTTTTTAATAGGATACCCCTGGTGCTAGTTCACCATTCGAAATGTCTCAAGAAAGTGGCAGGTATGTGTTGTGTCTCCTGTGGTCCCCCCCTCGGCAACGGCCTCTTTCAGCTGCAGCCGTGTGCGACGCACGCGCCGCTTGCTGGAAGCCACTCATTCATATACTCTCTCATGTCCCTTCTCCCCTCCTGTTCTTCGGCCCAGCCAGCTAACCTGCGGACTTCAGCAGCTTGTATGCCCAGGGCCAGTTCATGAACCCTGGCCCAGCTCCGAAGCCTCCCACCGACCGGCCTCGACTGAACCTCACCCCAAGTACCAACCTCCCCGGCAGCATGGCAAACATGGCCATCTCGCCCATACGAAGCACAGCCACCTCTACCTACACCGGGTCTACCGTGTCTCTGCCCATCGCTCGCCAGCAGACCAACAATACTGATGGCAGCGGAGGCGTCGCCATCATGAAGGAGGGCTATGCCTCGGTCAAGGAGAGCAAGAGCTTCATCCAGACCTACAAGACAAAGTACCTGGTTCTGCGAAAAGAGTCGCTCGATTTTCACAAGAACGAAGGCGGCAAGATCTCTTACACCCTCTACCTCAAGGATGTCGTCAACGTCGGCCGAGTCGAAGCCCCCGGCACCATTTTCGAGATCAAACGTAGGTTGGATGGCAGCTCCACTAGCCCTGGCGACGACGATGGCCAGACCAAGACCCTTCAGCTACGCGTAAAGGGAGACGATGATCTGTACGACTGGATAGATCTCATTTACGGCGCATGCCCCGGAATGGGTGGCGTAAGCAACCCAACCAACTTTGCCCACGCCGTACACGTCGGCTTCGATGCCTCCACCGGCGAATTTACTGGCCTACCACCTGAGTGGTCTCGTCTCCTCAACTCGTCGGCTATCACCAAGGAGGACTACGAGCGCAACCCCCAGGCTGTGTTCGAGGCGCTCGACTTCTACACGGACCTCACCAAGCGTCAGGACAACCCGAACCAGTACCCCACAACCCCTCAGTCTCCGGCTGGTGGTCAGCCCTACAAGCAGATGCCGGGAGCCTACGGTGGTAATGGTGTTGCGCCCCCTCGCCCGATGCCGCCTGCCAGCTCCCAGCAGCGGAACCCTAGCTACGGAAATTCCAGCCCGCAGTCCAGCCCCGGCTCCCAGCGACAACCCGCCCAGCCCCAGCAGCAGCAGCAGCAGCAACGGCAGCAGATGCAGGCCATGTCTCCCAACTATGTGTCTCAGGACGTGAGGGATGACCAGCGCAAGAAGCAGTTGGAGGCCCAGAAGCAGAGGGAGGCCGAGGAGCAGGAGCGCCGCGAGCTTGAGGCTTACAACGCATCGCTGCCCAAGACAAAGGTACCGCTGGCTAAGCAGGAGGTTGGTGGTGGCGGCTACGGGGCTAATGGGGGCCAGTCCCAAACCGACCGCTTCAACCCGTCCCGAGCGGCCCCTCCGGCTCCCAAGCCGGGCAACCAGCAGCAGTCCCAGCAGCTTCGCGCCCAGCGACCTGCCCCGCCGCCTCCTTCAGCCGGCGGCGCCCCGCAGCGCCCCCCGATGCAGACGCAGAATTCGTCATCTCCGACGCGTCAACCGCAGCCTAGCGCGCCCCGTCAGAACGGCCAGGGCGGACCCCAGTACAAGCCTTCCCAGCCACAGACCCAGGCCGCCCAGAGGGTGCCGGCCGCCGCGCCCAAGCCCCTCAATGTGGCGCCCAAGCCGTCGCAGCAGAAGGAGCAGTCGGCCGACGGCGTCAAGGCCGCCGAGGCTATGCTCACATCCAAGCCTCCGGCCAACGAGCGCAAGCAGGACGTCCGCATGTCGACCATGTCGGAGGGCGAGGTCATGGCCAAGCTCAAGGAGGCTGTCTCCAAGGAGGATCCCAACCTGTCGTACTCGAAGCAGAAGAAGATTGGTCAGGGTGCCTCGGGATCCGTCTATGTGGCCAAGGTCAAGGAGACGGCACAGGGTATGGCCCGCGAGCTCCTACGCCAGCAGGGTAGCCGGGCCCAGGTTGCCATTAAGCAGATGGACCTCGCTCACCAGCCCCGCAAGGAGCTCATCGTCAACGAGATCATGGTCATGAAGGACAGCAAGCACAAGAACATTGTCAACTACCTTGACGCCTTCCTGCGTAACAATTACTCCGAGCTGTGGCTAGTCCTGGAGTATATGGAGGGTGGCCCTCTGACTGACGTCATTGACAACAATGCGTCCATCTCAGAGGAGCAGATTTCCACCATCTGCTCGGAGGTCTGTCCCCCCTCCCACCCAAACCTCCTCTCCCAAGAGGAGAATAGCAGAGAGGTGATGCAAAGAAGAGAGACTAACGCTTCAGATATTAGACGTGCCAAGGTCTCCAGCACCTTCACTCGCGAAACATCATCCACCGAGATATCAAGAGTGACAACGTCTTGCTCGACGCCCGTGGAAATGTCAAGATTAGTCGGTACCCCCTTTAGACGCACCCGAGGGACAATTTTGCAGGGGAGACAGCTAACAATGACTCTAGCCGATTTCGGTTTCTGCGCGAAGCTCACCGAGACCAAGTCGAAGCGCGCCACCATGGTGGGTACGCCGTACTGGATGGCGCCTGAAGTGGTGAAGCAGAAGGAGTACGGCCCCAAGGTGGATATCTGGTCGCTGGGTATCATGGCCATCGAGATGATCGAGTCAGAGCCCCCGTATCTGAACGAGGAGCCGCTCAAGGCCCTATACCTGATTGCGACCAACGGCACACCCCGGCTCAAGAAGCCCGAGAAGCTGAGCAAGGAGCTTAAGGCTTTCCTGTCGGTGTGTCTCTGCGTCGACGTCAAGAGCCGAGCATCAGCCGACGAACTGCTGGCGCACGACTTCTTGAAGCACGGATGTGCTCTGGGCAGCCTGGCGGAGCTTCTGGCATTCAAGAAGCACAGCAAATAGAGAATAATGCATGAAGGATGGGGTTATGACGGATTTTCTGGAGAGGAAAGGTGAGAGAGAAGGGTCGACGGACCCGAATGGATAGGACGGTGGGAGAATGAACGCGCACAGCACGCCGTATACAACATGACACAATACCACACGCAACACATAGCACGCACGCAGACACACACACACACACACACACAACACGCACGCAACACACACATACACACGCACGCACGCACGCACAAGGCGCATATATAGAGACACGCACGCATACCCGGAGAAAAAAAACACCGTATATCCCGTCGAAGAGAATGGATTTAGTACTTTGGGCGTTTCTTTATTATTGGGAGGGTTTCGGAGGCCATGACTCTTTTCTTTTCCTCTTTTGTCTTGGCGGCATAGCTATTGTTCTCGGAACTTGTATATCTAGACCGTCGTCTTGCTATTCTGATATCTTATGCGTGTATGGAAGGGCATATGAAAGCAAGCATATATGTATATGTGTTGTTTTGGAAGTAGAGAGTTGAAGTTAGTAGTACAAGTAGTAGTAAGTAGCAGGTAATGTATATTTCCGGTCGATGAGATGTTCCATCTGCGTGATGAGGGGGGGTTAGGGAATGTGTGGTGTAACGGAGAGAAGACAGAAGTCCCCAGAACGGTCTGTCATCAACGGAGCAACAGTAGTAATAGCAGGTACGTATAAGGCAGGAGGAGGATTCGATCGACAGAGACAATCGAGTCGGGGGACGGCGGGGACGAGGGGGATGGACTTGGTTGGTACGACGAGTGAGTGCTGCCCTCTAGACTGCCGCCGTCCTGAGAGCCTCCCCCCTCACGCTCAGAGCACGGTACTTGAAGGCCATTAGTCGGCGGATTGTTTCAGAAAATCGAAGTGTGTCAGGACCGAAGTCAGGGGCTGGCTGTTGGTGAGGACAGGGTAGGTGGGTGTGGTGCGCTTTGGGATGTTTCTTTTGTTTGATCATCTTTCCTCCCCCCCCTCCCCTTTCGCTTTCTTATAGATTATAATGCAAGGAATGCAGCTACGTGGGAGTAAATGTCGGGAGGATGTCCTGTATCAGTCCATATGCATATTTCATCAATGATTTCATCATTTACTACCTACTACCAACCCCTTTCATGATTACAATTTAATCTGTATTACTCCGAGCCGCGTCAGCGGTGGATGGAGTGGCGGATATGCTTTCTAACAGCACATATTTCACCGTTTAAAACTGTTGAGCCCCCGTGGCTGATGGGTACCGGTGAATACGACGACCTGGGATGGACCACGGGAGTCAGTCATGGGGGAGGGGGAGGCTTCCCCCTAATAAGTCTCGAATGTGATATCACCCACATGAATTGAGTACGGAGTATTTCCATCTTCTCCACCATCCCTTACCTCTATGGCCATATGGCCATGCTGCTGATCTGCCCCGTATCCTGCTCGGGTACGAGGGCGACGGGCTGCAATGGGCTGTAGGGTTGGGGCTCGTAGGCGGCGGGACTTTTTTTTCTTTTTCTTTTTCGCATACGAGTAGGTGGAGTGAGTGCCCTTTAGGTGAGCAGCTGGACTGGGTAACGATACTGTATCTACTGTATTGCAGTACCATGCTCGTAGTAGGCTTCCTTCCCACCCCTGAGCTCCCAGCGTTACTCGCCCTGCATTGAGTGCTTGACTGCGTCGACGGGAGATGGTCGCTGAATGGACAGCTAATACAGCCAGCCTACAGGCTACGACGGAGTACTGACACAGTAGGCTGTACTGCATATAGGCAGCAACAACAATAAGTAGCAGTGGGTATTAGCCTGTAGCCTGTAGGTACGGATGGTGCAGGTATCGACAAGCAACTAACTGTCTGTGCAATAACCCAATACGTGGTTCCTCTAGGTGGTGGTCAATGAGCCCTCGACTGTTTACGAGTATTGCCGATGTATCAAACGCTCGCAGAGGAAGAGAAAGGAGCCCCATTCCCTAGAATTGGGAAAAGGGCATTGATCCGTATGCTGATACACAATAATACCTGTCTGTATCTGTTCCTATAGCTAGAGCCTAGCAGTGAGCGGCAGATCAGCTGTATCACCTTCACGCTGCCGTCCACTTCTCGACATCTTCCTTTTCTCCTTCCTCCTCTTTCCACCACGACCACCACCAAACTCCACCACTACTAGGTTGTCTCTCCTTTTATCTCGTCTCCCTTTTTTTTCCCCTTCTCTTTCTTCCCCTTCCTCCCCTCCCCTCCCCCCTCTTCTTCGGTTCTTCTTCTTACCCCAATCCTCCTCCCACCCCGCCTTGCCCTAATGTGGCCTGTATATTGACGACATCTGTTTGTACCCCTTCTTCTTCTTCTTTTTTTTTTCCGGGGTGTGTCCTGTTCAGCTTCTTCTCTTCTTGCTCCCCCTCCCCCTCGAACCAGCAGCAACGGCCGACTGCTACAACAGCCACTCTCTCTGCTCTGACCTTCCCATTCGACACTTTGCCTGGGACCGAAATCCCCGTTCGGCCCCATCGTCAGCCGCTTCATCCGTCCGGCGTTTCCTCTTCTTCTTGGCTTCAACGAAATAACGAACACGGGAAAAACAAAAGAGCCCACTCCGTGTGTGTTTCTTGGTCGACTGGTACTTTGCTTTGTCGAATTTTGATCACTCTTGTTTCGGGTTCCGCCATCTTATTTTTTTTAATATATTTTGGTAATACTCGACACCTGGAGAGGAAAAAAAAACGGAACGACGCAGTGCATCAGCCCCCCCATCGTGCGGCGTTATTTTCTTCTTCTCAACCCTCCTTTTCTTCTCTACCTTCCAACATTTTCTACCGAGGACGCAGAACAGGACATCGATTGGATAATCCGGATCTTTTTTGTCAACCGCCGATTCCTTTCTTGTGCACGCGATAATATACCGAGATTCGTTGAGTTTCACTGGCTGCTTGCTTGCTCCAACCTCCCCCCCCCCTGGCTAGTCCACCGCCACACCGTTAGCAACGGGAGCACCAGACACGCAACGCCATCGTCTTCGGCACCGTCACCATACGCGCACGACAAGAGCACGGTACCCAATCGATTGTACATATAACCTCCGCTGCCCGTCGTATGACGTTGGCCTGGTAATTGATAATGTCCAATTCACGAGCTGGCGATTTCCCTCTCAGCTACCCTGCCCGACCGCCTAGCCAGCCTCGTTCCGCCTCCCCTTCGGCCGGAACCTCGCCCATCGACCCCATGGCTTCGGGGCCGTCCTCGTCGAGGCCGCCCTTCGGCCTCGTCGGCGGCTTCTCCGCCTCCAGCATGATTGGTGGCAATCCGCGATCGGGAGCTGGCTCTCCATCGCATGACCTCCCGGGGTCAAGCAGACTTTACTCGAAGAGGTGAGAGACCCTGACATCCCACAGCAAGCTTCACCTGGAGCTAGACACTTACTCCTCTCCGATTTTCCAGAGCCCGCGAGATTCAAGCTCAGGAGGGTATCCCTGGCCTGCCTCTGAATCTATGGGGTGGTCCTCCCACCAGCGGCAACTCTACTCCCCTGCGTGAAAATATCCCCGAGTCTCCCACCGACGGCTTCCCCGACTTTGCTCAGCTTCCCGCCCCCGAATCTCTCAACCCACCGAGACGAGCACGTGCGGGGACCGTCCCCTCTCGATTCCCCCCCGGTATCCCTACACCTGCGTCGCATCTGGGTGCCCCCGGTCTCGGTCCTAAGCTGGGCCGTCCGTCCCAGGGTCCCTTCAACCAGTCGCCGTCCCCGGGTCTCGAGTCGTCCGACAGCAACGCACCTGCTTCCGGCTCCGCCCTGCTCTCCCGCTTGCGTGCCGGCTCTCTGCCTCAGCGCAGTCAGTATGCTCCGCTGGGTGGCTCGTCATCCTTGTCCCCCTTTGGCCCCTCCATCTTCAGCAGCTGGAACCCTCCCAACGTCGGCCGCGAGCGAGGCTCAACCCTGGCCAGCATCGCCAGTGTCCCCTCCAACGATCCCAGCTCGCCCTCCCAGTCCCACTTCTCCAGGGACGGGCCTAGCGAGTCCGACGTTCACATGAGGACGCTCGACTACCTTGGTCTTGCCGAGACGCCACAGCACCACGTTGTCACGCCCTACATCCCCACGCTCGACCCGCGACAGGCTAGCCGCATACGCTCCTACTCGGTCAATAATACGGACCTGCACGCTGACGAGTATCCCGACGACGACTACGACACCGACGGCGTCACCCACGACAGCCAGTATGCCACCCTCCAGGACCAGCTCGAGAGGACCAACGCCGCCATCCGCAGTCATAACATGGCTGTCCAGGCCTTTGCCAACACTACCCGCCGCCGCGCCCAGACGGCCGGTGCCCTCGACAACCCCGCCGCCCGCGGAATGGGTGCCATGCCCTTTGGTGCCAACCTTGCCGGTGGTGCCCCGCCCCCTGGTCCCATCCGCTCGTCCCTGCAGGGCGAGCAAAAGTACGACGACCTGCCCCAGGCCGTCGCCGACCTCAACCTCGGCAGGTCCAGCAGTCGCAACGCCGGCCTCCTGAGCCCGGAGGATCAGGGCATCGAGGGCCCCACCAGCGCTCTCTGGCTCGGCAACATCCCCACGTCGACCACGACCACGACGCTCGAGGAGATGTTCAAGGTCCACGGCAACATCGTCTCGGTCCGAGTCCTCACCCACAAGAACTGCGGCTTCGTCAACTACGAGCGTGTCGAGAGCGCCATCGCCGCCAAGGCCAACATGAACGGCAGGGAGCTCTTCCCCGGCGCCGCAGCCATCCGCATCAACTTTGCCAAGCCTGCCTCCCCCGCCAACACGCCCGGCCACGATGGTGCCTACCCCTCGCCCAGCCCCGACCCCTTTGCCAAGGGCCAGGACTCGTCCGCCCAGGCTTCCTCATCGGGCACACCGGCTGCCGCTGGTGGGTCTGCCGACGGCGCCGGCACCCCTTCAGCTGGCGGGCCCACCGGTGCTGCCGCCGGCGCTGCCACCGTCAAGACGGCTGCCGCGCCCACCGCTCCGGAGCTCAGGGACAGCGTCGCCGACATCCTCGCCATGGTTGAGCGCTTCGGCGCCACCGCAGACGAGGTGGAGCGCGTATCCCAGTCGCTGCAGAACGCTATCTCGTACACGGGCATCGTCGACGAGATCCCGCCCATCAAGGAGCCCACGCCCAACCGCGTCCACGACGCCCCCAAGCTCCGCGATCTCCGCAAACGCATCGACAACAACAGCATGCCGGTCCACGAGATTGAGGATGCCGCCATGGCCATGCTGCCCGAGATCGCCGAGCTGTCGTCCGACTACCTGGGCAACACGGTCGTGCAGAAGCTCTTTGATAACTGCAGCAACCCGGTCAAGGATGCCATGCTGGCCGAGATCACCCCCCACCTGGCCGAGATTGGCTGCCATAAGAACGGTACCTGGGCCGCTCAGAGGATCATCGATGTCAGCAACACCCCGGAGCAGAAGGTGGCCATCTCCAAGGACGTCCATCCCTACACCTACGCCCTTCTCCTCGACCAGTTTGGCAACTACGTCGTCCAGTGCTGCCTCAAATTCGGCACCCCCTACAACCAGTTCATCTTCGAGACCATGATGAGCCACATGGCCAGGCTGTCCCACGCACGCTTCGGCTCCCGCGCCATGCGCGCCTGCCTGGAGAGCCACTTCGCGACCGCCGAGCAGCTGAGGATGATTGCCGCCCAGGTCGCCATCCACAGCGTCACCCTGGCCACGGACCAGAACGGCGCCTTGCTCCTCACCTGGTACCTCGACACTTGTAACATGCCCCACCGCCGCGCCGTGCTCGCCCCCCGCCTCGTCCCCTACCTGGTGCACCTGTGCACCCACAAGGTGGCGTACCTGACGGTGCTCAAGGTCATCAACCAAAAGGCCGAGCCCGAGGCTCGCGACCTGATTCTCAACGCCCTCTTTTTCACCCCCAACGACGAAGTGCTCACCGCCATCCTCAACGACTCCACCTACGGTGCCACCTTCATCTTCAAGGTCCTCACCACGCCCTTCTTCGAGGATAAGATGCGCGTCCAGATCGTGGAGAAAGTTCGGAACGTTCTCCATAAGATCAAGGCGCAGTCTGGCCAGGGATACAAGCGCCTCATGGACGAGGTTGGTCTCTCGAGGAACGCCAACGGCGGCGGCGGCGGCGGCGGCGGCGCGTCTGGACGGGATGGCAGCTCCCAGTCAGAGCATAGGCAGCGCCCCAACTCGCGCCACCACCAGCACCATGCCGGCGGCAGCACGAATGGCCAGCAGGGCCCGAATGCCGGCGGCGCCAACAGGCAGCAGCCCCAGCCCCAGCCCCAGCCCCAGGTGCCGTTCTACAACGGTAACGGCAACACCGGCAACATCAACGGCAGCGGGAACAACACGGGCCTCGCGCAGCCCCAGCAGCAGCCAGGCCACTTCCCCCTGGGGGCGGGCAATTCCCCCTACCACTTTGGCCTGCCTGTTAACGGCGGCGCCTCGGGGTACCAGGGCTACCACCCGCAGAACTCGATGAACCCCATCGCGCCCTACAATCTCAACCGCGGCATGACGGAGGCGGAGCTGGCCCACCAGGACCGTCTGATGATGCGCGGCATGGTCCAGCCCCCTCCAGTGAACCCGGAGCAGCTCGAGTTCATGGAGCGCATGGCGGCCATGCAGGGCGGCGCACCGCAGTACCCCTGGGGAGGCTACCCCTCGTCCGCGGGCGGCATGGGCGGTGCGCCCCTGGACCCGTCGTCCTTCCCCATGGCTCCCGGAGGCAGCAGCCAGTCGTTTGGACCTGGAGGTGCCGGGCCGGCGCCGCCTCCCGGGTTCAACCCGGCCGGTGCGGCGCCGGGAACTGGCTACGGGAACTACGCGCAAGGTCAAGGCCAGCCTAGTCACAATATGCGCAGACCTTGTACGTCTACTTTGTCCCTCCGCCCTTCTTCCCTCTCTCTAACTCCCTCCGTTTATATCAAGAGCCATCACTGACAATCTTGCTAGAAACGAACTTGACGACTGCCACAGCCTTGACCCCGATCTTCCTTTGATAGGAGAGTACGGGGCCACCAAAGAGACGAGAAGTTAGAAAGGTATGAAGTTATAAAGAGAGGGAATTGGGGCAAAAAGAAGGCGCAATGAAGCATACCAAGAAATTCTTTCAAAAAAATTACTCAAAGAAGCATTTTGACGTTGCCCCTGTAGCGAAATCTTGGAAAGATGACCCAACATGTACAGTATTTTAGGATGTAGACAAGTCAAAAAAAAAAAAAATCCTTGTTTACAACATGTCCTGTTTGCTCCTCAGATAAAGTCCCGATACTAAATGGTGCAGTTTGAATTGGATTGAACTTTTTTTTCTCCTCATTTCCAATATACATGACATTCTTTTGATTCTCTCTTTTTTTTTTCTCTTCAAGATGACTTGACATTTTCCTCCAGGGCTTCGACCACGGTTGAGCCCTCGGGACGGACGGCGACAGGCTTGATGATGTTGGGATTGGAAGGGAAGACCTATTCGTATTAGTCATGATGATATCGGGGATAATACAGGAGAAGGAGAAAAAGAGGGTAGAGGGGAATGAATGGTGAGACAATGAAGAAAGAATATAAAGAAGAAAAAAAAACATACAAAGCTGACGGCATTCAGCATGGCAACGAGAGAGCTCTGGACGACATCCTCGTGGATACCGACACCCCAGGTGAGATTGTTGTCGCCAACCTTGACCTGGACGTACGAGGCTGCCTTTACGCTGCGGCCCTCGCCGATGGCGTGCTCCTTGTAGTCATGGACGTCGACGTCGACATCGAGCTGCTTGAGAGCGGTGGCGAGGCTGGACAGGGGGCCGTTACCCTTGCCGCGGAGCGCCACCTCCTTGCCATCGACGGAGAGGACACCCTCGAACAGGCGCATGAGGTTCTGCGTGCTCTGCGTCTTGCCCGGGGCTGGGGGGTTGGGCGACGCGGACCGGTCGGGCGTGATGCTGTAATCTATCAGGACGAAGCGGGGGGAGGGCGGCAGGTAGACGCTCTCGAATAGGGAGGTGATCTCCTCGGACTGGAGCTCCCGGCCCAGACGGTTGGCCTCGCGCTGAACTGTGTCCGAGAAGGCCACCTGCAGACCACGGGGGAGGTCGAGGTGCAGCTTGCGGAAGATGACCCATGCTGAGCCGCCCTTGCCGCTCTGCGAGTTGACACGGATCACGGCCTCGTATGTACGGCCAATGTCCTCCGGGTCGAGGGGGAGGTACGGGATCTGCCAGCGTGTGTTGGTGTCGTCGTCAGTCTTCTTGACTTCGTTGTCGCGCTCCTGGAAGCCCTTTTTGATCTGTAAAGGGTGTGCGTGTCAGTATTTGATTTTTGCCCTTCCTAGCCTTCTTCTTGCTCTTCTTTAGACTCGTTGGGGGGGGGGGGAGACGGAGCAGCATACAGCATCTTGGTGACTTCCGGAAAAGGCAGAGTACACCAGACTGCCGACGTAGGGAGTGCGAGGGTGCACGGGGAGTCTTGTGCACGACTCAACCATCTCAATGACACGGTTGAGGTCAGAGAAGTCGAGCCCCGGGCTGATGCCCTGGGTGTACAGGTTCAGGGCGAGGGTGACGAGGTCAATGTTACCGGTACGTTCACCGTTGCCTAGAATGACTCCCTCACTTTATGTTGTCAGATTTTCCTCTTCTTCCTGTTTCTGTGTGCGCATGCTTTTTTGGTTGCTTGTTCTCAGGGAGGTTACTCACACTCGATCGGCACCGGCCATCTGGCCCAGCTCGGCGGCAGCAACGGCGCATCCCCTGTCGTTGTGGGGGTGCAGAGATACGCAGATCTTTTCACGCTCGGTGATGTTGGTGCAGAAGAATTCAATCTGGTCGGCGTAGACGTTTGGAGGAGCCTAGAGTAGTACAGGGTCAGGATGAGTCAGGAGAAGAGGGAGGGAGAGAGGAAAGGTGCGTGCATGTGTATGGAAAGCACGACGACGTACCATCTCGACAGTAGCAGGCAGGTTAAAGATGATCCTGTTCTCGACCGTGGGCTCCCAGGCGGCCTTGACGGCATTGCAAATTCTGACGACGAACTCGGGCGACGAGTCGGAAAAGGTCTCTGGGCTGAACTCGAACTGCCAGTTGGTCGTGTTTCCGGGGGCATCCTTTGTCAGGGAGCGGACGAGCTTGGTGCACTCGACGGCCAGGGCCAGGCTCTCCTCCTCGGAATAATTGAAGACGACGCGGCGGAAGCACTCGCTGGTGGCGAGGTAGATGTGTATGATGGCGTTCTTGGATCCCCGAACAGCCTCGACGGTGCGCTTGATCAGCTGCGGGCGGCAGGGGGATAGGACCTGGATGGCGACATCGTCGGGGATGGCCCCCGGAGTCTCGACCAGGCGTCTGGTGAAGTCGAAGTCGACCTGGGACGCGGAAGGGAACGACACTTCAATCTCCTTGAAGCCGATATCGCACAGCATCTTGAAATAACGCCATTTCTCATCTCCGTCCTGAGTTTTTGTTGGTTAAATATATGGCGCTTCGGTCAATCGGGAAATGGTTATATATCAATGGACCCCAGATAGAGAGAGGAAAGAGATTGGGGGGGGGGGAAACGAACCATGGGATTCGGCAGACTCTGGTTTCCATCGCGAAGAGACGTGTCGAGGAATCTGCAGGGCGCATCGAGAGTCCTGGACGGCCATTGCCGGTTGGGCAGGTTGAGGGGAGGAAACTTCTTGTATTTCCTCCACGGTTCCTTAAGCCTTGGAAAGTGTTAATGTCAAGAGGTCGAGTAGGGAAGGAAAGGGCGTGTGATTGAGAAGACGTACATTGGCATCTTGGCTGCGAACTGTCAATGGACTTTGAATGTACGACGCAGATACAAGGGGAGCGGCAGAAAGCAACGGAAATCCAGATTAAAAGCTGGATTTTATATGTGATCTCGGGAGAAGTTGGCCTGACTCACTTTCGCCCTTTCCCTCCTCCGGTATATCGAGGGGTTTTGGCGGGGTCATGGAGGGGCAATGCTGGTTACGTAAGGCATCAATTTTTTATATTTTTATATTTATTAAATTTTTTTTCTAGGGAAGATGCCATATTATACAAGCGACAACATGAAGCACCCCGAGAGCTATAATACTGGACATTGTTTTCTGGGAAATGGAATATTCAATATATCTGTCATTCACTACTACTCATTATTACTAGGATAACAACACAAGTGATGCACCCTGCTGACGAGCATGCATGAATCATAGGGCACAGATGAGTCTCGCTCTCCCGACTACGGAGCGGCTCCCGACGGCTTAACCCTCTCTTTGTGTGTCGAACATCCGAGTAATAAATCTATCATTGAACTTTTGCATACACATGACAATACATACATACGCACATACATACACAAGTAACCCCCTCCCTTTACTAGTCGATTATAGAGGTTTACCCTAAAAACGGAATCTTCTCACTCCCTCTACATATCCTCTTATCGGGTCGCTGCGCAAGAGGCTTGGTTGAACGTGTTGACTGTACAGAGTACAGGGCCCGGATTCATGGGTACATACCTTTCCACTTCTACCCTTCACCACCAACCGCCTGCATAGTATCAAGAAGGTTCGGATCGTGACAAGTACACGCTCTCCGTACAGTGATTGACGATGTGATATCCAAGACTCCCATGCGACGGGTCAGAATCGTGGAGCTCTTCGGGTACCACGGTGCCAGGAGAGTCCGGGTCGGTGTCGTCTTGCGTGTATATCTCGTTGGGGGGGTATGCATGCTGGGGAAGGGTCGATCTTTATTGAATCATCTGCCTTGGTTGTGTCAGAGCAGCATCGGAAGCGCGCTGCCCCGTCAGATCGTACCGATGTATCGTACATTCTGCCGGCCACGGTCCCAGCAACATATGTGGTTATAGGCGAGTATAGAAAACATTGACGTCGGTATTGAGGGACCACAATGTATGTGCGAATCACGTAATATACGTTCGGTACCACCCAGCCTTCCACCCATCAACCGTCTGTAAGTCGAGCATGGTCTCGAGGATGGCATGCGTGCCGTCGGACGGCCCCATCCCGGCCAGAACGCCCGAGACGCAAGCCACCAGACGGGATGCATGTTGGCCCCCCTGGTCGGTGAGCGTGGAGTGCCACCGGCTGGCCAAGAGAGAGTTCCGCAGCCCTCCCCCCCCCCCCCCGTGAACACCAGGACGCCGTCTCACCGCGCCGTCGTGGTGTAGGTCTTGCCGGCGACGAGCCGGTAGGTCTGCGCCGGCAGCATAGCAACCATGTACGTCCTACGTATCGACTCGGACAGCACTCACGTCTTCCACCGCATGGTTGCATCGCTGTCGTTCTCCGTTGATTTCCGAGTAGAAGAAGAGGCACTGCGCAGGGCTCCACAACGTTCCGGACGCCGTCTCCGACGCGGCCGTCCCCTGCATCTCGTGGGTCCACGTCTTGGCCCGGCCTGGGTATTCCTCCGCCCGCACGCGAACGCCAATGTCCCCATCGTGGAGGCGTATAGACAGGCAGACGCACAGGTAAATGGTGCGCGAGTATTAGAGGACTGCACCCATAGTATCGTTGCTGCCGCCGCTATCATCCCTGCCACCGTCCCATGCGGCTGCTGCTGCTGCTGCTGCTGCCTCCTTCTCACGCACCAGCTCCTTGGCCTTTCCCACCACCATGCCCAGGACGACGACCTCGGCGGCCCGCGTGCGGGAGTAGTACGCCACCAGGGTGAGGTAGGCGTCGGGCAGGCGCCGCGGTAGGCTCAGCATGTGCAGGTAGCCGTGGACCAGGGGGGCAGTGGCCGTCCGTCACCGACTGCGACATCCAGCTATGCATCTGCCGGGAAAAGGGTGGGAGCGCCCCATTCCGAACGGCGAACTCCAGCTTCGTGTGGTGCTCTACCGTCCTCGTGGCCCACGACGACTCGGGGAGTAGGAATCACGAGGAGGCTAACAAGCCCGGGCCCGAGGACGTCCCTGTGCTCGTGGCCCCACTCGCGGCCCCACCCGCGGCCCCAGGGCCCGTGACTCCTCCTCTTCCTGTAGAGAATAAGCCCCATATGCCCATGTGTCGTCGTCGTATGGTGGAGGTATCCGCGAGGATGTAGACTCCATCCCAGCCATATCTTTCTCACGTCTTCTCCCCTATCTCCGAAGACAAACAGGGACACGGAAGTTACATATTACCATCGGCCTTGGTACGATGTACTTGCACGTGCATGTATTGACCTAGATCTACGCTGAACTGTATGAGGACTTTGTCCCCACGGCAATCGCATGGACACTGGGACAAACTGGCGGAGAAGTTCCCACTCTTCTGAGCCTCTCGTCTCGTAGCGATTGATGATTCGTGATGGACATCGTCAATCCTGTTGGCCTCAATTGCACGGGAGGGCCGGCAATAGAAGTCTTGATCTTCTTCACGCATATATAAGGGAGTACGATTCATCTCAAATGATATCCATCTCTAATCATGCTACATCTCAAAAGACACTCTACATCTCAAAGGACATCCTACATTCAAAACGCATTTCACGCACTCAAATCACTCACCCACCTTCTAAGGCACATCCAAGATGAGCCTCCCCGGATTCAAGAAATACCACAAGGCACCCTACGACGCTATCTCACCTCCTTCGTCCCGAGCTCTCCCAGGCCGGCCAGACGGTCCCCATCACCGGCGGCGGCGACAGCATCGGCCTAGTCATAGCTCAGGCCTTCGTGGGCCGCCAAGGCCTCCAAGGCCGTCATCGTCGGCCGCCGCAGCCACGTCATCGACGCTTCGGTCGAGCAGCTCAGCCGCGAGGCCCGCGAGGCTGGCAACGCCGCCACCACCGTCGATGGGTACACGTGCGACCTCGGCAGCACCGAGTCCACCGCTGCCCTATGGGAGAAGCTCGCCGGCGCTGGCACCCACGTCAACGTCCTGGTGCTCATCGCCACCATCCCCGGGGCGCCCAGAACCTGCTCGATGCCGACCTGGCCACGGCGTGGTACTCGTATGAGATCCACGTCTGTTCCCTGCTAGACTTCACCCAGAACTTCCACAAGCAGCCTAGGTCAAAAGGTAAGAAGGTAAGGTTTTCTATATCACATCATCATCATCCCATACATATTTGTATATGTAGAAGGAAAAAGGGAAAGAAAGGAAAAGCTCTGACACGGCCACCACAGAAATACCTCATCAACGTCTCGACCGTAGCATCGTACATGCACTCCCTCAGTCAGGGTCTTCCCACATACGACATCTACAAGAACGCCGGCACTCTCCTCCTTTGGCACCTTGCCAGGGCCGTTCCAGCTAGTCAGATGCAGATCGTGAGCCATCACCCTGGCGCTGTCCTCAGCGAGGGAGCGAAGAGCATCGGTGCTGCCGAGACTCACCGCAACGCTAGTGACGGCACTGTTCTCGTTTTGATATTCGTTCTTCTGTTATTCAAGAGAAGAAAAGAAGAAAGAAAAATAAGAGGCTCACCCAGAATTTCTTCAATCCATCTCCCCGGGAATCTCGTCATGTAAACAGCCACTGACCTGGCCGAAGTCATCCGCGGCCGCTTCTTCTGGGAAAATTGGGACGTCAACGAGGTTAGGGAGGTCAGGGAGGTCATCGGAGAGCGTATCTCTCGGGAGCTACATTTCTTGACTGTCGGCGTTGAGGGATTGATTGCCTGAGCGTCCTCTTCCCTTGGGAGTTCCGCTAGATTTCACAGTCTAAGAAGGGGGGTGAGTATGTCCCGTAACCATCCAATAGTCCATTTAGATAGATGTAAAACTCATGATGATTTAATCCTTTCTATTCTTTATATAACAATTCGCAGCCCATAGGCTCGAGAAGAAGCCCCGATTACCAGACGCGCAAGTGTGGTGTGATCAAGAAGGGGTACATGACGATTTTTTGTGCCAAAAAAAGGGAAGCGTCGCACGAAATGCACAAATCAACCGAAGATGAATAGAGCAAAGAAAAAAAGCATAATAATAGGAATTAAGAGTATATGAAACTCCTCGTCAACGCCAGGTAAAGTTTTTCTCAACTTTACTATCCCCATCCCATAATCCAGAAATGATGACTACAAGGCGCAAGAGACGAAAAAACCGGAAAGAGTGGGAGGGAAGGGAAAAAATGGTCAAATACAAAAAGGCTGCGGAATGCGAACCCAAGTTTGAGAGTTTCCGTACGACGAAAAAAAGAAATCAAGGAATGGCGAGTGATCGCGCTCGCAAAGGAGATGGAAAAGGAATGGGGGCAGCGACGTCGTGAAAATAGGAAAAAAACGATGGTGGATCCATGTGTGCCCAGACTAATCGCAAACCATGGCTCCCTCGTGATCGATGATAGTAGACGGAGGTGTCGGTTCTGTCACGAGTGGCTCCGACTCAGCCTTGGCTTCACGCTCCTCCGCTGGCTGTCCCAGCGCCGCCGCACGTGATGCGACGGGCAACGATCCAGAAGAAGCCAAGGATGATTCGCCGAGGATGCTCCTGATCGTGCTGCTCATCGTGTCCATCTGCGCTAGGAGTGCGCGGAGGCTGACCTTGTCATTGTCTGCTAGCTGCCCGCGCGAGACGTTGCTAGCATCACCGAGGGCAATGAGTGAAATCATTGTAGGTTCAGCCGATGCCTTTGAAAGAGCGTTAGCATACTGTAGTTTCCCCAGACTTTAAAATGGGTTGGCTCACCAGCAAAGCAGATGTGAGCTTCTGCAGCTGCAAGTTGTCGGTCGGCGTTTTATTGAGGCTCGCCAGTACCAGAGAGGCCTGCATCTCGTCCATGTTTCTGCAGCCATCCGCAAATGCACCGCCCATTTGGTAGTTATGTGCTTGAGGTTGCGCTACGTCCTCGACGGGCGGGGTCAGATACGGCTCCCCCCTCCTATGAGATTCATCCTTGCGCGGTGCAAATCCTGCACCTTGGCTGCGAAGCTTCTCGATGAAGTCGAGACGGACACCCTTGACCGGCACCTTGTACGTACGGCCAAACGATGTCACATCTCTCCAGCCAGACCTGTCGTTGCTGTCCTCGGGCTCGGAACCCCAGTCAATCTCGATGTGACCGTTATTCCTAAGGCCACGACCGAGGGCTGAGGTGACGGGTGCCGACCCCTTGACCTTGCGGAAGCGATGAGCCGGACCGAGCGGGTGCGCCTCTAGGAGAAGGTCATCCATGTGTGCCGGACATTTCCACGTCTTGAGGACCGGGGGCACAGCCAGAGGCGGATCGAGGCAGTCGATATGCCAGTGAAGCGGACAGGTACTGCAGGGAATGATAGCGCGAGTGTCGGAAGCTGACTTCTGGCATCCGTGGCAAAGGACTGCCTCGCCATCCTCGCGCTGCTTGAAGAAGTCAAAGGCCTCCTCATAGCCATGGGTCCTTCGCCTCGTAGAGACCCCCTTATTCGTGTTGACCTCCTCATAGTCCCCGTCGGGACCCACCTTGACGCCTTCGAAGCGGTACTGGACCTTCTTCGGTAGGCTAAAGGCACGGTGAATGCTCTTCTCCAGATTGTTCAGAGCAGAGCCAAAGACGCCCTTATGGACCTCGACGCGTGAAGGGTACCGTTTCACAAAGCATTCGTTACAATACCATTCATCCGGCAGGTCCTTTGAAGGATCCATGTCAACACATTCGAAATGGAATGACCTGGGGCAGCCATCGCAGCAGACGACGTCACCGGCGTTTCCGCAGGCTGAGCAGTACTCGTCATTATCGGTCATCTATGAGATAAAAAAGATATGTTAGCCACCAACACATGTTCCAGAGAGAAGCCTCATTTTTCTTCTTCTTGCTCCATTGGCCCTCGCTCCTTCGGAACTGTCTGCCGTGACAAGGGGAGGGAGGGGAAGGGGGGCTGATGACTTGTGGCACATGAATCGGGGGGTTGGTTGGAGAAAGAGGGCCCTGGTCTCTCTCACTCATGGGCCATGCGCCAATTTCACAACGCGCTGAAACGTTGGGTTGCATAGGCGCGCGATCGAGCCACGGGCCATCCCACACAACCACCCTTTTCGACCATGAGAGAGCCCTCTTGATGGACGGCAGTATCTCCGGTGATGGACAAGGAAGAAGAAGGAATAGGATGCATATGATAATGATGAATAGAGCGACAAGAAAAAAGACGTAAGCTTGTGCACACAACGTACCTGATCCTTGGGATTACCCCCGTTGGTGGAAAATGGCAGGGCATCACCCACAGCCCTAGGCACACCGGCAGCAGTGCCTCCCTTCTTCTTAACGGGCCTGCAGTTTGAAGTCAGCTTTATGAGATTTCGCATGAAGATTATAATGAGAATAGTCAAGTCTCAGAGTGTGTGCTTAGTTTTTTTTTGTGGGGATAAGAAAGGTGAGTGAGTTGCCACCCTCATTCGGAGATGAGACACGCGCACGCACTGATGATGACAGAGAGGCCTCTCTCCTCACAAATCCATCGCGTCGGGGGGGAGGGGGAACGGCCTCTGGGGATTTGGAAGTGGGGGAGGGTATATGACAGTCAAGTGAAAGGGAATAAAACTTACGATGACTTGACACGCAGTCCAGTCTTCTGCTTCTTGCTCGGCCTCAGGGAGGTAGCGGTCGGCGTGACTGCGCGTGAGCCGGCAATGGAGCTGCCTTCGCCCTGAGCGGATACTGAACGCCCACACGGCGATGCAAGCGTGTCACCGTCATCATTCGTCCTCTTGCTGGCAGAGCGCGTGGCCCGGGCGCTCGCAGAGGGCATGAGTGACTGTCGCGTCCTCCGCGAAGACCTCAAAGGCGTGGTCTCGCGAGTCGCATCACTGTCACGAACCGAACTCTCGTTGGCGGCGTAGCTGTCCGTCATCTTGCTGGCCTCCATGCGCCTGGACCAGAAATCAACTCCATGGTCTGGAGTTGTTGTCACCCTGGTGGCGGCGGTGGTGGTAGTGCCGGTCTTCTTGGCCGTGGCAGTAGGAGCAGCCGTCGCGGTTGCCGACGTGTCCGTAGGGGAAATTCCGTCGTCGCCGGGCGCCACTGATGTGGCAAGCCTTCCAGGCATGCTAGGCTCATCGCCCGAAAAATCGGCACGCGTTTGGCGATGACGAGACTGCGAATTCGTCGTGATTGATGATTTGGGAAATCTAAGGGTGGTGGGAGAGTTTGATTCAGACGTCCTGCTGTGTCGCGACTGCTTGGTTGAGCCAAGTGATTTGCGGCGGGTGGTGATTGGCCCGGTCTCTGATTGCGATGGGGGCTGGTGCGGCCCAGCGGTGGCCTCCACGGCCCTCGCTCTCGATCTGGCTTCTACCTTGGGCGCCCCTCGCAGCGACGGGCTGCCCGGTCCAGAATCCGTCACCAGTTCACTGTCTTCTGGCAGCTCAGGTGACGATAGATTCTCCACAGGTGACAAGGATGAGTCGCTCGATCCCGACTCCCTGCGTGCACGCTTCCTAGATGACGAAGTCTTGACCTTGACCCTGACTGTGTCCTTGAACTTTGAAGCTGGGGGCGTCGTCTTCTCGCGTGGGTTTTCGTTACTGCTGTCCTTTCTGCGATGCGTGATCTTAATCTTTTTTGTCGCACGCATCTCGCCGTCATTTCTGTCACCAGCTGGTGTTGTGTTGGTAGCGGTTGGGTCTGTGGCGACGGTTGTGCGGTGAATGAGCTTCGCGTAGGGCGCAGCTTTGGGCTGGTGGGGAGCGACGCGACCGTCACCCGATGGAGGGACAAAGTAGTCCCGGCCGTGGTTGTGCCGCCTCCCCTCACGCTTCTTCTTCGCGAGCATTTTGGAAAATGACTTGACCTCTGATGCATCCGCAGTCTGCGCAGAGACACGCTCTAGCATGGTGATGAATTTGGCGTCGCCCACCCGCTCATCGTAGAGACTCCTGAGCGCCCACGCTGTAGGATAGCGGTTGTGAGCAACAGCCTCATCCACAGCTACGGCAACAGCTCTTTCGACGTAACGAGGGCCGAGAGACTCGTAGGGCGCCGGTTGCTGCTGATGAAGAAGCGCATGGTGCTGCGGCGGTGGTGGTGATGAGTGGCGCCTCTTGACAGGAGACACCTTGGTCGACGACACGATCGAGTTCCGCCTCACGCTTGACGGCGGCCGCCCCCTCTTAGGGAGTGCAGGGCGGCCCATGGGCCTGGCCAGTGAAGCGGACTTTACAGGATCGTATTCCTCGTCGTCCTCGTTGCTGTTGTTGTTGCCGTTGATAGTGATGTTGTCGTTGTGAGTTGGCAGCGACTTGCGTAACGGACGACGAGTGGATGAGTTACGTTGAGTGATGGGTGACGAGTTGGGTGCCGACGGTGCAGGTGCAGATGCAGCACATGCAGCAGCTGCGGAAGTAGCTGAAGATGGGGCAGCACCGCTCGCTGCAGCCGCGACCACGGCGTCATCCCCCGTGGTGGCCGGCGTGTTGGGAGCCGGCGATGAATCCTGCGCAGGGGCCGAGTCGCTCGAAGGCTTAGCCGAGGGCCTCAGTATGATCTTTCGCACCGTAGAGCTGTGTCCATTCTCCTTATCCTGCTTCTTCCCCTTGGGCATAGATCCGAGAGGCGCCATGTTGCCCAGGACGCCATAGCGCTGGAGTCCGGCCTGCTCGCCGCTCGTCTTGTTCTGCACAGAAGGTTCCAGCCACCTCTGCATAAGAGTCCGCGATCCGCTGTTGTCATCCTTGGAACTGGAGCTCCTCTTTGCGCTGTCATTTTCTGGTCCCTGCTGTGGCTGGGCAGGACTCGAGTATCGTGACCGCGTCGCTCTGGTTTTGGATGCCGATATCATGGTGCCTCTGGCGTCAAAGAGTTTTTTCTTTTTTCTTCCAAAAAAAAAAAAAAGAGATATTGGAGAGAAAAATGAGGATACAGAAAAAAAAGAACAATCTACCCAACAGTCCTCGCTCCTGGGCAGGTTTGGCTGGTTCGAAGCCCTCCCCCTTTTTTGCGAACCGGGAAGCACCTTTTGCTCAGACCTGGGATAGCACAAACGCGCGCGCCGTCGTTAGCCACTATTTAATCTCCAAGCTTGGTCGCGTCTTTGGATGGAGCTGCCACGATGGAAACCGATGATTTGGCTCACCAGTATTTTTAGAAGTGAAGCAAGTCACCAGATGCCTCTCTCCCTTCTGTAAGGATAAAAATGCGTCCTTGGATCGCAAGTTGGTGTTGTGCATCAAGGAAGGGGAAGAGCAGGAGGGTTTTGGTGGCGGTGGTTTTCCTTTCTGCTGGGGGTTTCGGAGTGCACGGCAGCCATCAATCGCTGGCACTGGCACGGGCAGCTCCCGCCTAGATCGTGCAGTCACAGCGCCTAACCACTGCACTGTATCTACTATAAGCAGCTGAAGCTACCTCCCACAATTAAGCTCTCCCCCCCCCCCCCCCCCCCCCCCCCCCCCTCCGCGCGCGGATAACGACAAAATGTATGCAATCAGTGCCCAGTGTCCCTTGCCCTGGAAGTGTAATATTGGACCGGCCTTTTTCTCTCTATCACACTCGTAGGTACTTCTTCTCCAATGATGCTCTTTTTTCTCCTGTATTCCTGTTGCTTGTTGCAAGTGCGCAAGATTTCACAATAGATTGGGTAGGACTGGCGATACTATCAGAGAAGTATTACTAGTAGCAACAATGTCAATGTGTAACTCGACTTGTATAAAAAACCATCCCATGCGTCTCGCGCCTCACATTTTATAATCCATCCATTCCTCCTAAACAGGCTTTAACCCAGTTCGACAAACTTTCCTTCTACTCTTCCCGTGAGATCCACCAAATCCAGTCCTGCTATAAAACATGGAGAGGTTCAGACGAGGCAAGCCCAGAATAGATTACCTATTCTCATTCTGAAAGAGAAAGGGAGGGGGTAGGGGGGAGGGGGGAGGGAGAGAGAATCAGAGAGAATCAATTCGTTCTTTATTGTATTTTCCTTTCCAGCTCTTGCCAGGTGGCAATGCTTTTCTCTCCCTCTCGGCCTTTCTTCGTGGTGTATCCCCTGTGGCCTGTTTCCCCCCGCCTTGGTGCTTCCCCCCCTCTCCTGAAGAACCTATCCTGGGCAGCTCAGTTTCTTCCGCCCCTCCATCCTCCTCCTACTCCTCCTCTTCCCTCCCGCCCCCTGCTACAGGACCAACACGCATGTCGGCTTATTGCCCCCATCACATCCCATCCGATAACAAGTCAGTGAATCACGCACGTAATACATACCCCTCCCCTCTCTTGACCTCTTGACTCTTGTTTCCCCTTTTCCCCCTTTTTCTGCTTCCTCCCATAGAAGCAAAACGGGGGGGAGCACACACAAAAAAAAGGGGGCTGGTTTCGCATCCGCCTCGTTCTGCAAGTCATTGGGGCCACACACACGCAAACAAGGTTCCGAGCGTATCCAGTAGATTGCATCTCTCAATCGTCATCTACCAGTATATTATACCACGCCCCGTTTACTGGTAGTCTGCCACGATTTTGCTGCCCGAGGGGTCTTCTTCTTTTTCCTTCCCCGTGGTGCAACCCCTCGGCCTTGTTGCGAGGTGCGTGAAACAGCAGTAGATGTTTTTATTTTATTTCTTTTGCCTTCCGTTCCCTTCCACATTCCGGGTTGACTCTTTCTCGCAGCTTAGAGTGTCAGCAAGCTAAATGGCTCGGTGCCTCGCTCCCACGTTAAAAGGCATGGGCATGGATTCTTGCCTTTCCCTAGTCCAACTTCTCCTAGCTTACAAGTCCGACGACAGCTATGCAAGCGCCCGCTATACCACACCCGCGATTTTCACTCGGCGCTCTCGCCCTCCTTCTTGGTGGTCTTCTTCTTCTTGTTCTTCTTGCCCGTGTTCCTCGACAGGGGCTGCTCAAGGATAGCGAGCACCTCCTCATCCGTAATATTCTTGTCCGACTGGATCTTACTGAGGTCCACAGTGGGAGGTCCACTGAGCTTGGTGATGCCGTTCTTGGTGATGGCTGACAAGGGTAACAGCTGTTAGCTCGCCAGTTTCTTGGGGAAGCTGGAAATGGTACTCACCAATTGTGGTCAGGAGTCTGGCAACAGGAGCGTCCTCCTTGTCGCCGACAACCTCGTACTGGCGGAAGACGTTTCCGCGAACACACTCGACGACACCAGTCTTGGCGTCGCGCTCGTCCTCGAGCTGCCTTAGGCTGAACGGGAAGTTGCCAAACTTCTTCTGGACTTCGGAGAGGACCTTGCGCGATGTGGGCCTCTTCAGGCCGTAGGTCTGGAGGGTGCGGCGGTGGAGGGTGGCGCGGTTGTCAAGCGTCTTGACCTTGCCGGAGCCCAGGCTGACGCCTATCTCGACACCCCAAACCTCGGACGTCTCGGGGACACCATCGCCCTTGGCTCCCTCAGAGGGAGCTAGGACAATCTTCTTTGAGCCCTCAATCTCATTATGGCCAAACAGCCACGACGTGGTGCTCTCGACCAGCTTGACCTCGTAGCTCCCACACACCTTCTCCAGGAGCTGGGTGATGGCGGACTGCGTGGGGGCCTTCTTAGCGGCGGCCTTGGCCTTTTCCTCGTCCGAACCCTGAGCTAGGAGGCCGGGGGGGACCATCAGACGCAGGAGGAGCTCGTTGGCGTAGTGTGTGGCGAGCAGAAGGTCAGCGTCGCGGCCAGTGATGGTGGCGTCAGCGGCCTGGCCGGCAATGACCGTGTCGCAGACAATGGTGCCGAAGCCGTCAATCTGGGCACCCAGTTGGATCTTGATGACCTCGCCCTCCTTGATCTCGGCCGAGGCCTCAGCCTCATCTGAGGTTAGGGGGGTGTAGGGAGTGATGAACGACGAGGGGGAAACGGTCGTGGGGTGCGCGAAACCTACACGGCCCCGGGTCAGCACACGGGCAGAGATGGGCTGCCAAAGGGGCGGCGGCGGCCCGGAAGAAAAACAACAAAACATACCCTTAGTGACCTTCTTGCCGCGGTAGACCTTGGCGATCTCCTCCTCCATCAACTTGTCACCCTTCTGGCAGATCTCGACATACTTGGCGCCGGGAACGCAGAGCTCAGCGACAGCAGCGAGCACCTTCTCCGAGATCTGACCAGCAGTCTTGTACTTGGTGAGAGTGTCAGGATTGTTGAGCGAGTAATCTATACATGATTGTCCATGTTAGTAGATGGGAAAGCACGTGTCATAGTGCTAGTAGGCGACTGGCGCTCGTGATCGTGTGGTTTTCATGACGTGGAGGGCTGGGAGAGAAGGTATGGCGGGGTAGCGACTGCTGCTGCTGGTGGATGAGGGGCACAGCAGCAGTATGCAATAATAGCGGTAACAAAGGAAATGAAGTAAAAGAGCGAAATTATTACATACCGGTCTCCGTCGTCGTCTTCTCGTCCGACATGATGGGCAAATGAGTGATTCGGTTAGACGTTGGGTGGAGAGGGAATTGCAGAGTGTGTTTAAGATGATGGAGTTCTTTTGGGCTGTTTTTGTTCCGGCGTGTGCGAAAAGTTCAGTGTTGTGTGGGGGGGGGGGAGCGAACGAGAAGAGCTTAGTCGTCGTGGTAATAATAATAAATAATAGCATGTTCACTCTCTCCCTCTTTTTCCCCGTAGACGGCCGATGAAAACGGAGCCCAAGGTACCTACCTAGACGAGCTACATAGAATGGAGGGGCTCGACACTCTCGATCCAACCAATTTGCACCCAACTTTTTACGTATTTTTGCCTACTTTTCTGTGCGTCCAGTCTTCTCTTCCAGCTCATACGTCACGTCACGGGCTACGAACCTGTTTTCTTTTTCGAGTATCGAGTATCCATCGTAGCTAACTCGACCCAGTATAACAGCAGGACTGTGGGCAATATAAATCACTTCGGATAGCAGTGATGTGGTATCAATGCCGTAGCATTGAATACGTGAGCCCTCATGTTTAACCTACTATTATTACCAAGTAGTAGTAATAATAGCAGTAGCATGTACAGATTACACGATGCGTCCTTGTCTGTGATTGACACCACATGTCATCTCATAACCATTGCAGGCGTTACGACTAGATGATAATACCTAGTTCTAAAAGCGTAGTTGCATAAGAGGAGGCTAAATGGTTACACTTCATATCTCTGCTCGTCTCATGCCTGTTGTCTACAAAAGACATTGTTGGCATTGAAGCTTTGAAATAGCTCAAGAGCTTTAAGTTTGGTGCTCACATGGACAACCAGATCTCTCCCCCCACACTGCTCATCATTAGCCGATAACGCAGTGGTAAGCGTAGTAAAAGTCGTCATACTTTAGTACCGTCATAAACCACCATATTCCAACGCATATACACCAGAATATAGCATCATTTCTTCTGCTCTATACAAAGTTGCGTGCTTCTCTTTGTCGAACAGAGCTACCCTTTATTACTGGGCACCATGTCGAAAATGTTTAGCCCTGGAAGGCGCGTGGGCCAGCAGTTGGCGCGGTATGATTGGACCATTCAAGACCTATTTGAACACTAGTCATGGTACCAGCTGAGACACGCATTTTCTCACCAAGAAGCATGTATCACTACCAGCCTCTTGTTAGCACCAAAAGTACTGCTGGTCAGCCTTCCTTGCCTCAGCCAAACAACGGGGCAATTAGGAGGCTGCGGCTGGCGCGAAGCGCAACATGACTGCTGCACAGAGTCAAGATCGCGAGACAAGGAAAACCCGACACCCCCCAGGCTCGGCTCCCCCTTCGATGTACGCCGGCATCTCGACCGAAACGCGCGCGCTTCATTTTGCCATCGTCGACCCTGCTAGCCTCTTCCCCTGCGTTGTCGATAAACACGTTGCGAGTAAGGGAGAGCCGCAGGGGCGCGGCCATACGCGACCGAGAAGATCAAGTGCTTTAATATCGCCCCCATCGAAATCTCGCCCTTTAAACCCCCGGCAAATTGGCCTGCCTGTCCTTGGGGTGAAATCCAGGGCGCGACATCATTGCCATCACAATGGCTTCGGAACACACGACATTGACCGGCGATGCCTCACCCCTTCGGGCGCCGACGGCACCAACCGCCGATGAAGATGCCAGCAGCGGCAACAAGGATGCGTCCGGGCCGCCTGGCGACGACGGCGATGGGATGGTGACGGCGAAGATCCCCGTGCGTACCAAGGAATCCTTCAACAAGCTCATGATTGAGCGGTACACTATGCGGGACTCCATTGCTGCCGCCGCTCTCAACCAACAGCACCTTCATACTAGGGAGTACCTGGGCAGGATGCGTGATACCGTGGCCGATTATAGGGCTATGCGCAGCGACTACCGTCAGTGGTTTACCCCGGGAAGGCTGTACGGAGACGGTTATAGCGGATTTGGTAATGGGCACACGGAGAACCAGGCCCCCTCGAGGGTCGTGTACCCCCAGCAAAAGGTGCGCCCGGGCCGCAGGATCACGCCGCCCCTCAAGTGGAAGCGCAAGGACATGGCCAAGCAGGCTGACCAGCATGAGGAGCTGGTGCCAGTAAGGCTTGAGGTGGAGTGGGACAAGGTAAGGCTGCGCGACACTTTTACCTGGAACCTGCACGAGCGCATCGTCCACGTCGAGCTCTTTGCTTCGCAACTAGTCGAAGACATGGGGCTCAAGCCGCCTGCCGCCCAACCCGTCTTCGACCAAGTGGTGCACCAGATGCGCGAGCAGCTCAACGACTTCTACCCTCTCGTCTACTCGGATGAGGACGCCCTTGATCCAGAGCTTCCGTACGCCGCCTACAAGAACGATGAGATGCGCGTCCTCATCAAGCTCAACATCACCATTGGCCAGCACACCCTCGTGGATCAGTTCGAGTGGGAGATCAACAATCCCTCAAACTCTCCCGAGGAATTTGCCGCCAACATGTCGCGCGATCTGGCCCTGTCCGGCGAGTTCACCACGGCCATTGCCCACTGCATCCGCGAGCAGACCCAGCTCTTCACCCGCAGCCTGTACAGCGTCGGCCATCCCTTTGATGGCCGCCCCATCGAGGACCCGGATCTCGTGTCGGCCTTCCTGCAGACGCCCTTGCCCAGCGTGTTCCGCCCGCAGCAGCAGGCCAAAGAGTACGCTCCCTACTTGTATGAGCTCACCGACGCCGACCTTGAGCGCAACGAGACAATCCTATCGCGCGAGCAGCGGCGGCAAAAGCGATCCATCAACAGGCGTGGCGGACCGCAGCTTCCCGATCTTAGGGAGAGGCAGCGGACGATCCGGACGCTGGTGGTGTCGTCGACGCTGCCCGGCGCCGCAGCGAACCCGGAGGAGAGCAGGCTGTACAAGACGGTGGTCAAGCCTGGCAGGAAGAGGCAGCTGCGCGACGGCGACCTCTCAGAGTCAGACGACAGCGAGGATTCAGCACCCGACTCCCCCGCGCCGACGTCGTTCCTGGCTCAGGGCACTGCCCGTACTAGAGGCATGCGCGGAGCCGCCTCAGTTGCCACGCACAGGATGGCGCACTTAGGCCGGTCCGAGACGCCCGACGCTGCCATCGAAGCGTCAACACGGTCGTCGCGCCGCCTCCGCGACGAGACCGAGGAGCCCACGCAGCTTATCGTGACATTGTCGGTCAACAAGGAGAAGCTCCGCAGACTCATACGCGGCGACTACCGCGACATCAAGGCCACGCCGTCCCAGCCCCAGACCCCCACCGGCACCCCCCGGATGCGCCAGCCCAGTAACCCGAAGACCATGCCACCTCCTCCGTCTACGCCGGCTGCCATCGCCACCCCCACCGCCGCCCCATCTGCGACCCCGCAAGCCTCGGGTAGCACATCATACACATACCCGCCAGGACAGATTGGTCGTCTGCCGGCACCACCCGTGATGCCCGGCCAACCACAGCCCCCATCGGTGAGTTTTCTTCACCAAAAATTTGACCGCGATGAGACAAATAAAGCAAGCTTCTAACAAGGGATTACACAACAGCCCCCGGCTCCCGATTGGCTGATCCAGGCTCTTCGCGACCTGCAGTCCCGATATCCCAACGACAGATTCGAGGCCACAATGAAGTACTCGTACCTCGACCCCCAGACGGAGCTGCCTGTCCAGACCACGCCGCTTCCCGAAGGCGTTAAGCACGCCTGGCTGCCGCGCATCCGCTGCCTAGACTGCCTATCGAAGCTGTACACGCCCGGACCGGATATGACCGCGCAAAAGTTTGAGGCCCACCTCAAGTTCTCGAGTCACAAGGAAAAGGTCAAGCAGAGGGTTGTCGCCGAAGCTGCTGCCGCCCAAGGGGGAGGAGCAGAAGGGCCGTCGCCGTCATTAGCCGGTGGTGCTGGCGGTGCCGAGGAATCATGAAGGCCATCGGGGGGTGGGGGGTTGGGGCGTGGAGGGGAACGGATGAACTATCTTCCATGTTGGAAAGAAGATGCTTGCTTTGAGTCCCAAGCACATAGAGGAAGAGAGGCCATATATATCTTGGTTCGATATGACTGGAATCATGGCTTTGTCCTTTTCGGATCGAGAACAAAGACGCTTTTATCTTGGGGTTTGTGACACTTGATGACTTCTCTATTCTCACTTTACCTACACGAGAAGAGAGGAGGGAGGAGGAGGGAAGCTTCTGTGTTTGGATGGAGTTAGGTTATATTATATATCTTTTCGTTTTTCCCCTGTCTTCTCTCATTGTCGGTGTAATAAAGACTACAAATCCTCTATCCAAAAGATGTGTGGAACATTGACGGACAGTAACAGTATCTTGTCAAGAGCCCGCAGGTTACATGAACGGTTAGGGCAACTGCAGGCTGAATATCTCAATCCGCTGACCTTGATCTTTCGATTAACCGAGTCCTTGAACTATGCACCACAAACATGGTAAAATGTCATGATCTGACTAGGGAAAGAATGCCTGTCGTCAATTATAAGCAATGTATGATATTTAATAATACTACTCGTACTTCACAGAAGAAAACTCCTTTTAGGCGTTTATATACCCTCCCCACACAAGTGAGTAGAAAGTGAGTAGTAAACGCTAAGAGTATATATAACGATGAAAGAAAAATAGGGTAAAAAAAAGGCACATACACACTCACACGGAAAAAGCCTCCAGTTTCTTTACCTCCTCTGATCTTTTCCCCCTTGGCATACTCCGATCCGTTATTCGTCATTATCGTTATCCATGTCCGAATCAGGCTTGCCACCTACTCTCCTCCCCCTGGTACGACTTGACCTCGATGCAGTACTGGTCTTCTTTCCAGCCGCCGCACTTCTCGCTCCTCGACCCGTATTACTCTTGCTCTTTGATTGCTGCTCTTCCTCTTCTTCCTCGTTGCCATCGCCGTTGGTCTCCTCCTCAGCATTATCAGACATGGGAAGATCCTCTTCATTCTCTTCCTCTTCATCGTTGCTGCTGCCGTCTTCCTCATCGTCGTCGTCGTCGTCATCGCCATAGTCCCACGATGCCACGCCGTCTAGCATCTCTTCCTCGTCCTCGTCGTCATCACGTTCCCTGTAGCTGGACGATACCGTCGCACGACCGCTGCGTCTGCGCTCGGAGAGCGGTACGGGGGGCGGCGAGGCCTTCTTGGGACGCGACGACGTGGCCTTCTTCTTCTTGGCTGCCTTAGGCTTGGGTGTTGCCTTTTCACGGATGACTGTCTTGAATTGGCCTTTGGGCTTCTTCGCTGTTTGCTCTGAGAGGTCGTGGACGGACTTGCGCTTCTGTAGTACCTGTTTAGTGAATGTTTCTCATTATAACAAATGAAAAAGGAGAATAAGTGAAATGGAAAACGGGAGGAGAAATAACCTTTTTGCGCTCTTGTGCACGTATCACATCATCGAGCTTTTCATCCAACTCGTCGGAAATATACTGCTTCTTTGCAATCTGCTGAGCGACCTCACTGGATGGCAGGGCCGTATATAGACCGGTGGGCAGGCCGACCTTGTCCGGCCATGCCTGGAAGCTCCACCCCTTACGCTCCTGGTACTTGCGTATGACGGCCTGGGTCAGGTCGCTGAGGACGTAGAGGTTCTCGCTGGCCTCGGGGCTGAGCGCGTCGCGCGTCTGCTTGACCCTCTCGGCGTACTTGTATATGTGCGCAATGTTGGCCTCGCTGGCGACGGTCGACAGGTAGAAGAGGATGTACTTGGCAAAGTCCTCAAGGTCTTCCGGCTGTGAGCTGTAGTCCGGGTGATGGGCCAGCAGCGGGATCAGCCGGCCGATCATGGCCTCCATGATTGACTTGGAGTTCTCGGCGTAGTAGCGCGTGCGTGAGCGGAGCCACGTCTCTGTGCGCACCTTGACGTCGGCCACGGGCTCAAAGGCCGCTAGGAAGAGGATCACGTAGAACCTCGGCCGCAACCGGCCTCGCGTCAGGTGGTTCTGCAGCTTGTCCATGAAGCGCCGACGCACCTGGAACTCGCTGTCCTGCACCAGCTCGGCTAGCTGGTTGAAGCTGCGCGGGTCGAACTGGTCATCGTACTCCTTTACCGTGCACAGCTTGAGGATCGACTGCCCCGCCAGCAGCCGCAGGCGCTTCCTGTGGTGCAGCGGCGTGGTCCTGTCCTTGTCCTTGCTCAGCTCACCCTCCTTAGTTATGAGCGTCATGAGTAGCTTGAACAGTGGTTTCGCCCGTTCCTCGGCAGCGCTGGGCTCTTCGGTGTTGGACAGAGCGCGGTTCACGAGGACCTTGATGGATAGGCATTTGGCCTGCAGCTCCTCGTCCATATCGGTGTCGTTGACCCACGAGGGGTCCGAGTCGGATGCGTCGGTCCGCACTGAGCGCAGGATCTCGTCAATCGTCAGGCTGCTGATGACGTCGTCCGAGTCGGCCGTGACCGTCGGCGCTAATCGCTCCAGCTGGCTGATGGTGGCCAGCTTGTTGAGCAGGTGCTTGGTGTCGTACTTGAGGTCCTTGGACGCCTTTTGCAGCAGGTTGGTGGCCGTGACTTTGCTTTTACTGTCGTTGCCGGTGAGCAGGATGTTGACAGCATACTTAGCTGCCTTATGAGGCTGACCATAGAGTGCGTAGTTGGCCAGCGTCTGGCTAAACGTCTTGTCCGACTGCACCTCGTCCGGGTACTTCTTGGCGTACGACGAGTAGGCCTTGAGAATGTCGACAACGCCCACGTCGTTGGCCTTGCTGACTGTGGGGGCCTGATCGATGATTGTCTTGCGCAGCTCCTCCGAGTGCGTCTTGAACAGGTCCGGGTTGCGCGTTGAGATGTCGTTGAGGATGGCGTGCGCCACGCTGGCGAAGCCGTCCTTGTCGCTCTTGGAGTAGTCCATGATGGTCGCCAGGTGGCTCCTATTGTACACGAGAGGACACGAGCGGTACAGCAGCGGGATCACCGTGTCCAGGGAACTCGCGGCGTTGCCGGACTGGATCCTGGGGATGAGTTCGTGAATTGACCGCCGCACTTTTTGGAAGTCACTCTCCGACTCGATGGCATACTTGATGAGCTGGTACGCTCGGCGGTCGTTGACCTTGGCCAGCTTCTGGAGATCGGCCTTGACCTTGAGCGGGTCAGGAAAGTATGGGCCGAACCACTGCAACGTCTGGTCCATCTTGGCCTTGGCCTTCTGCGACGCCGCGGTCGAGGCTCCCCCGTTGAAAGCCTCGCACTGGCTGATGAAGACGCCGAGCGCCATGGCAAACTGCGGTTGACGCGCCTGCATGGCGAAGAAGGCTTTTTGCGCCGGCGTGTCAAGAGACTTGACCATGAGCAGGATCCTCTCGGACCGGATGGTATCCTGCTCTGCCTGGGTAAGACCTCCCTTCTTCTCCGACGACTTGGATTTGCTGTCCCGGCCTTTGGGCATCGGGTACTTGAGCGGGATCAGGCACTCGAACATGACCCTGTCGAGCAGGACGTTGAGGTCGGCATCGTTGGCGTAGAAGGCATTGATGATCTTGGAGGGTATACCGTACAGACATGCTGTGACGGCCGCGGCCTCCTGACCGTCGGCGAGTTCTCCAGACCCGACAGCCCAGAGCTTGGCGAGAAGAACCATGGCCTCGACGCGCACCGAGGCGCGCTTGTCACGGCTACGATCTCCGAGGTTGCCAAAGATGGTGCCCTGCTTATCGACGCCGCCGGTGGCACCGAGCTTCAAGATGATGTCGCGGAAGTCAAACAGCTCAATGGCCTTGACAGCCGAGAGACGGACCTTTTCTTCACTGTCGCATAGCTTCTCGGCCAACGCCTTGATGAGCTCGTTCTCCTCGACGCGGCTCAGACCGATACCGCCGGCGGATGTAGCTAGGATGTGGCCGCAGGCTGTGGCCCAGGCGGCACGGATAGCGCTGCTCTTGTCATTCTTCCTGCCGACAAAGTTGCGGTAGACAGGCGTATGAGTCTGGGGGAAGGACTGGGGAGAATATGGGGTCGTCAGGCTGTTTGCCGAGGAGGCGCCCGTGGGGTCGTCGAGGAGGCGCAGAGGTGGGTAAAGCGTCGGGTCCAGACTGGGCGGAGGGGGCGGGCCGGCAGCGCCGATGCCGGCAATCATGTCGCCGATGGTCTCAGTCGCAATCTGTCGCAGGTAGACGTTGTCGGCCGACAGCTCGGCGTCGATCTGGGGTACGACATTCTCCAGCACCGTTGGTGCAGCACGCCACAGCTCCCGGATGAGGAGATGGGCCTGGCGCAAACTCTTCAGGTCAGCCTCGGACGGACCGGCGTTGGCATCCTCCTCATCCTCATCTTCATCCTGACGACGTCCGATGGCCTTGGTCGCAAAACCCGACGCATTGAGAATGACGTCGCCAAAGTACTGGCTCACATAGCGGGCCATCTTGTCAGTGCAGGCGGTGCAGATGCGCCTGGCCATGATGTAGGCCGGGGGCTCGGTCTTGTGGAGAAGGGTAGACTGGGTGGTGTCCCTGGATCGGGCGCCTCCCGGAGGGGCAGCCCTGAGAAACTGGCTGATGATGGCGTCGATGACGCCGGCGGGGATACTTCCCGGCGCCTCGTCGACGAGCTGAACGAGCATCTCTGTCAGGTGGAACTCGATGTCCTTGGCAACCTCCTCGCCCGTCTTGGACTTGGAGCTGTTGGAAACACCGTCAAAGGTGTTGTTGAAGAGGCGGAGAAGAAGATCATCGGAGCCGTTGATATCGAAGAGGAGCAGTATACTCTTCACCTCGGTCAGAGACACGAGGACGTACTTGTTCTGGGTGTTGTAAGGATTCGTCGGGTCGTGGAGGGCGGGAAGAATGTCCTTGACAAATAGACCGAACATGATCTATACATTTGTTTTATCTCGCGGTCAACAAAACCATGCGCGCGCGGGGGGAGACAATGGGCATTGCCTACCTTAAGCTGATCATCGGTGAAGGGCGCGTCGGGAACGAACAGACGCAGGATATCGACGAGACAGCAGGCTGTGTAGGCCTTGACGCCCTTGTCCCTGTGCTGCATGAGGTTGCGATGGGCCAGCTTCTCAGCAACATCTTTTATCGAGCCGAGGTCGACACTTCCCTGATCGAATTCGGCGAGCTCCTTAGACAGACGTTCGAGGCGGGCAACCAGGGTGGCACTAGCAATGGGCTTGGCGGGGCGCCACGACAGCTCCTCGTCGAACTGAAGAATGGGAAGGTCGCCGAGGTTGTCATCGTCGTCGTCATCATCACCATCGCCGTTATTCCGGTGCTGCTCATCATCATTGTTCCCAGGTTCCTCTTGCTGCTCGATCTCGGGCTCGAGTGTCTCTGGTTGCTCTGCCGGCGCTGCCTCCTCCTTAGCGGCCTCGCGCGTCCTCGCGCGTCGACGCACCATGATGCGCAACGTCTAGGATCGAATGTACAGATGCTTGTTCGATAGACGGTTTGTGCGCCGGTTGGTTCTGTCGAAAGTTGGGTGTGGCTCCCGCAATGCGCGCGCGCCTCGAGGAGCTGTGATCTGCTCTCCCGAGCTCGAGGGGAGGAGAGGGGGAGGCGAACAGCTGTCGGCGGTCGCGTGGGACGCTCGATATACAGTAGGAAAGAAGGAAACGAATCGAGCCGAATATATGAATGAGAACCGACAAGAAAAAGGCGGTGCGTCGTGGTGTGCGACTGACTAGACCCTGCAAAGAGGAGATAATACGTGCAGCAAGGCAGACGGAGGAGAAGGTACGGAAGAGTACGAAAGGACGGACCGAAATGGTGGGAGAGGCGCGGTGACGCGACACGCGCCCTCGTCCTCTAATCAACCACAACCGCCCCACAACGCACATCAATCCCGATTGCTATTAGTAGTCTTGGTACTACTCCTACGTTCTTTATTTCATGATGAGATCAATATTGGAATTGTTGCGTCCGGATTCCTTTTCCAATGTCCTTGCTACGGGGTTCAAGGGAAGAAGAATGGAAGCTTCGGATCCTTGCTTTTCCGAAAAAAAAAAACCCCCCCCCCCCCCCCCCGAAAAGCAAACACCCAGAGGTCAGCATGAACCATCCCGCTTCCCCATGCCTCACCGCATAGCTCTAGAAAACGAGACATGTTATCCTGGTTTCACGGATGCTTCTATATCCAGTTCGTGTATCATGAGTAATATCAGTACTTCTTCTCAGGATCATGGTCCGTACGAGATGGCGACCACGTATCGGTCCCACGCGACTCGCCTGCAACAAGTTGTACAGTACCCTGGGCAAACACGGCCAACATTCAGTATTATCAGGTGGCGACGACAGAAAAAGAAAAAAAGAGGTGTTCTTTCTCATCTGGTAGTGAGTACGGTGAAAGCATGGCAGACAGATGCTCTCTCAATCTCCAGTGTCATGTTCTCTCTACATCTCGTGCTATCCCCCCCCCCTTTTCCACCCAACATCTCCTATGTGCTCTGAGTGATGTCAAATATCACCTGAGGAATCCATATATGAAGGCCAATACATTCTTTGGGACGTTCTCGGTCGTCCTTCACATATATATCGCCTGTCGATAGCCCTGGGGTTTGGCGAACAGCTGGTATCTTCCCAGCCCTAATCTACCACAGCCAAGCCCGAACCGTGCCACCCTCTCGCGTCCTTGCAGCTAGGTTCGTCGCTTCTATTCATCCGAGCGGGCGACTATTCAATCTCAAGCGTTCCACTTCAAAGCACCCACCCCTGACCATGGCCGAAGACAGACCTGGGCGGTGCCTGTTCTCCCCGCGCTACATCGTCCGTAGTCTTCCTTAGTCGCTTGCCCTGTGCTCGGAACGGATCTAGGCTCTCAAGGCCCACGATTGTCACGTCGTCTAGGTGTCATGATGTCGGATGCAATAGTGTGCTGCTGTGTTGTAGAAAGGAAGGAGAGGAAGAAGACGAAAAGAGAGATAACACAATGCGCGAAGGTGGGTGCTATTCACGTTCACGGGCACATTCGTGGTCATGTGCCATGCTCATGCTCGAATTCAAAATCTTTGTACGGGCAGGCATTCAGCTCACTGTTTGCTCACCTTTGTGTTGCTTTGGCGCCACCACTGGCTGATAGAGGCCTGAGTCTACACAGAGAAGACATCGAAATTCACATCACCCTAAAGACTGTGTCACATGCTTGATTCACTAGACAGCACAGCCGCCGCCCAATCGTCCCTTTTTTATTTTATATATAATGATTCTGGCCTGTTTTCTTCTCTCTTGCAGCGTCATCAAATATCCCAACGCCTATCAATGATGAAGAACTGGAAAGAGCATCTTTCAAGACTTCTCCGTCGCCTTATCGACGAGGATATCATCCTCGTGGAGTGGGACCAGAGGCTCCTCATCAGACTAGGAGTTCCCCTAGTAACGGGGGTCAGTACCGTCCGCATAGAAGCATGTTGCTTTTCTTCCGAGGGGGGACTTGCTGACCTTGCACGTGTGTGCCAACAGTCCTACTTCTTCCTTGTTCCCGACGACCAGCTTCCCAAGGTCATCAGCATTGCTGCCGACCAAGAGCTGCATCCAGCGGACGAGAGCACCCTGGCTGTTGGCTTCGCCAGCGAGTTCTCTGGCCGTGCTGTTCGCTATATCATAGATGATACAGAAGCATGCACTACTGCCATCTCAGCTCTGGCCCCTAGGAGCTGGCGTCGACTCCTCTTCATCCCCATGTCGTGGCCGGAGATCGCACTCAGCGAGCTGGAGCCGGCCACCATGGTCGACCCGCTGCGTTCGGGGCCAGATTTGAATATCTGGATCGTGCCTCTACCCGTTGTTTGCGCGAGCTACGCAAGACTGGCTGTCCGTGAGCGCAGGGGGACCACGCCACGCCAAACTCTCATATGCGACCTCATCTCCCTCGTCGTGGAGACCTTCTTCGACACAAGCTACGAGGGTGACTACGAGGAGATGATACCCGATACCGTGCCATTTACCGAGGCCGAGATTCATGAGATGGAGAACGCTGCTAGGGAGATTCAATCATGGGAGATGCGGTTCGGCGAGGAGTGGATTAAGGAGCAGCTAGTCAACATCGTGACGGCAAAGCCTACCACACTTTCATGACCACTGCCTTGTCGGGCAACGACTCTACGTAATTGGAGCGAAGGGGAGTGAAAGATGGTGTAAAGGCACCCCGAAGGTAACTCTTATATTGTTCGTGGTAAGTGTCTTGGCTCTTAAAAATATGCTCCAGTCGATTCTCTGCTTGTCTGGACTAACCAACACCTTCCTTGACGATTCTGTTCTTTTTCTTCTTTCTTTATCACGTTCTTGCGTGGCCCGTGACGCTCCCATTCTTTCTCTTCTTTCTCTTATTTGATTTTTTCTCACTATTCCTTTGTAGCTCATCGCTTTCACCCTCTTTCTTCCATCTTTCTTCACCCACAGCCCCCCACCCTCTCTAGAGAAGCTTCATTTTGTTTGTACGGGTTGAACCCCCAACCCTTCTTCCTGCTCCTTTCATTTGCAACGGTTACTAACCAGTGTCCATTGTTTTCTTCCTGCTCTCTAGTCTCCATCTCTCACCATCTGCGGACCCCTTGACGCGCATCGGAACAGAATGGAAGTCGAGGAAGCCCAGTATCTAGCAGCCAGAATTCTCACTAAACTCCTCACCGACAACGGCATCAACCATGCTTTCCTCGGTGGATTCGCTCTCAGAACCCTCGAGCACAACCGAAAGACTGATAATATCGACATCGAGGTCGACGTGCTTGCGGGCGAACAGCCTCGTCATAACCTCATCCAGCTCATCCTAGTCTCGGACTCGCGCTTCTCGGTCGACAGTCTTGGAAGACTGTTTTTCACTCCGTCAGGGGCTCCGGAGCTTCATGTCTTGGTAGAGACTCTCCCTGTCGGGTCGCTCAATCTGCCAAAGAATCTCGCCACCATTTCTCCTGGCGAAGGTGCGTTCGCTAAACTCCGTGATTGATTTGAATCTTTGCCTAACGATCCAGGTCCAGTCCCTATTCTACCCCCTGGGATACTTGTTCTCACGAAGATCAAACGCCTGAGCAGCATTATCGACTCCACACGTCCCAAGTCGGTTCAGAAGGCCGCCCGCGACACTGCCGACGTCATGTTTCTACTTAAATGGCTTGCTCGAAATGAAGAGCATATCGACTTTATGGGCTACGAGGCGGAAATCCCAGAACGTCTCTACACCGCTACCGCCTTCGTGGCTCAGACTTAGAAGCGTTTGGGTCAAGACGAAGCACTGGAGCAGCTTTATTCTGTCATGCGTCCCGACGACAGGCAGAGAGTCGAGGGCTCTATGGTCCAGTAACATCCATCTTGGGTTTTCAGCTGTCATTGTCCCGGACCAACGGATACGCGACACGGTGCAGGAAGGGTTCGGGTAAGAACAGCAGTCTATAGTACACAGCATAGAGAGTTCATCCTAACCAAGATCAACAGAAAGGAGATAGCAGCGAGCCCCTGACTCAATAAGGCTATTTATATATTAATTTTATTCGCACACTGAGCTAGTCTAGGGCTAGGCCCCTATATGTAGGACAAGCAGTCTGTCATGGGTCAGATGTGAAGTCTCTTGACGGAGACAGAAGAGTCTCGGGGGAGCAGGGTCATGATATCATCACATATGAATGTAGCCAGCTATGCAGTCATGTATCTATACAAGGCAGAGCATCTACAGTACAGTTCAGGTGGAGGACCAGAGATGAATGCACCTTTTGACTCGCCCATACCTTTTCGTCTCTTTGTAGCAAACCTCTTCGCTTTCCTCTTATTCCTTGAGACTTCGTTGGAGCTCTACTGTTCTACATGGACAGTTCATCCCTTCGTCCCGCCGTGTCTCTGACACAGTCCCTCTTGATAGAATGACTTTTTTTTTTTCTCGAAGACCTTAGTAGGTGACAGAACCCGCGTAGCGTTAGATACATGATGCCAATTCGCCGCGTGGTAGTAGTGGTAGTCATTCGCATGAGTATAGTTCTAGATTAGGTCAGCCGGACTTGACCATAAAACCGCCGAGTCTGACGCAACAGAAAGAGAAAAAACAAGGGAGAACGTGACACCGCATGACACCTCACCTACCTTGAACGTACGTTCGCCGTGTTTGTGATGTTGTCTCTTACGACCGTTCACTTGTTAACCAGCCCTTTCTATTGTTAATCTACTTCTTTCCCACGCGCCCCAATTCCTCGCACGTGGTCTTGGTTGTGTCCACTTTAACATCTACGCGGTCGAACTCGACACCGTTCCTCATCAACGTCAGCACACAAGGACAGCTCTGCTTTTATGCCAACACCAAACACAAAGGTGGAAGAAAAGTATGACAGCTACCCTGAGCTACAATTATCTACTATAGGCTAGATTTTCGACCGCAAAGTAGAAAAACACGGTTAGAACCAGAAAAGCGATGTTATACTTTTTGCCTTTTATGTTTGGTGCTGGCATAAGAACAGAGCGGTCCTTGTGTGTCAAGGTTGTCGAGGATGGTGTCGACACAACCAAGACCACGTGCGGGGAATCGGGGCGTGTAAGATAGAGTGTTTAGATGATAAGGCGGCTGAATAACGATAGAACGTTTACGTGTGAGAACGCACACTATAAGCACTAAATTCACGTCCAAGGTAGGTTAGGTGTTAATAATATATAGCGTCATGTTTATTGTTCCTTATCATCGCGGTGCCGGACTCGACCGTTTTATTGCCGAGATCCGCTTACCTAAGCCATAACAGTCTTTTCTATGACAAGCGGGTTATTAAAAGCACTTCTAAATAGGGATACAGTAATAGTAAACTAGTGGAGTGGGATGGCCACCTCCTAAGGGGTGGGCCTCTTCCTCCCGACTGACCATACTGTCTATCTTGACGAGGCTTCTACTGGTCCATGTCAGAATTCCTCCTCAAGCGTCATAGGCCCCATCGAACCGGGCCAGTTCTAGCTTCATCTTACCTACCGACAGGACGATCACGGACTTGCCTGGGCCGACACCCATTACGCCTGTCTCTGGTGCGGGCAAGACCATTGACCCGGGCTTCTGACCCGTGGGCAACAGCACCGATTCGTCTTTAGCCTGCACTGCCGTGTTTATTGCCATTTTCATTGCCATGGCCCTGTATGCTCTCTGAGTTTGGCCTTGGGCTTGCTGCCGCGGAGCGTTCCTTACCATGTAATGGCTGAAAGGGGGTTGAAAGAAAGATGCTTGAGGAGTGAAATCGATCGGGTCTGTTTTGATCGCATCATTTGTATAACAAGAGAAAAACTTGAGGAGGAAGATACTGAGGAGGAAAAAGTGGACTTTTCTGAGGAGAGCGTCATGTTTTCGACAAGGTAGATGAATAAACACAATGATGGCACGACTGTTGATTCGCCCTGAGTAAATACTAACACTGATATGTAGACATACGTTGCCCCGCCGAAAAACTTCGCCATCGTGTCCTTTGATCCTCCAGGATTATGAAAGCTAGTGTGTCGTCACGAAAGTTACAAATCGTAGTAATCGAAAGCATTGATGCTTCTAACAGCACAAAGGTGTAGCTATTCTGATAGCATTAAACCGGTTCCCAATCCTCGAAAGGAGTAGACAGCAACATTAAAGATACATGTAACAAGCTTGTACATTTTTGAAACAAGAAAAACTCTAGGGTTCTTTTTTTACTCTTTCAAGTATTTTTCTTTCCTTTTTTCTTTCTTTCTTCTCGTCATCACTTACCCCCTCTTGCCTGCCTAGCCTTCCAGCTATCCCTGATGCGCGTAGCCGATTTCAGGAGGTCCTTATCCGAGACTCTATCGCGGATACTGCTCAGGACACTGGCGACAGTAGACCTGTGATTGGCCTCGTTCTTGTCATCGCGGAAACGGACAACGCGCCACCGGCCCTGGTCGTCCTGGTTGCATTCGACGATACGATCGTTGAGCGGGTCACCGAGGGCCTTGAGCGTCTCCCACTCCTCGGGACTGATGTACACCTCGGCGAACCAGTCGTAGGGGTCTGGGCCGGACCCGCCGGCGAAGACGAAGAGCTCCGACCGGGGGACGGAGTCGTAGTCGACAAACGGGCCGGCGGAGGGGAAGCCGCCCGAGGCGCGCTCCTCATCGGTGGGCTCGACGGTCGGGAATGAGAGACGCAGGCGGCAATCGACCGTGTTCTCCTCAGGCGGCTTCCACTTGAGGATGTGGGGGTCCGTTCCGTGGCGGTAGGGCGTGTTGCGGCACGTGAAGATGAGCCCGTCATTGCCGTGCGTCAGCGACGGGAGCACCTGCTTGAACATCATCTCGATGCCGTAAGCCAGCTGGAATGGCTTCATCTCCATGAAGAAGGGCTGGAACTGCCGCTCGTCCGGGAACTCCTTGAGTAGCCGCTTGTATGGAGTGAACAGCCGCTCCTTGACGTATGCCAGCCGCTTGTCCAGGGTGCGGTCCATCAGGTTCTGTCCGTCCATGACCAGGCAGTCGAAGATGAGGAACCGAGGCTCCCGGTGCCCGTCCGGCATCGTGTCCCACACCAGCTCCCCGTCTGTGATCGTCTGCACGTGGAACTGCTCGTGGCTGCCCGGTACCGGGAAGTGCAGGTTCCGGTTGTTGACGAACCAGTAGTCGTTCTTCCGGTCGACCAAGTAGTGCGCCTCTTGGCCTGCTTCGTCTGACGTCGAGTACAGGAGGTATCGTATGCCGTCTGACTTCTCGCAGACATAGTAACTGTTGTTATTTACCCATCTGGTCAGCCCGCATTTTATTTTCTTCTTCCTATTATTTCTTCCTTGAATTTGAGAAACAGGAGCAAAACCTACTCTTGTCTCGTAAGCTCCTCCAGATGCTGCCGTGCAAAGCTCACTGGCTGTGCCCCCGGAAAACCAAGCTGGTTTCTCCCTAGCAGATCCGCCACCTCTCTGCGCATAGTCGACAATACAGGACCCTCGGCCTTGATGCCAGGCTCCGAGATGGATGCGATGGGCCCGTCCGTCGGCGCCATGGTGGCTTGGTCTTGTCTTCCTCCCAAGGCCAGAAATGTACCGCCCGTGATGGTGTGCGTTGGGCGTCGGTCTGTCGGGTGTCGCGTCGTCTGAATGTCGAGGTGGGAATAGAATCTTCGTGTCTTTCTTGGGAGAAGCCCTTATGTGTGCTCCGGAACCATGTTTGCATCAGCGCTATGCTCCACGTTGCACCATTTGTCGCGATTTGTACGTCGGTCGAGAAAGATGATCAGATCAAGTCGACTTGGTCTTTTGCGACGCTAGCCTTCGCGCAGCTGGCAAGTGCCGGCCACTCATTCACATTTATCGATAAGACACAGCGCCGTCATCACCGTCCGGCTGTCAGCTTGCACAAGTCCCCATAATGGCACGGACCGACAAGAAGTGCAAAAAGTAAAGACGTGGCACTAATAGTTGACTATCTGCTGAATTCTGTGCTGGAAAGTATCAAACAAATATTCTTATTTGTAATCCGTTTCCTTTCCTTTTCTCTCGGGCCTGATAGCCTCGCTACCGTTCCTCCAGTGTTCAATAACTCCGACATTAACACACCATGCCAGCATTCTTCTGTCTTTTTGCAAAGTGACGCTTTATCAATTGAAATCATTAGGCTCTTAGTAAATATCACCAGGTCAATCAAAAGGAACAGTACGGGTAGAGAGCTTCTTCGAGGCCGCTGCCCAGTGTTTCACCTCTCGTCTATCTTGTCAATCTCAGCTCGGGCCTCTTCCCACTGCTGCTTACTCTTCTTGGCCCACTCGACTTGGCTTCGCGCATAAGCCAGCTACATGCCGTCAATATCAGCACATTGAATAGTAATGGTATATTGTGAGGGCTGGGGTGGGGGGGGGGGGTTACGAACCATGTACTTGCGCAAATCTTCCTCCTTATCATTCTGGAACCGTTTCAAGTCTTTCAAGACGCTGGCGCTCGCATCCTTGACGTCCCTCTCCGATACAACTTGAGCCTGCTCCAACTGACCGATCGATTCCCTGGTCTTTCCAATCATGTCGCGTCGGGTTCGCTCAGGGTCCACATCGACTACCCCTTGCACAGCGTGCCGGATGGGTCCAAAGATCCTGTTCGTGATGGAGTTGCTGCTTGGCATCTTTCTATGAGACGTGCTGGCACGCCTTTCGGGGAGCCCCTGGCTGGCTGACGGCGGAGGCCCACGGACGTCGCCCTGGGTAGGGAAATCTGAGTCAATGGACTCCGTGTCTTCCTGGCCATCTCGCCGGGGCCCAGGTTCCTTAAGGCTGGTCGATCGCTTCGGCGGTGGCGAAATCTGTTGGCTGCTAGAAAGGTACTGTTCAATACGCCTTGCCTCTGCTTCGCTTCGTTCCAGCTGTTCCAGCAGATCTCTCTTCTTGTTGAGCTCATCCGCTGTCAGGTCTTGCTGTATCCTCTTCTGAGCTCTGTAGCGCAACACACTCCGAACCACCCCTGCAAACTGGGCGCTCTCCCTCATTGGTTCCGCAAAGGTGGCACCTAGTGAGCTGGACATCTCTTCGGTTGCAAGGTAGGATATGTCGGCTGCTTGGCCGACCCTCTCGATGGCCGGTCCTAGGGACGGCGCCTGCTCTGACAGGGCAAAAGCATTGTATCTCGATCCTAGTTCGCAGAGGTCGGCGGCAAGGGCTGCCAGGTGACTGAGGGTGCGACGGTTAACCTTTTCCATAGGACCCGTGAGAAGGCTTTCCAATTCCTTGATAGACGCCTCGTATGCTATAAAATAGGTGTCCAGATCTTGCTCGCTGAGGTTGTTTGGAATAGGCGCACCGCGGCCTGCGTTTTCGGCCTGGTAGGTGGACGCGGAGATATCGTGGGAGCCAGTCTTGAGCTTGGCCGAGCTAGAAGGCACTGGGAGGTAGTTATGGGCGGCCGTAGGGTTCGCGGGGTCCAAGGGAGGTGCCTTGAGAATGGACTTTGGGATAGAGGAGACAGGGTGCGAATGCATAACCTCATTCTGCTCGATTGGTTAGATGATGTTTTCGTTCAGCACAACAATGACGTACCCAGCTAGCATTAGGATCAAGAAACCTCCACCAAACGCCATCGTTGAGAACGGCCTCCATCCGGCGGCAGCGGTTCAGGAATACTGCAAGCATACGCTTCCTGAGATCAATAATCTGCTGGTCCTGCTTCGCACTGGTCGGGTTCGCCGCGTAGTCGGCCATGGTATGCTTCTCTGGGATAGGCGGGATGATGAGAGTAGGATGTAGTCGTGTGAGAGCCTCACGAAGCGAAGCAAACTCGGAGTAGCGGCGTCGCACTTCGAGATCCTGGGAACAGCTGTCAGCAAAGGGCTCGGCTTGAATGATTCAACATAGGGTACGTACCCCCGTGCGGATAGTATACACAATGTGCCTCCCTCCGCTTTCGAGGCTCTTGCCGGCGTCGGTAATCACAACGGACAGAGAGGGATTCTCGTAGAGGATCTGCTCGATTCGACTGTCGTATCCGCCGGGCTTCCGCCTGGGGATGTTTTCGCTGGCAGCGGCAGCGGCAGCGGCGTCGTCGTCATCGTCATCATCGTCATCATCATCATCGTCGTCGTCAAATCTGGCACCGCGGCCATCATTGCCTAGCGTTAGGCCCCCACCATAGGAAGCAATGGGTCCCTCATCGTCACTCGTCGACGTAGGTGTATGCGCACGTTCTATGTGGCCAACTAGAGATCAAATGTCAGCCTGATTTGTTCGACCATCTTCTCGAAGCAGCAGCGGCAAGGCATCTGCCACAGGGGACGGAGGCGCTCGCTCACAGTCATGCAAGGTGGGAGAAGTCGGGGAGGTCGGATTCAGGGAGGACGAGGTCTGAGAATCTCGGCGGTCAAAGCTTGTGCCGTACGGGTTGTTATCCTCGTCGTTCCACATGATGGCGATGCTTGAGGTTCAGATGTTGGTGGAGACGCTCTCTCTTCGCCGGTGACGAGAAGCTTGGGGGGGGGGGGCGGGGTGTTTGATCCGCTGCGCCTGCCTTTGGATCTAAACTAGCACTAGCAATGAACTCCGCTGGACCTCTGACGTTGCTCCGGTTGCGTAGCACTGCAGCCCTCGGCGGGCAGACGTCAGCGGTTACAGCACTGTTACAGCACCCCGGTTCAGGCCAATAGAAAGGGTTAGGCCAATAATAAGAGGCTCACCATGTAGGAGAGGTACAGCCGTTCTGACTAAGCCGGATGGTTTATTTGAAATCGTGTAGTGACTCCTCAACCTTTTCTTACTCTTTTCATGGGACGTGGTACGGGTACTACCCATACGACTACAATTTGATACTGAACAGCCTTACTGGACTTACCTGCATCCCTCATCTCTTTTTCCTACTCATTATGTGTCTATATGGATCTTGTTATATGTAAAGATCTAAGCTTTATCGGTCTGATTCCATATCCACCACGTCGTATGAACCTGCATCGTGGCATGCTACCAATGAGCTTTACCCCGCATTCTCGGCGATGAGCTGGTGCTTTCACTCATCAACTTTTTGCTATTCATCTAGAATATTCAATTAGCAATCGATGCTTGATAACTTGCATATCGCAATGCAAAGCACTACCCGAGGCACGAGAAATGATGGGTTAGACGAGCCTTGTGGCCTTGATACTACCACTAATTAGTGTGCCAAAATCTGAAATCCGCCGGTTATCATCAGACGACAAAGCAGTGTACACTCAACGAATGATAGGACTCAGACGTGAGGCTATTTCCCCACAGTGCAATTGCTTATTCCCATTATCTAGCGATAAAATGAATGAGTCCCCAGATAACGGCCGACAATGAAATCCTGCCGTGGTTGAAGGAAGAGTATAAAAGGATGTTTGCCTACAACGGCAAAGGCCCGAGCTGGTCAGCAACGCAAGAAAGAATGATGGCCTCAAGTATACATGGGCTTTCAACCATCATGACCTTGTGCGGCGTCGTCTTCGCCAGCGCAGTCTGCTGCGAGCTGCCTAGCATCGGACGCGGTGACTATCTCTTCCAGCTGGACGACGTCAACTATCTCAGTACCATTGACCGGCCCGAATACACCCTGAAAGCCGTCATCCCGGGTGCGAGTGGAGTACTTCCCTTGACCAAGCTGACCCTCCATGGGTCAGTGGTCACGGGAGACGACTTGCAGGCTATGATCAAGGAGTACAGCGATATCGATGATGTCTTCGGGACGCCTTTTCTTCGCTCAGTCCACATTTCAACCTTGGGATCGACGGCATTGGACAAGTCTGCCACAGACCATTTGTCTTCCATGGGAACAGAGTATCTCTTCGTGGACAAAGAGCGTGGGAGTCTACTCAGTTCAGAAACCAACCTCACTGTTATCGAGACGATCGCCCCTCACACAGACCCCAATGTGCCGAATGGTCCATACATGGCCTCAGTCTCTTCTACCGGTGTCTCAATTTCCAGAGTGTATCGGCTCTACGAAGACGTCTACAGAACCTTTCTCCACGGCACGTATCCATCAGGGCCCGACTCGTACCAATCTTTCTCTCTAATGAACCCCGACACCGAGTCTCCTTTGATACCGTAAGTGCCTCCTTGCGCATTGTATGTCCTTCCAAAGCTTACATATACTAGTGTGCCATCGCGAGTGTATTATTTGGACGACGATCGGCCCTTAGCTGGAGAGCGTGTTGGTGTCAAGGACATCTACGAGACCAAGGGCTTGACTGCGACTTGGGGTAGCTTGGCATACTACAAGATTGCTAACAAGTCTGAGGAAAACCCCCCTTGTTTGCAGAGACTGGTGAGCATACCTCCTTATTCAAGCGCTAATAACATGAAGAAACTAAAGTGTTACAGATTGACCTCGGCGCGGTCGTTGTCGGCAAGCAGAAGACTGCTCAATTTGCCTCCGCAGCTGATCCTTGGGACTGGACTGATTTCCAGCCTCCATTTAACCCGCGAGGCGATGGTTATCTGACCTGTTCTGCTTCATCTTCCGGGTCAGCCTGCTCTATTGCGGCCTACAACTGGCTTGATTTCGCCCTTGGTTCGGACACCGGCCAATCTGTACGCAGGCCCGCCGCTGTGTCCGGTATATATGGGCATCGCCCCTCTCAGGGTCTTATGTCCACCACAGGGGTAATGCCTATCAGCTACTCTACCGACACCTTGGGTATCTTTAGTCGGGACCCATACAAGCTGGCAAGTGTCAACAAGCTCTGGTACAAGGCGTACTTGCACCAGAACGAGTCAACAACGCATCTTCCCGCTATACGCGAGCCATCGCCAGATACCACGGCATTCCCAAGAAAATTACTATACGCAGTCGATTTCCTGCCCATGAAGAACCCCGATGCCCAGGTAATCCTGGACAAATTCCTCAAGGACCTGACTGTAGCCTTTAACATTACTATGGTGGACTTTAATTTCTCTCAAACACTGGAAGAGATGAACGTACCGGGTGCCAACAACATGACAAATTTCCTCTCTACGCTCAGCACAATGTTCACCTATGACCAGGAAGTCAGTGTGGCCACACCGTTCTTGGATGAATACGCTGCCAAGTTCAAAGGTGCATTTCCACCCTTGGACAAGCAGCACCGCGCTTACTTCCACGACAAAGACGCATACGTAACGTCAGAAACTCACACACAGGCCCTCCAAGCTCGGAGAAAGGCATTCGACGTCTGGGACGACAGAATTCTGCACGGGAATGATGAGACCTGCTCTGAGACCATGATTGTCTACGATATTGGCTTCAAGGGGCTACCGTCGTTTCGTGAATATAGTCTCAACCAGGATGATGGGGCTGCATTCCTCGTGGAAACAGGTACGGCAGGAGCTGGGGGCAACATCTGCCCCTTTTTCGGATGTGCCGACATGACCGTGCCCATCGGCCAGGTCACGTATTACAGCAACGTCACTTTTACCGAGGTGAATCTGCCAGTTACTGCTAGTCTGGCTGTCAGGCGAGGCTGCGATGCTGCGCTGTGGAATATGGTGGAGAAGATGGCGGATCTCGGTATTGTTTCTCCCGTCAAAGCCGGAACGTCACTTTACTAGGAGCTCAAGGGAAGGGGTTAGAGGTGTCCATGTGCCTTGCCATTGTATTCCATTTTCCATCTTGACAGAATAAATATAAAGAAAGATATGCTATACATATATGCCTTCGGACCTCTCCGGCCTTGCGTATCAATCGTCACGCAGAGTTATGCGCAACAACCTCGATCTCAACTCGCATATCGTCATCGCCCAGGCGCCTCACGCCAATACATGCCCAGGTCGGCTCACGGTTCAGCACACGCTTCTAGAAGTTGCGCACCATGGCCGCTAGGGCCTCGTTGTTGACGAGCACATGGTGCGAGTTATCGCGGTATATCTGCTCCCGGCCTTTGTCACCCACATTACGGAGGTTAGAGGTCGACGTTGCAGAAGGCATGGTCTATCTTCTCGCTGATCTCCCTGTAGAACTCGCCAGTCTTGGGGTCCCATCCGCCAGGTGTATTGCTGAGGCATTAGCCATTCTCCCATCTTCCAGCCGGACAGTCGTGGACCCGAGTTGTTGGAGCCCTTTAACGCATCTGTAGGCCTGCCATCAGTGACCCTCTATAGTGTACGCCAATGCCGCTGCGCCGATACTAAGACTTCGATAGCTCCTGCAGTACGGATATGCAGTGTTTAGCCGCACATCTGTACATCCTGAGTTCAACCTCATCGGGCCCTCTGATGGACGCGGGGGGGCGAAGCATGACTAGGGCAGCTGTCAACGCGCAGGGCGTCGCCTTAAAGGGATTTCTCCGGAAGCCGACAAAGGCTCGTCGGTATTTTTCGCTGAGACTGCTACAATTTACCTTGATGCCCTGGAATATTCACTATTTTTCATGGAAGAAGCCTTCTAGCCTTCTAACATGTGATGCCTAATGCCATCTTTCGCACTAGTAGTAGTGATTTTTTTTTTTCATATCCTCGTTGTTGACACGCTTGCCATAGAGATTCTCGTCACCTCCATGTATATCGTGATCTTGAGATCGCTAATACTAATAATATTAGTCGCGGAAACTACCTTTTACGAGGATGAAATCATTAAAAATAGAATAAAATCTCATCATCAGTCGAACTTTAGCGAGAGAAAGAAGGAAGCTTAGTAGTAAATAACGTCGAATTCGGATTCGCATGGCTTAAGGTATGTTTCCATGTTTTTCCGGAGTCAGAAACCCAAGCCGCAACGCAGCACGTTGAGAATGTGAACAGGCATAACCAAAAGAGATATTGCTGTTGGGCGGGAGCATCCATGAGGTTACCGGGGGCTTATAACATTGAAACTCCAGGCAAAGAACGGGGCGGACTTACTACCATATGTTCTTCTCTCCAACAAAAGCCTAGATACCATCATCGCTATACATATACTTGAATGCACCGTGAACAGCCGAGAGGGCGACCTATAGAGCTGAGTCATGGGACAGATAATGCTTCTGTCACAGGTTCTGATAGATATCCGAAGCCAGCTGGTGTCCAGGGTCTCCTTGTTACCAATGGTCATAAGTAAGATGATACTTTGAAGTTTGTCTTTGCTCAGCCCCCAACAAGATACTATCATACAGCAGTTTGCCTTGTATGTACTGACAACACTCCTGAATCACAGGCAATAGCGATGCTATTCGGCGATATCAACAATTCACTATCATTAACAGCAATTTCGCGGCTGATATCATCAACGATCACCCGTAGTTCCATAGTGAAGTAAGGGCTGTGTTCGCAGTCATCCTATTTATAGGAATCTTCCCACTCAAGCTTGGAGAGAACTGCTATTGTTGCGGGGAACATGTAGAACATATTCGACATGCTCAGCGCTCCCAAGAGCATCGAAGAGAAAGTGCACTCACATATGGGGACCACTACTTCACCAACTGATTCCTCATGGATTTGTATGCTGGCCGTTTGCGAAGAGCCTGAGAAGCGATTGACAAAGTGAAGAACATGACGGATATGTCGTGAAAGGAGCCGCTACATCGTACGAGGGAAGGAACACAGGGTAGGGATCAAGATCATCTCACCACCTTGCGTCATCACTTTTAACCGTAGTTACATGTCTGGTAGCTTTGACAGTCCTCTATTATTCTCGTCAATCTGTTGTTCGAACCTGCATTCAAGTATTAGCAGTGCCAATGTAGCAGTTCTGACCAGAAGAAGATTAAGGAGTTAAGTGCGCATGCTTCCTTTCCAGAAGACAAAGTGGAACTCGGGTGGAGTTTTGGCTGTGGGGAGTCAAGAGGATTTCGGCTTTGGTGGATCGTAGAAGTGTGCGGGATTCGCGCCGTTCAGTGTGATATCTCAACCTAGTCAAGACTATTTCCAAAGCGCAGGCACTTGATACGCGGGACGGCGACCGGATCGAGGAAGTTCCATATATTCATTATACACGCAATATCCTCCACATCCACGTTCCCAAGATTCGAGGTTCAGAAGGGAAAAGCAGCTCCCAAAATATAATTCAGCCGCCACCCTAGCCCAGTCTACAGCTGAGCCCCAGTCTAGCCGGCAATACACTATAATGCTGTTTAGGCAAGGGGGTAGGACGGCTGGGGAATAGCCTCGATGGCCTTTCGGTTGTGCTCGTGGGCCTACAGCAGACTCGTCAGTTTGCGAAGGTCTACGCCATCTGATTTGGGCAGAAGGAAAGCCCCAGACTCACAAATGGTAGGCCACAGTAGCCGCAGACAGCAATCTCGGGTTTGTCGGTGTTGATGAAAATCCTGGGGTGACCAGTAGGACCACCCCCACCATCGCATGACACGATACGGTCGTGTGACCACCGTACGGGCTCCTTGTGAATGAGCTCCATGGCGGAGGGCGGTTGGGGCTATTCAACCCAGTCAGTAACCGTAGCCATATGAGGCCATAATCAAACGGTAGCACGTAGGCCATTTGGTGGTAGTGGTGATGGGCGTGTGTAAGTACCTGGACATCGAAATCAGTCTGCTCGAATCGGGGGCCAGTCATGGCCTTGGATCGAGGTTGCTGGCTACGGGACCAAATACCAAGTCGGTTTGGGGCCTGGTTGATCTCGACAGGCTTGGATTCGTCGACGGCGAGCGACGCCTCAGACTTGGTAGCCGAGGGCACAGAGGCGTCGAGGTGGCGAGCGGAAACGGAGAAGGCACGGCTTTGGGAGGAGACGCGCAGGCCGCGCGCCAGGGAAGAAACCGCCTTCAATTGGGACGAGGCCATGGTGCTCAGAGAAGATGTAAACAGAGTATGCTGACGATTTGAATCCTAGCCGAGAGACGACTGGCCTTTGGTTGGGGTAATGGTTGCGACAATATGGGGTAGGGTAAGTAATGGACATTAGCGGAATTTTCATTGATCCGTGTCAGCCTATGACTCCACCACTCCACGGGGGAGGACGGGGGAGGACCGGGGGGGGGGGGCTCCCTAAGCGCCCCACTGTACATGTACATTTTTCTTTTCGCGCCCAAAAGCCGCGCAAGGATTCTGCAGGCAAAAAAAAAAAAAAAAAACCTTACTTATGTAGCTTCGACGTACTCTCTATACCGTTGACGTCTGCAACAAAATACAGCTACGCCCCTCCTGTAAACAACCCACGACCTCGACACCCAGTACAGCCCAACATGGCACCGGAAACACCAAAGGGAGTCTCCTCGAGGCTCCTCAGCATGAAGTTCATGCAGAGGGCCGCCGCATCAGCCGCATCGACACCAGGCTCCGACAGCGACGCCTCGTCGGCCAAGAAGCGCAAGCTGGGCCCCGACGACGACAAGTTCAGTGCCAACATAGACCAGGCATCTATCCAGGCCGCCATTGATGAACGGGAATCCAAACGCCAGGCTGCCATCGATAAGCATGGCGGCAACGACACGCACTGGGTCCTCGACGCCGACTGGGGCAAAAAATCGAAACAACCCGTCAAACCGCCTCGTCGCGTCGTCTATGTCGGATATGGTGGCGCCGACTCGTCAGATGATGAGGCTGATACTATTGACAAGCCTGTGCGCACCTCGACAAAGGGCTATGCAAAGGCCAAGGAAACCGTGAGCTCTTGCTGCCCCTGAATCTCCGATTTACCAGACACTAACGCAAATATAGAAAACATGCCCCGAGGACGAGTCCGGCTCGAGCGACGATGAATCTGAAGACGAGAACCGTTTCAAGCGCAGTGGCAGAGAACAGAGCGAGCATGGACGCTCACGATCCCGATCAGGATCCATCAAACAGACGGCAGAGGCTTCCAAAGCCAAGGAGTTCCGCGACAAGAGAAAGAAGAAGGATGTCAAGCTGAACAAGCTGACATCTATCTCCTCTGCCGGAAGTGGCAACCAGTTTGGGTCGCCCAATGGCAACAAGTCACTCAACTGCTTTAACTGCCAAAAGACGGGCCACAAAGCCTCTGATTGCCCGAACAAGGAATTCAAGAGCTCGTCGAAACGAAGCTGAAGGTTGCTGCAAGTCTGGAAATCTCCCGGTCGCATGGTGGCGCGTTGGCTGAGGCAGGGCTGATCAACACAAAATAACCTCCCCCCCCCCCCAGGATGACTGGCTAAACGGTACCATCCATAAATGCTCATGATTGGCCTCACTTACCAGGCCGGTGGTCTTTTGGGAGTCACTGGGTAAGATGCACATGGCAGTACTTCAACCCCCCTGCAACCTTGTGGGACACATTGGACACATTGCTTTCTAATAGAGTCTTATCACTTTGGTGGTAAGCCATGCTATCACCATTGTATCCAGGCTGCTGCCGTCTATGTTGGATAGCTACGGTATAGTAGAGAGCAGCCTTGGCTATCTCTTTCTGCCTCTAAACCCTCAAACGGGACCACTGGTGCGTACGTTCCAAAGGTTGTAGCGGTAACAGGAAATAGCTGGATGGGGACGACTCCATGGAAAGAACGCGGAGCCTTGCATCACCTCCTGGCTCTTCCATGCCCTACCACCGTCCAGGGAACTATACTCCATCTGAGCCAGTGGCCGTGATTATACCGATGATTGGTACCCTGAGCTTCAAGGTGCTATGCAGCAGCCTACAGGATGCATATGTACATGGTGGGAAAGGGTTGCATACTACTGCTACTAATAGAATAGACACTCGGCAGTACTACCTCTTAGATATCACTTGCCCCTCGACACTCCTACATCTCTATTTTCTTTTCACCCGTTCTTCTCGTTCCTCTTTTTTTCGTGCCGTAAAACTGCGCCCTCCCCCCCAACCCTCGGAAAGTTTTTTGATGTGGAGATTGCATTGGCGGCTGAAGAAGCTCCAGGTCCCGCCGCAGATCTCCACCCTCCGATCTTCGCAGGCCACATAGCTCAATACCTAGCTTCTTTCACCTGAACCTGCCACTCATTCAATTCCTCCACATGAACAGTTCACGCCACCATCCACACAATGTTTAATAAGAGAAGACACCTAAGGCTCTAAGCAACGACCCTCGAGAAGATCCCCAAGGCACACACTGGCATCCAGCCATGCTCGTAGAGGAGCTCATCAACCGCCATGGGCCGGCACCCCCCGTCCCCAAGGGTATCCAGAACGATACCACGTACCAAGAGGTAGTCAAGGTTTATCACGAAATGTACGCGCCGGGCCTGCATGCCTTGTTTGAATCGATATGGTTCTACTTCACGGAAAATGGCAAGATGTCCTTCCCCCGGCAAGGCAGCCTGGTGGCACAAATGGCCGTGTTCCTCAAGGTGCTGGAGAACATCAAGGTGACGGACCGGGCACAGATGATGTACTCGAGTACCTTGGAGTTACGCTTGGTGTGGGACCTAGCCAAGAACGCCCTGTCTGCTGCGCCCGATGGGGTCGACAACCGCACCCGCGAGACCATGCCGCACGAGAATGACGCCGTCGAGGTCAAGGCGCGCTTCCGCCTCGTCCAGGCCCTGCTCGACGGTACCCTTCTCCCCTTCAACCCGGCTTGCCCACCCATCAGGAACAGCAACAACCCGCACCGCCTGCGCGAGCTGGAGTTCTGGTTCAGCCTCGGCGAGTTCGTCACCACGCACGTCAATGCCAGCCCAATGATGGTCAGGCGGGAAGCCGACATGGCAGTGCGCGGAGTCGCCCTGGAAACGATGCGCAAGTTCCTCGACGGCCGCGAGAATAGGGATGTCATCTACTCAATTGCTGTGGTGCGCCACAATGCCTACCGCTTCAACATGGCACAGGCCATGCTGGAAAAGTATCACCTGCCCGAGAGTGATGCACGCAACAAGGCCGTCGTCGCATCGAAGTTCATCATGTCCCAGACCCAGGCTACTGGCAGCATGACAAACGTCACGCGGCGCATATGCGACCTCGCCAATCAGCTCTATGTCAGTCCTGGGTACAACATCATTTTGCCTGAAGAGCAGTGAAGTCAGCGAGTTTCTACACCCGGTCCCTTACCATGCGACTGCATATTCCAAAAAAAATAAAATAAAATAAAAAGGTCCACCGGTTATTCAGTGGCTTGTTCCCAAGGCTTGAAAGACATAGGTTATACGCGAGAAAGGGAGACAGTGAGCCTTCGCAAAGCAACTATGGCTCTGCACATGTCTCCATGCCATGAGCTCATGTCCATTATCGAGGCTTTGAATGCGCTGCTCAATTCTCTCAAAGGTCCCAGGACTTCGCCATGCATCCAAGGACATTGTAGAAGGACGACTTTCTTGTTTGATGCTGCGCTCCTAGCTGCATAGTCCTTAGCAGATGATTCTAAAGATCCAGATCGTATAGTTTTCGGAAAACCAGCACTTGATAAGAGTATGGAGGGCAACCATTCGAGAGAATTGTCCACTTATGGTGCTCTCTAGTTGGGCTAGCGAACTCCTGAGGCAGTAGAGCTTGCCTAGGAGTTGTGTCAAAGAATGACGGCGATATCAAGGCATCGGACGTTTTGTTCTGAATTGGATGCTGCCATAAGGGTTTTCAAGAATTATAAGGGTTGTGCCCAAAATTTCAACACCAGAAACACTCCTGGTACCAGTTCACAGTTGGATTGTACGGTTGGGTGAGGTGTCGATGTACTAAATGAACGTCGAGGTTGTGTGTATTGTTACTCTGCAGTATCCAAGGACTTAGTTACAAAAGGGGTGAGTAATCTAGTGGATTCATAAATTCTTTCGGTAATACTGGGGGTATCGGTTAAATAAAAGCAATAATGCGGAGGAAAACGTAGTCTGGGGGACTGGGGCTGTAACAATAATACAGATGACATGATTGGACCGGAAGAGCGAAAACTAATGGTCCGAATCCACTGCCCGCGTCAAACCCCCCAGATTGGCCCATTCATTCCATGGGGAGTGAGTGTGAGTGTCAGTTTGGTAGTTGAGCAGGTAAATACTCGTGCTATCACCTCCAATCCATCAAAGCGTGTGTGCCCTTCAGTCGACGACATCTCTCCGCCATTGACCCCGCGGGCAATTGGGTGCTCATCAGGGAGAATATTTCTGACTACTGCCAACGGCCTCTCTTCTTCTGGCTTCTTACCAGGACCACCTTTCCCCACACTCTCCGATTTCCCCATTCTCCGCAATGGCCTTCGCCCTCCACAGGTTGACTAGCTGCCGCGGTGCCGCCAGGCAGATTGCTGCTACTAGCCTCCGCCCGACGATGACGAAGATAGTAGCTCGCTCCTTCTCGACAACATATCTTCGAAAGTATGCGGCCATACCCGAGGCTGCTCCTACGCGACTGGTGCCCGTCAGCGACGACTTCTCCACCCCGGATGACCTGTACAGCACCGTAGGCTCGGGGTCGGCAGGCCCGAAAAAGTCGCGCGAGAACTCGGTCGAAGACCGCAAGGTCAGGCATTACACCGTCAACTTCGGGCCGCAGCACCCGGCTGCCCATGGTGTGCTTCGTCTGATTCTTGAGATCAATGGCGAGGAGATTGTCCGCGCCGACCCCCATGTCGGCCTACTCCACCGTGGCACCGAGAAGTTGATCGAGTACAAGACCTACCTCCAGGCCCTCCCTTACTTTGACCGTCTCGACTATGTCTCCATGATGACCAACGAGCAGTGCTTCTCTCTCGCTGTCGAAAAGCTACTCAACATCGAGATTCCCGAGCGTGCAAAGTGGATCCGCACCATGTTCGGCGAGATCACCCGTATCCTCAACCACCTCATGTCCGTCCTTTCCCACGCCATGGACGTCGGTGCCCTGACTCCTTTCCTTTGGGGTTTCGAGGAGCGAGAAAAGCTTATGGTATGTTAGCTTCTTCGTTCAGCTCATGGGATTAGAATTCCAATTTTCCTAATTTGCTACTAGGAATTTTACGAGCGTGTCTCTGGTGCCCGTCTGCACGCGGCCTACGTGCGTCCTGGCGGCGTTGCTCAGGATATTCCACTAGGCCTTCTTGACGACATTTACCAGTGGGCCACGCAGTTTGGAGACCGTCTTGACGAGACCGAGGAGATGCTGACGGACAACCGCATCTGGGTAGAGCGTCTGAGGGGAGTGGGCGTCGTTTCCGCCGCTGACGCTCTCAACCTGTCCTTCACCGGCCCCATGCTCCGCGGTTCCGGTGTCCCCTTCGATGTCCGCAAATCTCAGCCTTACGATGCCTACGACCAGGTCGAGTTCGACGTCCCCGTAGGCTCTCACGGTGATTGTTACGACCGCTACCTCTGCCGCATGGAGGAGTTCCGTCAGTCCCTGCGCATCATCCACCAGTGCCTCAACAAGATGCCCGCCGGCCCTATCAAGGTCGAGGATTACAAGATCTCCCCTCCTCCACGCGCTGCCATGAAGGAGAACATGGAGTCCCTTATCCACCACTTCCTCCTCTTCACCAAGGGCTACGCTGTGCCCCCCGGCGACACCTACTCCGCCATTGAGGCCCCCAAGGGTGAGATGGGTGTCTACATCGTTAGCGACGGCTCCGAGCGCCCCTACAGGTGCCATATCCGTGCCCCCGGTTTTGCCCATCTCGGCGGTTTCGACCATGTCTCCAAGGGCCATCTTCTGGCCGATGCTGTTGCCGTCATCGGCACGATGGATCTGGTGTTTGGTAAGTCACTCCCCTCTTCCCTCTGATCATAATCTATTTGTCTTTAGACTTATTTCACTAATCACGTGTCTTCACAGGTGAGGTTGATCGGTAAGATATGTGGAATGTGCATGCCGCTTACTAGAATTGGTTTCTTTTGTTTTGTACCATAGCTGGCTAGAGAGGCGACAAAGAGTAGATATAATTCCTCTTAGCGGTAGTTGTGATCCAATGCAAGTGTGTTCTTCTTCTCATCTATACACCTGACAATGTCTAATATATTTCAGGTTTTAACAACAGGTTTCCCGTGTGTCTCAAGTGGTTTCCAGACTGAATGATACATTTTTTCCTCTATATTTATAAGATGATACAGTACGGTAAAGTTGTCCTACTATTACACGACGAAGGAAAGGAGGCCTGCAGCCTAGAACATATTGGTCCCAGTCCCGGACGCCTGCTCCATGAAGAAGTTCTTCAGTGGCCCCAAGGCATTGGCAGCCCTCAAGCCGATGGACCTCAGCGGCACCAGGGGCCCACTCTCAACCGAGTACAACTTGTGCAATTTATCACAGACGCCCATGAGAACGTGGTTGGCGGCGTACCGCTCCGAGTTGTATGACTCAAGCCACATCTGGGTGCCCAAGTCCTGGCCATGCGAGACGGCATACTGAATGGCCTTCGCGAGGCTCTGGACATCGCCCTGGCCCTGGTTGAGTCCCTGTCCGGCAAGAGGGTGGATGGTGTGCGCAGCATCACCGATGAGGGCTACACGCTCGCCGATGTAGGTGTCGGCGTGACGCAGCTTGAGCGGGAACGATGCCACAGTACCTTCCTGGACACCCACGACAGTTTGGGGCAGCATCTCTAGGTCGAAAGGCGTGTGCTTCTCCCTCCATGCAAGTTCCTCGCTCTGGCCGTCGCTCATCGTGTGCATGTAGGCGATGTCAACAGGTCGGAGTCGGAAGGCCGAGTTGACCATGGCGATGAAGTCCTTCGGAGGCAGCTTCTTGAGGATAGCTGCATTCTTAGGTGTTGTCGACCACACGAGCGACGCAACGTTTCCGGGGAGCGGGAGCATGGCGATGGGTCCCGACGGCAAGAATCGCTGATAAGCCGTCTTGGTAGATTGACCACCCCACCCGCTACCATCAAGCTGCAAAGTGGCCACGACACCGTGCCTCCCGTAGTCCCAACCCCTGCTCTGGATGCCGGCAAAGGACCTCACGGGGCTGTTGGCGCCATCGGCACCAACGAGGAGTCGCGCAGTGAGCGATTCGCCGCTCGAGAGGTGCACGACAGGCCATTGCCTCAAGTCAAACTCTTCCGTTTCCTTCCCAAACTCGATGCTCTCCACCTTGGATTTATCAAAGATGTCGACACCTCCTAGCTCATGGATACGCTTGAGAAGTCCCGAGACCAGATTCAGGTTTTCCGTCATGTATGCAATCGTCTTGCCCGACGCCGAGGAAGGCTGCCAGTTAAACTCGATGCGCGCGTCGGTCAGGCCATCCCAGACCTGCATATCGTGGTACTCTTGGATGCGGTTGCGCTGTATATGCGGCCATGCACCTATTGAGTTGAGGAAGTGCGCCGACGAAGGCGTAAGGGAGCTACAACGGTTGGAGAATTGGTCGGCAGGGAGGGAGAAGGTCGATGCCTTCGCGAGGTCCTGAGCTTCGACGAGAGCGATGCGGAGTCCGGCGGTGACGGGATTGGCTCCTGTTTCATACGCGTGCTCGTTAGATACTGATTGGGAATGAGAATGTTCCATAGATGGAGCTCACGAAGAGCTGCGAGAAGGCTGAGCCCGGCCGGGCCACCTCCAACACAGACTACATCATAAAAGTCGTTGGACCGGGTGGAATAGTTGCGCCGAAAGGTCTGGGAGCGTCGTGAACAGCTCCGACAGACACGCGTGGTACTTCGCAGCATGAGATTTCTCGTAGCCATGTCACCTACACTCTCCTCCAAGTAGGGCGGTGGCAATTGCTCCTGCTGGTAATTATGGTGCGGATGAGGTCAGATGTCATGGCAAGTCTGTATAACTTTTAACACGGTATCAAGCCACTAGATCTCCGATGCCTTGTGTGGCGTTGGATGTGTGTTGGATGCGTGGCGGTGCAGAAAAGTGGTTCTATTGGATTTATGAGCAAATCAGTAGCGCAGATTTTTTGTGGCTTGGTAGCATCCACTGGAACTGTTGCCACAGAGACCAGCTGGCCAATGCTTTTACGTACTTCTATCATCCATCATATTAGCAGTCAACAACCCGCTGGAATGTCCCAGTTCTAATTCTTTCAACCCCTCCATCGTCACACACATTTGTCTTCTCTGTGGGCCACGTTTCCTGCGACCCCTTCAAAAGGCTCGAAAGGAGCGTCGCTTTTTCAACAGTTCAAATCACCAGAGTGTGGTTGCATCTGTGGCTGGTAACATACCCGCCTCCAGATCCCTGGCACGATTTGAGACACATGTCTCAAGTTCTGACAGTTACCCAGGTTATTGTTGTTTTCCAGCAAAGTTGATCGCACGTCGCCATTTCTCATCGTTCATCATCACTAGCCTCGCACGCGCAGTCGCAAAGTGGGTTACATCATGGCCGATGTTGACGACTACCTCCAAGAGGGTTTCGACCCTCGCTCCGTGACGATGCCCCGGCTGAGGTCCATTCTCGTCACGCACAGCGTCGACTACCCATCGACCGCAAAGAAAGCTCAGCTCGTACAACTCGTCGAGGAGTACGTGCTTCCGCAGGCTCCCAAGATTCGGGCGCAGAAGGCTCGGGCGAAGCGATCGAGCATGGGCATCGTCAACGCTGGCAGCGCCGAGGACACTGGCAACTGGGACGATCATGACCTTGCGCCTCCTCCGTCTGTCAAGCGATCCAAGTCGCCCAGGAAATCATCAACCAGGGTCAAGACTGAGGACTACGACAATATCCCACCGCCCCCTAGGAGCATCTCGAAACGCACATCGAGGTCCGCCAGCCGTGCGCTATCACATGCCAACGAAACCCCCGAACCCGAACCACCCGTGTCTGCTTCTTCTCGTCGCACTAGCCGGAGGACAATCACTCCTCAAATAAAACCCGAGCCCGAGGACGAAGAAATTCCCGCTGAGGGAAACAAGAGCGCTTTTACGAACGACAACCCTTTCCAAAGTGGAAGCTCACCGCCCAGTACGAAGACGCCCCGCAGCCGACGACAGACGGGCGATGTGGATACCACAAGGAGTGTCAAATCCTCGCGCCGTCGCACAGAAAACTCTGTCCCCAAGTTCAGGGAACCTCAGGTGGCTTACGATGAGATGGAGCCTGGCGAGGAGTTCACTCCCGATGAGCAGATAGGGCTCGAGGAAGCAGAGGACAAGGGCGAGGTTAGACTCCCGTCCCGTCAATCTCCTCACCAATCGGGACGCAAGACGAGTTTCACAACTCCCCTCCTAGTCCTCATCGTCACCCTTCTTGGTGTTTATGGCGCCTGGTATCGACAAGAGAAGATCGGTGTCGGTTACTGTGGCCTGGGAAGACAGCCTCAACAGATCATACCACCGAACGTTCCTATTCCCGACTTCGCCATACCTTTCGTCGAGGCGCAGTGCGAGCAGTGCCCTGCTCATGCTTACTGCTACGAGAATTTCGAGGCGCGATGCGAACCGGATTTCCTCCTCCGGTCGCACCCTCTTTCCTTTGGTGGCCTGATTCCGCTACCCCCTACGTGCGAGCCTGATGGTGAGAAGGCTCGCCGCGTCCAGGCTGTTGCCGACAAGGCTATCGAGGTGCTCCGCGAGAAGCGCGCTAAATATGAGTGCCGCAGCCTCAAGGATCAGGATGGCGGTAACACTCCTTCAATTGATGAGCAGGAGCTCAAAGAAACTGTCAGCCGAAAGCGTAGCAAGCGACTGAACAGCGCCGAATTTGAAGACCTCTGGGTAGCTGCCATTGGTGAGGTCACATCCAGGGAAGAGGTTGAGGTCGAACCTGCTACACGGTAAGTTGGCACACCTCTTTCTTATTGTCTCGTTTTCATGTCGTGCTTTATACTACTCTGCCTGTTCACTTTTCCTTATTGGTCTCAGTCCATTTCTGACTCAGCAACTAACCAGATCTGTCGTTCCTCCTACAGAACGACCGGTGCCTCCACCATTTCAAACAGACGCCTATCGTCCAGCTCTCTCGCTCGCGTTCCACTCAGCTGTGCGTTCTGGCGCTCCGTACGACTTGGACTGGCAAGATATCGACTCGCAATTGGACTTTTGATTGCAACTGTTGTGCTCAGCTTTGTCGCGCGGGCGCGGTACCGCAGGCATGTTACCACGTCGGCGCAGGTCCCAGCACTGGTCGACCTCGTCATGACACGGCTTTCGAACCAAAAGGAACTCGGGGAAGAAGGCATCGACGACGCTTGGTTGTTCCTTCCGAACCTGAGAGACGATGTCCTCAGGTCGGTGCACTCACTGTCTGAGCGGGAGAGTATCTGGCGCAAGGTTAAGGTTGTTGTCGAGCAGAACAGCAACGTCAGGACCGGTCAGCGAGAGGGCCGCAATGGTGAGGTAGGCCGTGCGTGGGAGTGGATAGGCCCCATCGCAGGCGAAGGGGCTCGCAGGCGTCGCAGTGGTCGCGTCTCGTTGACTACCGATATAGCCAAGGAGGAATCGCCGGCACCGGAGAAGCCTGTACAGCAAGTGAAGAAGTGGGATGAGCCGAGGCCGCTTTACTAGGTCATAAACAGGCGCATCCCTTGTAATGATTTTGCAAGTTGGGAGACAGGGCGCTCACTACTATTTCTTTGTGTATACTTTATATTTCGTTTGTTTGACTTATGCATTGCTTGTTTGACGACCGGTTGTTTCCTAACAGTAGTAGTATTGACCTGCCATTCACGGCGTTTCGCATTCTTAGAATTCTCTGGGCATGCGCATCTTTTGAGTAATGAAGCTTTCGGATGATATCATTACTTTTTTGGTTTCCTTTTATGTGTTACTGGCTGTCTCCGGCTCTGAATTGGTCATAGTATTTCTCAAGACCGAAAAACTCGTGCTCGCCAAATGGTGTTCTATAACCGTCGTGAGGGATTTGCAACAAATGTACTAGGGCACTCTCCCCGTGTGCTTCTTGTTCAGATAGATATATAGATAGCTTAAAGCAATGAACGATTTATCATACGTTGATATGTACGATGCTTATTTTGACCATGGGAGGTGGTCGACTACTCTATAATCACGTTGGGTCGATTCGGTAGATTGACACAAGCGCCATTTATTTAAATTGCTAATGCACAGGTCTTCTTACAGACGCGAGGTGGAGTGACAAAGGAGAAAGAAGGTTAGGTGGGTGGTTTGGTGTTATAAGCCGATCAGCCAAGTCGAGTTGTTTATTGAGTCTTAGAAGAGACGATCTCTGCAAGATTGTCTGTTAGCGATTGTTTGCGCGAAGAGATAAGGGGAGAGGGAGGAACGCTTACTCTCAATATCAGCGACGCTCTGCTGGAGGATCTGCTGGAGGACCTTAGGGTTCTCGAGCTCCTTCTGGACCTTGGCGATGATGGACTCGGCCAGCTCCTTTTGCTGGCGCTGCTTGACCTGGCCCTCGTAACGGACCCAGGAGTCAAGGACAGCCTTGGCCTCAGCGGCGATGGCGGTCTGCTGTTCGAGCTCGTAGGCCTGAGACTCAAGCTTGGCAGTCTCCTGTTGTGGCAATTGCATGTCAGTAACATTGCTGTTCCTCCTTCCTTCTCTGCCACCCCTTTTCTTCTTCTACACCCACCGGGAGGAGGGAGCAAGGAGGGGCCACAAATTGAGCCTGTGAATTTAACATACCTTAGAGACCTCAAAGAGGTTCTTGGTGATGTCGACGACACCGCCCATCTGCTGGACGTCGTTGATGCGGCCCTTGACGGCCTCGGTGTGGTCGGCACGGGCAGTGTTGAGGATGTTCTTGATCCTGTTGTTCTGGGCCTCGGCCCATGCCTTGTACCCGGGGCCACCGTACTTGATGAGGCCAGTCCAGACAGCGAGGAGGCAGAAGGCGACGACAGTCTCCTCGTTCATGACATAGTACTCGTTGGAGATGGCGTAGGCGCTCAGGGAGGCGGCGGTGCTGAGGATGGCACTCTTGCTGATCAGGCTGTTGCCGGGAAGAGCATCAATGATGCTCTGAGCCTTCTTCTTGGGCTCCTCGGCGGGGACGTTGCTCGCATAACGGACCGAGGCGGCCGAGATGGCAGGAAGAGCCATGCGGGTGACGGCCGGGCGGATGAGGGGAGCTGCGCCTGTTTATGTTGTTTTTTTCCCAGTCAGTTTCCAATTGAGCTGCCACGCATTGGCATCATCAAAGTCGCTGGAAGAGGGGCAGGTCAATTATACGCACCGGCAGCGCTGCGCACCAATCGAGAAGCCATTTTTGCGATGGGATTTGGATAGAAGGGGAAGGCGGGTATCCGGGGTCGTTTGCCTGGGGGGAGCTTGATTCTAGGTTGTGAGGTTTTATCGCGCCGCTGTTAGCTCGGCAACTCGAATTACCATATCACGTGATGTCGGAACAGAGTGGAGGCTTTCCATTTGTTGCTCCGTCGTCGCTTTCTCATAGTCCTTCCGATATATTGCCGGCCTCCCAGGGGTCCTCGCGCTGCAATCGTCTGTTATTGGCTGTACTGTTTTTCATATCGATAAGAGAAATATTTCGAGACGGCGCCGTCCTCGTAAAAATTACCAGTTTCCAACTCTTTCGCTTGTTAAAGTACTGGTACTGTTCCTAACGAGGTCCTTCTATTAATTCTCTCGAGCACTTCTGTGCTCTATTATTCCATTTGTGTCTGTCTGGGAATTCCGTCTACCTTTTTTTATATTCCCCAGTCAGGCGTGGAACATGCCTTTAAAGAATATCTCAGAGCGCTCAAAGCGCAAGCGATCGTCTGATGGCGAGAAACCTGAAAAGAGACGCCGTTCCTTGAGTGCCAGTGAACACGAAGAGATGGAGGAAGCTGAGGATCCTAACGCCAAGATACTGCTTATGGAGCAAGGAATCCTCGAATCACGGAAGAACTACAATAATATCGCCGTCCTCCTGGGTACTATGTGCGACCACGAGGATGGAAACCCGGAGAGCATGCTAGCCGCAGTGGCGCTTTGCCGTATCTTCGTGCGGCTCATTACACAGGGATCACTGATTTTCAAAAATAACCATTCGCCAAAGGAGTTGGTAGTGGTTGAGTGGTTAAGGGAACAGTTCTCAGTCTACAAGAAGACGCTCCTGTCTTTCCTCGAGGATGAAGATCTCTCTATGACGGCTCTGACCCTCTCCATGAGGCTTCTCAAGGCTGAGGGTGAACACATGTACGAAAATCGTGATTATTATTTTCCCGAGAACTTCCTCTTGAGCATCGTGTCGGCCATACTCCATACCGACGACGAGGATGTCAGGCAGACATACATTGAGGACTACGCCGAGCAGTATGACGACGTTCGCTATTACACCTTCAAGACTGTCAAGTGAGTATGCAGTGAGTCTGTTGAATTCTAGTACCAAGCTGATATCGGTTTGTTTTTTAAGGGCAACCCTGGAGAAAGCCGTACAGGAAGAATCTGGCGAGGGTCTATTTGAGCCTAGTTTCGCCCTTCTCTCTGCGCTGGATGGCGTGCCTGAGTCTGTGGAGGAGCTCGAGGACTTTTACATCCCTCGGCCAAAGAAAAAGGCACACAATCTCCGCTCCGTCACACAACACAAGAAGCAGGGTCAAGAGGCGTGGATGGCCTTGATGGGTCTTGTTGAAACAAAGGACCAGAGGAAGCGTATACTGGCTGTCATATCCAATGTTATTGCTCCCTGGTTTGTCAAGCCGGAGCTTTTATCCGATTTCCTGACCAACTCGTACAATGCCGGAGGCTCCATATCTCTCCTGGCTCTGTCTGGTGTCTTCTACCTCATCAAGGAGCGCAACCTCGACTACCCGTCCTTCTACGGCAAGCTATATTCCCTTCTCGACCGGGATATTCTTCACTCTAAATACCGCTCGCGCTTCTTCCGCCTTCTAGATACCTTCCTCGCGTCGACCCATCTTCCCGCTGCCCTAGTGGCGAGCTTCATCAAGCGCCTGTCTCGGCTGGCCCTCAACGCACCTCCCAGTGCCATCGTCTTCGTGGTTCCCTGGATCTACAACCAGCTCCGGAGGCACCCCACATGCACATTCATGATCCACCGAGAGACGAGAGATCCAGAGGCCAAGAAGCATCTCCAGGAGAATGGCGCCGAGGACCCCTTCCTGCCAAACGAGACTGACCCCATCAATACGCGTGCCATTGAAAGCTCACTCTGGGAAATTGTGCAGCTCCAGTCGCATTACCATCCCAATGTTGCCACCATTAGCAAGATTCTTTCTGAGCAGTTCACAAAGCACAACTACAACATGGAAGATTTTCTCGATCACTCATACGCAAGCGTAAGTTCTCGTCGACCCTTCGAGAGATAGCTGAAACACATACTGACTGTGATGATATATATAGTTGATTGAAGCGGAAATGGAAAAGGAGGTCAAGAAAGCTCCCGTGGTAGAATTCCACATCCCCAAGAGGATATTCCTCCCGCAAGACGACCCGGTTGCGAACCCAGACAGCCTCTTGGTCAAGCTCTGGGACTTTTCAGCGGCTCAGGCCTCGGCATAATGAGCTGGTATTGTTGGGGAGATGGGAACTATATCTAAACGAGGGGCTTATGATGGTATATTATACCCGCTGCATCATTGGCGATCGATAGACAATTGACTCATAGCGCCGTGCAAATTGCATAATATAAACTAAGAACAAAGGAAAACATAAGCACGATTCAAACATGTCCGGCAAAAAAAGTCAACTTCCAGGTACTAATCCTCACTACGGCCATATCAAGAGTGTGTTCAACACCAGGAAATAATGAGATGAAAGAATATAACGATATCAGCTAATGCTCGTCTTTGACAAGAGTTAACTTGTCGACGCTGTTTTCGGGCTCTTTTTTCTTTGGTTTCATGGACTGAAAAAGCCTTACCCTACGGGTAGATTACGATATAGTTGCAATCATTGTATGATGTAATGGATGTCGATAAGTAAACTCTGTGATGCAAACTAAGGTTCACCCGTAAAAATCCGTGGCATATTGTGGGTAGTTGAGTCCTGGGGACATTTGTTTTTGTTCCGGTAAAATTTATATATCATCGTCAATGATTACATTGATGGTTGTCAAACATAATAATACTGATGCGCACCGCCATTTAGAAAGACGTGTCAATAGCTTACTTTTTAAGCACTGATTCCGATCCAGGCTTGAACTTCGGGGTAGCTACCCTCATCTGATTCCTCCCATAATCTATGCCCTGCATAATTCTTCCCCATTCAGATTCTTACCCATTGAAATAGGATCTGCGTGTCTCATTATCCAATACTGCACCCCATGGAGAGCATCAACTAAACATCATGTCGAGCAATCCCTTCAACATTCTCGGCAGCAGCTCCAGGCCCCCACCGCCTCAGTCGTCGACGAACGTGCTGCAAAGCCGATCGAGCCGATCTGCTGAGCCTCAGCAGCAGCCGCAGCAGCAACCGGATCGGGCACCCAAGAAACGCAAGGGGCATCGCGGAGGTAAAAAGAAGCGCCAGAGGAGAAAGAGCTTCGCTGTCATCGATGAGGATGATCAACGTAGCGATACGAGAAGGCCGTCGGGCAGCGGTTTCTACCAGATGCCTACCAGCGCGAGTGGGACCAGCCTTGACAGCGAGGCCCTGCTCGACCACAGGTATGTTATCCCCACCCCCCCAAGGTGAACTGCAGGGTGAACTGGATGGGAAGTCTGGTAAAGGGGCTGATGGCATGATGCCTGACGTGTCTACAGTGAACAAAAGCCCATGCGTGCACGACGGACTTCGACCATTACCGGTCTAGGCGCCCCCTCCACCTCTTCAGTATTTACACACAATAACATCAACAGCGGTAGTCGCCTACAAGCCATGGAGATGGCGGGAAGCAGCGACGAGGACGAGGGCGATGACTTCGGTGCCAACGACGAGGGGGCTCCTCTCCTCTCCGAGCCAGTGTGGAATCGCCGCCCTTCGAGTTACGGCGCCAACGACTCGAGGATGAACCGACCTCGAAGCCGTGCAGGCTCGTCCATCTTGTCACATAACGCAAAACAAACCCCCACCAAGGAGCCATACGATGTCAATAACCCGCCTTCGGTGCCTGCGTCGCCACAGCTCGGGGCCGTCGATCGGCTAGATATGACGCTTGGAGATGTCATGATCCGAGATGAGATTGACTCCCATGACGGAAGCCCCCATCTGCATATCGAGGATAACGACGATGCAATGTCGGATGTTGCCCCTGCAATGAGGGACAACAGGCCTGTACAGCGCGTCATGACGGGCCGCTCTGGCGAAGAGGACGTCTGCTTTCCGGGCCCAGGAATGTCTGAGGTAGGGGATGAGGACATTGCCCGCCGCAGTGGTGGCCGTAGGGGCCACTTCAGGCCACAACGTCGTCGGGGGCAGTGGCCAGATCTGTCTAAACTCGAAGAATGGAAGCATATGGAAAAGGAGGACCGTAGCGAGGAGCGCCGTGTCAAGACGATCACGGAGCCGCAGCTCATTAATGGTCGTCTGCGCCCTGTGCGTAAGGGCTGGTTTGAGACGGACGAGGACATCCCGTACAGGTTTACCTACTTCAACGAGGAGTTTAGGAGCACCATCCACAGCCAGACCATCTCAGAGCTGGTCCAGCCCGGCGGCGGGTTTGAGGAACTGTTCATCCCCGAGCCCCGTACGCTATCAGATGACGAGTCGGATACGGATGAAGAACTGCTTGCCCCCATTCCTGTCAAGAACGCCCCCCCGGCTGATAATTCCAACATGGGCACGCGCCAGACGTCTGTTTCCGATCACGCACACAGCAACAACGTTACCACCGCTACTACTACCAGGGGTTTCTCCCCGAAACCCGAACTCTTGGGCAATAACGCGGACTCCGGGCGCGGAACACCAACGCTGAGCGGGACCAGGTCTCCTGAGGGCAGCACGGCCAAACGCACACAGTCCCAAACGAGGGAATACGAGACCAATGCTAAATCTCAGACGCCTCTCCAAGAAGGAGACCGACCAGTGTGGTGGCTCGACGTCTTCTGCCCTACCGAGGCCGAGATGAAGGTCATCTCCAAGGCGTTCGGCATCCACCCGCTGACAGCCGAGGACATCATGTTGCAGGAGGCGCGCGAGAAGGTGGAGCTATTCCGCAACTACTACTTTGTCAACTACCGAACCTTTGATCAGGACATTAACAGCGAGAACTACCTGGAGCCCGTCAACATGTACGTGGTGGTGTTCCGCGAGGGCGTGCTGAGCTTCCACTTCTCGGTAACGCCGCACCCGGCCAACGTCCGCCGCCGAATCCGCCAGCTGCGCGACTACTTGATCCTGTCGTCGGACTGGATCTCGTACGCTATCATCGACGACATCACTGACGTTTTCCAGCCCCTAATCCAGAACATTGAGGAGGAGGTCGACGCCATTGACGACGCCATCTTGCGCCTGCACTCGGTGGCTGACAGGCGGCTAAAAGCCGAGAAGGTGGGACCCAGTGTCCAACACGACGACTCGACCACGGTCAATGACTCCGCCGGCGACATGGACATGCTCCGGCGGGTGGGTGACTGCAGGAAGAGGGTCATGAGCCTATACCGGCTGCTGGGAAATAAGGCAGACGTCATCAAGGGGTTCGCCAAGCGGTGCAACGAGCGCTGGGAGGTGGCCCCTCGTTCAGAGATTGGCCTCTATCTGGGCGATATTCAGGACCACATTGTGACCATGACTTCCAACCTTGGTCACTACGAAAAGTGAGTGACAATCCACGCCTTATCCCTCCCCACTTCAGAGCAATGTTTCTAAGACTACTTTAAAAAAAGGATACTCGCCCGATCCCATGGAAACTACCTCGCCCAGATCAACATCCGCATGAATGAGAGACAGGAGCAAACGGCTGACGTTTTGGGGAAACTCACCGTCCTGGGAACCATCGTCCTGCCCATGAACATCATCACCGGTCTCTGGGGCATGAACGTCTGGGTTCCCGGCCAAGAGTATGAGGGCGACCTGGTGTGGTTCATGGGTATCACGGCTGGACTCTTGCTCTTCGGTCTGGGATGCTACGTTATTGCCAAGCGAGTCTATGGCATCGTGTAGATGATTCCTCCCTTTCCTCTCCTTTGATACCATCGTCCACCCTACAACTGGGGGTTACCCCCAGTTCACCAAAAATTCTCTCCAGCTACACCATTTTAGAATCACCTACTGCGGAAGGAGTGTTTTTGAGATGCAAGCTAATCTGCTACTTCTCTTTTTAACATCACTACACCTCTCCCTATTCTTTTTTCTCCTTCCTACTTTTTATGACTAAGTCACGCATATAGAACCTAAAGAGTCGCGATACTGGAAACACTGGCGTTTATTATTAAATTGGATTGCGCTTTATAGTTTTTGTAACCCTCTATGTATGTCGGCGAGATATATAGTATATTATTCTTAATGAGGCACTCGAAAGACTGGTCGTGATTGAATGTTTATATAAAGAGTAGGGACATGTCACTTCGGGCTTGCAGCAACACCTAAGATAGATTGCGTCCGTTCGTATCTTTCCTGTGTCATTATTATATTGAAGAGTGGTACTAATATCTTGCGGGGCGTAGACAATCTTCTTTACCGCTTCCCATCCCGACCGATGTAGAGAAAAAATTGGAATTTTGAAAAATAAAATAAATGAAAAATAAAGGGCAGAACCTGAAGACGCCAGTGTAACATAAACATGACCCAATCACTGTCGTGTGTCGCTTTGCTTTTGCTCCCCCTCCCCTCCAGGGCATCCATCCCCACACATACCTTCTTAGATCTATACATACAAGCCCTATATGATGCCAATTCTTTCCTAGTACACACCACATGAACTTTCCACGAAACTTCATTTGACTTCCATTCACCGCCTCTGCGCGGCAAACTGGGCCCTGAGGGCCAAGATCTGCTGCTTCTCTGCCTCGGGAAGCATGTTTATCTGAGACTCAGGAAGCTCCATGACCTGCCTGACGAGATCGTCAGGGTTCAGCATGGGCTGGGCAGTGGGGGCAGTAGGCGGCGGAGGGGCAACGCCGTAAGCGGGAGCAGCGTAGGGCATGCCGGCAACAGGGGGCGTGGCGGTGGCGGCGGGGTATCCTGGAATAGAGGGAGGGTATGCAGCGGGGGCAGCGGCGGGGGGAGCTCCGGGCTCGATGACGGAAGACACGGCCTCGGGAGACACGAGGCCCATGAGGAGAAGGGTCTGGAAGATGGCGGCGGCGAGCTGGGGAGCCTGCTGGAGGAGCTCGGTGGCCCTCTGGGGCTCCGAGGTGGCGAGGGCCTTCATCTGGTAGACGATGTCGAGGAGCTGCGTGGGCGGGAGGGTGTGGAGGGTCTGCGAGATGGCGTCGGCGCACTTGACGCCCGGGGGCAGGTCCTTGCCCGCAGGGAGCGGGGGGATAGACCCTGTCTGTGTTGATGGCCCGGTACTATTGGCGCCGTGTCCTGGGGGAGCCTATCGCGGTGAGTATGTTAGCATGAAAGTATATATAGGCATTCGGCGGAGGGATGGTAGGCAGGCAGGCAGGTAGGTAGGTGATTTTACCTGGTCGCGATCGTCGTCAGCTGATTTTTGATCGTTGCTGAAGTCGACTCGAAGCCGACGACCCATGATTTCGTAGTCGTTCAGGTTGCGAACGGCGGAGGAAGCCGAGTCTGGGATGAAAGGGAGCACAAGATTAGCCATGACAAGAGCAAGGTACAAGACAATAACAGCGAGGAAAATGTCATCAACATGCACTCACCGGTGTCTGGATAGTCTGCGAAGCCAAAGCCTTTTGGACGCCCGGTCTCATTGTCGTATACTAGACGGAAGCGCTCGACCTTCCCTACACTGCTGAAAATGTCGGTGATTTGCTCCTCAGAGAGTCCTGTTGGTGAGTGTCTGGTCAGCACTTTGCTTGCTTCTTTGTACTATGCGATATGGTTGAGTTGAACTGTACCGTATGGGATGTTTCCCACAAAGACGACTCGTGAAGGAGGTCTCGTAGACATGATACTCGATATAACGAAATTATTCAAAGGGGTACAGTTGATCAATGCCGGCCCTGAGAAAATGGAAAGAAAGATGTGCCAGACGAAGGGCACGAGGAGAGAGTTTGCTTTCTTCAACGCTTGATCCACAAGGCAAAGACGTCAACGCAGAGTTCTAAATGTGTCTGGGTGGATTATCCGATGTTCCGCCGGGAGAGCATGCTTCGTACATCAGGTACGGCACGCGTTACTACAGGTGCTATTTCAAGTTGGCATAATGATTGAGATGGCATTAAATTGGAGAAAACGATAAAAACAAGAATTCTCAGATCCTTGTACAAGAATAATTAATGTAAAAAAAACCGGCAAAAGAATCATAAGCAAATGCAACGAAAAAGAAGACGCATACTCAGTGCTCACAATCGACATGCCTTATCGAGAGGCTCTCAAACACGTTCCGTGAATGTCCCACTTAATTTTTGACCGCGTAGCCGCTGCATGTCCATTGGACAAACCGGGCTTGGCCCCCTAAAAACTGAAGTGCCTACGTCGTAAGCGCCCCGTTCCTAGGGAGCTGCCACTGATCATAGCGTACGACTATTACTCCGTACTTGCGACGGTGGCCTCAACGATTTGCCTTGCTGCTGCCGCGATTCTTACTTCAGCTTTCTCTTATTTCCTCGTGGGAGCAATTGACGTCAACTCTCTCTCCAGCAGTCCATTCCACCCATCTACCCATTTCGCCGAGTTCTTGTGTCACTCTCAAACCGTCTTTTGTTTGAGCGCGTGTGTGCCCTGGGCCCTCCCTTAATTGTTCATATTTCGAAATCATTTTCTGGGGTGGGCTGGACTAAGCTCGTGATCGATTACCCTCGAACCCCCTCGGACCCGACGCCATGTCCCCCAAGTCGCGATTCACTAGGCTCGATGCCTTTACAAAGACGGTCGATGAGGCACGCATACGGACGACGAGTGGAGGAGTAGTCACTATCGTGTCATTGCTGGTGGTGCTGTTCCTGGCGTGGGGAGAATGGGCAGACTACCGCAGGGTTGTGATACACCCGGAGCTGGTGGTTGACAAGGGCAGAGGTACGTGATCATGATGACACCACTAGTCCTGTACGAAGCAAATCATGCGTGTGTGCGCGTGCACCGCATGATTCGTATAGCCACCACACGAGGAGAGGATAGAAAGAGAAACTAACTTCGTGCGGCTTCTTCTTTCCCTAGGCGAGCGCATGGAGATCCACCTCAACATGACATTTCCGAAGATGCCGTGTGAGCTCCTGACGCTCGACGTCATGGATGTGTCGGGTGAGCAGCAGCATGGAGTCAAGCACGGAGTCAAGAAGGTGCGCCTGGAGCCGCTGTCTAAGGGCGGCAAAGTGATTGAGAGCGACGCGCTGGCCCTGCACGAGGACACGGCATCCCACCTGGACCCGGGGTACTGCGGCAACTGTTACGGTGCGGTGGCGCCGGCCAACGCCATCAAGTCTGGGTGCTGCAACACGTGCGACGAGGTCAGGGAAGCGTACGCGCAGAAGTCGTGGGCTTTCGGCCGCGGCGAGAACGTCGAGCAGTGCCTGCGCGAGCACTACGCCGAGAAGCTGGACGCCCAGCGCGGCGAGGGTTGCCGTATCGAGGGAACCATCCAGGTCAACAAGGTCGTCGGTAACTTCCACCTGGCACCCGGACGCAGCTTCAGCAATGGTCCCATGCACATCCATGATCTTCAGAACTACGCGCAGCCTCCCAATGGCATCAAGCACGACTTCACCCACACGATTCACTACCTCCGCTTCGGCCCCCAGCTCCCCGACTCCATCGTCGACAAGCTCTCCTTGGGTGGCAGGAACAGCCAGTGGAATAACCACCACGTCAACCCGCTTGACGGCACCAGCCAGAAGACAACCGAACCCAACTTCAACTACATGTACTTTGTCAAGATCGTTCCCACCTCGTACCTGCCTCTCGGCTGGGAGGAGAAGGCCGCCAAGATGGACCGCCAGTTTGGCGCCGACCTCGGAACCCTGGGTTACACGCCCGGCGGCAGCCTCGAGACACACCAGTACTCGGTCACTAGCCATAAGAGGAGTCTAGCCGGTGGTGACGATTCAGCCGAGGGACACGCTGAGCGTCTTCACTCCCGCGGCGGTATCCCCGGCGTGTTCTTTTCCTATGTGAGTTTTAATAATTCCCTCCCCCCTCCTCTCTCCTTCTCTCGTATACTAAACGGGAAACCTACATGACTCCCCCCCTTTTGGGACCTGTGCTGACTTTCCCGCCCCTCGAAACAGGACATTTCCCCTATGAAGGTGATAAATCGCGAGGAGAAAAATAAGACATTCCTCAGCTTCCTCGCCGGTCTCTGCGCCATTGTTGGAGGTACCCTTACGGTGGCCGCCGCCGTTGACAGGGGCCTATTTGAGGGTACGATTCGCATCAACAAGATGCGCTCCAAGACGCTGTGATATGGGGAAGATGGAGCAGATATGTATTTTATGTACGTGGAGCGTGGAGGTGGGACGAAGCCAGGAGAGAAAAAAAAGAGTCGTGTGCTGAAGGACTTAGATACTTTGTTTTTATATGCTTGTTTTTTTTTCTTGTATCGGCTGTTGAGGCATACGATCCGGCGTTATGGGAATAATTTGGCTGTGAAAGAAGAGGGGGAGAGACATAGGAGAGAGGTAGCACAAGCGCGAAGTGGAAACCTGCGACTCTTTCTTCTCTCTTTATGCGCGCACGTGTTCTGCGTCAGTCTGTAGTAATACATACAAGCTCATAGGGGTTGGTTTACTCAATGCAAACGTCTAGTATTGGAGCCTTTTAGTAATAGCTGTAATTGTGAATATCATGCATGCCCCCTATTGGAAGCCGAGCTTAGTACTCAAGTACTTGGGTAGGTTGATATTTCCCACTGCAAATTGTTGGTAGCTCAAGGAGAGGGGGCACCAATGTTTAACACTGCTATGATCCTTGCTATTAAATATTGGGAAAGTAATAACGAGCAATCTGTAAACAGGAAAGAAAAAAAGGGGTTTAGAACTTGCTGTAGGTCCGTTGACGGTATTACGACGTATATACGGCGTATTAAAACCCCACCATAGACAGGCATAGATAATACCTGGAAGCCAAGTTTGATGGAATAGCTCTGTGCAGGTATCTACAGATTACACGTTATAGTATTGATATACTTAATAACCCGTACTATCTATCGTTGGCGGTGGTAAACCGTGACACTGAAGCTAAGACGTTGACAAGTCGTCGTACGAGAGATCAAAGACGTAATACTACTTCGACGATGCAACTACATGCATCACTCCGTATTGTACATATACTAGTAGCTAGCGACCTCACTAGTCTGCCTCGGGGTACTGAAGCTTCAACTTTGTTTGGCCTGCGAGGCAGGAGTGGGGAAACGAGTGCAACGAATGCCGCTGCGCACGATGTGTTACTCCGTACATGTACGGACGGGTATGGGAGAGGGCCCCGAGGGGGGAGGGTGAAATGGGTGAGAGCTTGTGGGAAGGCAGGTTTGTCAGGTGTTTACTCCGTAATGGTCCATGGATCCCGGACCAAAGGAATTAAGATTGATGCTCTAGAAGCAGGGGCCAGACATGGGACCGTTGATAATGGGGAGAGAGGAATGGAAGATATGGAGACTCCGGCCTCTAAGCAGTGGTAATCTGTAGACTGTACGAGTACTCGTAGTGTTCCGTAGTAGCAGACTAGCAGTAGCAGCAGTACAGATTAGTGTAAGTTGAAGAAGTACTTCAGTAATATCAGCAACAATGTTCTCGTACATTATGTACCCATAGAATAGCTCCATTACTACCACTACTGGAATAGTAGCGATGATACAATGGACTCCGCACAGGTTAATTACCGACTATTAATACGAACAACTACTGGATTTAGTAGAGCCGACTAAAAGTTCTAGTGAATCATCCGTAACAGCGTAATTAAAACGTCGATTTTGTGCAAGAACAGTCAATAGTGGTAGTGCTCGTGAGTTAGTTACCGAGTTAGTATTATTGCTACCATGCTACCAGCAGGCACCCATAGATACATGTCTAGTCTGTAGATAACTACATGTACTTACGTACGTCATGATACTCAACGCTGTGCAGTTCCAGAGTTCATATCGGCCGCATCCAACCAGTGGCCACCTTGAGATAGTGCGGTACGGAAAGCAGCACAGAATTAAAATGAATAAAATAAACAATGCGGTGCCTGTGCGGTTGAGTCAAAGACGGTGGCTTGCCCAAACAGCACCAATGACAAGCGACGCGTCCCTGGAAGAGCAATGGATCCGTGGAAAGCATCGTATCGCCGGGGCGGCATAGTGGGTCAGGTAATAGTGGCTTCAGGGCCTGTGGCCTCCATGCCTACGGTACGAGTATTGATGAACCGCCTGCACTTCAAAAGGTCCAGCCAGCGGAAGTGGTTGACAGTATAACTCATACAGGTGATAGTACAGTTCACGTGTGCAGCCTTGATACATAAATATGTCCATCCCCATTAATCGTACCCCCCTTAAATATGGGTCTATATTCAGTGCCTCTTTCCCAACGGTCAAAACGGGGGGGGGGGGGGGCAACATGCAGCACCTAGACCAGACCTAAGACAGCAGAACAAAGGACAGAATAGACAGAACAGACAGACAGACATACAGACAGACAGGGGGCTGAGACCAGCACACGCAACGCACGCCCGTTTCTGCCATCTGGGGCCTCTTTCGTACCGTACCCACTGCTCACTGGCTGTCCACTGCCCGTTGCTGTTGCTGTTGCTGTTGCTGTTGCCACTTCCAGCGTTTGTGAGGTCCACTGTCCACTGTATATCTGCACTATAATACGTACCTACTAATACCTGACAATGGATAGTAGTAATATTATTAGTACATATAATAATAATACTGCCACCCGACTGCATGTACCTTTACTACTTGTACGTCTTTCCTCATCGTGTGTGCGTCTCCATCCATTGCCTTCCCGCTGTGATACTGTAGTATCTGTACGCTGCATCCCCTCCTCCCTCTTTTTTCTTCTTTCCTCGCTCTTTCGTATCGTGTCCCGCTTCCGCATCGTCCTACTATTTCTCTACAACCCCGCTGCATACTATCACCTCTTTCGTTTGGTCGACCCGATACGACTGTCCTTTCCTTTATTCGCGTCGAGCCCGCGTCCTTCGACAAGCCCGCCCAATCAACCAACCAACCATTGCCTCATTGTTGGGCTGAAGGTCGACTCTCGCCCGCTTTGCTCCATTTCTCCGTCTGTCTTTATTATTACCGATAACTGCGCCCTGCGATCCAATACTCTTTGCCATTTAGGCCTTTCTTTCTCTTTCATATTCCTCCTCTTTCTTTGGTCCCTACCCGGCCGACTGAGAGCGTGCCAATTCGTCCGCCACTGGCTCACCCTTGCTTGTCCCTCCAAACACCTTTCTACATCGACCATCTGCGCTCGACGACGACACAAATTCGACCGGTATCTTTAGACCGATATCCCTCCTTTCCCAGTCTTGTTGCTCGTCGATGCCTCCTGGTCTTTTCTACCCTCGAACCATCGACAATTTGCGACCGCAGAACAACCATTAGAGACCTGTGGCTGTGCCCTTGAAGTGGCGAGCAACCAAAGGCCCGCCTTTGGCTTGGCATCGACAGTCATTTGTGTAATAATTGTTCTACCTCGCCTGGCTTCGGGTCAGATACCCTTCACCCTTTTCTCAGCGGTGTTGGGGCCGGCGAGAGAAACATAACGATACACCATGGCTCAACAACGCCCCAATCTCCTGGACCTGCGGGCCAACTCTCACAGCTCAGCCATGTCCTCCGTCTCGCGACCCCTGAGATCGCCGCGGTTGCACGTCGCTGGCGAAGCACCTCCCGAACTATCCCCATTAGATGCCTTTGCCCTTCAGAGCCGCATGCTGGCCAAGCAGCTCCAGGCCAGCGAAAAGGACGGTCAGAGGCTGAGCCGCCTGCCACCCTTGACAGTAGAGAGCCCACTGATGGTCCAGGGCAGGTCCGATTACTTTCGCTCCATGTCTACCGATGCTGAGGCCGAGTCACTACATGCGCAAGAGGGAAATCGGTCTCCAGAGAGCTCCCTCAACTCTGGATTGGGGCTGAGGACTGAATACCAGGACGCATTTGGCCCAGAGGAGCGCCCCAGATCCATGCACCCACGCATGAGCAGCGTACCTCCCTCGTCACACGAACCGATGCCTGAGATGCGACCACCTCCGGTCGATTTTACGAGGCCACAGCCGCAGCTGAATCGAGACCAGACTTCCTTTGGCACACGGCAAGAGCGGTCGCCGTCCCCCTTCCTCAACAATGATATCCAGCCGATACCCGATCAGAATACGGAGCGACTGCCTGTCCGGAATGATAATGCCCCGACGTCCGGCTCGCCCCTGCAGACTTCTACGCCCGCCGATGCATTCGACGGGCCCAATCCAGGCTCCCTGGACGATATCGGCCTCGCACCCCCGCGCCCCGTATTCCCAAAGCGATCATCCAGCATCATGTCGTCCCCCCTGTCGCCCTCTGAGGAGGACGGGTCCGCTAGCCTGTCCGGATCCTTCAACTCGCTACCGCCCCGCAAGCTTTCATCCAGCAGTACAGCCTTTGCCAACAACCCTGCTGTCACCCCTTCGTTGAACCAGCTCAGACGAACCCCGTCGGCTGGGTCCGAGTCGTCAGCCTTACCGCGCCCCTCGTTCAACTTCTCCAGGCCCATGAGCCGATCCGGCACCCCCAGCTTCGACGCACCGTCTCGACAGGCCTCGTGCGACAGCCAGCCCTCCTTCTTCCTGGCGGATGAGACAATGCACACGCCTGTCAGCATGCACAGCGATGCCTTCACGGACAACCTACCCGAGGATTATCAGGCTGCGCCCTCATACATTTACTCCAAGTTTGCTCTCCCCAGAGGAAAGGTGGTTCAGCGGGGCGAGGGTCCGGAAAACCAGAACCAGGCAGCGTCTTCGTCGAGGAACGCACCGCCATCACCTCCTTCTCGCCCAACCAGCTCATCCTATGTCAAGCCTGTCGCTGATGATGCTGCGAGCGTCATGAGCAGCCTGACACGTCCGTCTACGGACTCCAGGAAGCCCAGCTTTGACAGCTCCAGGCTGGCCGTCGACTACCCCCCGCCTCCCACAGGCCGACAGTCGCAGGATGAGAACCGGTCGTCCGAGGAGATCCCTAGGGGCCGCGCCCGCTCGCCGCGCCTGCCAGAGCCTCCTCGCGGCCGCACACCCACATCGAATGCGCCCACCAGCGACACAGCCAGCACGGTACGCCCGCCACCTACAGCTCGTTCAGGTACGACAGTCTCGGATATGTCGGCCGAGGAGCACCTGGCCAAGGGAATCTCTTGCCACGAGAACGGCTCCCTGCAGGAGTCTACGTACCATCTGCGCCATGCTGCGCGTATGAACAACCCCACAGCTATGCTTCTCTATGCCCTGGCCTGCCGACACGGTTGGGGCATGAGAGCCAACCAGAAGGAAGGCGTGCAGTGGTTGCGCAAGGCTGCCGACTATGCCCAGATCGAGATTGCAGATGATGAGGACCAAGCGAAGGACGGCAAGCATGTTGATGCCATTGAGCGGAGGACGCGCAAGGCCCAGTTTGCCTTGAGCATCTACGAGCTGGGCGTCAGCCATATGAATGGCTGGGGAATCGAGCAGGATAAAGCTCTGGGGCTACGGTGCTTCGAAATTGCTGGCAGTGAGCTTCCCCCCATCCTCTCCCATATCCGGGTACGAAGTCGTGAAGCTAACCTCCTCGTCTCTTTAGCATGGGGTGATGTTGACGCTCTCGCCGAAGCAGGATTCTGCTATGCTCAAGGCATCGGGTGCAAGAAGAATCTCAAGAAGAGTGCCAAATTCTACCGCATGGCTGAAGCAAAGGGCATGAGTATGGTTGGCAACAGCTGGTGAGTTTTGATCTTGATATATAAACAATAGTGACACTACCAAGAACTCCCACTGACCAAATCATCATCTACAGGATCCACAAGGCAAAGTACAACATGGACGAGGAGGAAGCGTCGCCCACAAAGAAGGAGAAGGACAAGAAGAAGTCCCGAAGCAAATCTCGCACAAGGTCCATGTTCACCCGAAAAGCAGCAGCCTCATGATCGCTCCCATCACCGACCATCACACTTTCTCGTCAACCCTCACCCGCAGCCACACATACGTACCCTTTTAGTCGACCGCCAACTTACTTAACCCCCTTTTTTTCCCTTTCTTTCTCGTCACGAACACTCACACCTGTTTATACACTCCTCTTCTATCTGACTTCTCATTCGCCGTCCCCAAACGGAGTTTTACGGAAGGCACATGGACCATTGTTCGAAACAATGGACATGATTTGGAAAGCAACCAAGAATAACAACTTCAAACCGGAATCCTTCTTCTTCCTTACACAGCATTGAGCGAGTCCTCATATATTTCTTCTCCTTCCTTATTTACATTACATCAAGCCTTTTTATTGTCATTCACAATTTTCTTCTGTGGTTCTACTACCTTTCATTATTATCCATGACTTTGTGGGTTCTGGAGAGCCACTTATACATGATGGTACTGTGATAATAGGGATGGTGGTGGAATATTCGGACTGGCGGTATCTTTCGTAGAAACGGTGTGGTAGTATGATGTTAAAACAGATGGCAAGTATCAGAACCATCATAGTTAAAAGTCAGAGGGGACACTAAAAAAAAATCATTCAAGGCCCAGTTGATATTGGACATTCTAAGTTACACAGAAAGATGTGTTGAGTTCAGCTATCGACTTCCATGCTTTCACTGTCGAGAGGCACCTCCTTTATGCTGATGTAGCGGCCGATGTCGTCCTTCTTGATAATCTTCTCATTGAGGACGGCCGTGGTACCCTTGGGGAAGCGGTAGCTCTGGAGCTTAGCGGTCTTCTGGTTGGGGGTGATGTAGTTGCGCTTAAGCGTCGTCTTATCCTTTGTGATGATGGCGACGTCGACGTTGGAGCCGGAACCGAGATCGTTCCAGATACCGGCGAGAATGGCGTCGCTGGCGAGCTTGACGGCCTCTTCGCGGTTCAAGTCGGGCTTCCACTGGGACTCGAAGACGGACATGGCGGCTAGGGAACCGGATCCCATAGTGACGTAGGGGAGCTTGTCGGTGCTGCCGTGGGCGTGGACGGTGAAGAGGTGCGTGCCCGTGGGGTCACAGCCGGCAACGACCAGGTAGGCGCCGATGTGGCCCTGGTGACGGAATAGATGCTGTTTCAGCATTGTCATGCACGTCACGACGCGGGGCTGGCGGCCCGTCGAGAGCGAGTGGAGTTCCAGCTGCGACGAGATGAGGGCCGTAGTGAACTCGGTGTCAGCGGCCGTTCCGGCACCGGCACACCATATCTGAGGGGAAATGTAGTGCAGCTTCTCGCAGTTCTTGTCGGCTACGATGGGACCGGATGTGGCCCTCGTATCGGCGGCAATCTATACACGCAGGCATATAAAAGTCAGTCTCTTTTTCTGCTCCCCATACCGTGGTGGTGTTGAAGAAGGGCAAAAGGAGGGAAATCAAGAGAACTTACCACGACACCTCCATCGTAGACGCATCCGACAATGGTGGTTCCTGTGCTAGTGGCCTTGGGCAGAGGCACTCCCTTGGCGTGTAGAGCCAGGTTGCGGTTGTAGTTCGAGAAGTCGAAGCCAGGCATGATGGGCCAGCAGTGACAACGTTGCCCCGCGACGTCTGTATGTTCTGGTTCTGTGTGTGTGTCGTCGGCTTCGTACCGTCTCGGAGCCGGGACCGAAAGAAAGAGCAGCGGTTATTGACTTTTGAAGATGGGGTGGTGGCGATCGTGATGAGGTGGAGTGGGAGGGACAGATGCGGTCACGTCGACTTGAATGGAGGTACCGTTGAGCCGGTGGATGACGAGGCGAGAGCTGCCTCGCTTGCCCGCATGCTGCCCACTTGGCTGGGGGGTAGCTTCCACGCCACATATTACTGTAATCGGCTGTGGCGCTCCCAGTTAGTCCCCACGTGATGTGGCGTCGAGCTCCAACCTCCAAAAAAGTTCAGGTGCAACCAACACCGGCGCCAGCGACGAACGAGTAGGAAAGAGCGAGGCATGGTGATTTCTGGTGTGGGCAAGTCACGCCTCACGCAACATTGGTCATTGCCTTTCATCTTCCTTTCTCTTCCTTTTGCTTGAATCTGTACCTCGTCTTCTTTTGGAATCTGGGATAGTTTCGGGCTTTTCCTTTCGCGTCCCACCCCCCAGCTCTTGTTCTCTTTTTTTAACTTTTTCTTTCTACTGTACCAGCCTCGACCTTTTTTTGTTGACCCTAAATAACGACGCAATTACTTGGATTCCCTCTACTACTCTTCGACGTACCAGAGATAGGCTGTTGGAACATAAATGCGAGCGTTGTTCGCTTGGAATTCGAAGAATCATGGCCTTTAGCTTTGGCAACGCTTCGGGTGCTGTGTCCGGAGGGAACTCTGGACCTGACCTAGAGACCATCCAGACAGAGGTAAGCTTTACCCATTACAAGGTCTTCATACGACAGACTAGCTGACATTTACGTATCTAGGATCTTGGGTTCCATTCTATTGCTGGAGATGCCAAGGTCCGCTTGACTTCAGCATGGGAGTCACTTCCTGCGCCGACCGCGTCTTTGCTCAGCATCGCGTCCAAGAAAGGCGTCATCGCTGCTGCTGGCCCCGACCATGTTACAATCGCTACGGCCGAGTCTGTCCGAAAGGCTTTCGAGGGCCCCAAACCAGACGACTCTGATGTCCGCAACCTTGAGCCCCAGCTCAAGCTCTCCATGCCTATGCGCATCTCGCAGCTGGCATTTACCGCGGACGAGAACTACCTGATACTGTCTGCAGAGACTGGCGGCGGCCTCGCTGTCTACGAAGTGCAGAGTCTGCTTTCTGGATCGACAAACTCGGCCTTTGAGCTGTCTACCAATGGCGAGTCCCTCAGGTCTCTTGCGCCCAATCCGACAGCGGAGAAGGCCGAGCTCTGTGCTATTGTCACGACAAACGGGAAGCTCCTCATGGCAAATCTGAAGGAGAAACGTATTAGCGATTCGCTGAAGTCTCAAGTTAGCTGCGTGGGATGGAGCTCAAAAGGCAAGCAGCTATGCGCCGGATTGGGTGACGGCACAATCCACCAAATGACCCCCGAGGGCGAGGGCAAGGCCGAGATCCCAAAGCCCGCCAACATTGGGAGCCACCATGTATCGTCCATTATTTGGCTCGAGAACCACTTGTGGTTGGCTATATATACCGCGTCAGGCGAGTCGCCCTCCACTGTCTACAACATCATTACGCGCCAACCTCCTTCGGCGTTCAACTTCCGGAAGCTCACCGATCCCGTCGAACCCTTTGTGCCGGACAAAGTTCCGCACCACTCGCTTCTGCGGTTGCGGGACTACCCACCGGCTCTACAAGACCTTTTGATCATTTCCTCATCGGCATCGACGGAGGTGGGATTGCTGAGCAGATCGCAAAAGCCCTTGGCTAGCGACAAGCCTGCCGACTCCATCACCGGAGTTTTCACCACGACAGAATTACTTGACGATACCAGACGACCAACGTTACCCATGACAGACTCTATGGAAGACTCAACCCCAATTGGAATTGCTCTCGACCTGTCCAGCAGAGATACGGTATACAGACCGATTCCGTCTGACGAGGAGCTCAACGAATCTAAAACACCCCTCCCTGGGCTCTGGGTGCTTACCCACGAAGGTCTCCTCTGCGCCTGGTGGTTGGTGTACAATGACGCAGTCAAGGAGGGCAAGGCATACCCGGGTCTCACCATCGCGGACACGTCACCCGCTATTGCTGCAACGCCAACCCCCCCCGTGTCAGCGCCCTCAGTGTTCGGTGGCACACCGGCTGGTTCGGCATTTGGGTCCACAACCCCGACGTCAAATCCTGCGTTTGGGGCCGCTCCCCAGCTTGGTACGACCTCATCTCCGTGGGGTGCGTCAACTCCTCCTGCGAAGCCCTCCCAGACTGGGGGTGCTACCTTTGGCTCAAGCACCTTCGGGTCTACTACTCCTGCGACCCCTGCTTTTGGAAAGCCTAGCACATTTGGCCAGTCTGCTCAGCTAGGCATCAGGACTTCTCCCTGGGCTGCTGGCGGAGGAGCAGCACCTGCTTTTGGACAGAGCGGTTTTGCAAGCTTCGCCAACAAGAGCCCAGCTAGCCCATTTGGTTCCGCTACTCCAAGCTCACCCGAGGCCAAACCCGCTCCGCCTTCCTCCGGTGGCTTCGCCGGATTTGCTACTCAGGGCGGTTTCGCCTCCATCGCTGCCAATAACAGCGGATCGAGCGTCTTTGGTGGTGCGAGCAGCTCTTCGGTTAGCCCCTTTGCAGCCGCCGCTAATAGGGATGGAGCCAGCGCCTTTGGCAAGCCATCTGCACCTGCTTTCGGGTCCGCTGCCAACAAAGACGCAGGTAGCGCCTTTGGTAAGCCGTCCGGCAGTGCTTTTGGATCTCCTGAGAACAAGGACGGAGGTAGCTCCTTTGGAAAGCTGTCTGCCAGTCCCTTCGGGTCCACAGATAACAAGTCTGGAGCCAGTGTCTTTGGCAGTGGCAATAAGCCCGCTGCCAACCCCTTCGGATCGACCGAGAGCAAGGAGACGCCCAGTGCCTTTGGTGCAAGCAAGCCGCCTACTAGCCTATTCTCTACAGGTGGCTCGACAACATCTGGGTCTAGCGTCTTTGGAGCCCCGAGCAAGCCGGCACCCAACCCCTTCGCGCCTAGCAGCACTGGTACGAAGTCTGGCGGCGGACTGTTTGGAGCTGGGCCTTTCAAGCTGGAGAGCTCGTTCAAGCCAGATCCGTCTGCCAAATCGGACGAGAAATCTGCTGCTGGATCTCGATCTGGTTCTTCGATGTTTGGCAATGCCTTTGGCTCTGCTCTGGACTCAGCTGGTCAAAAGCCAACAACATCTACGGCCGCTAAAGACGAGGATATGGATGCGGGAGAAGCGGTGTCACATACTCAGACAAAGCCTAAGACAGACCTCGTCGGATCCCAGACCACTGAAGAGCCGAAGACTACGGGGCTGTTTAGCAATCCGAAACCGCCGGTACCAGCGAGCTCCATTTTTGGCCAACCTAGTCAGCCCGCCAATACAGGCAGCTCTCTGTTCAGCTCCAAGCCAGGGCCACCGAAGTCGTCGCCTTTTAGTTTCGTTGACAAGAAGAAGGAGCCCGAAGTCCCTCTGCCGCCAGACAAGAGCAAGCTGACCTATGCTCTCGGGAACTCGTCTTCATCGTCAGCTACGTCTACCGCAACCAAAACCGACAAACCCGTTAAACCGACATCCTCTAGGCCTGGCGATGCCCCGCTTCCGCCGGACCCAACACCCAAGCTCAACAAGGAAGAGTCGACTAAGAGGGATTCGCCTGTATCGGCAGCCGGGATCGAGGCACCCCTTCCCCCTGACTTTGTCAATGTATCAAAACCAAGGGAGACACTGGCTGCCGAGAAAAAATCGAAGTCGGTGCCATCCTTCTCGGCTGAGGCGGCACCACTTCCTCCCGATTTCATCGTACCCAAACCGCTCTCAAAGGAGCCATCTGGTGTCCCCCCTGTGCCCGAAGAGGATGAGGGGTTGGAGGACGAGGAAGAGGACGAGGAAGAGGACGAGGAAGAGAGCGGATTTGAGGATAATGCCACAGAAGGAAGCGGTGTTGATGTGACGCGGGAGCTTAGCCCAGACCTCAACGCCCTTGCCACGACACCTGGATATACGCCTCAGAGTTCGTTTGGAGGCCTTGGTGGAGGAGGCTTTGCTAGCACCACGCCGACCACTGGCCAGTTTGTCCAGGAGCGGCAGCGACCCTTGTTTGGCGAGGTTAGCCGCAATGCCCCCATATTCGCACGCCCTGACAAGATGAGCCCTCGCTCACCGAGCCCCATCCGGGGTGCTGTGCCTAACCGTGTCCTCAAGTCTGAAGGGACGAGGTCGGTCAGTGCGCCCGGTATGGCATCCCAAATCCTGGGGCCGCAAGGAACGCCATCCCAGCTTGGGAAATCTGTCGTTAGTCACGGCAAGAATGCTCAAGGTGAGGACTCGTTTATGACACAGCAGAGGAAGACCAAGGAGCGCCAGGAGCGGGAGGAGACGCAGCCTCTAGTGGATGAGGAAGATGACGAAATTCAAAAGATCCTGGCCTCAGAAGTTGAGGAGACCCAGGTTCTCGACGAGTTTATCGCCCACGTCAATACAGCACCGCCAGCGCAGGAGAGTATTCCATCGCAGGTTGAGGCTGTCTACCGTGACATCAACTCGATGATTGACACTATTGGCCTGAATGCACGATCTGTCAAGGGGTTTATTAAGGGTCACACGGAGAACCGCAAGGGAGAGGGACGGACGAAGAACGACCTCGAATCTGCCGACGGCTGGGTGCTCTGCGAAATTGACGAGCTAGGACGCGTGCTGGACGGGGAAGTTCGTGCCGATCTCGACGATGGGCGTGTTCATGATCTCGAAGACAAGCTTGATGCGTGCCAGGACCTCGGCAGGGAGATGCACCGTCTTCGAGCCAAGCAAGAGGATCTGAAGAAGATCTTAACGGCTAAGATGGATCCCGAGCAGGCCGAGGTGACGCAGTCTCTCCCGCTCTCGGCGGAGCAGGCAGCACAGCAGAACGAGCTGCGCAGAGAATACACCAACTTCTCAAGGCTTCTGGCCGAAGCCGAGGAGGCGCTCACTGTTCTCAAGACGCGCATCGCCTCGGTGTCGTCCGGTCGCGGCAACACGGCCTTGCCTACGGTGGAGGCTGTCATGCGCACTATAACCAAGATGACGGCCATGGTCGAGAAGCGCAGCGGGGATGTCGACGTGCTGGAGAACCAGCTGCGCAGGGTGCAGCTGGGCTCCACTAGTCGAGAGGCATCTCCCATGGTGACGCCCCAAGCCAGGCGAGGCAAGATGTTCTCGCCGGAGTCGACTCCGTCGCGCAACATCCGACACAACCTCATGACCAGCGTCGGATCCATTGGCAGTCCGGCGCGGGGGACGCCACCTCGGAAGAAGGTCAGCGGGTTTAGTAAAGAGGAGAAGGGAGAGCTGATGAACAAGAGGGCCCGACGACAGGCCGTCCTGGAGAAGTTCAGGGACAGCGTGGAGAAGAAGGGTGTACATGTATGGAATATGGAGGACATTGAATGATGAGAGGCGTCTACGGTGGTGTGTATCAGTTTTTACAAGGAATATGGTTACTGCCATGGCAGCCAATGTAGAAGTTAGTAATAGGTCGAAAGGACAGAAGCTGCCCTTGTTTTTTTGATGAATGTGCTTGATCAGGATTCCAGCGTTCGGCAACTGTATCACTCATTATGTATGACTCAGATTATTCCGATTCCTGATATGTTTTCGCTAAAATGTACGTACCAATCGATATGGGAAAAAGGCTGAGAATGAATTTAGAGAGACGGTGGGGCGGCGGCTTCAATTGGACTGACGGAGAGGTCGGTTGTGGGTGAATCCGATCCACTCCCCTCCAAAAGCGAAAAAAAAAAGTTGGAGGGGCATAGAGGTGACGTTGGAAAAATTTCCCCCGTTGCAGCAGCGAATTGAACCAGATCAAAACCACAACACATAGACCACGAATTGACAGTATGGCACCCTCACAACAGGCGTCGTGGAGGAACGCTCCTACGGCGGAGCAGCTAGCGGCGAGGAATGTATGTCTTTTCTTCTTCTTCTCTCTTCTCCTCTTCTCTCTTTTCTTCTTGATAACATACATGTCTTGGGTTTCTGCTTGGGGTAAAGTACTGACCAGGACACACAGGCGGTTGGCATCAACAAAGAGACAGTGACGAATATTACATCGGTCGATTTCCCAGGCCACTACCCTGGCGAGGAACTGTCGTACTCGACGGAGAAGTTCCGCAAGGGCTTCAGCGTGACGTTCCATGAGAACGCGGAACACCTGGCGTCGTTTTCGCTACGGGGCATCGACGCGTCGCTGGCCAACGCCTTCCGGCGGATTATGATGTCGGAGATACCGACGCTGGCGATCGAGAACGTCTTCATCGAGAACAACACGTCTGTGATACAGGACGAGGTGCTGGCGCACCGGCTGGGGCTCATCCCTTTCCGGGGAGGGCGCGAGGGCCTGCGGGACTTCCTCAAGTGGCACAAGAAGCCGGCCGAGGGCGAGGACCCTTACTCGACCTGCTTCGACTACAACACGGTCCGCCTCGAGCTGGACATCACCTGTACGGTCAACGAGGACGCTGACCCGGCCGAGACAGACCCCCGTGTCGCCTACCACAACGCCCACGTCTACGCGCGCGACATCGTCTTCGAGCCCACCGGCGACCAGGACAGGTACTTCTCCGGCGACGACGCCATCAGGCCCGTCAACCCGGACATCCTCATTGCCAAGCTCCGCCCCCGCCAGACCATCAGCCTCTCCATGCATATGCACAAGGGTATCGGCTCCGACCACGCAAAGTTCTCACCCGTCGCCACCGCCTCCTACCGCCTCATGCCCACCATCGACATCCTCCGCCCCATCATTGGGCCCGACGCCGAGAAGTTCGCTCGCTGCTTCCCCCAGGGCGTCATCGCCCTCGAAAAGGTCTCCGCCCAGGAGGCCGCCACCAAGGGCAGCGGCTACGAGGGCCACGCCGGCGAGCTCAAGGCCGTCGTCGCAGATCCCATGCGCGACACCGTCAGTAGGGAGTGCCTCCGCCACGAGGAGTTCGAGGGCAAAGTCAAGCTCGGTCGTCGCAGGGACCACTTCATCTTCTCTGTCGAGAGTGCTGGCCAGTGGGACAGTGATGACCTCTTCCTCGAGTCTGTCAAGCACCTCAAGCTCAAGTGCAAGAAGCTCGAGCAGCAGGTCATCAACATGGTTCGGTAAATGAAAAAAAAATAAACGAAAGGAGAGGTGCTCTTTGGGGAGATGTGTCTTGGTTTTGTACAAATTTTATTCTAACCCATCGCGCGCGGTGTTATACTTGTTTATTTGCAGCTTTCCTTCGGGACCTACGTTTTGTTCCCCTGTCATTTGCTTCTCTTGTTTCATACTGTCCTCGGTGGACATTGGGGTACTAGACAAAACGGAAAAAATGATACCATGATAATTTCTACTTTCTAGCATGTGGAAACTCTCTTCATTACTACTACTGCCTATATGTCCGTCGATTTGGTTCCTTCTAACTTATATGAACGAACATTCAGGCATCGCCCGGGAGGGAAAGCATTGCTTGCCTGAGATGTATCTAGAATAGGAATTGTCATTGTATAGTTTAGAACCTGGGCTTAAATCTGAGGAAGAAATCGAATTCGGTAGTAAAGGCAGGATCGGTGACGACAACGTGCTGTCCGTCTTCAAGACCCAATTCCAACAGCGTTTTGGAGAGGTTAGGCCTTGTTGCCTTCTCTAGCCCTGGTGGTGTACGCATATACAGAGATTTGTTCTCGGCGCGGATCGTGGGTTGCTTCAGCTGTGCCTCTGGACGTACAGCGAGGGAGTCGAGAAGCTCCTGGAGTGTGGAGCTAGGGTCGACGTCGAGAGGGCGTGCCTGATCGCTGCACACAGGGCAGTCTGACTTCTTCTCGTGGTTGAAAGTGTAGGTGTAGATACTGTCGTTGCCCGAGTACATCATGTAGTTGTTCTCGAACCCAAGGCACTGGACTGATGATGTAGCCAGCTTGAAGGCCTCGTTGCAGCAGGCAGCTGCGATGATGGCATTGGTAGACGCGATGGCCGGGATGATGTTCTTGATCGTGCCCTGGGTGAGCGAGTACGTCACCCCGGGAATATTAAACTCCTTGGACCTAGCGAGAGCCTTATTGTAGAGCCAGGTGACGTGTTCGGGGTCGTCCTTGTCAAGCTTGGGGAAGGGCTTCTCTTGATCCCAAGCTATGACATGGGCCCACTCGATGCAGTGCTCCGGCTGACGTGGGATTGATGCAATTGTGCACAGCGGAACGGCAGCTCTGGGTGCGTGCATGTCTAGTTGACACTCGATGCATGACGTGATGGATGGGAGCACGACACGCGCTTGGCCCTTGAAACCCTCGGTGCCGCCGTCAACGAGAGGCTTGATGCTATCAGCATCACCCTCCTCTGCGAGGGTAACGAGAGTGCTGTTGATCCACCTGCGTGCTTCGATACTGTCTAGACCGCAGATGACGAGCTGGAACTGGCGGTAAAAGTCGAGATCGAAGTCCTGGATGGCGCCGTTGTGCGGCGTAATGGACACACCCTTGACCCGGCTCTCGACAAACTTGGCTGCCACCTCAGCCTTGTACTTTCCCACATCTGACTTTCGGAACAGGAATTGTCTGTTGAGGTTGGAGATGTCGATTGTGTCTTTCAGCTTTTGTCAGTCAAGGATTAAGCAGCAGATGAGAGGGCATGCTCACCCATGTCAATGACGTGAATGTCCTTGAACCGCGACAAGGCAAGGTTCTTGAGTATTTCACACCCCAGCCCACCTGCCCCGCTACAAGAAATATGTCAGGATTCTTGAAAACGATCAGGGAATTATACGCCAGTCAGTAGGAAGAGGGCGGGAAGACAAACATGACCCTGCCCGACATCAGTCAGTATGAGATTATTCAGTCAAGCTTGCGGGGTACGGTGAAAACGTACAGAACCTTGTAGCTGTTGAATATGTTGAGGGCCTCTTCGGTCTGTGAATCCGGGTCGGTAAAGGGACCCGGAGTCTGGCGCATATGTTCGAGATACTTCCTGTGGTGGGGTTGGCGGTTAGAAGACCTGGAGCTGGAGCTGGTCACTAGATAGATGATGCAAATAAACACTCACCATTTGGCGGCCTCATCCACGGGACGGGCGAGAGTGTCGACGCTCATTATTGAAGAGGAAAATAGCAGTGTCGCTCAGTGAAGATGAGAAAACGTGATTCTTGTTGGGACGGTAATGTCAGAAGAAGTGTCGTAGCGACTGATGGTGTAGTAGTAGTAATTTGTTGTTGCTGAGCTCAACCTCCTCCACCCACTTCAGTGGAAGGTGGGGCAGGTAAAGTAACTAGCCGCACTTTCCTTGCTGGTGATGATCAATCATGAAGCCTGCCTTAGCCATCAACAAAGGCCTCTGCATAAATCACCCATCACTCATTTCTCAAATTCCAAAACACCTTCAGTTGAGATGTTCAGCAGTGAATCAGCACTTGTTTCATGTCGATGAAGCCATGGACCTCACGCCTGTGAGCACCACCTTCCTAAGGGCCCGTCACGAAAAAGCAGGCGACGACCACGGACCGCTCCTAACTGAAGTTGTTACAACAACAAAAAAATCCGCGCCCTTGAAACCAAGCAGTATCCGATCTACTGAAGAAGCTTTAGATTCTCTCAAAGCTCAACCAGACTACGATACCCTCATTCTGACTCTGCAGTTTCTCGCTGGTGGCGCCCTCCGGGACGCGCTTGGGCCGCAGAGCGCTGCGATTATCAGAATTCTTGTCACTGAAATAGCTCCTAACTACTGGCCACTTTTTCTATCCGATGGCTCCAGTGACATAGCTCTTTTCATCCGTTGCCTTCAAAGCGTCACGGGCGTCAACGCCCTAATATCCCATCTCCGAGGCTTGATCCAGGAATCAAAGAATGGGAGCAGGCACTCCAAACGACCAGATATCCCGCTCAACCTGGACCTCTTTCTAGATATCCTAGCAGCTACCTTGGAGGGCGATGATACTATCCAGAGACTGTGGGTGGCCTCAGTCTCTGGGCTGCCAACCCAAGCCCTTCAAAAAGCTCAGTCGCAAGCCCTCTTGTCTATCTTGACGGGCGGCAGGCTCAATTCGACCACGGGGGAGGCTTCCGCTATTTCGGGCTCACGTGAGGCTCGCCATGAAAGCCAGTGGGTAGCCGATGGTTTCCAGGTGAGCAGGTGGCTAGGACGAAACATAGCGTCATGGGCACAAGAAACTACTCAAGATGCAGAGCTTCGTTTCTGTTCCGACTTATTCCTGAGGGCCCTCTCTGTCGGATATCCTGGTAAGCTTCATTAGAAGGTTGTGCTTGTATAGGATTTAATCTTACACTTCAAAGATACTCTGATCAAATCTCTCATCGATTCATTGATACTTTCGCCACAAAGCAAACCAGATTTGTTCGCTCGAATATGTCTATCCTCCCCCAGCCAAGGAACGAAAGTTCTAAACACTGTCCTGGACTTCCTCTCGGACAAATTCTTGGATGGTGCGAACGGAGATGATGCTGTCGCAGCTGTCGCGGGAGCAATCAACTCTATCACACGAAACAACCAGCTTCGGATCCATGACTTAGTCAAATGGTGCGTTGCAGCTTCGGGGGCTGGCCTTGGCCGCGGGATTGGCATTCGAAGGGCTGTAGTCGCCGTGCTTTCACAAGATAAAGAAACTGTCACAACTGTTCTTGAGAAGTGTCTGTCACAGTTCGGAGACGAGCTATACATCAAGCATGCACCTTTCTTGCAACAAAAAGGTATCCCACGCATCCCCGATTCTGCCATGGACAGCGACTGACAAAGGAACCAAATTCAGTGCATGCAGAGGTCCTCCTCCTGAGCGCTGGCTATGTATACCGACTATCCCCTATCAAGATGACGATGATTATACGGTCCGGTGCATACCTAAGTGCGATTTCGAATCGTATTGCCGCAACGCAGGGGAATACCCGTTTACTGGGCATGATCGTCGGCGAATCCTTGTCCGGGCTCATTGACAGTAAAGAGAAACGACTTGATTTTCATATGGAGGAAATTGACACAGACGAAACTGAGAGGCTAAAACGTTTGGTCCATACTTCGGACCTTCCTAGATCTATTAAGTCTCTCTTAACACACATATCTGTCCACGATAATCCTTCACCCCGACAATACGATGCACCCCAAACAAAACCACGACAGGTCCGTGTACAGAAGCCCAACCTAGAACCCGAGGCCAAGCCTAAAGTCGTTGTTGAAGAAATTGATTCTTCTGACGACGATGAAGAGGACGAAGGTCTGGCACCGTATGCGAAGGGTTTTGATCCTGAGGATTCCGATGACGACCCAACGCTAGTTCACCGCAACAAGATACGACCTCCGGTTTATATACGAGACCTCATGGCATATCTTCGAGACTCAGAATCGTATGAGAAGCAGAAGATCGCACTTCAAACTGCACCGGTTCTCATTCGACGCAAGGCTAATTACGGAACAGAAGTCAGCTTCCATGCTGATGGCCTGGCCGGTCTTCTGGTCGGTGTCCAGGACAAGTTTGAAATGGATGACTTTGATGAACTTAGACGTCAGAGCATGATCTCCCTGATTGTTGCACAACCACAAGCTATGGCCCCATGGTTCGCCCGTACATTTTTCGAGGGGGACTACTCCTTGTCTCAGCGCATGTCTGTTCTCATCGCGTTGGGTCTCGCGGCGAGAGATCTTGCTGGGTTCGGAAAGTCCGAACACCAGGATGCTGCCGCATTTGCCTCCAAGAGACTCCCGGAGAAGCTGGAGAAAATTTATTTAGATTCCCAAGGCCAATCCACAGGCTTTCCAGCATCCCAGCTCCAAGCACTTCCAGCTACGGCTCTGGAGTCCATTACCAAGTCCCTCACCGCCTCCTTTTTGGAGCCCCTTGCTGCACAGGCTGCTGACGCGACTACGGGACCCGACGCCTTGAAGCTCGAGACCTTTAGCACACGGTACAAATCGCGGTCAGCAAAGAAGCCGCGTGTCAGGGCAATTCCCAACACTACAGCCGCCATCATCGCCAACTCCTTCTTCTCTCCCCTCACAGCCCATTTCCAATTCGCTCTCCGATCCGCGCGGCCAGTAGTCCTTCACCCCACGCTCCTGAGCCTATACCTCCAGACACTGGGTATCATGGTCCATGCTGCGGGGCCATCAACCCTCTCTCTGCCGCAGCTGACGGCCGAGCTCTGGAACCTGCTTCTCGGTGTGCGGCAGCATGTCCTAGGTGATGTGGGCGCCACAAAGGGCTGGCTTACTGCCATGGCAGTCCTCATCGATGTGAACGAGGGCGATATGCGACGCCTCTGCGAAACGCAGGGGAGAGAGGTAGTCGAGACACGCGAATGGGTTAGTGACGTGTTCGAGAGGACGAGGGGAGATGACGGAGGGGAGGAGAACAATGTCAAGATGCTGGCTGCTGGCGTTCTCATTAGGTTGGGCGAGGCGATTGAGCAATACCAAGCACTGCTCATGGGAGACATGATTGGGTTCTAAGGTCACATTGCAAGGGTCCTGTTTCGTTTGGTTTTTACATTTATCGTTGCCATCTTTCTGCAAGGTATGTAGTACACAAAACAAGAAACATTTAGGCAAAAAAAAAAAGAGAACACCACAACACAATTTTCAAAAGACCAGAGTACCCAAATATCCTTTTCTAAAGCACACCCTCGACAGGTTCCAGCCTCATCGAGTTGCTAGTTCTCCTCTCGGCAGACATCCCGGAGAGATGGGTATTGACATAGCCGAGGTGTTCCCTCAGCGTCATGGCCATACGACGCAGCTCGTCCTTGACCTCGTGGCTCGATGCCTGGCCCTGCATAGCCTGGGGCGAGGGAGCGACGGGCAGTGGGGGAAGAGCCTTGCCACCACTCTGCCTGATGTGTTCATCTAGCTCGCGCTGGAGATCCTGCTGGGACACAGAGGGAGGGAAGTACTCGATATCCTGGGAGGCTGGTGCATTCGCGCTGGGCGTAGGGTCGTCCATATCTTCGGGGTCCATGCCAGCAAACTCGCTGAGAGAGTAGGGCCTTGCCGTGGCCGTAGAGACAGGCGAGGGCTCCTGAAGATTGGTGTTATCGACAGGAAGCTGGTCATCCGGGTATCCCCTTTCGCTGTTGCTGAGGGACAGCTCGGCCACCGCGTGGGAGAACTCGGAGTCATCTGAGACGAATATAGACGGCTCACGGTATGTCGAGGGCATGGCGTAGACCGAGGCGTGCTTCTCCAGCTCGAAGGGGTTGCCACCACCGAACTCGGATCCGCTGACGGAGCCGGCCTCGGAGTGTGATGTCGACGGGCGGGCGAAGGGTGCGGGCGGATCTGCCAAGCTCATATCTAGATCGATCAAACTGCCCATGGATGCGCGGAGGTCCATGTTTGGCGGCGCAGAGGGTGCCAGGTCGTTGAAAGTTGCAGACGGGGGGAGAGGCTCTGTCGGACGATGTACCAGTGTTGGTCGGCCATCATCCGGGGCCATTGGAAATTTGAAAGTTTCTATGCTTGGGGGCCCGTCTGAGTGAGGGAACCCGGCCAGGTCCGGATTCGCTGATGCCGGCATGGGTTGTGAGGGGAATGTCCAATCTTGTGTACGTCTATTGTCTCTCCCGTCTGCAGGGTCACTCAGTGGCGCGTTCTCCGGGCCACCGTAATCATTGTAGTCCAGTGAATCCCCAGACGTCATGGTATCAAAGTGGAAGTCGCCTGGTTCGGCACCGATTGCGTCAAACGAGGCGTCCAGGTCAATGAGTGATTCACGGACATCAGATGTCGGGGCCGAGTCGTCCCGGAGAGGTAGGTCCGAAGCTGGAGGAGGCAGCATCGGTCTCCCGTAGTAGGTTCGCGAGTTGTCTTCGTAACTCGTCATGGTGTTGGGGTCGAATAGCTTCTCAAGCGGCACTTTGACCGAGGGCAGATGCGGCGGCGGGCGTCTGCGTCCTTTTCCCTTTTGTCGTGGTCGAGCTGTCTCTTCGTAGGCATCTTCTTGAGCCAGGTCCACTTCCACATTGGTGCCGTAGACATCATAGACGTCCTGTGCATCGCCGTTGTTGAAGACTTGTTGGTCGAATGCCGCCGTGGTGCTAAAGTTCCACTCGTCATTCGGGAAAGGCATGGTACTTATATCTGCTGGCGCCTGTGCGCCTCCCAGGTTGAATAGCGATTTTCGAGCACCGCCTTGGGATTCCCAGAGCTTGAAGCCCCGTACCAGGTGAGACAGGGACGAGCTTGGGTAGGCCTCTTCTGTCTTGTATATGTAGCCGTGTCGCTGGATCATCGTAATTGGCGGTCTCTTGGCTGGGTCGTGCTGCATACAGTATGCAACGAGGTCCTTGAGTCCGGCAGAGTATTGGTCACCCTCTAGGCGAGGGGCGTGCTGCTTCAAATATGCCCCGAGTTTTGACAGGTCCATCCCAGCAGACACATTTGGAGGCATTCCCGACGCAATCTCGTAGACTAACGCACCATAGGCCCAAATGTCAACCTCAGTACCGTACGAGATGGTGGGATCGAAAAGTTCCGGAGCCATCCAGTGCGGTGTTCCGATCATGGTCGTACGCTTGTCAAACTTATTTTCGATAACACCGGCAACACCAAAGTCGCAGAGTTGCACGTTGCCCTCCTCAGTGACAAGAACATTGGCACACTTGATGTCTCGATGAATAACGCCCTGGTCGTGAACCCAATACAAGGCTTCGGCCACCTCACGCAGGATGGGTATTATCCATTTCTCCTGCAACCCACCGGGAGCAGTTGGACGCATGAGGGTAGAGACACTACCTCCAGCGCAGTACTCTGTAATTACCCACATGGACTGGCCGACAGGGAGAGCCTCAATAACGTGGTTGATGTTTTTGGCGCCGGACACTCGAAGAAGCTGCAGGGCATTGAGCTCCTTGAGCAGGTCGCTATATGTGTCGGACATGCCAGGGTTCATAGTATCGCTCTGATCAATATCGATTATCTTGACAGCCACAAGTTGCTTTGTCTGTAGTGACTTGGACTTGTAGACGCGACCGAAGCTGCCCTTTCCGATAAGCTCTGAGAGTTGATAAGGGGGCACCTCCTTGCCAGCCTTGTTGCACTGCTCGATGATACGCTTTTGCATCTTCTGAGCATCATCAAGGGCTTTTTGTTTAGTGGCTGACAGTTCGGGCCACCGTACTTGGAGTGACGCCATGGTGACAGATATGAGATGGAGACTGGTGAGTAGGTGGGATGAAAGATGAAGGGCAAGATTTCGAACAGTTGAGGAGGATTGGCAAGTAGAACGACCCAGCGTCACATCATGGAGAACCTGGCCTCGGGATATCTGTTTTTCATATCACAGGGCGTGTGTACAGGCTGAATGGAGGCCACCTGGGCCTGTTGAGGCGTCGATGTTAGGGTCGTGAGTGATACGAGATACACAAGGTGAAGTGAGGTTTCAGAGGCAAGGGGCACATATGAGAACTAAGGCCATGAAAGAAAGTACTGGGCGCCTTGGCGCTGTAGGTGCCCGGCGCTCAGGCCCATTGTTCCGTACAGCGCCCCAGGACCCTTCGAGTCAGTGTGTTGTAGGCGAGGTTTATCCGATGCAATTCAATGACAGCGAGGGAACATCCGTTATTTCGGGCCTTTGATCGCTTCCCGTACACGTAAAAAAGAAAAAAAGCGTCAAACGAGAAGTCTGCAAGACAGGTACCGGAAGTCTTGCTCATCTGGCATATTTAAGCGTACAAATGTCGAATGTAAAGGCTGTAAAAAGGCTTACCCCCGGGGTACGCTAAGAGAGTCAACTTGGTCACGTGATTTCGCGAAGCAGACGCGAGTCCCCAACTTGCACAAGTGCTAATAGCTAGTAATACGGAGTAATACGGACTTGACGGCTTTTGCCCCTCCTCCTTGGACTTGTTTTCTGGACCCTTTTCCCACGCCTACGGATCACACGTCACACTACAGACTAGGCCAGAACTGACCCTTGTCTCGGGCATATCGGCCCCATCATCATGTTCCTTGGCTATCTTCATTCGAGAACCGCCCAGCCCTTGAGCATCAACTAGTCGGTATTGCCTTCACCATGGCTCCGTCGACGAAATCCCGGCAATCAAAAACCCCAAAGAGGCAGACCACCCTTAGTGCCTCAAGTTTCAGCAGAGGGACTCCCAAACCCGTAAAGTCGACTCGACCCAACGCGAGTATTCTAAGCTTTTTCAAAAAGACGGACAAGCCAGACGATTCGCTGTTTATCGGTGCCGCCCCAGAGTCACTTACACATGACGACGAAGGCTTGTTCGGCTCAGACGATGAAGATCGGTTTAACGAAACGCTGTCATCAGTAAAAAGGAGGAGGATGAGCCACATTGGTCCGGAGACTAGCGAAGACGCATCCGCTATCGATACTACGCGTACATTGGTAGAACGATCCTCAACAGTTGAAGACGGCAAGACTGCCAAGGGCGCTGGAAAACGAAAGGTTCAGGGCCCCTTCGTCATGGATTCCGATAGCGAGGATGAGGATGACGGGGACTCCAACCCCAGTGTAGTCAATCCGGCTGCAAAGAAAGCAGAGAACCAGCGCTCAGGTGTGCCTGCCAACTCCAAAGCTAAAACCACCCCAGATCTGCCTCCAGTGCTGGCAGATGAATGTGTTGCCCAAGGAGAGCCCTTGACTATTCCGCCTGATAATTTTGAGGTGGATTTCGAGCTAGCCAAAATTGAAGATGACGATATCTATGCCTTCGAAGGAGAGGAGATGCGCCAGATGCGTTATATGAGAGAGCTGGCGCGTTTAGAAAGCCGAGACGTCGAGGCTGAGGACGGCTCTTCCGGCGAAGATTTTGCCGACGATCCCTTGAGTGACGACGGTATTGTCAACCATTGCTGCCCTATATGCCAAGGCAGCATTTTTGCCCTTTCACCAGATGAAGCAACGCGTCATGTCAACCTATGTATTGACGGTAACGCCCCGCCACTGGTGTCTCCCGAACAGGACCGGAAACCGGAGGTAAAGGAGATTTCTCTCAGGGACCTGCCTAAACCTGGACAGGCCAATCCTTTCGATGCAGCAGCTCCTTCTGAGCCCATTGGCAAGTCAGCCTTCTCCAAGATCATGTCCAGCAAGGCCGAGGCTTTGGCATGGTCTACGGCAGCCGCGGCCGAAAAGTCTAGCCGTGGCCGGTTTTCCTACCAAAGAACCTGCCCATTCTACAAAATTATTCCTGGTTTTTCAATCAGCGTCGATGCATTCCGTTATGGCGCAATTGAGGGTTGCCAGGCCTACTTCCTCAGTCACTTCCATAGTGACCACTACATCGGCCTGACAGCAAAATGGTCTCATGGACCCATATACTGCAGTAGGGTCACGGGAAGCCTGGTCCGCCAGCAGTTGAAGACAGCGGAGAAATGGGTCGTCGAGCTTGACTTCGAGAAGCCGTACGATATCCCGGGCACCGATGGTGCCACTGTCACCATGATACCGGCAAATCATTGTCCTGGTAGCTCGCTTTTTCTCTTCTTGAAGGTTTTTAAAAACAGCACTAGCAGTTACACCAAGCGCATCTTGCATTGTGGGGACTTCCGCGCGTGTCCGAGCCATGTCGAGCATCCCTCCCTGAAGCCAGATATCATGGACCCGGTCAGTGGCAAGATGACCCAACAAAAGATTGACATCTGCTACCTCGACACCACCTATCTGAGTCCACGATATTCTTTCCCACCTCAGGGGGATGTCATCCAAGCTTGTGCTCAGCTATGTGCTTCCATGTCTGCTGATCCGAATGGTCATGATGTGACACCAGGCAAATCGAACGGGACGCATGCTGTGAGCAAATACTTTCAAAAGGGCGAGGCCAATAGTGTGGCAAGCGCTCCAGTAGGGAAGCCGTCCAAAAATCGTCTTCTCGTCGTCTGTGGCACCTATTCAATCGGCAAGGAGCGGATGTGTGTCGCAATTGCCCAGGCCTTGGATACCAAGATATTCGCATCGCCAAGCAAGATCAAAATATGCAAGCAACTCGGGATCCCTGAGCTGACCGAACGCCTGACGTCGAATCCTGTCGAGGCACAGGTCCACTTGCAGATGATTATGGAGATCCGCGCCGATACGCTACAGGAGTACCTGAATTCCTACAAGGCTCACTTCAGTCACATCGTAGGTTTCCGTCCCAGCGGCTGGAGCTTCCGAGCCCCCAACGCCAAGTTTGTCCCGGCGAACATGCCGCCAAGTACCATATCCACGCAGAAACTTCTCCACGATAAGGCATGGCGGACAAGATTCAGCTCCGAGGACCTTGTTGCACAGCGCGGGAGCACCAAAGAGGCCAGGTGCTTTGGTGTCCCTTACTCAGAGCACAGTAGCTTCCGCGAGCTCGCCATGTTTATCATGGCCCTCAGGATCGAGAAGGTTGTGCCGACAGTCAATGTGGGCAGCGAGCAGTCGAGATCCAGGATGAAGGCGTGGAATGACAGGTGGATAGCTGAAAGGAGAAAGCATGGTCTAGTTCGGCCCTTGGTCGAGGGCCGGGATGCCAAACCACCTGATGAGGATCTCTGGGGCGGTGGAATGCCTGGCAGCGGAGGCTGCGCTTGGTGGTGATATTTTACGGCACCAGGCCTGTATATTACAATCATGAAGCGTGATATCTAGCTATAGGAGTCATACATCGGGAGTTTTCTTTTTGGATACATCAGATCGCATAGGATCTCTAGCTTTCCGGGCCGAATAGAACAAAAGACTGTAGCTCGCACCGCGCCCATATCACGGATATGAAAGGGATCATGGTAATCATCCGCACCAAGACGCCAACTCCGTATTTCATATCTTCTTTTACTTGCTTTTGTTCCGTTCTTTTCAATCATAAAGTTCCATAGAGATATCCTTCTCATTTCGCCTTTGCCTGCTGAGTAGCAGCCTCTGTAGAGTTGGTCAGTGAAGGGTCCTGGGGGTGACGATGGGAAGTCTAGTGGGCAGTAGAGACTCACCTCTCCTGGTCGCATCCTCAAGAAGCTGCGTGTCTACCGACCCCGAAGGAAGGTGGACATAGCGCACCACAGAGCCACGGATGAAGACATTCTTGACAGAGCTCTGATCAAAAATCGTCAGTAATGGTCCCCAAAAAAAAAGACCTCGGGTGAAGCAGATTGAGAGCGAAACATACGAGATGGGGGTACTTGAGTTCCTCGACAACCGAGATATCATCGAGCTTGATGTTAAGGTACTGGTCCACGCTCTTGAGGGTACCGCGAAGCTGAATGTCGTTCTTAAGCTCTACGGTGACCTCGTGGTCGATGAGCGTCTTGAAGAAGCTATGGATCCAGTCAGCAGGTGATGCAGGCAATAGGCCAAAGCCAACGGTGTCTTGCATGTTCAAAGGGTCGCGGTGGGCTATTCATGATGCAGCTTTGGTTGAGTCTTTACCTGAAGAAGAGCATGGCTGAGAGCGAGTGCTGTCGCGATATGGTCTGGATTCCCCCTGTTACACACGTAAGGTATTCTCACTTATTCGATGCCTACAGTCGTAATACGTCGTTGTGTGATGTCGCCAAGGCGTTGGAATGATTTTAAGTGACATTTAGAGCGAAGAGGCGTGCCCTGCGGTCAAAGGCCCAGCGTTTTAGTCACGTGATTTAGTACAAAGAAGCGTGTCATTGATTTCTTCGACAACAAACAAAATGACAGCAATGTTTGTGAACTTTTACAAAACGAGGTACATTTGAGACAACGATGTTTTCGATATTCGAGCTAATTTTCAATGTATGCAACGAAGCCTTTTTCCCCATCCAAAACACCCCCAGTTGGAACTTAAGCAACATGGACAAAGGCACGCTTCTTGGTGATCTTGTCGACATTCTGCTCCTCCCAGTTCTCATCTACATAATCCTTGACGTTGTTGTCCTTAATCTGCGAGCCGACAACCTTGAGAGCTGCTATGTTGACACCCATCTCGTCCTTCTGGCGCTTGAGGGCGGCACGGAGGTTGAGCCTGATGCCGTCGAGCATGGCCTTCATGGTGCGGCTGGCCACAATTTGCCTATGGTGGGTCTTGAGCATGAAGAACAGGATACGGCAGGTGAGGGGCATGTTCATGGAACGCATGGCGAAGATGTTGAGGAATGTGAAGAGCATGGGTACCGTGGCGAAAGGTAGGACGAGGAGGGCGTCGTGCAGGGATGACGCCTTGATGCGTTGCAGGACTGAGAGGACGTGCTCCTCGGCGCTGATGTTGCCGAGCGCCAGGAACACGGGGTTCCTCTGCGGATAAGGGGCATTGGTCATAGTGGCCTTGGCCTCCTTGTACTCCTTCATCAAGGCCAGATCCGACATGCCCAGCTCCAGCGCTTCGGTTATGCGCTCGCCCGCCATGAGCGTCTCCGTCGTCTGTTTGCCCGCAGCACCAATCTCTTCATTGTCGTCGCCAGCTCCATCATCCTTCTCAAGAGACGTCGTCAATGTGCTCTCATACAGCTCCTCGATCTCCTTTTCCCGTTCTTCCTCGAGGAATATTTGCTCGTCGCTCTCCTCCCATACGCGGATGCTCCTGTCGTGGCCCGCACTGACCAAGAAGTTGCCGATGCGACTGATGACGATGGACCATACCTCACCGTGGTGCCCGTCGAGCCTCTGGATCTGTTCGAACTTATCTGCGTCCCAGTAGCGGATGGTGCGATCCTTACTGCTGCTGAAAAAGTGGTGACCATTGCCCTCAGAGTTGTGCGGCACAAAGCCAACCTGCAGGATACTGTCCTGGTGACCGAACAGAGCCTTGTGGCAATCTCCGAAGTCGAGACCCCAGATTCTGATGTTCTTGTCAGCCGAGCTCGTCACAATCAGTTTGCTGTCAAACGATATGTCCATGCTCAGCACTGGCAGCTTGTGCCCGTACAGGTTGAGGAAGAGTTTGAGGGTATCGACAAAGAAAACCTTGACAGTGTTGTCCAGGAGTGCCACGGCAAGGAGCCTGGAGTCTGGCGAGAACCTGAGACTTAAAATGTCGTCGGAAACTTTAAGGATTTTCGACTGCACGAGCTTCAGCTTGGGTGTCGTCCTCTTAGTTCCCAGAACCTCTTCCTGCACAACCTTGAAATTCCAGAACTTTGCAGTTTTGTCGGCACTTCCTGAAACCATTGAGCGGCCATCAGGGTGGATACCTAGAGACCAGATAGCGCCCTCGTGAGCCTCGATATTATCAAGAAGAGTAGCCGACGCAACATCAAAGAGCTGCAGCTCTCCGCTCTTAGTGCCAACCACGACCACTTTGTCGCCCGGAAGGAATGCACAGCAGAGCGAATATCCGCAGTCAAACGTTCTGATGCAGTTTTGAGTCTTGATGTTCCAGATCTTGAGCGTGCCGTTAGAAGCCGACGCAAGCATCCTGTCGTCAGAGCTCAGTGACATGGCCCTGATGTCTGTTCGGTGACCAGGAATCTCCACCGAGAGTGCCCTGCTGTAATCAGGCACGTCTTCCTTGCTTTTGCGGTCGATCTTCTCTTTTGTTGGCACGTTGTAGTATTCCACCTGGTTGTTGGTGGTACCGACGACAAGGTGCAGATCCTTGTGGCCACCCAGCTGCGCCCAGGCGGCGGAACGAGCCTTCCCGCCTGTGCGCACTGTCACGTAGAGCGCCATGGTATCGCTGATATCCGCCTTGGATATATCGTCAACGTCATCTTCCTCGGCCATCTCGACGTCCTGTTGCTTCTCCTGCTTTTGCTTCTCACGTCTGCGTCTCCTCTTGCGTGCCAAGGTCTTCTTGATTTCTGTGTCCGTCTTGATTCTCCATATCTCCACGGCCTTTTCAGGTCCGTGAACGAGAAAGTAGTCGCGACGGGGATGGAAAATAACCTCTGTCGCACGATCTTTTCCTTGACGGTGTAGTGTTCCTCGGCCCACGAGGAAGTGCCTGGTAGCAACCTCGACCTGATGCGTGCTCGATGCAAGCCGGTCGGCATCCAGAGCCCACACCTTCATTTCTCCGTCGTTTCCTGCGGTGATGCAGCCGCCTAGGTCGGGGGTCACGCCAAGAGCCCAGCATTCGCCATTGGTCTGTGATATGTGTGTCTCGATGCAATGTTTTGAGGAAAGATCCCAGAGCTTGAGCAGCGAATCCTTGCCCGTCGTGAGAAGGAAGCCGTCGTTGATCACCTCACCACCCACCACTGCCTGCTCACCATCCTCGCCGTCAACCCTGGGTTCGGGTTCCACAAACGACAGGCCGGTCACCTGGTCCTTGTGACCACGCAGCTTGTACTGGCCAACCTCGGCGACCAAGTCCCAGACGATAATGTCGGTGTCCTTTGAGCCTGAGGCTAGACGCACTCCAGCCTTGTCAAAGGCGAGAACAGTTACGGCAGACTTGTGTCCGTTGAAATTGACGAGAACAGTGGCAATCTTGCTATCCCACAGGCGAATGCTGCCATCTTCGTACCCGACGGCGAAGAAATCCGGGTCCGCCTTGCTCTGCGCAATGGCTGTAACCGGGGCCTTGCATCGATCATCTCTCCATCGGCTAAGGAGTTCGCCTTTTTTTATATCCCAGCATAGAACTTCTTCGTTGGCTGCAACGACGGCTTGTCCTGAGCCAGCTCCATTGCGCTCCTTGGATTGCCAGACAAGGTTCGAGGTGGCCGAGGCGACGACACCGAAGGATTTGGCGTGCTCGTATTTGCTGCAATGTCATGTTAATGATATTGCTTTTTTTTGTAAACATAATATGGCAGCCTGGGGATATGCGTTTCAGATTACTCACAGATATGACTTGACCATGGTTTCTCACTGGCGATTGACTTGGCCATAAGATCGACGGCGTATGTAGAAAGAATCGCCTTGACAAGCCTCGAGGCTGCAAAAAGCCACTAGCAGGTGGGATTTTTTTTTCCTCAATTTATCGATAAGCAATCACTAGCGTGAGCGAAACGGGGCGTTGGCCACCAGCACAGCCACCTTTGTCGGGAAGCTTCAGCTTCGGTCACGTGCAGGAGCTCGACCGGTTGACTGACGTCTCCTCCAATTCAGGCCCCACCTCCATCGTCGGCCAGCTCCATGACGACCAAGAGACATTGGGAGCTCGAGGTACTGCCGCCGCCAACATGCTCCTTCTCGACTACCAGAACGTTCTCATTCAGAACGTTCTGACAGAAAGATTTGCCATGTAACAACATCCGTCCCGTCCATAATCCTGAGACAGCGAGGCGAACGATAGCTAATGGCGAGATACAGAGATGCCCCTCCCACGACGATTGATCAGACCGTGTCCGATTTCGACGGCGTGATCTTCCACATTTCGACCCCGGAGACCAAGACCAAGATTCACATCTCTATTCAGATACGATGCTTTAAGGACCTTGTCCAGTACGGTGCTCAGGAGGTACTCGAAAGGGAGTACGGACCATTCGTTGGCCCGACGGAGCCCGGCTATGACTTCTCTGTCGTGGTCGACCTGGAGAACCTGCCGGAGACGAAGGGTAAGAACACTCTACATTGCAGACGATATGCATTTTCGACCGCTGAAGCGGTATGGCTGACAGTCGTGTCCAGAGGAACGCGACGCGTTGGCCCTGAAATTTGCCCTCCTGAAACGCAACGCCATGGCAGCCCCGTTCGAGCAGGCCTACCAGGAGTACTACAAACTCAAGGAGGAAGCGTCCAAGTTTACGTCCGAAGATGCACCCCAGGGTGTTCGCGAGGGAGGAACTGTCAAGGCCATTCACTACCGTGAGGAAGAGTCCTTCTACGTCAAGGCCAGCCACGACCGAGTTACTGTCATTTTCAGCACAATCTTCCGAGAGGAAACGGACAGAGTTTTTGGAAAGGTCTTCATTCAGGAATTCGTAGACGCTCGCCGGCGAGCTATCCAGAACGCGCCCCAGGTGCTCTTTAGAAACGACCCGCCTCTAGAGTTAGAGGGCATCCCTGGAGTGCGAAACACTGGCGGCTCGGATCAGGTTGGATACGTCACCTTTGGTAAGAAAGCAGACTTCCATGATATGCAGCGATGTATCATACGCTGTCACGATACGCTGACATCTTTTTTTATAGTCCTCTTCCCCCGACACCTGACTCCGCAGCGTATGGAGGAGGTCATCTCCCATATCCAGACATTCCGAGACTACTTCCACTACCACATCAAGGCTTCCAAGGCTTACATCCACTCCCGCATGCGCAAGCGTACTGCTGATTTCCTGCAAGGTTTGTCTAACCCTGCGCCACACCTTAAGAGGGGCCGAATCTTGCATGCTGACTGTATGACATAGTGTTGCGCCGCGCCCGTCCGGAGAACGAGGAGAAGGAGAGGAAGACGGCCAGTGGCAGGACCTTCAAGGTCCAACAGGGGAACTAAGGTTGCATTGCATAGTGCATCGGATTTGCGTCTGCCCATAGCATGCACGACGATGTCGACTGCATGCATGGGCGATGCTACAACTGATTATGGAGCGTACAAAACATATGTGAGGAGAGAATGAACTACCTTTTTTCTGCCCCGGCCGAAAAGCAGTCAACCGTGCCATGTTCTAAAACTATGGACCCTTCGCGACCATGATGGCCATGGAGACGAGAGCTGACGCATCGGTGAACACGAAGGCATTGTCTCGCCTGCAAGTGTGTTGGCGATTGTTGAGTAAATAGGCCATGGCGTATATGGACATGGTGTATATGTGGATCAGAGACTTCCTCCTGTGTGCTGTACTACGAGGACTGGATTGATCGTGCTACTTGTTCTACTGCTAACTTGTAGTGCTTCCAGTTTACTACTCTCTCCCATCTGCTAGTAAGGGCCGGCGAGAGGCCGCTGTACTGGGCCGGTCGTTCGTACATCCTGTTTACACAAACAAGCAAGTACTCACACCTGCTGGGCATTTCCCAACAGTTCCTGGATACCTGCTTGATAACCGTACGTCGCATTTACGGAGCAAAGCAATAGCTACCCGAGCCACTTAGCACTTAATAGCAGAGTGCTACTATTATGTGGCACTAAGAACTAATGTACAGCTACGCATTATGTCGCTGGCGACGCAAGTGCGGTGTGTGCGCAGGCAGGCAGGCAAGCCGCCAGATGGCATTGATGGTACACTCGACTTACTTGTACGCGTGCATCATACGAAAGAAAAAGATGCGTCAGCCTTCTCGCACATTGCTGTCATATCAGTATTATTAGTAAAGGTAGTCTACTCCTCGATGATCGATGGTCTTTCAATGTCGTCTGGTCTGCCCTGGTTCACGCCATCAAGGTGCTGGCCCTGTTGCCCTGTTAGGCCGTTTACCCCCGTTCCCCTCCCTCTCCCCACGACCAACCACCTGGGGAGCTCATCCCAGAAGTTCCCCACTATCGGCGCACTCACCGCACACCCAACGCAGTGGGCGGAAGCAAAGAAGCCCTACAGAATGGTGCTGGTTGGCTACAGCAGTACGAGTGGTCATAGTGCACTTAATGAGTAAATACTGCCCCTGCTAGTTTAGGCAGTGTCTGGGTCGTTTGCCCCGGGAGGGTGCCAGCACGACAATCCTCTAGTCGCCTGTAGTGTGTGATCTGTAGGCGTACTTGTAATACAGTGCGTACGTGCCCCCCCAACCCTTGTACGACGTATTACTTATCGTCTACCAGGACCAGTATTACGCCGGAATACAGCACACCGCCAGCACGACATCTCATCGCACTACACAAATCCCGAGTACGACATACATTGATCCCCATTACCACGAATGTGGTAACACCTGCAAAGCCTGGCCATCATCCGCCGTTACCTCTTTTCCTGCAGGTCAGGGTCACCGGTCCCGCTCAATCATCATTGCTCCAAGCCGCCAGCGGTGACTCGATATCTGGCTAGTACTGTTTCTATTAGTAGGGCTCTATCTGGCCCCTACACCTGTTCGTGCGCTCTTGCTCCTTCTGCTTCCACCGCCACCTCGCCTCTTGCTGCAGACCGCGGCCACGTTCTATCATCTCTCTCAGTCACCAAGTTGTCTGCATCTGCTACGCACGCCCCAGGAAAGAAGATGCCGCCCTCTGAGCTCCTGGCGTCGGCTGGTGGTTCGTCTGTCGGCCGGGCCATACTGCTCACCAGCAACTTGGAGAAGCCTGACCTCGATAACCGCGACTATCGCGTCATCCGTCTCTCCAATGAACTCGAGGCCCTCATTGTTCACGATCCCGAGACGGACAAGGCCAGTGCCGCCTTGGATGTCAATGTTGGCAATTTCAGCGACGAGGAAGGCATGCCTGGCATGGCCCACGCCGTAGAACACGTAGGCACCCTCCAACCTGGTCCTTTCCCATTCGTATCACTATTTCCACACCTCTGACGCGCATCCTCTCTCAGCTCCTCTTTATGGGTACCAAAAAGTTCCCCGTGGAGAATGAGTACGGCTCATACCTGTCCGCCAACTCGGGTAGCTCCAATGCCTTCACTGCATCCACCTCTACCAATTACTACTTTGAGGTGGCTGCCAAGCCCGCCGATGATCAGCCCCCTACCGAGGAGAACCCATCTCCTCTGAAGGGCGCCATTGATCGCTTCTCCCAGTTCTTTATTGAGCCGCTTTTCCTCCCAAGTACCCTGGACAGGGAGCTTAGGGCCGTGGATTCTGAGAACAAGAAGAACCTTCAGAATGACACCTGGAGGCTTCACCAGCTGGAGAAAGCACTGGCGAACCCCAAGCACCCTTACTGTCACTTTTCAACAGGAAACTTCGAGGTCCTCAAGACCGATCCTGAATCCAAGGGCATCAACGTGAGGGACAAGTTTATCGAGTTCCACAGCAAGCACTATTCATCTAACCGGATGAAGCTCGTCGTCCTCGGTCGTGAGTCGCTCGATGTCCTTCAAAAATGGGTTGAAGAGTTCTTTTCCGACATTGTCAACAAGAACCTCCCCCAAAACAGGTGGGAAGACGAACCTGTGTTCCGCGAGAGCGACCTTGGTACTCAGTGCTTTGCAAAGCCCGTCATGGATTCGCGTGAGCTTAACCTCATCTTCCCTCTCATCGATGAGGAGAACCTCCACGAATCACAGCCAAGCCGGTACCTTAGCCACCTCATTGGCCACGAGGGTCCCGGTAGCATCATGGCATACATCAAGAACAAAGGCTGGGCCAATAGCCTTTCTGCTGGCGCTTACCCTGTCTGCCCCGGAAGTCGTAGCCTGTTTGGCATTTCGATTCGCTTGACGGAAGAGGGATTGAAGCATTACATTGAAATTGTCAAGGTCATTTTCCAGTACCTGGCGCTCCTGCACGAATCCCCCCCTCAGAAGTGGATCTTTGAGGAACAAAAGGGCATGGCCGATGTCGACTTCAAATTCAAGCAAAAGACCCCAGCCAGCCGTTTCACAAGCAAGACTAGCTCTGTCATGCAGAAACCCATTCCGCGAGAGTGGCTGCTCAGTGGCCAGAGCCGCCTGAGGACGTTTGACCCCGAGGGGATTAGGAAGGCCCTCCAGGAACTCCGGCCTAGAAACATGAAGATAGGCATTGTCTCCCAGAAGTTCCCTGGTAACTGGGACAAGAGAGAGAAATGGTACGGCACAGAGTATCGATACGAGAAGGTGCCGGCTGATGACATGGCCGCGTTTGAAGAAGCCCTAAACACACCGGCAGACAAGCGTCCCCCCGAACTGCACCTCCCGCACCGCAACAACTTCATCCCCAGCGAGCTTGAGGTGGAGAAGAAGGAGGTTCCTCAGCCTGCCATCGAGCCCCGGCTGCTTCGCAACGATTCCATGGCAAAGACATGGTGGAAGAAGGACGATACGTTCTGGGTTCCCCGGGCTAATGTTGTTGTCAGCCTGAAGAGCCCCATCATCTATGCGTCCGCTGAAAACACAGTCAAGGCCAGGCTCTACACGGAGCTTGTCAGAGATGCTCTAGAAGAGTACGCCTACGATGCTGAGCTGGCGGGTATCCAGTACACCGTCAGCCTCAGTTCCCGGGGGCTCGTCCTGGATCTCTCGGGCTACAATGACAAGCTCCCTGTCCTTCTCCAGCAGGTGGCTTCCACTATGCGTGATCTCGACATCAAGGAGGACCGGTTCGAGGTCATCAAGGAGCGGGCTGTCCGTGCCTTCAACAACTGGCAGCTCAATTCGGCCTACCAGCAAGTTGGAGATTACCTCAACTGTCTGTTTTCGGAACGGGACTATCTCGTGGAGGAGCTTGCCGCTGAACTTCCGAACATCACCTGCAAGTCCATCCGCCTCTTTCAGGAACAGGTTCTCTCGCAGATGTTCATTGAGACATACGTCCACGGAAACTTACACAAGGAGGATGCTCTCAAGGTGACGAATGTACTCGAGTCTACGTTCAAACCAAGGACGCTGCCACTATCTCAGCTGCCAATCGTCAGGTCCCTACTTCTTCCTGCGGGCTCCAACTTTGTTTACAACAAGACGCTGAAGGACCCGGCCAACGTCAACCACTGCGTTGAGACCTGGTTGTACATTGGGGACAAGGCCGACCGCGTGCTCCGTGCCAAGACTCTTCTTCTCGATCAGATTGCTCACGAGCCGGCATTTGACCAGCTGAGGACTAAGGAGCAGCTTGGATATATCGTCTTCACTAGCCTCCGGACCTTTTCGACCACGTGTGGCTTCCGTCTGTTGATCCAGAGCGAGCGTACTCCGGAATACCTTGATTCGCGCATCGAGGCGTTCCTGGTACAGCTAGGCGGTATCATCGACAAGATGAGTGACTCGGACTTTGAGGGCCACAAGCGAAGTCTTATCCTCAAACGTCTTGAGAAGCCTAAGAATCTCGACCAGGAGTCTACGAGGCATTGGACGCAGATCTCCGGGGAGTACTACGACTTTGAGATTGGTAAGTGATATGGGTTCGAGTTGATGTGGTACATGGTCAACTAATGATGATGAACAGCACAACACGATGTAGCACACATCAAACAGTTGTCCAAGTCCGACATGCAGGAATTCTACAAAGCTTACATCTGCCCGTCGTCACCTACCCGGGCGAAGATGTCGATCCACCTCCACGCGCAAGCGGCCAGCGAGCTCGACAAGAAGATCACAGAGCTCTTGGCCCGATCCAGCCTGGAAGATGTGCCGTCCGAGCAGCGCCAGAACCTGGGTCTCCTCAAGAAGTACCTCATAGAAGTAGCCAAGCTTCCCGAGGACAAGGCGGCGTCCATTATCGCCGAAGCCAAGGAATTTGGCCTCAAGGCCGCTGCGTCTGACCCCGATACCGGCAAGGCCCCCAACGGAACGTCAGTCAGCAAGAACCAGCCGACAGAAATTAAGGACATTCGACGCTTCAAGTCTGGGCTCCTGGCCAGCTCTGGCGCGCGTCCCGTCAAGGATCTGAGCGAGTACGAGGACATTGACCCGAAGCTGTAAAATGTTGCATTTGCGACACAGTTGAGGGGAGACTAGACGCAGGTGCACACACATCTCAAAGTGGTCCATCTATAGAGAGGAAAGAGAGAGGGACTCAAGAGTGTAGACTACTAGATGGTTCGATCAGTCGAGGTAGGCTGGAGTAACGAGTGTATCAGTTGTGGGTTCGTTTAGGCGCAGCAGAGGGAGGCAAAAACAGGACCACTCACATCTTTTCTTTTTTGCTGTACGTATTACTACTCACGTAGTGCACAAGTAGAAAATTACTATGTTTCGGCCGACATCTTTGTCTAGTATTAGGACGACTGTCTAATTATCAGCACTGGGTGGTTTGTTGGCGAAATACTATACATGAGTATACACGCTAGTATGATAACCATGCAGTATTTCCCCTGGGATTACAGTACTATCTACTAGTAATAGTACTCATAGTCGTAATCCATGGTACAGTGGGTGAGTGATGCCCACTCATGGTAAGAAGGACGGATAGAGGGGCCTGATATCTGAGCCCTGATGGAGGGGGTCGGTGCACTGGACACCTCCAGTGAAGAGGCCCAGGCAGGTGTCTAGCCAGTCATCAATGGGTAATATCGACTTGTTCCATGGACAGCTAAATAATACACCCCACTGTAGATCCGGTAGGCCGCCACCCGTTCTATGGAGGCCACTGTACGAATTGAAAAGGCGCTTATATGTATGCTTTAGTATTGCCAGTATTGCCAGGGCCTGGTGCCGTGGACTACTAGCATCATGTATGTATGTGAAGGTTGGCTGCAGCAAACCCGTCCCAGATACTGGGAAAGAATTAAGAAAAAAAAGAAAAGAAGGAGGAATAGGATGGAACAAATGGGCAGAGAGAGAGAGAGAGAGAGAGAGAAGAGTTATGAGTCGTGGTAAGGTTTCTCCCGGCAACGTCACTCCCTGTCGTTTGAAGGATGATGACGCCAGGACAGGCTTGCCTGATTCAGCCACTACAAAGGAATAAGAAACTCACCTCTACTCTTTCACAACACTGCATATATAGAGGATTCGTGGTAATGATTGTCATCATCATCGTCACCACCTTATTCGCTTCATCACCTGCTCACCGTCACATCAGTTTGCAAAGGGCCCACTGCCACGAGCCGAACACACTTGACCTCAGCTTCACCTTGGCGGGACGGACACTGCAGCCGCCGCCACCTTCTCCCACTGCCAAAATCTTGTCACCTGTACGAGTAAACAAGAGCAACAACCCGTCGTATACTCCCAGTCAGAGGAGAAGGGAAGGAGAAGAGTAGCGGATGGAAAAGAAGAAGAGAAAGCCGATGGGCGATAGTAATCCTGCACTGTCCAGCTGGCCGACTTGTTAGCGGCCTCTTTCCGCGGCCCGTCTATCTATTTTTTTTTTTCTTTGCCCTTTGTCGCTCTCCACCCCCGCCCCCTCCATACCGTCAAGTCGGTGGAGACAGGCTGCAGCAAGAGTTTGATCTCGACACAAAAGACACCCTTGCGTGTGTGTGGTTGTGCACACAAGTAATGACAATTCCTGGTCTCTCCGACTAGTGACATTACTTCTTTCGTCGCTGTCCTCCTCATAGACGACAGCTTCGTCCAACAAGAAAACCCCAACCACCCGGTTTGTCATCGTCTTGAGCTGCCAATAGAGGCAGCTCGCCTTCAAGACGTCTTCCTCCAAGAAGAGACGTGTCTCTTCTCATCCTTTAGCACGAGAACAGAGCCGCAGCCCGTCACCGTCGCCGGACACCGCCCTCGTCTCTTACGAACCCGACGACAACGACAGCCCAGCCTTCTCTTTCTCTGGGACCGGTGCCGAAGACAGCCCACTACCGCCATCCTACGATCTAGGGCCGGAACCCCAACAGCAGTCGGCATCGAGTCTTCCGCAGAGACTTCAGCCGAGCAACGGCGGCGTCGGTATATCTCCAACCTCCCTCGTCTCGACCGACTACTACGCCGCCTCGTCCGCCGCCTCCTCACCCTGTACCTCCGTCTACGCCGACCTGTCCCTGGGCAGCGACCGAGGAGGAAACGAGACTGGACCCTTTCTGGACACCGACACCAAGTCCAGAGGCCAGTCTCCATACACAATCCCCAAGAGAGCCATTATGAACGACGATGCGAACCTCCCCCACCGTTCGTCATCCCCGCTCAAGCGTCGCGCATCAAGCATGGAACCCGAAGGTGACGTGCCCAACAGCACATCCTCTTCCTCCGACATCAGGGCGAACAGCGGCCTGCCCCGCGCTATGAGTGTCGATACGCCCGACTATACCGCCGATCAAAATGAGAACAGTGAGTTGTTGCCAAGCCAACTATCTTCTCTCGCTTTTAGAGAGAGGAAGGAATGAGGAAAAGAACTGGAGGTGGGATATATAAATATGCATGAAAGGGACCGCTTTCTGACTTACCGGATATCACAGGATCGCCACCTCCGATGCATGAACAAGTCAAAATAATCGAGACACTTCTCCAAGCCTCTAAGGAGGCACCTCTCAAGGAAGGAGAGACAGCATACCTGGTATCCCGGAGCTGGGTCGACAAGGCACTCGCCCTACGCTCCGATGACCCAAAGAGAGCTAAGACGGATGATACCGACGTCAAATCTTTGGGCCCCGTTGACAATTCGGACATAATTCAAGATGTCATCAAGGATTCCAGCGGCATTGAATTCGTTCGCCTAAAGCCGGGGCTTGGCCTCGAGTCCTTTGAGCTCTTCCCCCAAGATGCGTGGAACTTGGTGGTTGACTGGTATGGCATCAAGGATGACCAGAAACCCATCGTGCGGAACGCTATAAATGAGGCTCCTGATGCCCAGTCAGCACCCGAAATCATCTACGAACTGCATCCTCCCATCTTCCGTATCCACAGGCTGTGGTCTGAGATCAGCCCCCTACCGATTGAGCAGTCGCTCAAGGCCAACAACCCTGGTCCTGTTATTCTCGTACGGAGCCGCAAGAGTCATGCCCACACCTTTCTTAGGGATGCCAAGACCCTGGCCGGCATCCCACTCGATCGCAAGATCAGGCTGCACTCCATTGCTTCGACACACACTCTGGGTGACCATACCTCACAATCCTCAGCCCTGACACCCCCTGATTCGCCTCAGCGGGAAGGCCAGGTTGGATCACAGGGCTCCTGGTCTTGCCTGCTTGTCGATGTGCCTAGTTTCTCTCAGGTCCGTGACCTGAGAATGCAAGTTGACATGGCCGACACGACAATCAACCCCAAGTACAATGGAAAGTCCTCCATCCAGCTGCAAGGCCTTGTCACGGATCAAACGCTCATACTGGACGAAGCCATCGAGGGCTGGTGGGTCAGCACTTACACCGGCCAGCACCTGCCCAAGGCAGCCAAGAGCCTCACGATTAAGGGAACTACATCGACTCTATCATCCAAGACAAACAGCGCTCGCAGCAGCCCGGCGCCCCTGGGCCCCGTCACCCGTGGAAGGGGACAACGCAAGAGCGTCGGCAAGAGCTTGGGCTCTGTGGGCTTGCACAACCTGGGCAACACATGCTACATGAACTCGGCCCTGCAGTGCGTTCGTAGTGTCGAGGAGCTCACCAAGTACTTCCTCACCGACGCGTACCTGACCGAGATCAATAAGACGAATCCTCTAGGGTATCACGGCAAGGTCGCCCTCGCCTACGCTAGTCTGCTGAAAGAGATCTATGATGCGGGCCGTGGATCTGTCAGTCCTCGTGACTTCAAGACGACAGTCGGTCGGTGCCGGAGCACATTCCAGGGCTGGGGTCAGCAAGACTCGCAGGAGTTCCTTGGCTTCCTCCTCGACGGCCTCCAAGAAGACCTGAGCCGTATCAAGAAGAAGCCGTACATTGAGAAGCCCGACTCCACGGATGACATGATCAACGACCCCGAAGCCATTCGTCGGATGGCAGAGGAAGTGTGGGATATCACGAGAAAGCGAGACGACTCAGTCATTGCCGACCTTTTCACTGGCATGTACAAGTCGACCCTCAAATGCCCCGAATGCGGCAAGATAAGCATCACCTTTGATCCATTCAACAACCTCACTCTGCCACTCCCCATCGAGGACATGTGGGTCAAGGCCGTTCGGTTCTTCCCACTCAACGATGTGCCCGTGAGGATCGAAGTTGAGCTCCCTAAGCACAGTTCCATCGAGACCCTGAAGCAGTTCATGTCGACACGCACTGGCGTCCCGGCTAATCGTCTGATGGGTGCTGAGGAGTTCAAAGATAAGTTCTTCAAGATCTACGACGATCACCAGGATATCTCTGAGGAGATCCAGTCCTCTGACATCCCTACAATCCATGAACTGGAAGCAATACCAACCAACTGGCCACCAAAGGGCAAGCTCAAAAAGCGATCTATGCTAGACATCGGTACACCTCCTGACCCCTCCACCTGGGAAGACCCGGCATACGAACGCATGGTGGTTCCTGTCTTTCACCGCCGTCCCCATGCCACTGGACGCTCCGAGGGAGCGTCTCCTCCGCACTTTGTCATCCTTAGCAGAGAGGAGGCCTCTGACTACGACCGTATCCAGCGAAAGGTGCTGGCCAAGGTTGCCACGTTTTCGACCTGGAAGACGCTCCAGAAGGAGTGCGAGGAAGGGGGAAGCAACCAAAACACAGAATCCGATAGCGGAGTGACCACTGCTTCCGACGTCGATTCCCCGGGAGAGAGCAACTTCGCCGCGCACTCGGTCCAGGGAGAGGAAGACATGGTGGACGTCACGATGAAGGACGCGAGTGAGCGTCTGCCTCACAAGCCTGGGATCCTGAGGCGTTTCAACACGAAGCGCCCTGCCTTCCTCAAGCCTGATAGCTTCCTGGCCCCCGAACTTCAGAACCTATTTGAACTTAGCTACTTCTACGACGGCCCGGAGAGTTCAGTACCGACTGGATGGTCTCAGATCGAGCCGTCGAGGACCTTTCCCAAGGTCGCAGACCGCATACCGCAGCAGCTCCAGGCTGAGGAAGACCAAGGAAGCCCGACTAGTATCGAGAGCTCAGACAATGGAGGATCCGGAAACGAGGAGGACAGTAACGAAGGTTCTCCCAAGATCGAGTCACCTGAAACACGTATGGCAGATGAATCGAGCGAGGAAGCTGACGTCGGGCCTAGCCGCGTAAGTGAATAACATGCCTTGGATAAGGACAAAGAGGTTATGAGTGATACTGGGACCACGCTGACAGCCGGACACAGTTCGCCCGTCGCCCCAACCCCAAGTTCAAAGGAAAGAAGAAGTTCAACAAGACCTACGGCAAGGCCAACAAGAGGCGTGAGAAGCAGATGCGTAAGGAAGCGCACCGTACTGCTGTCAGGCCGCAGCCCCGACCGCAGCCCGAGGCCCGAGCCGACGGCGGCCCTCTCATCCGTCTTGGGGAGGGGCTCGTCGTCGATTGGAACGAGGAGGCCTGGGAGACGATATTTGGTGGCTCACCCTACGGTGGCGAGTCTGGAAGTAAAACTTTTATCGAGCCAGAGGTCCTCACCGACCCGGCCCTCAAGATCACCCAGAGGCGTCGGCAGACACGACGCTCCCGCGGCATCACCCTCGATGAGTGCTTAGATGAGTTTGAGAGGGCCGAGGTGCTTTCAGAGCAGGACATGTGGTACTGCCCACGCTGCAAGGAGCACCGCCGGGCCAGCAAGAAGTTTGATCTGTGGAAGACTCCGGACATCTTGGTGGCGCACCTCAAACGTTTCAGCAGCTCTGGCTACCGCCGCGACAAGCTAGATATCCTAGTCGACTTCCCCATTGAGGGGCTGGACCTCACTTCGCGAGTGATCGAGAAAGAAGACGGACGTAACGAGATATACGATCTCATTGCGGTGGACGACCACTACGGGGGGCTCGGCGGAGGTCACTACACGGCGTACGCCCGTAACTTTATGGACGGCCGATGGTACAACTACAACGGTGTGTGGCTCTGACCTCTTTAAGTAATCGTTTGCTACTAGTTTCCACCATGTACAGTTACTGACTTGTACGTTGTAGACTCGTCAGTCAGCCACGTGTCGGACCCGACATCTGTGGTATCGAGCGCCGCGTACCTTCTGTTCTACCGGAGGAGGTCGAGCGGTGCCCTAGGTGGTGCTCGCTTCCAGGAGATTTTTGACCAATTTGACAACCCAGATGAAGGTGGCGAGGAATCTTCGACCGAGGCGGGAAACGACCAGCCTTCGTCGGACGACAGCTACGGGCGCGTATCTAGGCCAAGCTTAATCAAAGGAAGCAGCGTCAACACGCGTCGACTGGACGGATCGGACGACGAGGATGGAGGGCCCTTTGGCGGCAGCGGACAGAGCATAGTGCGTCGCAGCGTCGAGATGGACGACGAGTACCAGTCCCTAGGACCCAACCCGGTGAGCCAAGGGTGGAGCTTCGGCGACACGGACAACGGCACGATAGACAACACGTCAGATCTGGCTAGCGATACGGTCCAGGTCAGCTCTGAGGATGACCAGAACGTGTTTGGTGACGAGGACGTTGAGATGAACTCTGCCGTGGCGGACGGCGACTCAGACGCCGAGACGACCTACAAGGCGTCATCGCCCAACGTGCACGCGGCCGGCACAGACATCATTTCGGTCTCCGCCAAGTCGGGTGTTGCAGCAGACGCGGACTCGGAGGAAGTGGCTGAAATTCATGTCGAGAGCGGCGATAAAGAATCCAGCTCGTAGGTTCGAATTCAAACTTGTTACATTGGTTACATCTATTCGCATAGTTTCGAAGACTGGGACAAAAAAAAAAAAAAGAGGAACAAGAAAGACAAGTATGAGTGATGAGCTTACTGCAACGAAGACGTGTCTACTTTTTTCCCTCCTTGCTCTCTTCTTTCCTTTCCTTTCCTTTTTATTTGTTGAGTATGGATTGGTATGGTTGAGGTTGAGAAGACTACGGGACGTGGGAGGGCAAGTTTACACGAAGCTAAAGAAAAAAAAGAAAAGATGGGCAGAAAGAGAGAGTATCCCAAAGACATAGAGATGGCTTGCTCGCGCTCGCACGCATGCAGCAGTGGGCGGGAGGCACTTGGATGCATGAAGTATACGAAAGAGAAGGAGAAAGGAAGACGTTGCGTATTGAAATACAGATGGTACGCATACAAGACAGGGCATCTGACGTGAAAGTGATGTATTATTACTTTGCCTGGAAATTATGGGACTGAAATCTCTTATTTTCATTTTCTCTCTATGGTGTGAGTATACACTCCACGACCTGACCGATTGTGGCTTTTAGCCTACTCGTACTCGGTACGACGAGAGGGAAAAGAAGAAGGGATCAACAGTTTTAGAGTCAGTTGGCGTTGTGGAGACTTGGAGCAAGTTTGACTGGACACGGCGAGGGGGGATGGTATGCGTCGTATGATTTGAAGGGCTGTGCGGGCAAAGGGATGGATATTTAGAGGTTCATTTTTTTTATTGTACGTCCTAAAAGAGAACAAAAAACCGGTCTCTTCTTCTTTTTTTTTTTTTTTGGGGGGGGGGGGGGGTTTTCTTCCTCCTAGTACGGGTAATATAATATCTTGTTGTAGGGTAATGCAGCAGTATCCGCATCCGGGTTGGAGATGAAGGTACCTGGTAATGACTGGTTGGGGGTGTTTCCCTTTTATGGGGAAGATGTGTGTGTGAGATGGGAGCATGGATCGAGTATGGAGTAGATGAGTACGGGGAAGACGGAAGCATGTAGTATTTATTAATCGGTAGGAGATGATATAATCCTAGTTACTGGTATAGAGCATTACTGCGACACACGTACGGGTACTATTGTTAGGCGGCAATGATGCGTGTGTATGATTGATTATACAAGTAATGTATGTAGGGAGAGTAGAATCACTATACGTACTATTACTACTGTCAGGGCAAGGAGCAAGTAAGAGTTGAGCGGAAAAGGCAGGTCATAGAGGAAGACAAAGATGAGACACTTGATTCTTGAGGTTCGATTGTCGGCGATAATAGGTGTATATGCATTGGGGGTCTACGATTCACAGCTCCGAGCATCAAGGTAGAGAGAGAGTACTACTCTCTCCGACATTTGGACCTTTGGACGAGGTTGCTGGTGTTCAATGTATGAGTATGAACGATATTGCCGTATGAATCTTACGAGTGAACATGTGTTCACTGTACCGGTATGGCATGTGCGGCTTCCAGGTGCTAGGCCTTACATACTCGTACAAGTAATATTGGCCATGGTAGACCCCCACTCACATCGCTATCTAGTACTACCTAGTATTACTAGGCTAGTATTAGATACCTGCCTACGAGCACTCGTATATCTCGTATATACAGTGGGCAGTGAGCAGTGAGCACTGACCAGCGGCTGACCAGTGGCTGGCTGCTACCTGGGCTCCCAGGCGGGGGGGATGGACGGTACAAGCAGTGGTGTATCGTACATATGGAACAGTTCTGATGACAGTGGGCGGTGGAGTGCCATCGAATGGTGCACTACGAGCACAGTGGCGTAACTCTAGCGGGTGGGTGCCACCACCACTGCCCAGCGTTCAGCGGCTAGTGCTGTAGGCTGTGTGGCTTTTTTTCGGGGGGGGGGGGGGGGGGGGGGGGGGGGGGGGGGGGGGGGGGGGGGGGGGGGGGGGGGGGGGGGGGGCTCCTCGGGCTTCCATTGCCTCCAGCCTTCCAACGGCATAATAGTAACACACCGTTAAAGGCTTCTTTGATGCTTCTCGAAGACGACGAGAAGCCGATTTCATGTGGGTAACGTGAACTGAATTGGCCACATGGATCATGGTACGGTACGGATACAAGGATTAGTATTTTTTTTTCTGGTAATATAGTTGTCGTCGACTTTTCTGTTTTGACGACAACCCTTTTTTTTCTTTCTCTTCTTCTTCTTCTTCTCCCCCCCCCCCTTTCCCCTCTACTCTTCCTTCTTCTCTTCTCTTCTCATTGTTGTCTCTTCTGTTATTATTGTTTTGTAAGAAACCCCTTGCTATTTTCCCTCTCGGTCGCACACCAACAGATGCGACATTGAGAGGCTTGCTACTTGCTACTTGCTACTTGCTGCTAGCTCCTAGGGACACGTGCGTCGCCCATCGATTTCCTTAAACCGGGGCCCCCTTTCAGCTGTGTGTTCCCCCAATCGTTTCAGCGGCACAAGGAAAGACCCAAGAAGAGAAGAGATAAGGAGGACAGAGACGGGAACGGGAGAGCGAGATATGAAGGAGGGAGAAGTAAAAAGGGGAAGATGACTGCAAATCATTACCAACCCTACGCCTTTTCCCAACTCTGGTCAACCAAGAAGAAAAAGAGAAACAAAAAAAAGTCGCGATAATGATCGGACAATTGCCCATTAATGGTTCCTTCACAGTTGGGTACACAACCGGCAAACATTTTTTCAGCACCTCATTCCGATAGTATATACATGAGCTAGTCCCATCTTAGGGGGTGTGGTTCCCTCCACAGTACCCTGGTCATCATGGTTCCTTACTAGTACGTACGACTATCTCCCCCCCCCCTCCTTCTCTCTTTCTTTTTCCCTCTCTTACAGCCCTCTCCTCCTGCTCCTTCTTCCGTCGGGTTTGGTGGCCCCTGCGCGCCCTCAGATGTGCGCCCAAAGGCACGTTTTCCGTTGCTCTTGGGTCAAGCTGTCGATTATCGCACTCTCTGCTCCTGCTCCTGCTTGAAGTACGAGCATGACCATTAGAGACAAGACTATACTCGTACGAGTGCATGCGAGTAGTAAACATGGTAGACAACATTGAAGTCGAGAGTGATAGCCGTAATATCATTATTACTATGCCACCTTCCGGTCCTGGACCAGATCATACACCCTGAATGCCTATTGGTTCCCGATCCCTTCCCATCTACGAGTCTGTACATATATGTACAGGTAGAATGCATTATTCGTACTCGTAGTATCAAGTCGTAGCGCGCCTCTCCTCTCTCCTTCTCCTCACTTCTAGTCTACTAGTAGTAATAATACGGAGTGGCAGTACTCTAGCAGTACTCGTAGTAATGCTACATGTAGTAGTATTATTCCTCCGTACTCGTAGTAGTTCCCCCCCAACGACCCTGTCAGCCGTCCTGCCTCTTCTCGTCTGCCTCAAACCAGTCCAGTTCGGCGCCATTCCTATTCCTCATTCCCTCATCCACATCTATTCCTACCTCTCTCCCTCTCTCTCCTTCTCTCTCCCTCTCTCTGCCTCTCTCCCTCTCTCTCTCCTTCTCCCTCCATTTTTATCCCTCCTCCACATTTCCCTTTCTACTGCTACTGCTACTACTATTACGGAGTGATAGCACCCATCCCTCTCTTCATCGAGAGAGAGAGAGAGGAACGAACCCTTTCCCCCCCCTCTCCCCCCGACCCATGTCATCTGTCACCTAAACTGACTCGTTCCATCAAAACCCCCTCCCCATCTCATCCGGCGCATTGGCCCCCTCCTCCGAACCAGGGTAGCCGACAGTATTACCAAGTAGTACTGTAGTAATACCTTGGTAATATTCCAGTGCTGGTTGTGCATGCGAAAACAGCCCTGAACATCGTACTCCGAATCGTCCTGGAGGGAGAGCACCGACGCTCCTACCACCACCACCACCACCACCTTGCTCCCGTACCTAAACAGCACACACTTTCCTTCCCTCGAAGGCACCACACGACACTCTTTCTCACACGCCCCCCCCCCCCCCCCTCTTTCGCTTATTCCGACGTCGCATCAGACCTTCTCCTCGTTCACACTCCCAGTACGTGACGTCCTGGGCGCTGCCATCCTCGATTCCTCATATTCCGACAAGGCGACGCACAATCACGCTCCTTTACTTCCGACACACCATCACCTTTCCGTTCATTACTTCGTCACACCCTCCTGGGGCTTTGCGCGACCGATTACCTGGCATTCTCCTGCCCTACTCCGCGCGTCAATTATTATCTCTGCGCCTACGATCGTCATAATATCCGTGGTCCCTGCTCTTTTAGCCGCGCGAGCTGCTCGATTACCTCACTGCGACGCCAGCTGGTCGTCACGGATAAAGCTCGTTACTGAGTGTACCACTTGCGCCCCCCCCCCCCCCCCCCCCCCCCCCCCCCCCCCCCCCCCCCCCCCCCCCCCCCCCCCCCCCCCCCCCCCTCCCCCCCTCCTGCCCTCGTGGTTCAAGGCGATCCAGTCGCGGGGCTGGTCGCTCTCAGCTACCACCATGGACACCACTCCCGCTTGTCATGTCGTATATGTCGACCGCACCATCATGCGCGATTGCCCTGTACTCGCTAGCCCCTCGAATCCGTTACCCGCCGATTGGCAGCGCAGTACGCGCCAAGTCGTCCAGGCCCTTGTCGAGGTCTTTGGCAATGGTATGTCAATCCAGCCGGCCCCTATGACACTTGCTTTTTGCTCGAATCGCCGTCCCTCTGACCTACTCTCCCCTCCCTCACCTGCACAGTTCAAGTATGCGGCACCGGCTCTGCCTGCCTGTCAAAGGTCTTTGAGCCCTACCACCACCACATGGTCGAGATGAAGCCCACGGTAGTGCTGCTCGACACGCCCAACGACGACTCCATCCTGCGCGATTATCCCCGACCGACGTCATCCTCGTCCACCACGTCGCCCTCCAGGCGTCGCCTTCCTGCCTCCGAGGTCCACACCCCCGACAATGAGCTTCAAGGCCTCGACCTCATGCAGAAGCTTATAGTCGAGGCCCGTCTGCGCAACATTGCCAAGCTGGTCGTTCCCGTACCCATCATACGTCAACCCGAGCTCGAGCCTGCGCCGGCCGAGCCTACGTCGACTGAAACGGCACAGGCCATGACGGATGGCGCCGTCGAGCATCAGCCGATGTCGAGCGGCTTAGCCAATAACCGTGACATCATTAGGAGATGCCTCGAACTTGGTGCAGCTGACGTCGTCATCGGACCTCTCAGTCAGCGTTGTATCGCTACCCTCGAGACGTGTGCCTACCGTGCACACCGCGACGCCATCAAGGAGCACGAGGAACTTCTCGAGATCAAGCGAGGCCGTCAGCGCTCTTGGGTCGGCGTTAGTGACGAGAAGCCCTTTGCCTATCTCCGTGAGGCCATGGTGTCAGGCCTCATGAAGCGCATCTGTCGTCTTGGCCCCGAGGACAGCCAGATCACCGGCATCCAAATTTCCGTCTCGTCGGAGCGGCAGGCCGAGATTGCAGACGCTGTTGGCCACTGGCACTTTTCTGCGCACTTGTTTACGGACGACGAGCTCGTTGTCGCCAGCATGATCATGTTCAAGCATACTCTCAGTATGCCTGATCTGGAAAAGTGGCGCATACCCACAGGTGGGTTATCATCGATCCCATTCACCTATATATAATTGCTATTCGGCCCTGGTACTGATATATTATAAGACCAATTGATCAATTTCCTGGCAGCCTGCCGAACCACGTACAACAACTTTGTTCCCTACCACAATTTTCGCCACGTCGTCGACGTCCTGCAGGCCACCTTCAACTTCCTCGTCCACATCGGCTCCATTGCACCCTATCCGGGACCCTTGGGAGGCTCGGCCGCGCCCACCGAGGAGAAGTCGCCGATCGGATCTCTGATCGAACCGTTTGAGGCTCTCACGCTGCTCATCACAGCCATCGGTCACGATGTCGGACATCCAGGCGTCAACAACGGTTTTCTGGTAACGCTGAATGCCCCGCTAGCACAGCTGTACAATGATCGCTCCGTTCTCGAGTCGTTCCACTGCGCTGCTTACTCACAGATCCTGCGTCGATACTGGCCTGTCGCCTTTGAGGACTGCAAGATGCGGAAACTCATGATCAGCTCCATCCTTGCCACCGATATGGGCCTTCACTTTGACTACATGAAGAAGCTCGGCGACACCCAAGAAAAGCTCCAGGAAAACAACAGCACTGATGGCTGGAATGGCCGCCAGATTGAAGAGCAGAAGGCATTGGCCTGCAGTCTCTTGATCAAGTGCGCCGATATCAGCAATGTGGTACGTATCGCATGTTTCTATATACATATCTTGCCTGACAACCTTGCGGACATGATGCACTGCTAGTGAAAGAATGCAGAACCCTCGGACTGACACTCTACCCGTGAGAACAGGCGAGACGATACGATGCCGCGGTACAGTGGATGCACATACTATCCGAGGAGTTCTCAAGACAGGCATCCATGGAAGATGAGCTGCAGATCCCCTCGGCTCTCATGGCACCGCCAAAGAAGGACATCAGCTCTCTGGTCAAGGCCCAGCTAGGTTTCATGAACCTGTTTGCCATCCCCCTGTTCCAGGGCGTTGCCGATGTCATGCCCGGCATGATGTACACGGTGGAGGAGCTGGACATCAACAAGGGTCTGTTCGAGCGCATGGTGGAAGAGGAGAAGATGAAGGAGCTCCAGGATGAGACCACACGCCACCGCCTACTGAAAGAAGCTGGCACCTTCTCCCCGAGAACCATGAGCTTCGCGGTCGCTGAGACGCAGGAGTCCAGGAGGCAGTCGACAGTGCAGACGCAGCAGGACAGCAACAACAAGATGATGACGGTCGAGGATGCGGCCGAGGCTCCCGCTGAGATGCCATCATCATACCTGCGTAGCGAAAGGCAAGAAGAGACAAGGGCGATGCCAGTGACGCCCCAGAAGCCCTCGACGACGGCGACGACGGACGGGAGTGGCAATATCTCGTCCTTCGATGCCGTGCTGCAGCTCGCAAACAGCGACCCATTCAACAGCAACGGAGCGGGCGGTCTCTTCGAGGTAGACGCGCAGCGCTGCAGCGAGGCGACGGAAGGCAGCTTTTCGGCCGGGCTGACAGGTGACTGGGCGTCCCAAGCGACGAGCGCCAACACGGGCATGATGCCCATCTCACCGAGCACCCAGGGCACGAGCATCGTGAGCAGGGAATCCACCGAGCGGCTGCCATGCAACGAGTCGACACCCGAGGGCACGCCGCGAGCGGTCGAGGACGACAGGTCGCTCTCGATAACAGTAGCAGGAGCAGCGACGCCAGCGATGGGGTCGTCTCCGTCGTCGACCATGATGAGGTACGAGGATGGGTCCTCGACCAACGACTTCGACATGTCGACATCGGTGGGGAGCCTAGGCAAGGCTGAAGGAAAGTCACTTCGCAAGAAGCCTAGCCGGTTTCGCATGAGGGATTTCCCGTTTTTTAAGAGAAACAACAAGGGTGCGAACCCGTCACCGCCACCACCACCACCGAGGACGACAGACTCTCCCACCAGTACAAGCTGAGACGGGAGAGGGAAAAATCTGATTACAAAGAAAACAAGGCAAACCAAACCAAACCAAAAAAAAAAAAAAAAAAACTTTTGTTACCAAGGGTTTTTGTATATTACGATGTGATGAAATTAGGAGTGGCAAACAGATAGATGGGGATGGTTAAGACAAGGGTTGACGGGGAGTCTTATCTGAGGACGGACACGATTGTGTATCTGCATTTTTTTCCCTTTCTTTTACTTTCTTTCTTTTCTTATTTCCTTCTATAACGAACATGGATCGGGTCAGGTGTTCTTTTCCATTATTACTCATCTTCACCTTTTGCTTTCCTCCTTTTTTTTCGAGCCGAAAGGCCAAAATTAAGTGTGTATGAAGAAACCACCTGTACTATATCTATATATACGGGGTTGGGAAGGGAAGTGCTTTCATCACGGCGGCTTTTATCTCTCTGTTCTTTCTCTTCTCCCAACACATACTTTCTGATCGTATTGCCCGTCATTCATTTCAGGGACTTATCTTTTCTTTCTTTCTTTTCTTTCAAAAGGTTCAAGGGCACCAAGTGGAATTGGCGGATATAAAGATGAGACAAAGGAAAGGACATGGAACACACAAGTATAAAGTATAAATGAATGTTTTTACTCTTGACGGTATTTCCCCTTGACATTGCTAAACAAGGTTCAAATTAATATCAACAATAAGACGTCACTCCTTCAGTATAACCTCGTATATTGTCAAGATAAACACCGAGGCTCGGTTATCAACGGTTTCATTCGTCCCATTGCTTGGCATATAGCGTTCCCCTCACCTCTATATTATTGGGCTGCCAACATGGCCCAAGACTGAGACCCCTTGAGGTGAAGACTGGAGAGTAGGCCCGACGGTGGCGAAAACAAAAGGCATGATGCTGACTTTTCTTTGCAAACGATAGACAAGGGTAGCCAGCTGAGAGTGCGAGGAAGAAATACCATCCAGTCATATGACAATTTTCATCACTCTTGTCAACATGTCACTGCGTCATGGGCTCCTTTCAAGGCGGCCGGTGGGAAGAAAATCAAACCAAAAAGGGACCCTGCTTGAAAGTTTCAAGTGCAGCCTGGTGATGTATCTAAATATATATATATATATATATATATATTTAAAAAAAGAGGGGGGGAGAGACAGAGCTGTATCGCCGCAGAGTTACAGCACAAGGCCGCATGTGGTGCCTCTCGCCGTACCTCGGAATACAACTACTGCTGGTAAGACCAGAAAAAAAAACTCCCGGTGCAAGTTGATACCATGCATCGGCATCGGGCTCGGAAACACCCAAGAGCCAAGAGTTGACAACAACGACGGTGCCACACATGTGCCACATATGTGCCACACCATGTCGTCATGGTAGTGTATCAGGTCAGTCATTATTGAGAGTTGAGAGAAGACCCGAGGCTGATGAGGCGGTCACGATTTATGGCGCATTACGCTTTATTACCTCCCTCTCCGACTGCAAAGCAAGACAGGTAAAAAGCGGAGATGGGGCTTGCCTGCGCACAGCCACGGAACACCGGCGGCGCCGAATGCAAGTTAAGCCACCTTGTTTGTCGACTGACCGATAATATGACTAACATTCTGTGCGCTGTTTTTGTTTAGCCACCTCGGTTGCGGGCCCTGCACTTTTGCCCTATAGGCTACAGGTTACATGACTCTATGAATAGATTTTTTTTCTTTCGGCTCCCTTTGACGGGGTGGTATTATGTAGCTCTCAGCTTTCCTGGGATCAAGATGGGAATTACAGATATGCAAATGCTATGCACGAGCAGGAGCAGCGCCACAACGGAGATGTACGAGTAGCCACAGTTGACGTGCCACGATACTCAAAATACTGAAAGTTTTTTTTTTTTTTTTTTTGGGGGGGGGGGGGGGGGGGTTTGGTTTCTTAAGTTGTATCAATATTAGTACAAAGGCATTTATTTCTCTCTCTCAAATCGGCTTGTCCCGTCTAGTTAGTGTGTACGAGTATAGTAATCATTTAATGTTCGAACCTGACCCGTTAACCACCATCCCCACCGATTCAAAGAAGGGTACACGCAAGGCAAAGACAAACGGTAAAAAAAGAAGATAGACAAAGAAAAATATCAAAAAGTAAAAAGGGGGGAGAGGCCGGTAGTCGGACCTCTCACGACGTCATTCTCGACCTCGAAACGGCTACAGATGAGGATGGGGACAAGTCCGCGTGATGATAAGGTCAAGTGACAGGTTCCGGCATGGACCAGAATAGACATGACGTACAACGACTCACGTAGTCCGTGACATTGTAAATAAGGCGTGCAAGAGCAGGAATAGAAAGAAGAGGAAAAAGCAGCCGCGCGCGTGTTAATTTTTTTTCCCCTGCGATTTCCTCCCCCACTGTCAAGGGGGAGGGGTAGATATTGAGGGTGGGTTGAAAGAGTACGACGAGCATGCGTGGCTAGTGAGTGGTCCTGGTCCTCACTGACTGAGCAAGATACGAGCAATGTACAGATACAATCATGTGGCGCTACTACCCTGAGTTTTTCGTCTCCGCCCCGTCCCGTCGGCGATCCAGTAGCGGCCGTGGTCGGGCCAACTTTTGTTTTCTGATGGGAAGTACAATACAGCGGTACTGTTCCGAGTGATATCTGTAGTAGAGAAAAAAACCAATCACCCATGAATTTGTTAGAGCAGGAAAAAAATGAAAAGTGAAAAAGACAGCGATGGTAATGCAGCATCGGAACGCGTAACGCGCTATGTGGTCGCTGCAACAGTACAATACCTTGGACTCATCTGTCAGGTGGTGAGATACTCAACACTCAGCTACATGTATACCCTGCGTGCCATTGGCGAATAAAGGTGCATATACCTGTACTTTGCATCTCGAGCAGAAGAGGAATAGGGGGGAGGAAAAACTACGAGTAATATATCTTGCATTTAACTTTCTACCATACAGACAACAAGGGCACTGTCTCGTCTCATCTTGTCGTCCCCTACTGCAGACAAGTATTAGCGAGTAATCAATTACCATTTCGTTCATACAATTCTATTGTGGGTGGCTGTTGGTGAAGCTGAGCCGGCAATTGGCTAGATGTGGGAGAATATAGACCAATCATAGACCTGGACACTGGCTCTTTTGGGACTTTTTGACAGGTGCACGGGACAGCTTCAGCGGCCGGCGACGGCGGTTCAGCACTAAAAGGCCGCCCGGGTGCCTTTTTTGGTGTCTTTTTCGTTTGGCCTGGAGGGTTGATGGAGGCCTTCCCCCTCCTCTCCACTGGACCGCCCGAGCTAGTCTCTACAGAGTAGAAGGGGAGTCCTCTAGGCTCGACCCCATCGGACCAATCACGCTACAGAAACGACCTCTGACGACCTCGTCTCATCCAAGGCCTGTCGTAGCCGAAAGGGCCATCGACAGGCTCTCGTTTCTTGTTACCATACCAGGTCCTAGACTCTTCTTCCCCGTGGCTTTTGATCATTTCTTTTTTTTTCTTCTCATTAATTTGCCTTCTAGGCTTTCCCAAAACACCATACCACCCCTTCCCCCCCCTTTTTTATCTTCTGTGATTACGGCCCGCTCTCCTGGGACTCGAGGCTTGTATGGCTTAATTTACCCAACCATGTTGCGAGTCTTACACCTTCATCAAAGGGGCCGCCCATCCGATATCATGATAATCAGCATACTTTATGAAATAGAGGGTCCTGTCAGGGGAAAAGGAAAAGCTTCTCCCGGCTCCATTATAGCGGCTCTCCCCGAAGTGTAAGAGTACGCGCCTGTTTCGAAAAGAGGTCATGGTGACAGTAGCGGTATCTCAGATTCAAAACAAGTAAGACCTGATCTCATCTCATCTTTGTACTACAGTCATCTTGGTCGTCATATTGTTCATGTTCAACGCCTGGAAGTTTCAAGTCCAAGGACCCAAGAGCACGTCCTCATGTCTGCATATGCACAGTTTGGTGCACGGGTAGAATTGGTCCGGATGCGTTCTGCAGGTCACTCTGTCAGATGGCTCCATGGCTTGCATTAAGAGAAGTCGGCTAGAGAATTGCCAGTTACTACCTACTGGCTGCGGCTTCGCGTCATCGTATGATGCTATTATCTTCAGACTCGGCCGACTCGGTGTCAAACCTGGAGACCATTATCATGACCATCTGGACCTTGAGGCAAATCGCGACCAAGGAGAGGGGTTGAGAAAGCGATGCTTGTTGTAGAAGAAAGAGCCGAGGGGCAACTTCTGACCTGACATGTCGAAACGTGCTCTCGGCGCATGAGTGTGTGAGTACACAGCTAACAACAAAAGGAGTGTGGTGGGAAGGGGGACGAGGAGGGGGACCCGGCCCAGCAGAGAGCCAGTCAAGCGCTAAGCCAGCCATCCACGGCAGATGGAGAGGGGCCCCCATTTGCATGACCTTTTGTATGAGAGCAGATATCGGACATGATGGTAATAATACTCGGCGAAAGTAGGAGTCCGTCTAATATCTCTGGGCTGATCTGAGGAGAGAAAGGGAGGGGGGCTGATGTCTCGGGCTTGGGTGAAAGTTTGGTTGACATCTCCGGAGTAATGTGTGCACCTCCTACATGGCCTTTTACTTGCGTGTATTCAAAGTGACGTGCGAATACTAGGAGCTGCGATGGAAACGATGTTGTTTTGGTATCTGGAGGGGAATAGCAAAAGAGGACAAGTAATACAGAAGTGAGTGAACAAAGGCATCAACAGGCAGGCAGGCAATAAGACTCCTGCCCAAGGTCAATGTACCGGTACGAGCGGCGGCTACATGGAGGATGTGGCGGGGCGCGTGGCGTGGCGTAGCTTCCAGCGGACGGAGGGCACGTTACGTTACTATCGGTGGGTAGAGTGTGCTGTAATGGATCCCGGATGCGCTGTAAATGCCCGTGCCATGAGGTTCATCCATTTATAAAAGTATATTATTTTACTCGTAACAAGCTGTCATTGTTCTCAACTATTGACAAGTAAATATGTTTGAGAAAAGAGACTGATGATACTCTTCCAATGAGCTACTCTGGGAGTATTGTTCTGCGTCTTCTGCATCTTCTATATCTTAAACCCACCCCCTGGTACGAGTATACGACGTATGCATGGTTGCTGCAGTATGCGTGCACAGCCTTCATGCATCCTCCATCGGCCGCCCCAGCACCACCGCTGTCTCTCTGACTCCCTCTGACTCCCTCTCTCTCTCTGATGGGCAGAACATGCAGACTGACCCAGGGATCCATATTCTTGTACTCGTACGAGTGAATACTACGAGTAATAGAATAAATGGCCCATTATATTCGGCACAGCGCCCTGGCGGGTCCAGCGACACCCCCGCGCCTGCATACTGGCCTGGGATGTACTCCAGCAGCAACAAAAACGCTAGCTGGGCCCCTCACTACGAGTATGATGGGTAGTCCCTTCCGTACTAAGACTCCTAGTACTAATACCACAAGTCCGCCTTTCCTCTTGTCGCTTGTTCCCCTCTCCTCCTCATCCTCCCCCACGAGGCCATCGTCGTCCTTCTCTTCTATACCAACGGGTTTCGGCAGCAGCTTCGCAAGGCGATCCTCTTACGTCAATATATCTCATATCCCCTGCTCTGCTCCGTCATCTCGTCTTTTCTTTTCTTCTTCTTTTTACCATCATTTTTTGCTTCCTTCTTTTACTTCCACTGTATATCTGCTTGTCTAATCCCCTTGCCTGTCAATCATCTTGTGTCTCGTCAAACGACAGAAATCCCCGCCTATAACATATATCAGAAGCCCCCCCCCCGCCTACTTTCGCCCTATTTGGTTCTCGTACCTGCGCCTTCGCCAGTCCCGAACAGAAATGCCTGTGCAACTACTACCGGCTTCGGCCGCGGCCTTTGCGCCCCGCGCCTCGTCGGTCAACGTCGTCCTTGGCTCCAAGGTGGAACCCTGGCTTACCCAGACTCTCAAGCGCATCAACCGTGTCAAGCGTCCTCTTAACAGTGTTCCCCAACACCAGCGGTGCCTGACCGAGACCCTTTCGTCACCAAACGCCATCTGGACCCTCGCCTCTCTTATGTTCCCCAAGGTCCCCGAGGCCGACATGCCCACGGATCCCAACGAGGCCCTCTTCAGCCACCAACTGGTCCACATCGAGGCCTACATTGTCCACGTCGACATGGTTCTACGCAATGAGGTGGCCTACAAGCTGACCACCGATACTATCGACGCCCTGGTCGAGTACCACAAGGAGGTTCACTGCGTTGACGTCAAGGCCGCCGTCCGCGACTGGCCCGAGAAGGAGCAGCAGGTCAAGAAGCTGCACGATGACTACGTCCAGGCTATCAACAAGTTTGTCTTCCGCGCCCACGTCTCCGCCCTCGAGGGCCTGGAGGAGGAGGGAGCCGGTGAGCTGCTTTGCGGCAAGAGCGAAGAGGTCAAGACGCAGCTCCTCGGTCTCATGAAGCCCCTGCGTCCCCCGCCTCCTCGCGTCGTCAACCTCGTCCGCCAGCAGCCTACTCTTTTACCCAGCAACTCCCCGGTCCCCATGACTATGTGGTCCCAGCCTGTTGCTCCCCAGCCCATGCCGTCGGTCGATGCCTGGAGGATACTCCCCTCGAGCCCTAGCGTCACCTCGTCCACCTCGCCTGGCTCTAACACAACCCCCGTTTGGGCCAACATGGGCATGAACGAGATCCAGCTCCCCTCCCCCACCCCATCCTTCAGCCAGCCTCACACCACCGCTCCCTTCTTCTTCAGCTCCCCAGAGGCCACCGCCCCGATACCCTCCTTGCCCCTGCCTAGCATGTTCGCCCCATCTCAGTGCGGTGTCGGCATCGGCATGGGCACCATGGGCAGCGGTATGGATGCCATATGCGGTATGGGTCCTATGGGTTCCATGGGACCCATGGGTAGTTTTGGATGGGATCGCTACCAGGAGTTTGCCACCATCATGTGACAAGCACCAAGCCGCCTGATCGCCACGTCTAGGGACAACAGCAGCCCTTCACCGACGACAACTCCTGCTCTAGTGCAAATGTACCACACGAGGCTCCCCTCCATCGAGAGTCCGTGACTATCCACCCAGTTCTCCTCCTTTTGAAGCGGCATAGAACCAGCATCATCATCCACGGGCACTATTGGCGTTTTTTTTCCCTTTTCCTTCCACTGCATCGGGACCGGAGTTTCAATTTCTTGCGACAGATATCCACTCTACGTTTCTCTTTCTTTCTTCTTTTTCGAGCGCGGAAAAACAAGCAACAAAAAAGGAGGGGGCTCAACGGTCCTCTTACCCTTCTGTTTGTTCTTTCCGCTCTTGTTTCAGCGGCAACAAACAGCAAGCGTCTTGTTTTCTATTCCACGCGACTTGACCGCTAGCTCGGTCTATCGGAAGCTCTCCGTTTTTCTGTCTTCTCTCAGCATTACTCCGGGCGGGTATCTGAATGCATTTCACACAGCACGGCAGGGATTTATATACGACATTCAAGCGACTTTGGAACGACACATTTTCACTCTCTTCCTTTTCTTGTTTTTTTCTTTTGCGGGTTTCGTTTTTTTTCGTTTTTTTTTCCTTGGTTCAAAGATAAGAGGATTGCAGCAATGCACTACGCTCGGTTAAGCCGGGACAGAAACCCTCCGGGCTCTCGATTCACCGACCGTTCTTTTTTTCGTCATTCTTTACTTTTTCTCGTTCCGCCCCTCTTTATTCTATTCTAATACGGCAGTTTGAGACTTCTTCTCTACGATAATCTCCTCGGGTGGTGGCCCTTTCTTCTCCTCTGTCGACTCGTGGCCACTACGAAACAAATGTCACTTTCTCCTTGGCTTGGTTCCCGTCCTTTTACGATTAATGACGACCTTTACGAACTTCACGAACGAATTACTACCTACGACTTAATGATACGACTTTCACAAGATTCCCTCGACTTGATGCCGAGATGGACATTCTTGGAAAAAGCTTATCCAACTACCGACTAGGGTTTCATTCGTTCCGGCAATGCCTGGACTGTGTCTTGGCTCGCGACCGGCTTCTCGAGCCTGACACATACCTCGCATGGTGGTCGTCACATCACGGATTCACTATGGGGAACATCTGGTATGCTCCTCAATGTCGACACTGGATTGTCGACGGAACAAAAGCCACAATGTTGAGTCCCCCGAGGGGAACGCACTGAAATTGGAAAACAGAAAGAGAAGGAATGATTATCAACGGGAACTGGGCATCACATATCGTCTGCTGAGCGGACATGATGCGGGTCCCATCTTGTCGTCTGCAATGAGCCTCGTTGCCGGCACTATTTCAAAGGTGCTGCTACTTTCCGACGCATTCGCCCTCTCGAGGCCTACCTGCGTCAATGCCCACCCACCCTGCTAGCCAGGAACGGGCCTGGCCGCCTTGAGGTGATGGCACAGGAAGGGGCCGCCACGCCGGCAATGAAAGCAAATTGGCAACAAAAAAAACATGTAGCTCATCTCACTACACAGCCTTCACCCCTACTGCTTAACTGCAAGTAGGGGCCGGAAGGATCTCTGCTCCGTAAGGTGACATCAACCTTTCCTGCCGTGCAGAATTGGTCGATGCCCACGGAGCAAACATGAAGATGCTGGACTTTTATCAAGTAAGTGCGGGAGTTGCTGTGATTATCCAGCACCCAGGAGGTGTTGGACTTTCTGCACTCTCGCGCGCGAAGGGGGGCCAAAAAACAAGTCGGCCAAGAAAAATATGTCCCTGTCGCGTTGTCTTGTCTTGTCGTCGTTGCAGCAACTAGTTTAATTGAACATGTTGTTCACTCTTGTCTCCCCGCGATGCCTTCATGCCTTGTGTCTTCTAAATCCCAAACTCTAGTGGTTCATATACCTACTAGTAGTCCGTCAATTATGGTTGATAGACTGAAGCTCGGTACTGTTGTTAGTCATACACCCCAAAGTCCAACTATTCTTAGTGTCTAGACCTATTGCGGCACAGTTGCATACGACGATGGTCAGCAAGGAGGAGATAGTGGGCAGACACGCAGACATCAGAACCAACAACAGATATTAATAGATCATGCTGCCATCTCCAGCCACTCTCACATATCAAGAGTAGTAGTTAATGATACTTCTGGCTATAGAAAGAAGGGGGGAATCATGGCAAGTAATATTAAAATATATAAGATGTGAAGGAAATAAAAGAGCTCACCCATGCACAGCACCCCGGACCTCCATCCCCGCCCATCCATTACGCTTTCCAAAGCTCCCTTACCAAAGTGTATCAGCTTCACACCTTGGGACAAGGAACCGTCTCTGGGGTTTCTTTCTTCATGTTTTGTTTTCTTCATGTATGTTGAAAAAAGGGGTGTGTGTAAATACTATGTCTTTGTGTGTGTGTGTGTTTGTTCATAATTTCGTGCCTCTGTTATACAAGAGTGCGTGGTGGCCAGGTTATAAACTTGATGGATAAGGGTGTAAACCAGCGTGTTTCTTTTTCTTTTTAAACTTCACTCCGGTGTTTTTTGTTCCCCTTCTTTCCCCCCGCCGTCTAGTCCTGGTTCACGGTTTGCTAAGAAAAGGGGGTGGGAAGAGCCAAGTTAGTATACGGGTGAGGGGGACTCGGCAGAGTAGAAGTAGAAAGAGGGGGGGGGGGGGGCCAACATACCACAAGCCAGTCCATTCCCTCGTTGACACCGCTGCCGTCAACTGCCGAACAAGCCATGATGCTCCAGTTCCGGTCGCGCAGCTCCCCCAGGCGGAGGGCCTCAGAGATCTCGCCTGCGCCCTTAGCGCCGGGCTGATCCTGCTTGTTGGCAAAGACGAGAAGCGAGGCATCCTTGAGCTCCTCTTCGTTGAGCATGGCGGCTAGCTCGTCCGAGGCCGTCTGCAGACGCTCGATGTCGGTAGAGTCGACGACGAAGATGACGGCGGCCGTGTTGGCGTAGTAGCACCGCCAGTAGGGGCGGATGCTGGTCTGACCACCTAGATCCTACACGCGCGTACGAGAATTTGTCAGCACACATAAAAGCTCCGGGTGCGTGTTTCGGACCGGGGAGGGGCTTATCGGGGGCCGTTGAGGAGAAAGAGACAAAACATACCCAGACGTTGAAATGTAGGTTCTTGTATGTGACTGACTCGACGTTGAAACCAATGGTAGGTATCGTGGTGACGACTTCGCCAACCTGAGTCGTCAAGTTAGTCCTATGTACGGTGAATGCGAGGAAGGGGGCCAGCTGGCTACTACTGACCTTGAGTCTGTAGAGAAGCGTCGTCTTGCCAGCATTGTCCTGGAGGTGGGCGGTTAGCTCTCTAGTCCCATGTAAAAAGGGGTTCCTCGTCTTCTTCTTCCATCGTTTCCATCTCCCTTAGGCAAAACAGCGAAGGGGAGAAGATAGACCAGAAGACGTCGCCTGACATACAAGTCCGAGGATAAGGATGCGAATCTCCTTCTTAGCCCACAGTAGGCTAGACAGCCATGACATGGATGCGCCCATCTTTGATAAAACGGAGAGAAGATCTCCCGTATGTTAGATGCTTTGGAGTATGGTTATTCTGTTCTTCCTCAACCCAGTTTCCTCGCGCTTTTTCTCCGCTTCCTTTCGTCTCTTTTTCAAAACTGACAGAAGGTTTCCCTCTTGTCTTATCTTGTTATTCTTCAGACACGTCGGGAGTCCGAGGTTAGGTGTTGAGTCGAAGGGGCTTCGTTGGTTGGGTTCGTTGTTGCCGAAACGTGTTCTAGTCGTCAATGACCTTTTTCCACCCCGAGGAGACGATGGAAAAGAAGGGGGGGTATACGCTGATAATAATCTATCAAAACGTCGCGCGCGGAAGAAGAAGAATGGGGCGATGCTCTTTTGGAAAGTGGTGATGGTTTCCTTGGTTTGTTGTCGGAACGGTTCTCTTCCCTAGATTAGAAATCGTCTCCTATTTTGGAGACCTCTTCTCTGTCTCTCTTGGCCTGTCTGTCTGTCCTGCTGCAGCGTCGCACCGAGGCCAAGCTTGCATTAAGTCACACCTTTTTTGGGGGTCCATGGGCTGGAGCCTGGGGGAAGAGGGAGGGAACTAAGCTTGGACCCACTTCATCCCTTTTAGCCTATTTAATTGGTCATGGAGTGCGACAGGAATAAATACAATATGCAGCTTGGGAACTACTACGGAGTCAATCGCATGCCGTGTCTTAACCAAGACCCAGCTAGCATTCTGGTATTATTACGTACGAGTAGATATGGGATCTTGTGTGTTGAGTAAGTATGTTGTGATTTTCAGCCTTGGGTGATGTCCTATTTTTTTCGTCCTTTTCTTCGTCTTCTTTTTTGACTGGAATACCTTGCTTGTTGCTTGGCTATTGGGCCGTTTTTTAGCAGGTCACATGTTCTGTCAGAAAGAGTATCGCATGTAGTAGTACTACTAACGAGTCTCCTACGAGACACTCTCCGATATCACATTGATGTACTACTCTTTGAAGGGACGCAGAAAGCAGAATACACTGCTAGTAGAGAGCAATGCAAAACTTTGATCCCTCAAGAAGACGAGAGGGGCAAGGGTCGTCGCCTAAGTTCTTCTGATGCTGCATGGATGACTACGAGTACTGCTACCACTACTACTACCATGCTTATTATGTCATGCACTCACTGCTTTTTTCCTCGTAGCCTGAGGCCAACAAACGTAAAAATGTGCGAAAAATACGCCCCTCAGCCACATCTAATCCTGGTTCGCCCACGCTAGGGCTTGTCGCCCACAGGAAACTGGACTGCCCGGGACCAAAATTCTCAAAGCCTCCTTCTTCCCCTCGTCCAACAATTTCCATTTACCACCAACCCGAACCTCGAGACTCGATACATCCATCAAGATGCCGGTACGCCCTCCACAACTTCTCCAATAACGCTGATACATATCTCCATTCGTCTGGTTTCATGATTTTTCTTGTTTCTTTACCTGTTCTTCTATTCGAGAAGCAGGAAGAAGGAGGGAGGGGCACCACCAAGGGCCAGGACAGGAACGAAGAGTCGCTGCACTCTATGATCCGAGAATGCCATGCCTTCAATACTCTCACGTTGCTTCTCTCCTCCCTCCCTTTCTCTCACTGGATACAAGACATGAGAAACAAAGAAAACACAGATGATGGAAATGCAGTCATCTTCCGCCGATAAACAGAAAAATCATATTGCTAACTAATACATCTTTTCTCTCCCAGAGCCACAAGACGTTCCGCACCAAGCAGAAGCTTGCCAAGGCGCAGAAGCAGAACCGCCCTGTGCCCCAGTGGATTCGCCTCCGTACTGGAAACACCATCCGGTCCGTCCCTTTCCCCTTTCTCCAGATGTATGCATCTCTAGCCGAGCTTTTTTGACTGACTTGAAATTTCCCAAAATACAGCTACAACGCCAAGCGTAGGCATTGGCGCAAGACCCGCATTGGCATCTAAGCCATTCTATCTATTTCTTCCCCTTCTTTCGCTCCCCTCGTCCCTCCCGACCTTTTTTAGTTTGCCTCCCGCCTTCCCCTGCTTGTCTTTGCAGAATGGTTTTCCGACCGACAAACGACGACAAGAGAAGAAAATCGGAATCCCTCGTCAAAAACACATGAAAAAAATGAATCCTTCTCTAGGCTTTCCTCACGGGGGTCGTTCCTTTCATTCCGATTTCCCTAACCAACCCAACCTCCCTTCCGCTCTATCTTGAAAATTTTGGGGGTGTGAAGAGAGAGCGAAGCACTGGGAAGAAACAAGAAGAATCAAGTTGACTATAATGGGATCAGCGAGAGCATGGCTTAGATTTGTTTTTCTAAAGGCGTGGAGGTGTCAATCAACCACAAAACGGAATGGGCATGGATTTTTGTTACAGGAGCTGGCCCTGTCTCTCGACATCTGCATGTCATGGATGTGTCGAAAGGGGGAGGAAAGGATTGAAAAAAAAAGAAGTAAATAACCACTTGACGGCTGCAACTAAACTGCTCGTGACGTACTGTTACCAGTATGCCACGTATATTTGGTGGCATAGCGTAGTCGCGTGGCACATACTACACGCCTAGTATTGGCCATGGGTTCTGCAATAACAGCCACTTGATGAAATGACACCGGGGTACAAAGGGCGACTAATGTCGACATGCATATATGGCGGGACGGCTCGTTAGAGCGAAATGACAAACAGCGTGGTTATAGGTCTGCGGTGTGACGTCTACCATACGAGCAGTCGGTCGTATGCCACACTCCTTGGCACTCCCCATATCACGAACAAGTAGTCCCTTCCAGTCGAGTAGAAATAAGACTTGACTGTTTAATCCATATGTATAAGGACCGAATCCTATTTCCCAATAACCGTGGTAACGCCGAAGAGTAGAAGAACGAAGAAAGAAAGTTGCAGAAACGGCGTGAGTGATTTCATTTCATCAGTACGCAGGCATAATACGCCTAGCGTCCAGTACCGTCAGAAGGCAGCTGGCGAGCTCTTGACTTTTTTGCCATGCTTATCGGTCCTCAGCCCACTCGTTCTCCCTGCGAATCTGCTCCTCCTCCTCGGGTGTAAAGTCGTTGGTGATGTTGAAGGTCTTGCGGATCTCCTCGGGAGACTTGCCCTTGATCATATTAGCAACCGTCTTGCATCCGACATCGAGAAGAGGCTTGATGTCGAGGTAGTTGGCAGCCTATTGTTTTGAATGAGGTTAGCAAAAGGGCATTTCAGCTTTCTTCTATATATAAAAAAACCGAAAACAACGTACAAGGATGATCTCGAAAAGCATCTCTTGGTCGACCTGCATAAACTTCTGGTCCCACTCCTCGATCTCGGTCGTCTTACGGCGAGCGTCCGAATCGTCATCCTGGGACTGCATGGGGTCATTGCGGTGGTGTTCACACCACTCGATGACCTTGCGAAGTACCGACTCATTCACCTGGAGGTTTTACATCATTCAGTCAACCAAGTGCAAACATTGAGAGCAATTTGGTGAGGGCAGAACCAACATTCTGGATTGGAATGGCATTGGTAGCGCTGATGCTGTCACTGCCAAGATCCTCGAGAAGGTTCTTGATAAGCATGGAGCGCTCAGCAACTGGGCGGTCTATTTGTTTTTTAACATATCAGTAACTGCATCGGGTGGGAGGACGGCGGCAGTGCGGCGCAGTGCGGTACGGGTTCTCGACTCACCAACTTCGAGGACAGCGAGATCGCTCGACTGAAGCCATATTTTCTGGGCGGACTGGGACTCGGCCATGGTAGCGGTAATCTTGCTTCTATAAATAAAGCGTGAAATGTGTCAGTCAAACCAGGCCTTGTGCGAGATAGAGGTGGGCCAGTGGGATGGAGAGCAAGGGAGAAGGTGAAGAACGAGATGCACGCTCCCAACGTCGATGGGCGAATGCGGGGGTTTTTTTGAGGGGCGACGATGTAACAGTGACTCAGAGTCGTCAAAGAAGACCTACCGAGTAATGTAGGTGATACAGGATCTAAGAGTCGCGGGAGTTTATGCGGATACCGCGAGTAGATGATCGAGCGCGGGCGTTTGTATGTTGGAAGTTGATGGTGACAAGAATGAAATCGAAGTCAGCGACAACGTGGAGGCGGCGGGCAGTATAGAGAGTGTGGTAGGAGGGCGGTCATCTCAAAGGCGGTGCGTTAGAACTCTAGGTAAGCGCATCCATAGGTGCATGGACCACTGTACGCACCAACGCTTCAACGCCTGTAACGCCTGTAATTTGAGCTTAAAGCCACATCATACATGTACATGTAAGCTGAACTAAGAGACAAAAACATATTATTAGTAACTCGCATGTTCTTCCGATACACGGGGGGGGGGGGGGGGTGTAGCCAATGTCCCTTTTGTTGATGACTGATGTCAGCGACTTGACCCTCAAGAGCCGAGAAATCCTTCTTTGCACCCTTTGACCAAGTTGCTACACCATAAGAGTAGTGGTGTGGAAATCAGCCTGCTTACCCTAAGTACGACCCAGCGCGTCATGTGCGATGACGTGCGTGCTACTACTAGCAATTCCATGGATCTATGTACCATCTCGAAGTACGACAAGACGGAAGAATATTGCCTAAACTGGAATGACTGTCAGCCGACCTTGTAAAGACAACGATTTGGTAGGGTAGTCCGTTCCACCCATTGGAGAGTTGAATTCATCATTGTGCATCACGTGTTGATGGCATATGGACAATGAGCATGGAGCGGGTACAAGCATCACACCTCCTCCAAGAACCGTTAGAGTAGTAAGAATAGTAGTGATAGTAGTAACAAGAGGACATGGAACGAAGATATCAACCCAACGTGGGACACACGGACTTGGCGACGACGCAGAAATGTGCTGTTCCCTCGTTTGCTCTCTTTGTGCGGTAAGTGGGACAAGGCAATCGAATAGGCGGCAAGCTGCAGTGGCGTCCACGCCCGTCCTCTTTGTTGCCATATTCTTTTTGATGGCGTCGTGTCTATACTGGTGGGCATCAGCATCCGGGGTCAACGAACAGTCCAGTAGTACTAATATAATAGCAGCGCTACTCGTGGTAGCAAACGGTTTCCTATACCATCATGGTTGTAGCAGATGGGAATGGTAATATAAGAACACTTTTCCCTCGAAAGATTCAATGGCCAATTTTATCTTGTTTAACACTGAAAATGTAGAAAAAGTCGTAAAACTCGGTCATCTTCTTGTTTACTCGCCGCAATATACTTGAAAATCAGTCTTTCTCTACTGATGGGATGTGGTGTGTTAGAAGTATATCGCACTTCTTCTCTGACAACTAGAGCGATCACATTGACTCATGTTGCCCATAACGTTTCCCGGAGTAACGAAGCGAGCAATTATGCAAGACGGCAAACTCTACTCGTACGATGATGAGTATGAATGTGTCTCCCCATGGTCCATGGTCCACGGTTTATGGAGCAGGGGGTGCATTGTATCCCGCACGCATTCTGTACATGTGTATTGCAACTCACCTGCTACAACTACTCGTAGAGTCTAGTAGTACTCGTAACATTACTGCTTGTGCAGTAGTAGTCAGGCCAACAATATTCCTCAATGAACCAGTGTGCCGGGAAATAATAGACGGGTGGAAGGGATCGTTGATACAGGGCCACTGTCTGGTATCTGTACTCGTGTATATGGAAGTGTATACTTATATAATATATATATATATATGTGTGTGTGTGTGTGTGAGTGTGCGCAGTACGCAGGGCACGGAGACAAACCCGGGCTGTCATGATGATGACTCCGGAAGTTAATGGGCCAGGGCCTACTCATACTACAGTCTACTCGTACGGTCAATAGTATATTACTCAGTATTTACACATACTTGTACTCGTTTCAAGGACTGGCATCCGTAGGTACGGAGCGGCATGGCGTTCCCCCCTGGCGACCATGAGTCCATGACCAATCACCCCCTCTGCCTGCACCCCTGGGAAGCTCCAGGTCACTATGCGCAGTGCGCACTAAGGCTCCAAATTGGGGCTGACTATGGGCGAGTCTGAGTCCTCGGGTGCCGCCGACTGTCGCTATCGCTATCGCTGTCGCTGTCGTTGTCGCTGTCGTTGTCGCTGTCGTTGTCGCTGTCGTTGTCGCTGTCGCTGTCGCTGTCGGGCCATTGTCATCAAAGGAACCTAAAAGACGGCACTAGAAAAGACAGTAATGGCAATTTGTAAACCGTGGAAGGGAACAGTCCACGTCAACTTCCATGTAAATTCTATCCCGTTTTCAGCCAGGGTCACTGTGTCATTGCCTCTAACATACCACTGTATTAATCGTGAGTGGCATGTGTCCTGCCAAATTGACACGTGGGGTCGTAGCTGCATCACACGGTGCCTCCGTCTTCAGGTGATGGATGTCTGTCCCTGGCGCGCGGGTGGTGCCATAGCCTAGGCATTTAAGCAGTGATGATCGTGCGGAGCCCACCATCACCCTGGACGGGCTGATGGGGTACGACGAGGGTCAGCACTAATTTCACCGCGATCTGCTAGGAACATGAAAATGCGGCATGTGGTGAGGTGGCATGGCATGTGGACGTTGACAGGACCGGAGGCGGAAGGGCATAGCAGAGACATGATAGACATGATAATACAGGACTAAACTCAGACATGACAGACCGGGCGGCATGGAGATTCGGATTCCTACAAGCACGAATAGTATTAATACTCGTACTTGTATTTCGGATGCAGGTAATACTCCGTACTAATAACAGTCATAAACCAACACGCCGATAGCATCAATGTTATCAGTACATACAACTCCAATAATACTCGTCCCGGCCATCCGGTGACTTTTGGAAACTTGGTCAGACCATACCCGGCAAATTACATCTTGACCTTGTAATACTACTAGTAATATCCAGACTTGTACGCCTTGCCGATACTCGTACTGCACGTAATTAACCACCCTGCACTTTCTGCTAGCCTTGCCTCGATCCCGGTCCTAAGTCAAAGTCCTGACTTTTTGGGACTGGCAGTCCATGACTCCATTATTATTAACACACAAGCCCTTTTTTCCCTTCTTCCCTATTTCTTTCCATCATTTTCCCCTCTCTCTCCTCCTCCTTCCTTCTGGATGCATCCTGTTCTTGTCTAGCCTTTGCTTGCCTTGTCGTGTCCGTCATTCAAGTTTTTCTTCTCTCCTTAATAAGACATCCTCTGTCTACTACTACTGCCTACTGATAATAATAATACTCAATCGAGTCATTTCGTGTGTGCCGCTTACGCCCCATCTCCCTTCGTCACGAAGCTTCCCTGCCACCCACCACTACGACTCACCACTCCTGTTCGTGTCGACATCTGTCGCAACGAGCGCAACACCCTCCCTTTACGCGACAGGCGCGACAGACCAATATCTACGCGACTCCCGAACCGACTTGATCCTTTACACGACACCACGTCGCATACGTTCTTGGCGCTCGCCTTGCCCCTTCTCTTGCCAGATATATACAGAGCTGCTAATGCGCCCACCCTGTTCTGGGGCGTATCGTCTGCCGGTTCAGTCCATGCTCTCAGCCCCGCCCCTGGCATAGGGAGCGCCGCACATGCAAGATGTGGGAGCGCCGCACATATCTGCTCCTGATCCTCGTCCGGTTGTGGTTCGCCTTGTCACCAAGCTATCTACATCCCGATGAGAACTTCCAAGGCCCTGAGGTCATTGCTGGTATGAATCCCGAAGCTCCTCATCGATTGCTGGAGAAGATAGACGTCCGGCAAAGCTAACACATGTACACCACCAACAATAGGCGAGATCTTCAGCTACCCTGTCCGCCGAACATGGGAATTTACAAGCGAGAATCCTATTCGGAGTGTCTTCCCTCTGTGGCCCGTCTATGGCCTGCCCATGCTCCTGCTACGGTGGCTGTGGATAGGCAACGGGAACGATGGCGAGATCACACCCATAGTTGTCTTCTGGACCCTTCGCGTCCTCATGTTCCTCATCAGTTTCGTGCTCGAGGACTGGGCTCTGCACGAGCTGATCCCCTCCCCGAGGCACCGCCGCGTTGCCGTCCTGCTTGTTGCTTCATCATATGTCACCTGGACCTACCAGACGCACACCTTTTCTAACTCGGTCGAGACACTGGTCGTGGCATGGAGTATGGTCCTGATCCAGCGCATAGTAGACACACGGGTAAGTACCTGACCTCTTGTTCTTTGCCCCGCCCCCTCCACCTCCATCTTATCTGATTAGACCGAGTTGGGGTGTGCCATACCCTCGACCTTCAGACTGACGCGTGGGGCAATAGCAACGATCTTCACTCTTGTCCTCAGCAGTTCTTGGGACTGTCGGCATATTTGGCCTCTTCAACCGTATCACCTTTCCGGCTTTTTTGGTCATCCCCGGGTTCCGCCTGCTTGCCCACTTCTGGCAAAAGTATGTCAAGAACCGAATCATTGCTACTGTTATTCGTTCCCTCAAACTCGTCCCACAGATAAACTAACATGTCATGTCCAACACAGGCCTCTATCATTCGTTGCTTTAGCTTCGGCAGCGCTGGTAACGACCGTAGTTGCCATAGCACTCGACACTGCCTTTTACACTCCCGAGTCCATAACTTGGCTTGACCTAATCCAGCGGCCTGTCATCACGCCTCTCAACAATTTCCTATACAATTCGAATACGGAAAACCTTGCCCAACATGGTATCCACCCGTGGTATCAGCATCTGCTGGCAAACATGCCCCTGCTACTTGGTCCTGCCGTCTTCCTGCGACCGCACGCCTCGCTGAGGCTTTACTCCGCCCTTTCTGGAATTGCCGTGCTCTCGATCTTCCAGCACCAGGAAGCGCGGTTCCTTCTGCCAACTGTGCCTCTCATTCTGTCTTCGGTGCACCTCCCCAAGAACAAGAGGACCTTGCGTGTGTGGTCCGCGGCCTGGGTCATCTTCAATGTCTTCTTCGGTGTGTTGACGGGCGTCTACCACCAGGGGGGAATAGTCCCCGGCCAGGTCTTCATGAGCCAACAGCCCGACGCCACCACAGCCATCTGGTGGAAGACTTACACGCCTCCCATCTGGCTCCTGAACGGAAAGAACGAGGTCCTCCGTACGCACGATGTTATGGGGATGAAGGGAGAAAGCCTCTACGATGAGCTCTACAAGCTAGCCACGTGCGATATTCCCGCCGATAGGCGGAACAAGGAATACCTCAAAGAGAAGAACGGAACCTACCTCATCGCCCCTGCATCGGCGACGTGGCTAGATCCCTATCTCCCGAACAAGGGTCTCGACGGCCTTCGGTTTCGCGAGGTGTGGCGACATCGTCAACATCTAAACCTCGACGATTTAGACTGGGGCGAGGACGGCGTTTTTAACACTCTATCAAGAGTTATTGGTCGGAGAGGGTTAGTTGCTTGGAGAGTCACGAAAAGTTGTTGAGGCAGGGGGTTGTTTCTTTTTGTTAGCGAATACTTTGATGAGACAATAGCACATGATAGATTTTGAGCAACATGCATTCACGGAAAAGGGCACGGAGTTGAGGAAATACAAATCACGATGGAGGTGTTTTCGTTTGTTTAAAGCGCAATGTCTTCTCTCGTGTTGATTAAACTACAAGCCTTATACTCCGTGAGCCCTAGTAGAACTAAATCCCTTTGGGCGGAGCTATGTAATACGGCGTCCATCCCCTCAACATGAAAAGAGACCGACGCCCCTTTGTTGAGCAAGCGACCCGCTTAGTACAGGCGGCGGGGAGGAGACATGGAGGCCTTGATGACGAGGCTTCCAACGTTCTGCCAGCCCTTCTTGAGGAGGGAGACGAGGTAGTTGATGGCCAGCATGATGTTGGCGGTGAGCTGCTCCTGCTCCATCTCAACGTTGCCGACGGCGACGCCCATGCAGAGAACCTTCTTGAGCTGGAACTTGATAGTGGACTTGACCTCGGTGATCTTGCCGGAGAGGTCGTCGGCTTGGGAGACCGGGGTGGGGAACTTGCCAGCTGCCAGGATGGTTAGTATTTATTTTTCTTTAAACTTGACAAGATGATCAAGTTTGGAGAATGAGGTGGGGCGTTAGTTGGTAACTTACCCTTGGACAGACCGGGACCGAGGAGACGGGGGATCTGCTTGATGAGAGCTTCGGAAGCAATGAAGGCGTCGTACTTGCGCGCAAGCTTCTTGATGAGCTTCTTGTTCTTGTTGAGCTTCTTCAGGTCATCGGAGGACATGGCGTCGACACCGCCGTGCTTAGCACGGTCGAGATCGTGCTGGTCACCAAGGATGCAGATAGCCATGTTGGGGCGGGGCACCGAGGGGAGGCGGATGGTGCCGGAGAAACGCTTGTCACGCTGGGGGTCATAGTTCTTCAGGCCGATCTGGAGCTCGACCGTCTCAAGAAAATTGCGCTTCTTGGTCTCGTTGGAGTACTCCAAGAGCTCGCCGACTTGCGTCCGGACATTAGCTAGAAGAGGGGGAGGACGTGTTAGCGCAAATATTTATTTTGGTGTTCTGTTGTCGACATGATGAATTGGGAGAGGGTTCTGTTATTCCTCTCCGCTTGATGGAACTGACAGTCCTCTGTGTATACTTACCGACTGTGATCTTCGACATGGTGGCAGTCTCCCAATAGACAATTTTACAAATCTAATGGTGGTCAGGACGATGGTTGTTCGGTAAAGGGTTTCGTGTGGGCGGGACGATTTGCATTTTGGAACTTTTTTTTTTGGCGTGGGGGCGCCGGTCGTTTGGTGGGCGATCGGCCCCACAGGGCAAAATTTCCTCACGTGACTATGCACGTGACTCGTCTTTATCCGCGATGAGAGAAAGAGGACGTCTGTCTGGTGCATGTACGAAGATGGAATAATGTTGGATTATATAGATTGGCAGGCGGATATCGAGTATTGTTTACGGTACTAAAGATTCCTAGCATCAATACTTTTCTTGGCTTTTGTTCGTGTTAAAAGTGGCCGGCTCTGGTAAAACTTGGCCCAGCGCGAACTTGGGCGTGTAAATTACCCGTTGCAGTACGAATCAAGCCGTGTGCATCTTCAGTCCAACATTGAGGTCACCCTGTGGGAAGACGAAATGGAAGATCAACGCGTCTTGGAGATTTCTAACCTCCTAGAAAATCAAGACCAGACGATTTCATGGATAGAAAGCCAGTCTTCCGAGATCCAAGCAAAGTAAGTCTTTCTTTTCTCTAAAGTCTCTTTGGTTTATAAAGACTTTTTCCACCAACTAAAACGACGGGTAGACATGCTGAGACAGGGATCTTGCGGCTCTTGGGGGAAGCCGGCCAGCCCAAATCTTCATCTGGAAATGCCTGTGTGAGACTCTGCAGTTTTGTGGAGCGCTGCTCTAAGGCGAAGTCGCAGTCACTGCGTGACTGGGCATTCTCGCGAGATGTGACAGAGAAGCTCTTCACCTTTTATACTGAGTGGAATGAGTCGGACCAACATCGTTCCATGAAACTCGTTCTGGATCTTATTGTGAAACTCATGAAGAAGAACTCCAAACCCGAAACGGCTGTCGAGACGGAGAGAGAGCTCCTAAAGACGCTTGTCTCCATCGTCGTGGGCACCTCGACCAAGCCTGTCGTCAAGTCAGCCATCAAGATCATTGACCACTTCCTAACCAAGGGAGTTTTCAATATTGATGACTTGAGGGTCACCTACATCACTTGCCGACCTGAGGCGGGTTCCAGCAATGATGAATATGAGGTCTGGCGAAAGTTCTTCGTCGAGCTCTTCCAGTGGATGCGTATACACTTCATCTGTCCCACGGCCGGTCGGTGTATAGTTCTGCTCTATCGTACTATTAGAGCGCGTGACTCTGCTCAGTACCCAGAGCTACAGGTTGAGACGTGGAATCAGTGGCTACTTGACTTCCTCTCGGAAAACCCATCTCTTCTAGAGTCTGTCAAGAACTATGTGCTACTTCCCCTTTTCAAGGCCGACCGGTCTGAAGCCCTAAGATACCTTCACATGGCGAGCAACCAGAAAGTCATTGGCACAACCATGGATCTGGAAATGGACATGACTATCCTCCTTCAGCTGACGGCTCTGGAAACGGGGAAGCGCGTTGGCCTTGTCGAGGAGCCAGCGCTGAGCAAGGATGAGGAGGGCAGGTCTGGAGACGATACATCCGCTATTATACTCGACGAGAAGATTCTGACAAGGGTCTTGTCCCACCCTGATCATGAGGTCCGGTCCTTGGCCCTTTCCCTGCTCATATCGTCGCCGTCAACCACCAGACCTTACTCCCTGAGCGCCTTCAGCCTGCTGCAGAAGCACTTGGGTGCATACTTCGCAGACACGGACGCAAAGTTCCGAGTCGATGTTGTGACCAAAGCTCGTGATATGTTCAAGCGAGTCAGGGGCTCTATATGTGTCCTAAAGCGCAGCATACCGCGAGCGAGAGCAAAGGACCGGAAAATGAATACAGCCATGGGTGAGTTTGAGAGGTCCAGCGAACAGCCGGTGGTGTATCAGAACAACTTGATATCCATGCCGGAAGCCCAGCTGGTAAACTGTCTCGAGTACCACGAGAAGTTCCTACGTTGGTATATCGAGTTCCTCTGCGGAGGGCTGACACCGACTGCTTCGTACCAGCGACACGTCGGCTCCTTGAAGGCCCTCTCTTCCATTGTACGTATGGAAGGTCAGGCTTCGAAGACGTGGGAGACGGCAGATGATCAGGAGCTTCTATACGATCTATTTGATGAAACTTGGATGCGGGCTTTATTCGACCTGACCATGGATCCCTTCGACGATGTGCGAGACATGTCGGCAGCGGCGCTGAGGGAAATCCTGAGCAGCGCAAAGTACCGCCGGTTTACCCTAAAGGTCCCCGGAAGCACTGTATCCTCCTCATTGGAACTTCGAGACCTCATGAACCGTTCAAAAGCGCTAGCCGGACGAACAGCCAGGGCCGACCACGCAGATGGAGCCGCCAGGGGCGCGCAGTTGGTATACAAATTTTTGGCCAGCGGCGACGAACGGCTGTCCTTCTTGTCTGATTTAGTGGAACAGCTTGAGGGGAAGCTCGCCGTGGCCCAGAAAGACCTTGGACGCGCTGTCCTGGAGGCACCGGTGCATGGAGACTTTGCTGCTCTGCGATACATTTGGCAGGTTGCCTCGGAGACCAAGTTCGAGCAGGCTGAACTGGACTCCGTTAGGGGGCTGCAGTTGAGAATCATAGACTGCTGCAGCAGAGTCTGGAATTCAGTCAAGAGTATTCTCTGCGATGACTCGCCCGAGGGCCACTTGCCCCAAGAGCTTGAGGAGGTTGACGGAATTAACACTAAGGACGTGCTGAGCTACAGCTTCCGTTCGGTACACGAATCTAGGTGAGCCAAGACAGGAAGGTAAAACATCCAGAAGCAAAATTGATTGCTGACCATTTACACTAAAACTAGTAACCTTATGCGGACCGTAGTCCTGACAATCCGCAACAAAGATATGGAAGGGGTGATAAGCCCGTCATCCGCTTCTTTTGCGAAGATTGGAAACCTATCTTTCAACCAGCTGTCGACGCTCAGACATCGTGGCGCTTTCACAACAGTCTCGACCACTTTCGCGACTTGCTGCCAGCAGACGAAGTATCTGGGATTCGATGGGGCTTCAAGGGGCGATGGCCTCCTGGAGGAATGGTACAAGGTAAGTAAAGAAACGTATGGTACTGAAGTCAGCAGCTGGGACATCGCTTACAAGAAACCCTAACGTCTAGGGCACAATGGAAGCAATCTTCGCTCAGGTCTATACGACACGCAGATCTGCTGGAATCCCATCCCTGATGACAGGCATTCTGTCGGCCAACGCCCCCAACCCTTCGTTTGAGCAGGTTATGGAGAAGTTGATGGAGATTGCCAGCATGGAGGCGCGTGTACGCGAGAAGGATGGGACCAACCTGCCGCAGGTGCACGCGTACAACTGCCTCAAAGACATCTTCAAGAACTCGCTCCTCACGTCAATGGGAAACAAGTCGGACAAGTACATTCCGCAATGCCTGGAACTTGCGGCCAACGGGCTCAAGTGTGAGGTCTGGGCGATCCGCAACTGCGGCCTTATCCTCCTCCGAAGCCTGATTGACTGCCTGTTCGGGTCTAACGAGAGCAAGTCCATGATCGAGGCAGGCTGGGACGGCAAGACAAACCGGATCGCCTACCATAGGTATCCCACCATTCCCGGGGTTCTTGTCAATCTCCTAAAGTCCGGCCACCGGATGATGTCTGCGACTGCCGCGGACCCAGCTGGAGCCGAGTCTGTGTTCCCCTCTCTAGACATTGTGCGTCGAGCAGGCCCGCCGGACCTCCTTCGCGATGAACTCCAGGTCCACATCGCCAAGTATTTGTCTAGTCCTGTGTGGCATGTTCGCGAAATGGCTGCCCGGACCTTGTGCTCCTGTCTCCTGCACCAGCAATGGCTCGGTGTCATCAAAGGGATATTGCAAGACGCTATAAACGACACGACACAGAATTCAAAAAACCACGTGCATGGTGTGCTTCTGGTCCTCAAGTTTGTGATTGAGAGGCTTGGTGAGGTTGGACTGGGCTGGCTTATCAGTAAGTGTTTTGTTTACTCAGAGAAGAAGAAGGGGAAAAAAAAGCTGATATCTTTTTCTCTAAGATAACCTGACAGACCTTGTCTCTATGCTGAAGGACAGCAAGGTTGACGAAAAGTACGGATACTGTCCGGATATCCTGGCAGCCTACCTCGAGGTAGTCAACAGTATTTCAGCATTGAGTCTACGGCAGTCACTCCCCGTTGAGCGCATCGATGTGACGCTACCCCAGAGGTGTGGCAGCGCACTGCTGAAGATCCAGACAGCCACATACCGGATCTACACGGCGATTGGGAGCATGACTCCCGTTGAGGAGCTCCGAGCCATCTTCCTAGGCGGGGATCTTGGTGCCGATACCATGGCCACAGCACTCGAGTTGCTTGCTAAGATTTGGACAGCCTCGACAACGCCCGATGAATTGGTTCCCGAGCTGTGCAGCTTCTACATGGACCTTTGCTGTGGTACCGCCCTGAGTGAGCCAAGGACTGTGGCAGTTGAGAACCTCGCCAGCATTATAGAATGCAGGTTGGCAAAGGGGGAGTTTGACGATGTAGACTTCTCTCGCCTCACACAACTCTGGGCGACGCTTCCATTCAGTCCTGTGAACCCCTCACTGTCGAATGCTGTACTACGCATCAGCGGATGCGTGACGGCTATTCTACAGCGTTCTCAAAAGTTGCCCGCTTCTGGTCTACAAGGGTGGGGTCTGATGCTGGCCGACGCAGGTCAAGACGACAAGGTTCGTTCGAACCCTCCGCCCCTCCTGTTTCTCTCTCCAATCTAGATTACTTGGAATGACTCTCCAATAGGGCTTTGACACACGTTTTTCTGCTGCCGGATCACTGCGGACATTCTTCGCCGCAACAGGTACCTCGTGTACGACGGAAGAGTACCTCCCCGTCCTTATGGCCCTTTACGACGCTCTCAACGATGACGACGATGAGGTTCGCGACGAGGCCGCCGCCGCGGTCAAGAGCCTGATCGGTGACGCCCTCACCCCTCTCGAGGCCTCAGACCGCCTTGTAACCTGGTTAACAGCAACGTTTGCATCGTCTGATGCTATGAGGGAGACTGTCGTCGCCAGGCTCACAGGCGCCAGGAGCACCACGACCCTCGCCTGGAAACCTGCCAGTGCGCAGCTCGATGATGCCCTGACTGTCGACGACTCCCTGTTCGCCGTTGAGGAGCAAAACCTCTTTATCGACGAGGTCAGGGAGGCCAAGCGCTGGACGTCAGCTTTGGTGTCTATGGACTGGTCGTCGTCGTCGTCACCGCTGCTCCTCAAAAAGCTCGACTCCTGGCTCCAGGAGGGCCTAGTCCGCCTGCAGAAACTACTAGAGGATGGCTATGACAAGGGATATGGTCCCTCGGGATGGGCATCGATCCCTCAGCCTTTTGCTGTGTGCTCTCTGGTGCTTCTTGGCTCCGTGACCATGGTGACTGCCGGCCATGCCACTTTAGAACTGCGCAATGCCATCGACCGTGTCAGCCAAGCCATGCGCTCCCCTAACAACTATCTCAACATATCGGGGCTTCTTGTTCAACATTTTAAGACCTTACATTTGGGCTAGGGAAAATTGAAACTAGGGGGGGACAATCATATATATGGCTGAATCAATGAGTTCGCATACTAATTTATTGGTTGATATAAAAAAATAGAATATATGCATCTGTTGTATTTGGACGGCAAAAAATGATGAAAGGAGTCAGTTGCCCTATGAGCCCCCCCCCCCCCCCCCCCCCCCCCCCCCCCCCCCCCCCCAAAAAAAAAAAAACCCCCCCGAAAACGAAAACGTCCGCATATATTATATCGTGTCAATACGAAGCCGAGTTGGCGAATTAAGACTTGGCCGACCGTTTACCCGTCAGGTTTGACGACGAACTGTCGCTCTCTCCACCAAATTTTCCGCCAGCCTTAAGCCTTGTGTTTTCAGTCTGCAATTCGCCAACTCGCGTTTCGAGAAGCTGCACCTTCTTCAGGGCGATATCGCGCTCGGCCCTAGCCTTATTGAGCATAAGCTTGAGGTCGTTGGCCCGTTCACGCTCTTCCGCCTTCTTCCTACGCTGCTCGGCCTTGCGCTCGGCCTGCTCTCGCCTCTGCTCAAGTTTCTTCACCTGGTTTCTGTACTTGGCTTCTTGTTTGGCAATCTCCCTTTCGTGCTTCTCCCGGGACTTTGCCAGCGCAGCGGCCTCCTTCTCCTTGCCAACTAGAAGCTTGCCCTCCCGCTCCTCGGCTATCTTGGCTACCTTTGCGTCTAGTCTCTGGAGGCGCTCCTCTAGCCGCCTGAGCTCCTTGTGTTGGTTGCTGTTGTGCTCCTTGAGCTTGCCCTCGGATCTCATGTCGGAGACGGATATCGGTTGGCTCTTGGAGCCCTGGTATGACGCTTGACTGCCCTCCAAGGCCGATGCGAAGCTGTTTATAGACGAAGTTTCACTGCTGGTGAGGGATTCGCTTTCGGAATCATCCTTGTCTTCTTCCTCCTCGGCCCCGGAAAACTGCCACTTCAAGCCGCCGGAAACGACTGAGCTGGCAGCCCCGAAGGCGCCAGTGACCATCCCCCAAAGGCCCCAGGATTCATCCTCTTGCTCAACAGCTGCAGCAGTTTGCTCCTCGTCTATTTTGGTCGTGGTATTCTTGGCATCATGAGAAGAAACTTTAGGAGCAGCGGGCGCGGCAGTAGCAGTAGCGGTGTCTTGCTTAGCCGCTGGTGCTTCATCCGGTTTATTGCCTGATCTGCGGCGTGCCCAGGTTAGAAACTTCCCAGCATCGTTAACAATCCCCGGCGGTGTTCCTTTTTCAATCATGAAGCGCGGTACCGAGCCACCAGGGTCGCTCCTAGTCACCATGAGCCACTCTATAGCAACCGGAGGCTCGCTCTTGTCGTTCCCGGCATCGGAGGCAGAGCTCTTGAGATCGGGATCTGGCCCTGGTTGTTTCCCCTGAAGTAGATTCGGCGTCGAAAGCGAGTTTTTATCGGACGGGTTTATAGTCGGGACCTCCCTAATCAGTTCGATAGATTCGTATTGGCCCCGGATGATACCTTGGCGCGGACGGGCATCGTTATGAGTGCATGGTTTCGATACGATGATGTACTGCCTCAGGGGGCGGGGAAAGTTATATGCAGTTGTAGAACGCTCGGAAGTAAGAAGAAGGGTGATGAAATCTCGCGGTGCCGTAGGTCCTGGGAATTGGGCAGACAGTTGGAAAACTGTGAAGATCATGCCAAAGTTAGCTTCCAATAACAGGTCTTCTTGTCGGGCGAGTTGTGGGAAAGCATACCATTTACATTCCCGGCATTCGGCACGTTACGATGCTCAACCCTCCTGTCAGCTCCGATGCCGCGTATGGCGCCGCTTCCTGGGCCTTTCTGGACCTTGATGCTTTCTATAAACTCGTTGTCCAGAGCGTCGCGCCACTGCTCAAAGGTCAAGTCTTGGTGAGTGCTCCGGCGAGCAAACCAGGCGCCACGTCCATCCTTGGATGCCAGCTTGTAGACCTGGACATTCAGAGGATTCTCGCGCGCATTGACCTTGATCTCCTTCCAATCGCTTTGCAACTCGCGTGATTTTTCGATGGCTTCTTGTGTAGGCCATTGAAGCCGAGAGGTCCTATCTGAAAACTGGCCCAAGTTGGGCTTTGGAGCATTGGGCTCTGTCGATTTAGACTCTGGGCCTTCGGATGTTGCGGACGATGACGTCGCGGATGGGATGGAGTCGGCAGTGATGTGAGCTTCTGTCACCACCTCGTCCAGGAAGGCTCCAAGTTCATGATGGGGCACATCTTCCCAATCGATGGGACCGAGGGAGCGGAAGGCTTCTTGCCGGCCGCCCATCCCTCCAAGAGAGAAAAGAAATTGAGATGATTGGAGAAAAAAATACCGCCGTGACTTCCAATAGAGATACACGGCCAAATGGTCGCACCGGGCTCGGACGGCCGCACACAAAATATTGTACAAGGAAGAGAAATACAAAGTGTGCAAAACAGACGGGATGGGCAGTCTGATGAGGAAGCTTTTCTGAGAGTTATTCAGATTTGATGTCGTTGACAGCTTGTCCCGGAAAACCAGACTACTCGTACCACTCGGAACCCAGAGCGGGCAGGACCAATTGACGTCAGTATTCGGGGTCTCGATGGCTGTTGCCCATGGTGGGCCGGCCACTTTACTTGTACATTCGTAATGCTCATAGCGCTTGTAGGAGTACGCCACAGTGAGGCGCTGAACCGCCACGTTATTTGCACCGCCACAGATAGAGGGATTGATGTCATGTGGCGTCATAGAGTCAGTATTACTCGTACATGCAAGTGCAGTTAGGCGGTAGATTTAATGGAAATATTTCCTTGCAGTATGAGTACCGTCTCTTTCTTAAAATGGTAGGATAAATCCGACCGCAAGGCAGCTACATTCGGAGGAACAATTGATGACGAATTGTTATCTACACATCTTTGAATACGGCGCTCCCCTCGGCCAACCCTACGTCTGAGGGTGGCTCCAGTAGCCCATCTATCTTGACTTCTCTACTCTGAGCTACGGGGCAAGACAGCCGAAGTGTCTATTGCTGCATCTGACTACTGCACACAATCACGTACCAAGAGGCTGTAGGTGAGGCATGGAGTAGGCATATGTAAAGAACAATCATTGTACTCTGAACAGGTTGGGCGCTCCGATGCATCGACGCATCAAGAGACCAAGCCATGTGATTGATGGAAACCGAATTTAACCGCCTGGGTGGGTATCTACAACGAGGTAGCGGATGAATTACCCCGTAACCCCGTAACGGGCGAGCGGCCGATTAGCGGTCATACATGTCCACATTGCAACAAGGGTGAGCTACATGTAGATGGGGTTGTGCCGCCGGTCTAGAACACGGCTGGGTCACCGACACTTTTGATAGAAATGACGCTCTCAGAAATGATCGCTATGAGAGCATTCGGGGTCAACCAGTTGAAGTAGACGACTATCGAGCCCGTACCTGGTGATTGAATGAACCGTGCGGAGTAAATATTCGGGGATACTAGTAGCAGAACCGACCGCTTCCCCGCAATGTCTTTTAGTGTGTGGGATCAATGTTGTGGAGGTGGGGCCCCGCCCCCAAAGTTGAAAGCAGGGAAGCCTTTGGGCAAGGTGCGGGCAGGTGCACGAGGTAGCAGCCTGGTGGATGTCTTATAGTACCGGCCGAACCACTTAGATATGCCGTTTCAAGGGAGGAGCGACCGGCCGAACCACTTAGATATGCCGTTGCAAGGGAGGAGCGACCAAAAACGGCAAGGGGTCTCCTTCCCTCCCAACAATCACCATAAATCTATCACGACATGCTATTGCTTCCCGCTTCTAACCCTGCCCACTCGCTTATACCTACTTGCGGTTTTTAGACTGCCGTTGTAATTAGGCTAAATGACTGCCATGTTGGAGAGATCTTCATATACTTGGAGTCTCTCTTCTGGCTTCTTGGCATTCACTTTATCCTCGCCGCTACTTCCCCCCCGCATTCCCTCTCCCGTTTTACCAGATTGGATGACTTTGATCACTGGTACCTATATCCGTGGGTGATTCATACTCAGACCATGTCTTGCTTGTGCTTCCTCAACTTTGACCCGGGACATTTAGACCCTTGGATCCCCTTCCATTGTCTCCTCAACTTTCACCCTCCCCTCATCTTCTCCTCTACCCTCGTTTCTAGCATCAGCTGCTCACCATGGGTTTGAACCAAATCTTCAAGAGGCCCGACAAGGCGGCGACGGTGGAGACTCAGAGGGAGGCTCCCACTTTCGAAAAGGTTATCTGGTACCGTGATCCCGGCCTGCGTCTCCTGTACTGGCATTGCTTTGTGCTCTGTTGGTCCTCAGCCACGTCGGGCTACGATGGGTATGTTTTCTTGATGACGATTGACCTGGCGGCACGCTCTGTCTTTCTTCTGCTAACTTGGCGTGTCTAGCATGTTTTTCAACTCAGTTCAGAATTTTGATTCTTGGGTGAGCTTCTTTGACGAGCCTGACGGTACTCGTCTCGGTCTTCTGGGGGCCTCCTACCAGATCGCCTCCGTCGTCTCCATCCCCGTCGTGCCCTACATCGCCGATCGCTGGGGCCGCAAGGTGTCCATTGTCATTGGTTTCATCATCATGATTGTCGGAGCCGTCCTCCAAGGCTCTGCTCAGGAGTTTGGTGCCTTTATTGGCGGCCGTGTCCTCCTCGGCTTTGGTTACCCCTTTACCCAGCTGGCTTCGCCTATGCTTCTTGCCGAAATCGCTCACCCCCAGCATCGCGCCCGTATGACCACTGTCTACAATTGCTTGTGGAATGGTGGTGCCTTCATTGTTGCTTGGGTTGCATTCGGTACCGACTTTCTCGGTAATGACTGGTCGTGGCGTATTCCTGCTATCCTCCAGGGCGCCCCCTCCTTCTTCCAGCTCCTCGTGATTTGGTGTATGTCATATCCATATTTACACTGTCTTCGCATCTGAGCCTGTTCGTTTTCTTTTTTTCTTTTTGCGGCATTCGCTGACCTGCATGCCTCCTAGGGGTCCCTGAATCTCCCCGGTACCTCATCTACCATGACCGCCATGAGGAGGCACTCAACATGCTGGCCAAGTACCACGCCAACGGCGACGCTGGGAACCCGACAGTACAGTTCGAGTACCATGAAATTAGTGAGACTATCAAGCTCGAGAAGGCCGTCAGCAAGAGCTCGAGCTATCTCGATTTCTTCCGTACAAAGGGCAACCGCTACCGCCTCATGATCCTTATCTCCCTCGGCTTCTTCTCCCAGTGGTCCGGGAATGCCATCGTCTCCAACTACAGCGCCAAGGTTTACGAGTCGGTCGGCGTCACGCACTCGACCGCGAAGCTTGGTCTCAGTGCCGGTCAAATGTCCATGTCGTGCATCGTTGCCCTCTTCTTCGCCACTAAGGTTGACCAGTGGGGCCGCCGTCCTATCTTTCTCATATCCACTGCCAGCATGTTCGTCTGCCTCGTATTCTGGACGCTCTGCTTCGCCCTCTACGAGGTCTACGACATGCCCGGTGCTGATACGGGCGTCATATTCCTCATATGGCTCTTCAGCTTCGCATACGCCATCGCCTGGTCCGGCTTGCTCATCGCCTATGCTGTCGAGATCCTGCCCTACACCTTGCGCGCCAAGGGTCTTATGGTTGTCAATCTCTGCGTCCAGGCTGCCCTAGCTCTTAACAATCAGGCCAACCCTGTCGCATTTGACTATTGGGCCGGAGAGACCTGGAAGCTCTATATTATCTATGTTGTAAGTGGCGGCAGTATTCTATCACTGCATTTGAAAGCAAGAGTTGACAAAAAACGTAACAGGCATGGGTTCTCTTCGAGCTGTTCTTCGTCTTCTGGAAGTACGTGGAGACTAAGGGCCCTACCCTTGAAGAGCTCGCCAAGATCATTGATGGCCCCGACGCCCCGGTGGCATCGATTAATATCGGGAAGCTTGAATATGAACATGATGAGAAGAAGGCCGAGATTGAGGTGCATCACGATGGCGAACACAAGACGTTTGCTTGAAACGTCCGTGATGAGAAGGAATGAATCTTTTTTATGCCGTTCAACTAACAATGGGAACACAGGCCAACAGGAAAAGGCAACGTGCGATGCTATACTTAGATATATATATATAGTCTGATTGGAAGTGTAAAGCTCTGGATTTACAGGCCCTTGTGGGCCCCCTGTTCATCGCCTGGTATGCAAATGACCAACTGTAAAGAGAGGGGGGGGGGTAGATTACAAACGTTTTTCTTTTTCTTTTTCACTCACCCAAACGAAATACCCAAAATAATGATGCTAGCTGACTGAGAGGAGAGAGACAGGAAGGGAAGCTTGTCAGGGTAGAAGAACACAAAAGTCATGAGTCGTCTCATACTAGGAAAAGCCCCGTCTCTAGTCGTAATACTGTGACCCGGACTTACTCTGTGCCACAACGTGGGCATAATCAGTCTTGCAGCTACCGCAGTGCTTAGCCCTCCACCCATCGAGAGCCTCCCTCTTGTCAGATGGCATAGACCTGAAGAAGGAGTGCATGGATGACATGGTAGCGGCCGTGGAAGTGGAAGTGTCTTTGTTGCTTCCCACAGAAGAGGCGGATGATGAGGACTCGGTCTCGCGCATGACATCGCCCAGGTCCTCGCAGAGGAGGATTTCGTTGCCGAGCCAATCCTCCCACTCAGACTGTAGAAGCTGCCTCTCGATGCTATTGACGACCTTAATAGCGACGACGAGGTCGTGCCGGTAGACTCCCAGGCGCTGGCGGGTACGGCGGATGCGGCGCGTCGTGGCCTTGGACCAAGGGGACAGGACTGACGAGGGCGACCATACATCGTCGTCCCAGGCGACGTCCATGTCCGTTGCGTCCAGGAGGTCCTGGAAACTGGAGAAGCAGGGGCTGTCGAGGGGGAAGGAAGTCGATGACGACGAGAACATGTTGCCGCTGCCGCTGCCATTGATATTGACGCCGCCCGTTGCCTCGGCCAGGTCGGACACGTAAATGGCCTTGCTCATGATCGTGTTGGGGCCGACGCCTAGGCGACGCATGTAGTTGGCTGCCTGCCGCTCGCTCCACCAAGTGCTGGCCTCGGCAGATGTCATGGCAAGGTTGGTCAGGACGCTGACCGCCAGGATAGCAAGAAGCAGCCGCTGCGCCGTGACCACCTCAAACAGCTTTTTGATGCCCGCAAAAGTCCACATGATGAGCGATGACACGGCACTCTTGCCAATTGACCTCACCGTCTCCCAGATCATGGCCGTCAGCGTCCGCGGCTTGATGGCCGGTTTGCGGCTGCCTTCGCCACCCGAGGCTGCCGGTGAGAAGATGACAACCTGCTTCTGTTGGCCGACGCCTCCATACATCTGGATTGCCCTGAGGGTCCTGCTGCGGGCGCCGAGCTTGCGCACCTGTTCCGTCGCCAGCTCGGCCAGCGTCTCGGCATCGCTTGCCCCGTCTCGCAGCGCCTGGCGCTCTACCAGGTTCTTCGATAGCGCCGGCCGCTTGTTCCAGTCGACCCGGTTGTAGACGGCCAGCCGGCACTTGGATTTACCCACAAATGTGATAACAATCTTGGTCACCAGCTTGAGATTCTGCGAGTGTGGCAGGTGCCACGCCGTCCTGACGTGGGTGATAACGTATGTCACGTGCTCTTTGCGCATTTCGATGACCTGGTAGTCAGATACGTTGACAGCCTTTGCTCGCCCAAAGATGTTGTTGCCATCAGCCTTGAACTCGAATTCTCTCCGTAGGTAACCAGCCTCGTCTGGCAACCATGGTCCCTGGGCAATCTGCTGTGCGTGGTGCTCGAAGTACAGCTTGGGGAACACGAAGCTCTTGTCTCCAAACAGTACGTGGAAGCACGACTTGGCGCTAATCTCAAAGTGCCGCTCAGTCGCCAGCTCCTTCATATCGTTGGGTTCGAAGTCGACTGGATGAGAGGGCAGGTGCACCTTCGAGGCGGATACCGACATGCCCAGCCCCGGGGCCTGCAGGTGCGACGGGCCAGGCGATTGAAAGCCGATTTGTCGTTTCCTTTGGGTTGGTCCGTGATCATCGTCATCCTCATCATCATCGATACCTGCGTTGGCCGAAATATCCCAGTCGTCAACTAGGGGGCTTGCATTTCCAACCGCACCTTCCCGTTCCACGCTGAGGAGGGCTGCAATGACCGCCTCTGTCTCCATGGGCACTTCGGCCTGGAGCTCATCAATGAGCGTGTTGAGGCGTGCATGCAGTAGGCCAATGTCATCCAAGAAGAGCTTGAGCGTAATTTTGTTATACCCTGTGTCGTTCGTGTCCTGACCTAGGTGCAATAGGATCTTGTCGCTTTCCTTGCCAGGTATGGCCGTCACCTCGGATATCATGTCGAGGCTCAGACTGTATGCCGTGACGAGGCCCATCTGTTCACCGTAAAAGTACATGTTGTCGGGTGTGACATATACACGCCCTTCACCAGACATGGAGTCGGTGGTCGAACTTTGCGTAGCGGGGGTACTGGACCAGGCCGCACGAAAGACGAGAACCAGCTTCTCCTCCAATGGGACACTGGGGAAGAGGAGTCGGAACTGGCTGTTCTGAACACGAAGTTCTGGCGGGTAGTTGGGGGGAAGCGCGTCCCGGACCTGCCTTGCCTGCCGTGAAGTATTGAGTGGTGTCTTTGCGTCATCTATAGACACCACCACGCCGACTGGGTCGTCCTCATCTAGCCTGGGAAGTACGGGGTCTGGCGCCGGAGTGCTGCTAGCCCCCCAGATGTTTGTGCCCCAGTAGTTTGCCATTACGGAGACTGACGGCTTCTTGTATCCCGAGTGTATACCTGCTGCACCATATGCCGCCATTGTCAGGACCGCCGTGCGGCTGAGGGTTGTGACAGCCGGGGGCCTGGCCAGTGTCAGCGGGGCCAATGTCCCGGAGTGGTGATCGGCAGAGGCCAGAATAGGCCCGACCGCCGGCTTTGCGCCGGCTCCCGAGGCAGGGGCAACGGGAAGCGTATTTTGACTGGCCGTAATAAGGCTAGTAACGCCACTGGCTGACCCCGAGGAGCTGGCCAGGGCTGCCTCCGCGCCGGCGCCAAAAGTGGCTTTGCGATGGAGGTCAAGCTTCTGGATGATTCTAGCCGCATGCTCCCGTCCGCTTTCTCCCTCCTCACGCGCCAAGTCGCGGCCCAGCGCCGTGATGCCTCGGCGTGGCACGGAGTTATTGTTATCCATGCTAGGCCTGGTGGAAAGCGGGCCCTCCGAGGTTGGTAGCGGGAGCGTTGCGGCCCTATCCACGCTGGACTGCGATGATCCCTCGTCAGCGACGAGGCCGAGCTGGGAATCGAGTATGCGTGCCGAAAACTCGGGAACTGATGGCGGGGCAATGGAGAAGGCAGGGTTTGTGTTACCACTGGGATCCGAATCTCTACCCATGGTGGCCTCGAAGGCTTTCTTTTTGGCAACCTCGAACACCTCGAGCCACTCGGTAAGTTCGCTCTGGGTCTCTGCTTGCAGCATCAGGTTCTGGCTCTTGGTCTTGATCTCGAAACAAAAGCGCCTCTCCTCTCCGGGAGCGGCCCTCGCGTTGCATAGCAGAACGCCGATCTCGTCACCCTGTAGGACGCCCTGGGGACCGGAGATAAGCCATCCAAAAACACTCTCCTGACAGTAGTACCACCTGCGAACCCAATTATGTCTGGCGGGCTTGCCCGAGACGGTGCGCAGGAAGAGCCAGCCCTGTCTCTCGGAGACGACAGTGCCGCCGTCGACCGGACGCATGTTCATGGGCCCCCTAGATCCTAGGAAGGCCACGGTAGAGGTGCTGTAGTCGTCAATCTCGCGCGAGGGCTTACAGCCGGTGAGGGCGTTCTCGCCGAGGTCGCGCCGGGCAGCGTGAAGCTCGTGCCTGAATACGGGCTCGTAAGCCTCCATCTCCTTGGACCATCCGCGGACGCGGTCCATCTCCTGATCCCAGCGGACAGCATTGATGGCAGTATCGCGGCCCCGCTTCATCTCCTTCCAGTGCTCCCCAGCGACGTTGACCAGAAGCTTGTCCATGACGAAGCGAACCTGGGGCGCCAGTTGGCAGTAGTCCATAGACGCTTGGAGGTATGCCTTGCGCGTCTCGTAGACGGAAAAGGCATCCTCGCGAAGGTGGGAGGGTTCCTTGGTCTTGGACTGGGACACATAACGTGCGAGGGTGGAATCGTAGGCCCTCTGCGTCTGCTCGAGCACCTTGCGAATCTCCTTGAAGTTGCGCATCTCGGTTTGGAGGAAGGTGCGGATAGGCTCTACGACGGCATCTTCCATCCTCTTGGTGCTGCCCAGCAGCTGCATCCAGAACTCGCGGGCGCCATCGCCCACGCGCTTCAGGGCCAGGAAGGTGTAGTCATTGTCTATGACGCCGTCGGCCGTTGAAGGTATCGTTCGTGCCAGGAAGTTGTTGACCGTGTCCTCGAGGGCCAGAACCTCGTGGAGCAGCCTCGAAGTTGAGCCGACATAGCCGTTGAGCCAGCGTTCCACGGCTTCAATCTGCTCGGCAAAATGGGCAGCGGTTGCTCGAAATGTTGGGGAGTCGAGGGCCGCCTCGTGGAGGCCAACGGCAATGGCTCGACGAGACGGTCTCGAAGTCGAAGTCGTGGCATCGACCATGGCTGGTGGGGGGGCGTGGTGCGCAGGCGAGCCTGCTTAAGGAGGGGAGGGGAGGATCCTTTTCGATAGAAGTGGCGTTGACTCAGGGTCCTCTAGGAAGCGGCATCCCTCGATAGGAGTTGCAAACAAGGACGGGTGTGGTATGTATCTTGTGATCTTGCTGCAGAACACTCGCTGTTGAATTAGACAAATGCCAACCACGCACTCACGGTGTGTTCTGTGATTATGAGATCTCGTCGACCGTGGTGGGCGTGTCGTTGGTTTGGGGAACAGGAGGAGGAGGACAAGTCGTGTCGTGGGGTTGATGTAAGAGTTGAGGTCTCGCTCCCATGTCTCGTATTATTAGTCTTATTATTACGAGCAATTACCATCATCCTTGATAGCTACGTCCCGCCATACGGTGTGTAATGCTTGTACAATTACGTCGAGGCTACTGCTCCATAATTGTAGTGGAGGCGAAAGCCCCCTAGGAGTGCTGTAGAGTGGAGAACGATTCGAAGACGACCCCTCCGACCTACCGAGTTTTTCGTTTATTATACTCTAATATATTACGTATGTGTGGTTCAACGCCATCAAGATGCTACCACTAGTAGCTCTTCAGCTCCCCAGCCCTTTGCTATTGCTGTACATCACGTAGTTTTCAGTAAGTCCCCTATTGGCTTACAGTGACAGTGTCATCATTGTGGGATTAGTGGGGAGGGGTATAATAGTGTGTCCCACTCCATTATAACACTGCCTCTGTAAGCGACAGCCCACTCTGCTGTTCCTCGCATTCGTGATGGCACGTACGACACCGTGCACGCAGGACAAGAAGCGCCAAGCTGGCCTGTCCGGGGGATGCGTAGAGTAAGGAAAAAAACAAAGAACGACTGTCATTCTACTTTTCTTCCCCTTCCTCTTTTTGGTTGGGTGCTAATACTCGACTTGGCCCATCAGTATCCTCTTCTGCACCGACACCATCTCAGTGCTGCCTGCTTCTTCCAATGACCTCGCAACTACGCTGTAGCAAGAGCATCTCCCCAAGGACCTTTGAAAAACAACCGCGTCGGACGCGATAAAAATCTCTTACATGGCGCCTAGGAGTTTGATTTTCGTCAGTCAAAACCCCCTTCCACATATATAACGTGCGTCGCGAGAGAGTGCGAGAGGGTGCTCACCTTGATATACTGCCAATCATCAACTCAAGTAGCCGTCATAGTTGTGCGAAGGGGGCTCGGTCGCGACGCCTGGTGCTGCTGGTGATTGCCCTGCGGTGAGGCATTTCTAGGACTGTTCCCGCTCACCAGTTTGCGCTGGACAAATGACGAGGGCGCGGCGTCGTAGGGCGTCGGTGCAGCATGGGGCGCATCGTGACCGACATGCTCAGACGGAGGATCTCGAGTTGGTCCCTCGTTAGACACGAGGGAATCCACAGGTCAATCTAGCTCGGAGGTCAGCATATGTGTGGTCCTGTGTGTGCTGGGATGAATGTAGTGGAGTTCGGGTTGGAGCTCACCGTCGTAGAAGTCGTCGTCGTCGTCGCTCACTTCGGCTAGTTGTTCAAAGTTGACCTTGTAGCGGAGGATTCCACCGATTCCACCGAAACCCTTGACGAACTGGTTGCCCTCAGTCGAGCGGTCCGACACAAACTCAAGGTTGGTACCAAAGTCCTTGTAGTGCTCGGCGATCCACTCAAGGAAGGACTCCTGCGAGACAATCTCCATTTCCTGGCCAGTGGCCTTGTCGAGGAACTTATCGCGGTTGGCTTCCTCCTGAGACTTGCTGAGATGAAGGTGGTGCTCGTTGCCCTCGCCGTCGCGGAGAACCCAGCGGGTAATCTCGAGGTTCTCAAACACAATGAGAATCTCAACAGCGCCCAGATCGAGGGCCTTGAGAGTGTCATCGATACCGTAGCACACCTTGCCCGTATCCTGGCTAATCTCATCGAAGTACTTGCCAATGAGCCTCTTCTCCTGGATGAATTTGACGTTGCTAAGAGTCTCGGCCGACAGTTCAATGGCTTGGTTGAAGCCATTCTCACCACCGTACGACACATCAACTACCTTGATGACCTTGGTCTGCAGGCGAGGGTCAAACAGATCGGAGACGTTGAGGTCATTCTTGAAATCGGCGGAACCGGCAAGAATGAGACCGGAAACGTTGGCCTTGTCGTTGGTGATGAAGTTCTGCACTGCAAGCTCGGCCACCTTGCGCACGTAGTTGTGACGTTTTTCCTCACGGAGACGGGCGAAACGAAGGGCAGACTGACCACCACGTCCGTGCTTCTTGGGGAGATCGACGGTAAACTTGTGGACAATCTCACGTGTGTTGCCACTGAGGGTACCGAACAGGGTACCGTTACCATCCATGATGATGAAACCAAATTTCTGGTCAGACTCGAGCAGCTCGGCCAGAGCCTCAGTGTGGAACTTGTTGTCACATAGGTATAGCGAGGTGTTGATGGGCTTGAAGGGCTCGAAGTCAATGTTGACCTTACGCTCCTTGCCTTCCGACGTCAGGATTTCACCACAGTACACGACGAGTCCGTTGGGCGGGACTTTGTTGTACAGCTTGAGACGCTGTTGGGTCGACGTGATGGCGGACAGGACAGACTGACGGTTGACACGGGATTTGATGTTGGACGCGGTACCCTATTTCTTAAGCGTTAGCCATCTGGTTGTGGCCAGAGGGTGACCTGCGCAACTGGGCATTCGTACGTATTCTTCAGCCAACATCTTGGCAATTCGCGAGATCTGGTCCTTGGGGGCTGCGGATATTTTCAGTATTTAGACCGGAAATGCAGAACGCATGGGTAGCAGGGGCTTACGGATAACGAGAGAAATCATGGAGGTTCCATTTCCCCTGGCAGCTTCGAGGCGCTTGACGAGCTTCTTGATCTTCCAGATCTCGATCTATTTTTGGCGGGTTTTATATTAGCTATCCATAAAGGCCAAAGCTTTGGCCCATCTCTTTCCCTCCCGCCATGTTCAGTCCCAGCCGGCCACATATGCTCTTTGCGCTATGTCGTGCGCGTTGTGGCAGGAGGGACCGCAGTGAAAATGGCGGGGGAGGCCAGTTCGTAGCGGGGTGGGGAGAGGGACAGAGGGGCAGCATAAGGCGACAACTCACGTTCTTCTCGGCCTCATTGTCCTGAGGGTCGCTCATCTTGGCGGCTGTTCTCTGCACGCGGCGAACAAAATATCTGGCTTTTCCTCGAAGATGAGGGTCCTCGCATACGAGTCACAAAAAAGGGGGAGGAGAAAGGTGCCGTGGGAGCGCAGATTTTGAGGTGTTTAGAGGAAGAATGTGGGATCGTGCAGCGGAGGGCACTTGGTAGATTTTTTTTCCTTTTCATATTAGTATTGCACTTAATTGTGCTCGGGTATTAATATTGTATGCCAGAGTGTAGTCTTTGCTGGTGACCTAAAGCCACCACATCTAGCTACTAATAGGTACCCGTATTAGGCTAACACGTACAGGTACAATGGACTTGACGTATTACGCGCTTTAACATCGAGTCCCATTACTTGGTGGTTTGCCATGATTTGTGGGCGGCCCCAAGGTTATAGCAAAGGGGTAGAGCAAGTGCGTTGGAAGGGGCGCTGTATTAGCCTGTAAGGTTTTCGGGATGGAGCTGTCGCCACACCGCCTGGCAGTAATATGTACGCAACCTTACGTATGGGGTTCATACCTTGGCTCTGGCTAGCAGTACGACGGCATCACGGGTCTTTGCACTGGTAGCTGTCCGTGACGCCAGAGTCCAGCCAGCCACCACGCTTCCCATCGCATCGGACCGCTTCCCCGGGAGACTACCAACAAACTGAGCAGTCATCATGTCATCCTTGCCTGAGCAGGTCGCCGAGACCATCCAGACCGCCCACATTGCGCACAACCCCGACCCGGCACACGATCTCGCGCCCGCCACAGCCGCCGACGAAAAGGTGCCCGTGTCCCTATCTCACGAAGACGATGACGTCGATTCTATCGATCATGAGGAGGACGTGCCCTACAGTGTCCTGAAACCGGCTCCCCGCTCCACTAAGCTGCCTCCCATGCCTGACCTGCGCTTCGAGCAGAGCTATCTCAACAGCATCGCCTCGGCCAACACATGGTGGAAAGTGGCCTTGATCACAGCCAGGGATCAGGTGCGTGCTCCTTCGCTTTCGTTTCCTTCTGTTAGTCTGAATACTGACGCTCTGAAAATAGGTCTTGATGCCCTTGACCCAGGGTGTCCTGTACAACCTCCTTATCTGCGGATGGCAGCACTGGAATCGCAATGCCCAGCTTCAGGGCAACACCATGGGTGTGCGTCTTCGGAGGTGGTGGTATGGCGTCAACAACTGGAAGATTCCCAACCGATGAATTCGAGCTCAGGGGTGCATGCGACATGTTTATACGAAAAAAAAAAGAAGAAAGAACACATACCCGTACCATGTTATTACAGCAGCTTCGCAACATACATGTACTACTACCACCACTGAACAACACGGCAAAACTGCGATAAGGGTGAAAACAGATAAAACACCAATATCATAATTCAACGCTCTTGTTTTTTTTTTCGGACTAAAGAACACATGTAGCGCCGCCACCCTATGAATCTAAATTGAATCCCATTACTCTCATGACAATATTGTCCCTATGCGGAGCCCTTAGCTACACATCTGTTGTAATAAGCGTAATTGTACACGCATCCCTATAGCAGCCACTCGATTGCCCCAGTTGTACCCAAACTCCAGCGCAAAACAGTTGGTTCGATTGGTTTGTTCTAATCTCCATTGCAAACTTGTCCTGGCGGAGCTACAGGCTGCTGCTCCTGCACTTTCTCCGGACTGCCCCTGAAGGCGAGGGGGGTCGATGTGAGGTTCTCCGACCTCTCAACCAAAGGTTCCGTTGGGCTCGCTGAATGTTCGGGTATCTTGTCCTTGCGGTCATCCACGGCCATGGTTTCAGGAGCCGGAGAAACATCCCCCCCCTTTACTTCAGCTGTCTTCAAATCCGATGGACGCGGTTCCGTGGCCGTTGAAACTGTAGAAAATAGAGCCGTCTTGAGCTTTGGCGGCGTGACCTCAAGCGTAACGACGAGGCTCTGGTGACGTTGGACGTCGTTGTCCAATTCATCGTCTAGCATAGGCACGTCCTCATCGAACTCTTCCTCATCCTCATCTTCTTCTTCGGGGATGTGCTCATCGGCGGCGTCGTCTTCCTCGTCATCCCCAAACTCGCCCTGACTGACATCGTCTTCATCGGAGCCGGCCGAAGTGTTGCGACGTGACCTTGGGCCCGCATCGACCCACCCGTTGCTGCCGTTATTCCTGGCTGCCGATCTCCTGGGGCGTCCTGTAGGACCGTTGGAGTCCTCTTTGTCGAACTCGGAGGCATCACCCTGGATGCTATCAGCGGCGCTGTCCTCACTGGTGGCGGCATTCAGCCGCGGAGGTGCCCTGATCTGCCTCCCCCTGGAAGTTGTGACGGGCCCAACTTCGGCAGGTGTGCTAGCTCCCGTATTGCGAGCTGAGCGGCGATTCGTAGAATCCGAGAAGGTAAAGTCCTCGTCGTCCGAGTACGTGTACTTAATGCGCTTTCCGCGGGTGCGTCCCTCGTACATGGAAAAGCCAGGTTCGGGGCGCTTGAAGCGTTCTTTTTGCATCTGTCGGTACTCGCGACGGCGGCGTTTCTGATTAGACGTAATTAGTATCGGAACTCCTATGCATCGGACATAGGTCATGGAAGCGAAAATGAGTACGCCGATGGCCAATTAAGTAGAACATACCTCTTCTCCTGCCTCGAAGCGTGTCATAGCGATGCGTATCTTCTGCGCAAACTTCTTCGCCTTGGGACCGCCATCCTTGGCCTCCAGCTTGTGGGAAAGGGCTGTCAGGTCTTCCATGCTCCCTGCGACGCTCCACCAGGTGCGATTTTTGCCAAGCGCATTGCTCTCGCGGTAAACGCGAAACGCCGTGTCATCCTGCCCCTCAATGAGGAAATATCGTCGCTTCTCGCCATCCGTGCCCCATGGCTGTACCGAGCGCGGCTGATTCAGGTCGTCTTCGTGTCGATTTTGCTTATAAGATTGGTTGATCAGGGTCTTGACTGCCTCGGAGGACGACATCGTCCAAAGAATCAGATTCCGCAGCAGCGTCAGCTGTTCCCTTGTTAGCAAAGGTTTGCGCCAGAAAACTTATTGGCTGGTCCATACCCTTTCGGTGGGATCCATTGTGTTGAAGTTCTTGCCGCCAGACAACGGGTTCTTTCCTTCCCACGATGGTGGCCATTCGCTCTTATGGGTTGTGATCGCATCCTCGAGGGCTCTGCCGTAATGACCGGACCTGATGAAGAGGCCATGATTTGTTAGTATGGATCCTTGTCGCACAACTTCATAGATGATGGTGCTTTTGCTCACTTGACGTCTTGTTTCCTGTTGAGGAGCAGGCCGAGTAAGGCGCAAAGGAATTGCTCAACGCGATCACCAGGAATCCCTTGGACAACGTCTCTCTCGAGGTCCTGAGGGCCAAAATGGGGGAGTGATTTCGGAAACGCGTCGCTGAACCGGCTCCTGAACATGACGATGAACTGCAGGCATATTGGTTAGCAAAATGCGATTTACGATGGTAGCACGCGACGTGTCGCGTCACATAGGCACATCGACGCGACTAGCGGGCGCATGTGGAATAACTACATAGAGGCGCAAACAGGGCAAGGGAAGGGAAAAATGCGTCTCGGTATCATGAAATAAACGTACTGCAATTTCAGGATTGTCTGCTAGGACATATTCATGTTCTGGCGATGGCGAGCGCTTCTGTGGTGGTGGTGACGGCTCCTTGGTTGATGCCTCTGACGCCTTGGGGAAATAGCTGAGGATTCCACCCTCCTTTTCCTTTTTGGTGGGCTTTGGCTCCTCAAGATCGCTGGGTACTTCGAGCTCGTCGTCTGATGGCGCCGGCGACAGTGACGAAAGGGAAGAGAGTTCCGACGACTCGTTGTCGGAAGCCATGATTTGGGGTGGGGAGCGAGGACCTCGTCGGTGTGGTGGCCAACGTCGGTTGTTGAGGTAGCGGTGGTTGAGTTGAGCGAGGGAGGTTGAGAGTCACCGAGGCCAGCTGTGTGGAGAAGGCCGGCAAGGGGAACAACGCCCTATCTTATGGATCTGCGCACTGCACCCATTCATCTTTATTAATACTACGATTAAGAATCTAGCACAGCCCATAGGTAGGCAAATCACAATATAGGGTCCGACGTCGCGGTCTCGCCAGGTAATCCTACTCCTGGATTCCATACGCCGGGGTAGGATTTCTGGTCAATACCTGACACTCTCATCATCCCCAGTCTTGAAAGAGGGCCAGAACCCCGACGGCAGCACACCTCCATGATACCGAGTCTGCCCCCTGGCCATCATATAACCCATCATCCCATCCATAGTCTTCCCCCATGCTGTGACGTACGAGACGAACCCTGAATTGTCGATATCCCTCTATCGACAGCATTGCAACCCTTCAGAGGTTAAGACTCCGCCCCACCTCCCCAGTCGCGTCATCCATCCCAGTTGCATTCTGGGGCCCTGAACGTGAGCAAAACTGAGCATCCTTTATTATGGTAGTTTGTAACGCAGCATGAGCATGAGCCGGTTCGTACGACCGGCGCGGCCATGCAGTAAATGGTCACGACACATGAATTGACCGAGGCAGCGGGACTTTGGTCCGAGAAATACCTGGCACAGTACGGACAGCCACATCCGAAAAAGTACCACCATCGATGGAGAGTCTCGAGCGGCCAGCATTGGTTGGGATCGAGAAAGGCAAGATTCGGGGTATCAGGCCCTAGTGCTCGCGCAATGCAAGACAACCTCTCGACACGACGTTTTGTCAAACAGTGCCCAGTCCACTTGCACAGGCAAGTTGTCTTTTGTCGTATAGAGCCGCTCAGACTTTGAGCCATTGTTTGGTTGACACGAACAGATCCAACCCTCGGCTAGGGGTTACTGCCACGATGTTTGGCACACTTTGCGCGTCTCAGTGATGACTGATAATACGTGGTTGCCCCCCAAGGCAGAGGTTAGCGTACATGGCATCAATGATCGTCTAGTTTCCGCGTGAAACATCACCACAAGAAGTATCCTGTCACCGCAATAGCCGGCCGGCCAACATCGGACCAGAGACAAAGGGCGTCGTCGCAGGAACAAACGCTACAGAGGATGGCGGCGTTTTGTGACTTGGATTAGCCATTGAGCCCCTGGGCGAGAGGGACGCTGCGCGTATTGTGCAGTAGCATTGTGAATATTTCGGTTGCAGAGCATTTCTGATGATGCTCAGTCCCCGTCAAGCCAATCAACAGGCCGCAAAGTGCATGTTTGTTAAGGCGAGTGTGAGAGAGCGGTGGGTGAGGGCACGACTAAGTGCGCAGAGTCGTCGGTGATGATGCGTGTCGATGCGGCGTAATGGCCGATACTGTGAGGGAAACCCATTTCCATTGGTTGGCTGAGTCCGGGTCCCGTAAATCCCGACGTGACGTGGGTCAGAGCCAGAATTAAGTGTTTCTGGTCTTTTTTTAAGGTCACGTGGTCAGGGCTCCTCCCGCTAGAGCCAATGGTCCCGCACACAAAAAAAATATCGGCACAGCGCACCGGTTGGGCCCATCTCGACACAACACCAAGCGGCAACTGCCAGGTAAATTTAATTCCCAACCTCACCATCGTCAGGCGGCCGCCAAAACTAACACCTTGCTCAAGATATCTCGAGTGAAGACTAGCCGCCATGGGTAGAGTCATTCGCAACCAGCGCAAGGGCCGTGGCTCCATCTTCAGTCAGTTATATCCTCCTCACCTCGCCGGCGACAACGAAGCAAAAACACGATCTGCGTATCTCGGCGTGTGGAATTGGCAACTTGGGAAGTTATGTTCTGTACTAACCCGTCTCCTCTCTTTCAGCGGCCAACACGCACCACAACAAGAGCCCGGCTCAGTTCCGTAACCTCGACTACGCTGAGCGCCACGGTTATCTCCGTGGTGTCGTCCGCGAGATCGTCCACGATGCCGGCAAGTCTGCCCTCACCCTTTCCTCTCGAAGACGCCCGAATATTCGACGAGGTTCCTGATGGAAGATGGTACAGCGGAACCTAGGGCTAACGTTGAATTTTTCGGGAAATAGGTCGTGGTGCTCCCCTCGCCAAGGTCGTCTTCCGTCACCCTTACAAGTACAAGCAGGTGACGGAGACATTCATCGCCAACGAGGGCATGTACACTGGCCAGTTCGTCTACGCCGGAAAGCGCGCCGCCCTCACCGTCGGCAACATCCTGCCCCTCGGTGAGATGCCCGAGGGTACCGTCGTTACCAACGTCGAGGAGAAGATTGGCGACCGTGGCGCTCTGGGCCGCACCTCTGGCAACTACGTCACCGTCATCGGCCACAACCCCGATGAGGGCAAGACCCGCATCAAGCTCCCCTCTGGCGCCAAGAAGGTTGTTCACTCTGGCGCCCGTGGCATGGTCGGCATCGTCGCCGGCGGTGGTCGTACCGACAAGCCTCTCCTGAGTATGTTTCTCCGTCCTCGAAGAAGAAAAAGTGGATAGATGGCTAACCTGTATGTTCCTCCCGCTCAACAGAGGCTTCGCGTGCCAAGCATAAGTTCGCTGTCAAGCGCAACAGCTGGCCCAAGACCCGTGGTGTTGCCATGAACCCCGTCGATCACCCTCACGGTGGTGGTAACCACCAGCACATTGGTAAGGCCTCTACCATCTCCCGCGAGGCCGCCCAGGGACAGAAGGCCGGTCTTATTGCCGCCAGGAGGACTGGTCTTCTCCGTGGTACTCAGAAGACAAAGGAATAAGCGGCTGGATTCATGGTCTCATTGGGATGGTGTTACACTGGCTTGCTTGCAACTATTTGAGGGATCTGAAAAAAAAAGCAGATATCTGGTAGCTCAAAAGGGCAAGTGGAATTTGGCATTTGGCGCAAAACAAAAAAAAAGAAAAAATTACGTCTCTGATATATGTTATGATGTTATGCCCTGCTTTTTTTTCATTGTGATATGCTAAATAGTGGAGATATGGGCATCACATGCTCGCAATGTCACTGGCGGCCAGACTGCCGTATTATATTTAGAAGTCGGTCGTTGTTGGGATTATCAATATACAAAGATGCAAGATGCACCTATCGCCTTTCAACTATATTTTCTTGCCTTCTGCTGTTCATGTCGCATAATCAGCTGCCTGGTATTCGGAGACATAGAATGGTAATATTCGGAGAAATTGGTATCACACCACTCGGTGATTTATACACTCAAGGTAATGCTGAAAACAGTGATAGGCTGGTAATACACGGATTGGCGACTCAGGGCGATTGAAGAAAAGAGAAATGAAAAGGACCACGAATTTTCTCCCCGATACTGGAAATGGTAATTACTCGAACCCATATTTATACCCAATGGGTCTCGATACTGCAAGGCGTGCGCGTGTGCCACAGAAAGCTACGCAAGGGCAGTACTCGGAAACTGGCAGCCCCACGTAACCTTTGAGAGCGGAACCCCCACCATGGATGGACTCTACGCATAACAATACCCCTCGCCAAAAGTGTCTCCTCTTTTACTCGCTTTCTCTCTTTCTCCTCTTCTACCATTCATCATCTCTTTGCCTTTCTATTCTTTCTTTTCCCCTACAGTACCTATCTTATTCCACACCAAATAAGGAGCAATATATTTTTGCTTTTCCTCTCACCACACAACCATCATAATGGCTGCTAATAAGGAATACGCTCTCCTGTGCCTGGAGAACCCTCTCCTCGGTATGTGATAGAAGAGAAAGCAATACCGCTGCGCAGAACGCCTTGTAGAAGAACTTGTTGCTGCGTCCCAGCAATATTGTCAGAGGAGAGCCTTCAATTGCTCCTGAGTTTCCGGCTAACATCCCTTCCGCGCAGACATCCAGGCCAAGGGTGACCAGGCCTTGCTCGACAAGTACGGGCTCAAGGCCAACGACGCCATCCTCGCTGAGGAGAAGCACAAGCCTCTGTACGAGGACCTCCTCAACAACTACGACGCCAAGCTCATCGCTGGCGGTGCCGCCCAGAACTCGGCCCGCGGCGCCCAGTACATCCTGCCTCCCAACAGCGTCGTTTACCTCGGTGGCGCCGGTGACGACAAGTACGCCGCCATCCTGCAAGACGCCGTCAAGCAGGCCGGGCTCCGCGTCGAGTACCGCGTCGACCCCAACGAGCAGACTGGACGCTGCGGTGCCATCATCACTGGCCACGACCGCAGCCTCTGCACAGACCTCGGCGCCGCCAACCACTACGGCCTCGACCACCTCAAGAAGCCCGAGATCTGGAGCCTAGTTGAGAACGCCGACGTCTACTATGTTGGTGGCTTCCACTTCACCGGTGAGTTCTACACACATACACGCAATCTTTTTATATACATATCTCTCCGTCTCTGTCTCAAATTTTATGCAGAGAGTCGTTGATTTGTGGTTTGCGATTTTACTAACTTAAGGAACCCAGTCTCCCCCCCTGCCATCATGGAGCTCGCCAAGCAGGCCGCAGAGCACAACAAGATCTTTGTCCTGTCCCTCTCGGCCCCCTTCATCCCTCAGTTCTTCAAGGAACCCGTCGACGCCAGCGCCCCTTACTGGGACTACGTCATCGGCAACGAGACCGAGGCCGCCGCCTACGCCGAGTCGCACAACCTCGCCTCCAAGGAGCCCAAGGACGTCGTCACCCACCTGGCTAACCTGCCCAAGGAGAACGGCAAGCGCAATCGTGTCGCCATCATCACCCAGGGCACCGAGCCTACCCTCGTCGCCATCCAGGGTGAGAAAGGAATCAAGGAGTTCCCGGTCCACGCCATCGACGCCGCCCAGATCAACGACACCAACGGTGCCGGTGACGCCTTCGCTGGTGGCTTCCTCGCCGGAATCATACAGGGCAAGCCCCTCGAGACCTCCATCGACATGGGCCAGTGGCTCGCCCGTCTGAGCATCCAGGAGCTCGGTCCCTCGTACGTTCATTCTCATTCATCGCATCTTCCCTATTCAAGCATAATGCGTAGACAACAGAAAGACGTTGCTACCTCCTTGTCTACTGCTATAGCAAGCTTGGCGCGCACACAATCCCCCGCTCCCATATACACATGGAGATCAATTCTCTTTCCACCGGACAAAATCAAATTACAGAACACTCGAATACTGACATATTCGCTTCCTTCCCCTAGATACCCCTTCCCAAAGCAGACCTACCAGGGTTGAAAACCCAATAAACCAAACGCACGTAAAGGCCGGTGAACGTCATAATAGAGAAGCCAGGCGGTGGGCAAATTTAGTAGAAACATGTAAAGCGATATGAGACGTATCAGAATAAAGGGAAAGAGAAAAAAGGGAAATGGTTTCAACAGCGGCGTTTTGCATATATCAGAAAGCCCAAGTGGTGGCTCTCTTTCGCATATAGCGGCCTCTGCATCCTCCACGATGCAAATTTCTTTGTCAAGCTCAAAAGTAACAAGAAAAATCGATTGCTTCGCTTCTTTTCCTGCTCTCCCTCTTTTTCTTGCGTTCAAGGAAAACCTTCCTCTCTTGATAGCAACACTAGGCGAAGGCTTGCACGCTCTTGTCAAAACTTAATTCCGGAGCAAGATACCACCGGCGTGCGCCGTTCGAATACCCTCTCGGCACCCACTGGACAGAACCCAGTTCCATTGAACCTGTTACTGATGTTCCTCCATCTCACTGAACAAACTTGTCGGTGTCGTGTGTGCAGATCCCTCTACTTGACGCGACTGCCTCAAGTGACCAGATCCCACGTCCCAGACGTGATAGCGTCCATCCCAGATGTGCAGACCGACTCGATGCAGACTGGCAAGGGATAGCTTTGCGAGGTATTGCACAGTAGAAATAAATGTCTGGTGTATCATAGACGGTGCCCTAGTAGATGGGCATCCTTATTCTTTTTTTGGGTCTTTTTTTCTTCAAGGAAAAAGATCAAGGAAGTTCATCGGTTAAATCGTTGACCATTCATTGCTGCTTCAAAGACAGCGGCATCATAGTTAGACGACGTCTGGTTCATCTGGAACGGCCGCCCGGATGACAAGGACGAGATAGAGCTCTGTCCTTGTACCCCGTTGCTCGTATAACCGATACCGTAGGCGCCGCCCTGAGTCTGGGCCGTGAGTCGGCTAGGACCATGTACAGACGCAGGTGTTCCTTGGTATACACTGCTGGGGTGCGAGAAGACCGAAGAGTTGGATGATATTGGGACAGCACCCTGGGATCTCTGCTGCTGCTGCTGCGCATGATTGCGGGGAAGCTGCCCGACGGAGTTGGGCATCTGGTACGAGGACCATGTGTCAAATTGTGACTGCTGCTGCTGCTGTTGTTGCTGTTCGCGCACTCCAAAAGCTTGCTGCTGCTGCTGCGGAAACCCGGGCGCTGGCATCAGAGATGGCACGGCAGCACCCCGACCAGTAGGCATAGAGAAGGGACTGCCGTGGTGCCCCTCAGCAGGCATGGAGCCACCAGGTGAACCATCGTATATTTGGCCTGAAAAAGAGGGCAGAGCTTGGCCTGTGGTCTGGGGCGACCTGGGCAGTTGAGCCTTGGATGGTGCGGCCATGAACATGCCATTCCACCCTGATGAGGCGTACCTCTGCGCATTTATGGACTCGTAGTAAGGGACCGGCTCGTCTTTTTCCGGCTGAAATGTCTTGAGGAGCTCTTGCGCGAGCTCGCTGGCCGTGGTCGAGTGCATCCCGTATGATGACTCTTTGGGCGAGTAGGTATTCTGCTCAGACTTGGGGGTCGGGCAGTCGAGGAAGGGCGAAAGCATGTTGACAACCGTCTCATCGGCATCGTTCATAGGTCTCAGATGCGTCGCAGGCGTACTGTACACCTGTTCCTGAGGACGATCCTCCACGGGCGGCATAGCAGGACTGCCATACTGAGCACCTTGATAGGTATTCGCATTATTCTGAGCGAGTTGGGCCCATTGGCTAGAGTTTCTGGATGTGTCAAAACCAGGGAGTACAGGCTTCTCTGGCGTCCGGGCGAGTTCAGGCTCTTTGATAGGCTCTCTAGCAGGTTCTCGGGCAGGTCCCAGAGTAGATTTCTGGAGGATAGGTTCCCGTGCAGGTTTCTGGAGGATAGGTTCTCGTGAAGATTTCTGAAGAACAGGTTCCCGAGCAGGTTTCTGGAGGGCAGGTTCCCGAGCAGGTTTCTGGAGCACCGGTTCCCGGGCAGATTTTTGAAGGACGGGTTCCCCAGAAGGCTGAGATCGATCCTGATACCGAAACTCCAGTCCAGACTCAATGGCGCTGCAGATCAGCGGCACGTTGGGGTCCTCCGTCAGGGAGTATGCGCAGCGGAGAATGTCTAGCAGGCGCGCAGTTGACTCCTGGGAGGGTGCTTGACGCTGAGACTGTGAATCGGGGTGTGGCTTCATCTGGCCATTATCATCGCAGTAACCCCGGCAGGCAACCGGGACACTATCATCGGAGAGAGAGGTGAGGCCACGGATCTCAATATCCTCAGGAAGAAGGTAAGGGCAGCTAGCGACTGTGTCGGCATTGTTGGAGAGCTCCGTACAGAAAGAGGTTAGGACAGAGGCCAGGGTTTGCGTCATCGGTGGAACAATGTTCCCAGGGGAGTCCGGCGAAGTATAGATCTCGGACGTGCGGGAAGCAATCCAGATACAGTAGACCCTCAGCAGAGGGAGAAGGGCGTCCTTCGAAGAGGGTGCGGCGTTGGGTTCAGCAGAGTTGGGGAACTCCTCGGACGACGCAGTAGCAGCAATGTCTGCCTTAATGGCCTCGCAGAGTTTGAGAATGAAGCGCATGTTGAAGTGCAGAACGTGCTGGTAGAATCTGGCTGATGACTCTGTTTTCGCATCTGCGCACTAGTTAGAAATGGCACCGACAATGACTGGCAGTCTTTCAACGCACCTTGATTCTTCATAGAAGCGATGCAGTGGGCCGAAATATTCACAAGGCCCATCTTGAAGAGCATGGGGGCAGATGCTACATCACGGATTGCCATGGTCATGCGGTGGAAGACCTCACGCTCGAGCTCATTCTGCTGAGAGGAGACTGGCTCGCCCTTGTAAAAGAGAGCCTGGAGGCGCACAAACCACAAGACGAAGGTATCGTTGGGAGAGGGCGAAGATGCTTTGGCACGGGAGGATGAACTGTGATTCTGGAGACTCTTGAACTTGGATTCCAGGTTCTGCTTAGCCAGGGGATGGGGTTCCTTAACGGCCCAGGAGCGGTAGAAATGATAGACAACGTCAAGGTGGTTGCCTTCCTCAAGGCTCACGATTCCCATCTGGTGGAAGCCGAAGCCCGAGTCAGGCATGACATCGTGCGCCAGGCCATAAAAGGCCATGGCCGTCTCGTAAGACTTCTTGTGTTTGGCCTGGACCCTGTAGCGGGACAGGTCGCCGAGGCGAATCAAGGTCGAGTGGCAGGAGGCTAGGATCATGACCGACAGGTTGGCAGGGACGGGGCTTATCATGTCCTTGGAGTGCTGCTGGTTGGCCTCGATGCTCTGGGCGATGCGCCTCAGCTCGGAAACGTCGTAGCGCATAGCGAGACGCTGAATGTAGCCCTGGTAGAATTGCTGAGCGATGCGCAAGAAGTGGCCGTATTTGGTTTCGACTTTTCGTTTCTCGACGACGCGCGAATCTTGTCGAAGCTTTCCGAGTATGCGACGAAACTCGGAGTTGATGGTGACATGTTGCTGCCAGAGAATGCTCTCGGAATCCTCCTTGTTGGCATATTCCATGTCGAGGAAAATTGTGGTGACGCAAGCGAGGCGAAACCTTGGAGATTTGATTAGCATGTGTGCGCGCCAGTGTACGTATGACACCGTCCCCTCCCTCACCCCCCCAGCCTCGACTCACTGTCCAAGGGCCTCGTCGACGACATCGAACTGGGCTATGTCGGTCCCGGAAGTGCTGTTAGCCCTGAGCTTGTCGATTTGTTTCGTCAGGTGCTTGCGCAGCTTGAGCGCTTGGCTATAGACAGGTGGTTTGAGGTCAGCGAATGCAAAAGGTGGCGTAAGGAGGGTGATGGTATAGGGACAGAGATTGGCGTACTGCCATGCCTGCTTGGCCTGATCCAGGGCGGTTGTCATAGTGGGCAAGGCCGAGGGGGGGTTACTAAACGGCGGCGCGGGGTGCATGTGTGAGGCCGAGATGATATGTGAGTCGGCGGGCGGAGGATCCGAGTAGGTGAATATCGATCATCAGCTGGACGGAGAAATCATAACTGATGCACTGTATTATCAACCGAGCCGTATGGGCCGAAACAGTCCATCACTGATTTGTCGGCAGTCGTGGTATGGAGCAGGTTGGCAGCGGGCACGGCGCGCGCTCGGAGGACACATTTGTGTTGAAGATGGGGCGAGGGAGAGAGGAGTGATGTCGATGGCGAAAGAAGAAGAGGATAAAGTGCAATATGGCGCAGCCCTCCGCAAGAGGTCTAAAGTTGGTGGGTGAACAAGGTATGAGGCGCTTCTGAGCCGGGAGGGCTTAAGCCAAGATTGTGCTGGCTCGGAACCCCTCAGGGTCGATGCGCTGGATCCACCCGCTTGTTGGATTTTCTTTCGGCTTTAACGGCTTCGAGTGACCCTTTTCTACTCTGCTTGGGCCTTCTCTTCCCACCTTTCTCACCCAGCTAAAAGTGGCAAAGTAATACTAGTAAGTCGGGCTTGCTTTCTTACCCCTCTGCTCGGTGCCCGTATCAATATTCCAATATTCCATGTGTTTGTGCCTGGCGTGACGTACAGCGGACAAACAACGGCCCATCCTCCAGAGCAGCCATCCTCTACAGCGTAATGCGTAGTAAGTAGCAAATAGTCCATAGAGTTAATACTTGTATTTCCTCTTACCTTTTGTCTAGTAAGTACAGTACTATCATGAATATCAATGTCAGATCATTACAGTCCATCACTAAGAGCACCATTTATTCCCTCCAAGTAATGCTGAGTACGTACAATGAGACCTTTGCGTTCGGAGACTAACTAGCACATACATGTAATCATCTATGTAATATTACCACATCTACCACTATGAGTAAGAAGTACCATTAGTAGTAGCAACGATTCAGCCTGGGTGATGCAGATACAATAGAGCAGGTAGCAGTATTGTACGATAAGAAAATGCTTAACATGACTACTACTACTACTACAGTCTACGTCGCCCTCGTACGAGTCTGTCCTCATACGAGTACAAGAAAATCCCATCCTGGGGGCCCAAGCCCAACCCGCATGCTTGCAGACTTGCAGCCTTGCACCCACCAAAGGCCAAAGGCGCTAAACCTGGTACGGGCAATGCGAGTGGCGGTCGGCAGAAGTCAGAGGCAAACCACCAAAAGCCCGTCAGAACTCAAAGCTGAAGGAGCTCTCTCAACATTGCTTCACAGGATCATCAACCGAGAGAGTCCCAGGAACCTTTCCTATAACCGCCCAGAATATTGACGACCATCGTTTCCAACTTGATACACCAAACAGCCAACGGCCTCGGCTACGACTATCTTCAGCCTCATTGACCGTAATAGCTACCCCGCCTATTTTCCTTCTGTCTCTCTCCCCCTCCCCCTCCATCACGTCACAGAAGTAAGGGGGGGGAAATATATAAAAGAAGCACAATAGAAAAAGTATGAAGCGCTCACGAGAGCCAGAAGAAGGTTTAGATTCTGATTCCCGAGACGACGATTTCCGGGTCGAATTACGCCCAGCTACGAAAATTACCGAGTTAGACTCTGACTTCGACCGCCACCACTTCTCATCCCCATCGCCCTCCGACATGAGATGCTCTCTACCGCCTCATAAGGACACCATGACTTTCATCACATATGACGACTATGAATCCCATTACAACAAGTTCCACTCGAACCGCTGCCTCGAATGTCGGAGAAATTTCCCCTCGCAGCACCTCCTCGGCGTCCACATCGAGGAGTGTCATGACCCTCTGATAGTCGTTAGGAGGGACAAAGGCGAGCACACAGTCAGTCATGGCCCGATTCCCTCCACCTCCCACGATGCGCTTCTCCCGCATTAGTTTCGGGCGGTAAAAAAAGAAGGAAGACAGGAAGCTGACAGCCCGGCTAGTACTCCTGCTTTGTCGAAGGTTGTGAGCGCAAATGCTTGACGCACCAGAAGCGCCGCATGCACATGATTGACAAGCACATGTACCCGAAAAACTACTTTTTCGCAATCACAAAGGAAGGCATTGACGGGAGACGCTCGCTGCTGACTGACAGTGGCCACCGCAGGCGGAAGTCATCCATTTCCAACCATGGAAAGGAAACACGTCGGGAAAGCCCTAAGGGGTCAGAACAGCAGCCTCTTGAGGACGGCACTGCAAAGACGGCCAGTCTGGGGCAGCAGAAGCAGAAGAAGGAGCAGGGAGGCCACACCAAGGGCAATGACTCAAAGGCGGACACGGAGATGGATGACTTAGCAGGGGCCATGTCCTCCCTTCAATTCGTTCCACAGAGCGTACGATTCGGTCGTGGACGTGCAGGATTCTCTAGGAAATGAGGGCACAATCACCGAAAGTCGTATACAACAGGGCGTTGCGGGGAGGGACTGAAATATATGTCGATTAGCGCACTGTGTAAAGGAAAATGACAACAAAGGATTTGGAAAGGGCCTTATGTACCTCTTTGCAGTGCTTCAAAAGAAAAACAGAAAACAGAAAATAAAAAGGGCCCTTCCTCGTCCGTCCACACAAGGTTGGACAAGAGAATCCTGACAAACCCCCTCGGTCTGTCTTGCTTCCAGCCGCACAGGTCTCCAGAGGAGGGGGACAGGTTGGTAATCCACGAGTCTAGTCCGTCGAGGCACATCCTCTACATCCACAGCTGACGCATTGTATATCCCGGTCTTCCTTCATCTCGGCTCGAGGAACTCGGCAGACGCACGTGCTATTGAAATTGGTCTCTTTTGTCTGGATACATCGTAGGCAGCATAGCTAAGGTGATACGAGCAATATATTAGTATTGAACATGAGAGGACATAATAAAAGAGAGAGAGGGACATGCACAGGGAAGGGAGGGCTCAAGGATCGCTCACCTTTTCATACCCTTGCTTCTTCCACTTAGCAATGAGCATGGCGTCGGCGTAGCCATTCTTTAGTAGCCAGTCATACAGCTGCTTACTGATGGCCTCCTTTTCGTAGTATAGGTCGTAGATGTACCGGCTCCTCTGGTGAGAGATCTGGAACACCTCCCACTGCGACTGGTGCTTGGGCCCCGAGGGAGCGGTCTTGTTTTGCGCGTCCTTCATCTTGTTGGAAAAGATGAGCAGGTCCTCCTCGATGTCGCTGAAGCCTTCAGGCGGGGGCTTCCGCTTAGAAGCATGACGGATGGCAGGCATTTATGTGTAGTGTCTTATCTCTTCTCTGTTTCGGTCGTTCTGCACTCTCGCGAGTTGGCAGAGAAAAGCCCGTTTCGATCGAAAAAGTCTGGCGTAAGATTCGAATTTTTCCCTTCTTCCTTTTCCGTACTTCCCTAGCCCAGGTGTCGGTGAGCCGGTTGGTGGAAAAAGGAGAATCGAATGCACTGTTCCAATGGGTGGGCTGTTCAGGGGTCAACCTCGCAGATTATGATGCTGGGGATGAACTTCTTTGTAGTCCGCAAGCTACTGTTGTTAAAAGTGGACGAGCAAAATGGGAGGTAGCGTAACCCCTCCAAGGTTCAATGATTGTCAAACAAGTGTGACGCTGCGCTTCCATGGGCCAGCTGCCAAGGTGGGATGCACGTGACCTATAGTTCCCCAGGCTGTTTATCCAATGAGTCTGTCTCCAATTGATTTGACCCCGTCGACAGACCCCAAGCCTGAGCGGCGTTAATCTGTTGTCGTCCCTCCCCCCGCTCTTCCCCGGATTTTGGAGAGAAAACAAAGAAGGAGAGAATCGAAGTCACCATCGCCCATCATGGCCATCACACCTACTCAGTTTGCCAAGAAGACGACGCAGTGTAAGTTGTTGGACCATGACACAAGCTCCCGGCGGCGGGCCACTGCTCTGCTCTCTCTCTCGGCTATTACCTCCGCCCTGTCTTCCCCGGTTAAACCACACTGCTGACGATGGCCTCTAGCCGCCAACTGGACGGAAGCAAAGCGTCGAGTTATTTCTTCTTACCGCGAATGGATTCGATCCGTACGTTTATATCCTTCTTTTTTCTTCTTTTTTGGATCCGCAAGATACGATACCCATCAATTGGATGCTCGTGCGCGCGACACTGATCGCGCTCGTACGATAAACATGGATTGGAGGACTGACTGGCTCCTGTGTGTCTAGGCCCCTGAGATGCAGACAATGTACAACATCCCCATGCCCGTGTCGGTGATTCGCACCCGGATACGCCAGGAATTCGAGCGCCACCGCTACGTCAACAAGCTCTCCGTCGCAGATGTCCTTCTGTACAAGTCGCACGCCGAATACCAGGTCAGAGACCCACCCCCACGAACCAGGAGAGATGGACCAGGACAAAGAGTGCGAGAGGGAAGGGAAACCACTGTTTGCTAGGCTGACACATTGTGGGCGTATGCAGGAGACTATGAACTTTTGGAAGCAGACGACGCACATCATGTCGTATTTCAAGGACGAGAACTTCCGAGGAGACAAGAGGCTGCCGTCGAACTTCATGTCGGGCTTCCTCCAGGTGAGTAGCATATGATAAACTCTCAACACAAATAATATGTGGTCGTTTATAAATAGCTAACCTCGAAACAATTAGGGACGCAACTGAGGACATGGCCAGGATATATTTGGCTTCCCCCCATGTTATGCAACATCTTACCAGTAGTTGCTTCCACCTTCTTTGAAAACAGCCGTTTTCTTTATATCTGTATCTCTTGATTTTCTGCTCTATAATTAGAAATGCTTGTCTAAGGAAGTAGCCAGTTCTCACGCAAAAACAAAATTCAGCTTTCTCCAAGGCCTGTCTATTTCATTTCACATCTATGCAGTCGTGCTGTGTTGTCGGCGGCTCACATTGCTTCCCCTTTCACCGGCTGATCCCATGGGCAGCGTTGAACTCCTGGCGCTTCGACCAAAACTCCTCGGCCACAACGTCGCAGCTCTCCTGCAGATCAACCAGGCCCTTCTTGAGCGCGTCGACGGCAGTACCCTCTGTACCACATTGATCAGCTTCCATGACTTCTCTTCGGCAGGTGACATCTAGATCCAACCCGGTCAAGCCTGACGTGGGCAAGACAAGAGAAAGGGCGGGTCAATCTTACCATATGTCTGAATGCGGATATTCATCTTGGGCTCTGAAGGGTGAGGAATGGAGTAGGCGCAGAACTCAACGTCAGGGCTATTTAGGTCAGTGTTCATTCTCACTACAACTTATATTTGCCCCCTTCCCGTATCAATAGTAGAAGCAGGCGCAATATGGAAGTAACTCACTTCTTCATGATAATGTACCTGAGGGCATTTCCTATTGTGTGACCCTCGTCAATGAACTCGAATGAGGCAGCAGTGTCGGTAGACCCAGGAAGCTGATATCTTCTCGTCAGTGACGGTGCCAACACAGGTCAGAGGAGGGGTGTGGATTGGCATACAATCTTGACGCGCTGAGGCTCCTCTTCCTCCTCTTCCTCCCCTTCCTCCTCATTCTCGTCGGTCTGAGGGTCCTCTGGCTGAGCGGATGGCGGGGCAGCGTCATCCATCTCCGCGTCTTGAGAGGCCGTCTCGATCTTTTTTGTTCGTCCAGGCATGGCTGTGTCTCGTGTGTCTCGAGTCTATTTGAGTCTGTCCTCTACTGACAGATGTGATCCCTTTTCTTCTTCTTGCTTTCCTCGTTATGATTCGGTGGGATTTCCAAGTCTACAAGGTTTGTCCAAAGATTGTGGCGGCTGGGAATATCTCACGAGTCATCAGTCTATTAGCTTCTGGAAATTTTGTTCGATGAATTTGATAATGTGGCGCACTGATCATGGCTTGCGCCACAAGTGACGTTTAAGTGAAAGTGTCTGTGTGGCGTAGTTTTTTTCGACTTTCTTCCATCTCTTTGACCGTTGTCCGCCAACATGGAGATTTCTCTCGTCAAGAATGGCAACACCACATATGTTTCATGGAATGTCCGTCAACGCTGTCCAACTGTTTCGCATATCCTTCATCTCGGGCGCGGTGTGCGCGCATTATATGCATTGTTCCTTATGATATTGCACTCACACACGCGACACACCGAGCTCGAAAATATGTTTTGGAATATTTATTTTATTTTCTGTTCTGTTTTCACTCGTAATTTAACTCTCTTCACGATAGCGTTGTCGCGTCTCACCAAGTTAAGTAATATATATAAAATAGTACTGCCTGTAGTAGTAACAATACTACTCCACTTACTCCTCCGTCTTGTATCGATGGCGCCTTTGGTAAAACCGGCATCACAACCATCCGTTAATGTTTTTTTTTTTTTTACGGGGACAAGGCCGAACAGTCCACCGCTATTAAGGATATTTGCTTTGCGCGTTGCGCTCAGGTTTCGATGTGCAATACTCAACTCCGTACTTGCAGTACAGACGAAACAACGGCGGAACGGACTTTTTCCCAAGAAGAACTAGAGAGGTGTCGAAGCTGGTATGAGACATATTGTCACCGAATCTTGCTGCAAAGTACAGATTACTCCTTCTTCAGTCAACGACTTGTAAATCATCAGTACCAGAGTGTTAATATTGCAATGAAGAATAGGCAAAGGGGGGGGGGGGACTTTCAGATTGTCTGTCCCGTCTCACGAAGCCTTTGACAAAAACCTACATACGACTCCTCCGTTGCTGGTATAACCTACCTGTATAAGTAATAGTACTGTATTAGTGCTTGAGTGCCTCCTCCGCCTCATAAAACCCATGACTGAGGGTTCCCTCTTGTGAAAAGACTTGAGAGTTGAAGAGGGGGGTGTCTGTACGAGGTGGGTGTGTGGGCTGAGACGAACCAAGGCTGAGGGAAACTGAGAGGCCATGTCGACGCCAATCAGGGGCAGCGGGAAGTGGCTCCTTATCCCTGCGAACCTGAGACACAGTCTCAGGTGAAAAGCCCTTTCGTACTTGTACCACCGAAAACTGCACTTTTTTTTTATTCCTCCTGACGAATACGGTGTATTGAGTACCTTTGTCTTCGTTCTCTCTCTTTCTCTCTGCCATGGGAACTGGTACCATTAGTTCCGGCAGTAGTAAGAGCCGGCAATTGACGCTTCAACAACGAAACACGAGGATGATATATAATTTTCTTCGCCACCACAGTGTCATGATAATTATACAGACAATGCGCTTGAATTCAGCGTCTTATCCGTCTATATACTTGTTTCCGCTCATGAATAAATACAATGGGGTCCGAAACTCTGATACTCGCACAGAAAGAGAGAAGGGAAAAGAGTACTCCGTATAGCGTGTTCTAATAGCGAAGAGCAACACTCGTAAGTCGCGACCATTTGCCGGTTGTCGGTGCCGCTTGATAGATTCATCTTTCCTCTCTCCGGCTCCTTCGCTCCCCTCTCTTTCTAGCTTTACAGTGCACGATTAATTTCCATGTCGCTACGTCGTGGAGGAGAATTTTTATCTGGACCCATACACGTACGCCGTAGTACTGTACTGGCCCGACCCAGCCTTGCGGATCATACTACCTGACCGGGCGCTTATCTCAACTCGTCACCCGTATTGCCCCATCATCGATGAGCGACCATGCAAGAGGGTGAGGAAGAAGTTGTAATAGTGTGAAGAGAAAGGAGAGGGCGACAGCGGCCGTCATATCAACTTCTTATCCGTACATGTACGTCGTAGATGCACGAGACTTGTGGAGAAGACTGCGGTGAGCGGTAACACACGCAAGACAGGGACGACGTCTGACTGATGTATCGCCTGCCCTGGCACGATCGCCAACAAGCATCGTGTATGTATGCGTATATCTGTACGTGCGTGAACATGGCCTACGACGTACTCCGTATTATATTCCATCTATCGAAGCAGTAACTATAGCCCCGTGCGCATTCGTTACGTGCGGCGTCTTGCGCAGCTTGCAAGCCAGCTTGGCGACTAAAACTGGAGTGGACACGCTGTGGGGACCGTGACGACAGAACGATCTTCAGGGACTTCACTAATAGGTTGCTAATCTCTCTCTTTTGTTGGCATCCCTCCCTTGTGTCGCTGGGATTCTTGTAATACTCGCAGTGATAGAAAAGCTTTGGCATGATGTGATGTTTCAAGGGTGTGAAAAAGAATGATGCTCGTGATCATACGGTAGAGATGATAATCATAAGCCTCGGTACTGGTCTTGGGTATTAGCACGTACCTGGTAGATCCGTCGAAACGTGGCGCGACCAGCGGTAGTACAGGGGTCTTTTTTGCATATGTACAGATTAGTTGTACTCATTGATACTTGGTAAGAGTAATCACGATGTTGACCTGTCAGCTTTCTGCCATCCCACCAGCGGGCGGCGTCTTGGTCGCCGACGTAGGAAAAAGTGCGCGGCCCGCCACAACTGCAGCACAGACGTTGAGGACAGCAAAGCAGCGGCGGGGGCCGATCATCGCATGCCAGCAACGATCATTTCCTCTCTCTCATTTTTCTTTTTGTGCCTCTTGTTCGCTGTTCGCATCCAGACGGGGGTCCGTTTGATGTTTGTAACGATGGCCCGTGACCTTATATGCAATACACCCACGGTGATAGATGACACCTGGGAAGGAATAGTGTGTGCGTCATCGAGGTCTCAATAACAAACGTTGGCGTTTGAACGGTCGAGAAGCTACATTCGTAAGGAAGAGAGAAGATGTAGTAGCCAACAGCCAGCTCACAGTATCTTAGCGCCTGGAGAAGTGCAATCGGCTAAGAAAGACAGGTCGTGTCGGTTCTCGACCGGGAGGGTGGGGGGCAACCCAACCCAACTGGACCGGACAAGACAGCAAAAAAAAAAAAAAAAAAAAAAAAAGGAAGGAGGAGGGGGAGCCGTCAATCATTCAGGGCCGAGATACTGCTAGAAGAGCCTGGCCTAGGTGGTAGGCGAAGCAGAGACAGAAGAAAAAGAAAGGAAAAGGTCTAGGATGAGTCCTCGTACGGCCACACCCCCCGCTTGGCTGCCGGAGTGGAAACCCCTGGTCTCGTCGTCCCATGATTGTCGCGCCATGGAAACATACGTCGTAGGTTTTAGCTCGCTGTGGAGAGCCTAGGAGAAGCAGTTTTGAGGCTTCTGGGCATTATTGCTACTAGTACGTACGGAGTAATTACTAATACTACTCCTCCGTACTACGGTATTACTACTCGTAGTATTACGATCTACGAGTACTCTTTCAGTGGGAGGAAGGAGCGAACACCCATTGACTGGCAATGGCAACGACACTCGAGCGCCGTACCTAGACTATGGCACATCCCCTGGCCCTTTTGAATACCTGTACAGGTAAAGTCCGGTCGATGAACCCGAATATTATAAGAAGCAGCTCAACTGCAGTATGTCCCAACGTGGTCATTCGTGCAGGACCTCAAACAGAATCTGCCATACTCTCCGTAATAGCTGGTTGGCAGAAGCAATAATACCTGCCTGCTATATTAATGAACGGTCCTTGATATTATACCTACCAGGCTAGAACGCAGTACGGGCTCTATACTCCATACAGCGCAAGGTTATCCCTGGGGCCTAGGGCACACAGGTTTCCAATTCCTGGTGTGTGGGCGCCCAAAATGCCCCTCCCCTGCAACCCCTGCTGGCCGCCAGTGGCTGGGTAGGGGGAAGGGGGGTGTATGGTCTTTATCACAGTGTCACCAGTAAGCCCCGAGAGTCAGGTTCTCCGCGCCACTAATACAGAGTCGATATATATGTACAGAGCTGTAAAGAGTTCACGTACTGGATGCCCGGACGAGGGCAATGATAATACCTGTATGATTCTTCCCATCCCTATCGCCTACTCGTAGGGTGTTGTATTAACCTCTCGATCTCGTACACACAAATCGCCCCCTCCCTCGTAGGAAACAAGGCCCCCTCCACCCTTCGTGCTAGCTGCAACAGTCGAAGCATCAGGTCAAAGGTAGTAACAGGGATCAACTTGTCCACTCAGCCCGATCCGAGCGGCCAAGCACCACGGGGTCTTGGGGGTTCTAACCAGAAAGAAGTGGAGAGAGCGGAGAAGCAGCCCTAGTTTGTTCGATCCCCCAAGACGTCTTAAAACACGTCGTCGTGCCCCTCTGTCCTGTCCTTTACATTTCATTCTACGACTCTATAATACCTCGTACCTACCGACCGTTACGAGTGCTTCATAGTACGGAGGTGCTTCTATTACTTGTAGAGTTACAGGTACTTGTAATACTACACGCAATACTCGTATTCCCACAACCAGTACGACTACGCAATACCAGTATCGCTTCTCGGCACTAGTTGGTAACATTGATTTCTTTTTTTTTTAATACCGGGTACTACGAGTACATATACGCACTACGAGTAGAGCACTACGGAGTACGGTAATACTAGCGCCGCCCCTGCGACTAGCATCGCCAGGTTACTCGGTACACCCTACGAGCGAGCTGCTGTTTAGCGTCTTTAGCTCTCTGCCTACCACATCCAGTACGAGACGAGTATTTACCTGCGACGGAGTGCGGGTGATACATACCAGTACGGAATAGTACCCCCAAGTACTCCGTACCTTTTTTTTTCTCTTTTAGTACGAGAATTTCACTCCTCTTACCTGTACGTCGTAGGCCCCTCCAACACCCCTGGCTCCTTCTCCTCCTGCCTCCTGGTTCAAACAACTGGACCTGCCTTGTCAAACCTCCTCCCTCGCTCTTTCCTTCTTCCCCTCCCCCCCCCCCCTCTCCCTTCTTCCCTTCCTACTTTATTCTCTTGACCTTCCTCAATATTAACACGCCAGACGCTCCAGTTCCAACTACGAGTTTTCATCTCTCACCTTCCATCATCGCTTCTGCTGCAACAATATATATACCATTCGGAACTACCCCGGTCTCTGCCTGCTTCAGCTCCTTGGCATACGTTACATACGCGCCCCGTCTTATTACGACAGCGAACCTCGTCGACCAACGACTGGATTTATATTAATTACACGACAACGAACCTCGAAGCAAAAGGCAATCGAGTCCACCAGCACCATCCTGCATTTTTTTTCCTCATTCCTTGTAATTTCACCCACGATTGGTCTGACGCGCAGTCCTAACGACGGGCCCATTTCGACTTTGGGCACGGCGCATCCACCACATTCCTGTCGCCTCTAGCCTACCTCGGTCAACCTAAATTGTCCCAGCACGCGCCACACCATCCCCCGTGGTCCACCCCGACAGGATATCACTCAACAACAAGGAAACGAAAAAAACGTCCCCTCCTCCCGAACCAACTCGGGCGCGCGAGCTTTTCCTTCCAAATCATGAGTGCCGCAATCGCAATGGCTCCTTCGCCGGCACCCCACGAGAGGACCGCTCCCTCTGCAGCTTCTGAAATGCCCGCCCCGGCTCCTCCCGCCAGGACTGTTGCTGCTACCACCTCCACAACTGCTGCCGCTGCTGGCAACTCGCCCTCGTCCCAACGGACCGGTCCCATTGCCCTCTCGGCACCTAACGCTTCTACTACCACCACTACCACACGGTCAACAGGAAGCGTGAGCCCTAGGACTCGAGGCCTCTCTTCTTCTTCTCCTGCCAGGTAAGCCAGCAGCAGCTTCTGACGCAATCCCAGGCTTTCCATGGGCACTTACTGACGGTCCCCCCCCCTCTCCAGTGTTCGCAGTAAGAATGGGCCACCACCTCCCAAGATTGTGGTGAAGAAAGAGCCTGGCTCTCCTACCATGCCTAACTCGCGCCCCCGTCCCTCGAGACTTGATCTCTCCAAGACGACGCTGTCCAAGAACGCCAACGGGTCCCAATCTGCGCGTCCACTTACAGCACGCGACCCTGTCAGCATCCAGGAGATGGGCATTCACTGCCTCTCCCCAGGCTTCGTCACCGACGACCCCACGATGAAGAACCACATCCAGCGCAGCATGTCTGTGCGTGAACAGCAGCGTCACATCATCGAGGCAAGACTGCACCAGCAATCAGCCAAGGGCGACAGCACTACCGACGGCAACAGGGAATCTGACCTAAACTTTGCCGCCAAGACACCTGGTATGTCGCGTAGGAATAAGGCCCCGCCCGGTCTGTCTATTGTAGCGCCCTCGCACACGCAGTTTTCCAAAGAGAGGGTCATTCAGTCGGCACCTCTGGGCCACAGCTTCACTGGTCGCCAGGAGCCCGTGCCTGCAACTCGGCACTTTGCCAGTCAAGCTGCGCACCTGTCCAATTCCACGCATATCCACCTCACGCCAGCCAACCAGACGGACAACCGCTTGCCACCTATCAGCGATGTCTTCGGTCAGGGCCTGTCGGCACACCATGACAATGTGCCGCATACGGCCTACCCCACCGCTGGTGGCCGGGGCATGCCGGTCTCCCCCAGCTATCCACCCACAGCGTCCACAGCGCAGCAGATCCCCGGAAGGAGTAGAGAGTACAAGTCAGCCGAGGAAGCCCAGCAGGACTTGGCTGGCGGACGCCCGGAGCTTCTACCCAAGCTCGTACACTACGGCGTCCACCAGCCGCCGACTCCACCCTCTCCAGCCCCGGGAAGCCGCAGTACGGGCAAGAGGCGGACACGTGCCGAGTACGAGGACGGAGCCAGCCCTCCCTTGGGCCACGGCCCCGCAACCTCTAGGCGAGGCCCCTTTGGTGCGGGCCGCGACAGTCCCGAGACTCAACGTCAAAAGCGTGACGAGTTCCTCAAGCTCTGCGAGAGGGCATGGGATCTCTTCCACTCCTGAGTGGGCTTTTCCTTTGATTGTATTCACTTACATGACATTGCTATGTTCTAATGTTGAGTCCTTTTTGTCAATTACCGGTTTTTGGAGCTTGACAGACTGTTTCTTATCCTGAAGCTCTAGTGGAGGAACCATATTTTGTTATCTTTGTCTATTTCCCTCTATTTGGTTATTGCGCATGGCATGGAGTCCGCGGACTACCTTGATTTTACTTTATTTGTTTCTCCCGCATTTGGTCTGGTGCTTTTTTGGTTGGGGTTGGGTTGGGTTTTCAATGGTTTTGGTTGGTGGGGTGTGTTGGAGGCGCGGGAGGGATGTTGTTTCTTTTCATGTCTCGCAAGGATAATTAATATACCCAACCCCTTGAGGTTATCCTTATTTATTTTAAAAAAAGAGGATTGACTCGTGCCCTTTGTAGAACAGGAAAGAAGGTTTAGTAGAAATGTCCTGTCTTGTTAAAGGTCTTATTTTCTCTGATCGAGAAATTTGTCAAGCTCATCAGGAATCACATGTACAAGTTGAATGATTTCGTCTTTGGCCATTTGTCATGACAAGACTACCCATGACTCAAGGGGAGCTAAAAAAAAATGTTCAAAGAAAAATTTGGACTGATGAGACTTACATGTCCAGATTGCCCGTGTGGAACAACGTTTGCCAACAGGGCTACTATATACCTTTTGCTTTGCCCTTCCCTCCTGTCTCTCGAGTAAATCTTGACCAAGTTGTAAAAAAATTTGAGAGGGAATAGGGTGTAAGGAGAAAAAAGTCCTGTCTCATGAATGCATAAACCGTTCGACGAGAGAAAACACACGCACCACAACGCCAACGCAGTAAAAGGATATTAAGAAAAAGCAAAGGACCAAGCTACCTCCCCCCGTTTCCAAATGAATCAGCAGTAATGCCAAAAAAAAATCATAGTAAAAGAAAAGAATGAACAAGAATGTGACATGGAAAAAAAGTCATAGTGAGACTGTGGGGCTGTTGGGACCGTAAAGAGAATGGGTCCCTTTGAGAGAGGAGGAAGACCATGACGGGAGCATGAAGAAAAAACCACAAGGTGCTTGCTTTGGTCTACTAAAGAGTAATTCGAAAAAGCCCCTCCCGTACATGTAGTACTTAAAAAGAAAGAAGAAAAGCAAACTGTGAATCGCGTTATAAACGCCTCCCATCTTGGCACTCCTTTTTTCCTCTCTCTTTATGAACAGCCATTCTTTCTACTTTGCAATGGCAAGCAGAAGCAGTAGAGTGATGGCGTATGTGATGCAAAGATGTTAGGACAGTCGGCTTAGCTGGCTGACCTTGGCTGAGAGAGACCCCCCCAAAGGCCTGTTCATTGCATTCTGACCATTATGGGAAGCATGACAGGCTGGTTTTGTGTCACAGTCCCTCCTCTCCGGCTTTGCATAGCGTTATATCCCGCGCCCATTCCGACTTGAGGACCTGGGCGGCTGTGAGACGCCTGGTGGGGTTGGGATCGAGGACTGAGTAGATGACATTGCGGCATCGGGCCTGGAGGAAGAGCAAAAGAGTTAATACAGGAGTCAAAAATGTACTGGAGGGACGGCTTTGCTTTCGTCAATAGTTAACTTACCCTCGTCAGCGATTCAATCGGGCCGTAGCCCCCCTCGTCGCGACGACCCTCGAGGTAGCGGGCGTAAAACTCGTCCTCGTCCTTCTTAGCCAGGCGCCAGAGGTGACGGCCGGTGCGCATGGCCATATAGATGACGCCACAGGCCCAGACGTCCACGGCGCGTGCGTCAAACTCTTTGTCTGTATACTCCTCAGGGGAGATGTAAGGGGCGGAACCGCACAGGCCCGAGACCATGTGAGCGTCGGCTTCCCAGGCCATGCGGAAACACTCGCCGTTACCGAAGTCGGTAATCTTGAGGCCGCCGCGGGTGGTGAGCAGTAGGTTCTCAGGCTTGAGGTCACGGTGAGCGACACCCATCTCGTGCAGGTACTGGACGCCCCTCATCATCTGCTTGAAGAAACAGTCGGCCTCCTGGATGTCGAGGCGGCCGCTCGACAGGACGAGCGTGTACAAGTCGCCGCCGGCGCAAAACTCCATAACCTCACAGTAGTCGCCCTTGGCATCCTTGACCAGGTCGAGGGTGTGGATGACATTGGGGTGGCGGAGCGACGAGGAGATGCAGAACTCGGCCGTCAGGCGCTTGCTGTACTTCTTCTCCGTTTCTTCTGGGCGGCGGCGGAACTCCTTGACAGCGTACAGCTTCTCGGTGCTGCCGCCTATCTTCTTGTGGGAGATGCGAACGATTCCAAAGGCGCCGCGGCCGACAACCTCGTGGCACTTGCCGTACTTTTCGACCAGTGTGGGCGTGTTGTTGGGCCCACCTCTCCTGTCGCCAGCCTCATCCTTTTCCTGCCGCAGGGCATCTACCCAGTTGTTGACGAGGGACAGGTCGCTGTCCGGTAGATCCTGCCTCTTGCCACCGATGAGGGTACGCCACATGTCAGACAGCTTCTCCTGCCGGCGGCTTGACTTGAGGTGGTGCTCGTGGCCGCCGACCAGGGACGGGTTGACGACGAAGCGCTGGAAGGACTCCTTGGTGGGGGAAGGCTTGGTCGGCTTCCCTTGGTCCGAGGCGGACTCGTTGCGCGACATGGGGGTCGAGGTGCCATTGTTCAGCGAGGATCCCCTTGCGCGGCCATTGGGCTCACCACTTGCGCTGCTGGCGCTGCTGGGTGCCTTGGGGACCTCCTTAGTGGAGAATATTCGGCTGAAGCGCTCCTTGACCGTCGTCGTCTTCTCAGACTTGTCGGCAGCGGCAGGCCTCAACAAGGAGTCGCCGTTGAATGCATTGGTAGATTCATCGATGGAGGGGTCGGGTGACTTTTGTGGTTTTGGGGGGGGCTTGACGAGTCCATCGGCAGATTTTAGAGACGACGGCTTGGAGGAGGGAGCGGAGGTGGACTTTCTGGAGGCGTCGAGATTTGTTGCAGGCATGGTTCTGAGTTGTGTGTGGAAGAGATAAAGTATTCCTTCTTTGTTGTGCGATGCGCTGAAATGCAATATACCACCCTAAGTCACGAAGTAGATTCGAGGACGAGCAGCTGACGAGCAGCGAGGCTTGTGGAGGGAGAAGCCGACCGAACTGAGAGAAGTGTGGTGGCGAGGAGGGATGAAGAACAGCCAGGTGTAGACAGGCAAGCTAGGGCGGGCGGTCGACCAGCTTATGTGATGATGGATGGCCGTGGGTATTCGGAGTGGCGCAGGCGATTAAGGCGTGCGGTAATGCGAGCGGCAGGCGGGCGAGCGGCAAGTGGGCGAGCGGTAATGGGCGTGCGTCTAGGTGTTTGTGGAAAAACGTAGGTGACGAGCTACCCGTCAGACAAGTGCGCGCTAGGGCGCCGAGACTGCTTCGTAGGACGGACAAAACGAAGGCAATCGGTCGTCACCAGACGACGGACACGGTATTATATAGACGAGTATAGGAAGACGTAAGAAGGGCGTATGAGAGAGTGTTGTGTGGTGTACTTGTATATATGTGGGTGTGGGGGTGCGCAGTGAGGGGCGTGGTGCGTGTAAATGCGAGGTTGTGTGGGTGTGTGTAGAGACGAGTTGCTGCTGATGCGGCTGTTGTCGTTGGTAATCTGAGAGACAAGAAGGGTTTGACGCGCGTTGGGTTTTGCAGGTGGGACGAGGAGTGGTCGCGAGAGAGTTGAGGGGGGGGGGAGAAGGAGAAGTTTGGAAATAAGATTGAAGAAGTAAAAGTGAAAAAGAAAAGAAAAGAAAAGGCGAAAGTAAGGGAAAGGAGGAGGAAGAGAGAGAGAGAAGGAGAGGGTGGATGAGGGCGAGGGCGAGGGCTGCGTATGTAAGTAGTTACAATTAGTGCTAGTAAGTGGGCAATGGGCAGTGGGCAAGTGGACAGTGGACGGTGGGCGGGTAGTTGGCACTCGTACAGGCAATAGTAGTAGGTAGTACTTATTAGTGGGAAAATGGGAAGATGGGGAGCGAGCCAAGGTAATACTACTAATACGGAAGAGGAGAAGGGAAAGGGGAGTCTAAAGGAAGGAGCAGAGAGAGAAGCGACCAGAAGGTAGGAAGGAGCCAGCCAACTATTAACACGACTGTTACAGTGTAATAGTAGAAGAAGTAGTACTGCCACCCATAGCATCATTTCTCTGACAGTAGCCTACGAATACGAGTATATTAGGGGGGGAAGGGAAAAGAGGATAGTGACCGACGGTAAGGAAGGAGCATGGAAGGCGAAAGTCGAAGAGGCAAGAGTGGAAGGGCCAAAAGCGGGCAGGATCAATGAGTGGCCCGGGAGAGAAGAAAAAAAGTGAAAGTGGTGAGGTAACGGGATGGGCCACCAGAAAAGTCGAGAATCGGGGTTCAAGTGCAGCACCAGTGGTGCAGCAAAAGGTGGGTTCCATGTCTTTTGTCCAGTCTTTTTTTTTTTTTTTCCCCCTCCTCTCCTTCTTTCTCTCTTGGCACTATAGTGGGGACCGAACTTGCAGAGGTACTAGTAGTAGCAGTATTGCCTTGCAGACTTGACTTGCAATCTTGCAGAAGAGCCATTACATGTATGATTTCCGAAAGTTTGCATTCTGACTCTTGTAGAGTTGTTACTGGGTGCTTGTGACTATGAGAGTTATACTGCATATCATCGTGGTTGTCAGGATATGTAACCGGTACTGCGGACGGAGTACCACAGTCCGTTCACTGGAGTATGTATTAGTAGGTATGGAGCTGTAGGTCGCAAGGGCACACGCATCGCATCGCACGGCAGCTTTCTCACTCAGCCTTCTCACACTCGCTCTCTCTCTCTCTATTTCTTAGCGCTTTAATTTCCTTTCTTCCTTCTTTCTACCTGCAATATACTGATATTCGTAGTATTCGGAGGCCAGAGGTTACATTCATCAGTACTCGTAGTGCTATGCCTTAAAATGATCCCTCCCTGTATGTGTCCTTACTCTGCTCTTACTTCTCATCATGCCACCAACTAGCATGATTGTTGAGGGAAATAAATCGACCGACAGAGAGAAAGAAAGAAAAAACCACTTCCCAAGTACTAAGCACTGTAGTAGTATTACAAATTACAATATGTGCACAGGACCATCAGAATCAGGAAATGGCTCGGGGTTCCTTGCCCACCGCCTAATATTGATCTGTACCAGTCTAGAAGTATTATCACTACAGCGTGTTTCCGTTGGTGGGCTGGTCTTAGCGCATTTTTGCCGACGGCTAACGGATACTCGGTGCCGAGTGATGCGTGCCGCTAAAAAAGACCGGGAAAATAATTATTATTATTAAGAGAGAGTACGACGCACATACGTACAGAGGGTTTTGCAAATAATATCGTCATCACCGAGCGTGCTGAGTAATAATCCACATGGGCTTCCTTCGTTTTCGGCAACACCACCTGAGCGTTTTCCTTCCGTTTTGTGTTGCGCTGTCGGTTATGTGGCGATGATGTGGTTTTTGTTTGGTGTACGGATACGTCATATGTCGTGTCATCCTTTTTTTTGGAAGACTTCAGTTCCATCTATAAAAAAATAAAACACACAAAAAGACTCATCAGGTGATAACGATATTAGAGGGGAAGGACACCCTGCGACGGCCGAATGTGTCGGCAACGAAGACACGATACGCCGGATGAAGAACAAGAGAAAGAGGGTGAGAGATGGTGGGGGAATGGTTTGAATGACCAGAGCAGGAGCGGGGGTGCAATGACGCAGGGTTCGAGTTGTCGCCTTCCCCTCCTCCTCCTCCTCCTCCTCCTCTCCCCGCGTCTTGCGCGCCATAACGTACAAGTAACGAACGGCAGATACGGCACTCTGTAGAGATGAGACGGGAGCGTATGGAAAGAGGAGGAGGGAGGGCATGTACGGGTGTATGGATTCATATGTGGTGATCATCGCAGACGTCGGGAGGGTCGTATTATACTAGCACCATGGTAGTGTCCGTCCCATTACCGCAGTGACAGAGTACTTATGTAACATGACTAGTAAGTAGTAGTGGTGGCAACTCGTGACCTACGTTTTCTGCACTTCGCCGTCTTCCGTATACTCTGTAAGGGTTGAAGGGATGATATGTGCTTGATCGAATAATATAGGCCCTGGTCAGATGATGCCATTTCGGAGAAGACAGGCAGAGAGATGGGGGGGGGAGATGGGGGGCATGACTACTCTGTCTTTATTACCCTACTAATTGCTATGGCAATACTCGTACCAGTAGACATCTACGAGTAATACTGCATTTCGCCAGCCATACGTTCATCTATACGCAATACTCCGTATTACATAGTACTGTAACAATGGGCATACATACATGTATCCTTAACATCGTCCCCACCAAAAGGGCTAAGACTTATCAATGCACGCCCGAGGAAGAGGGGGAGAAGAACAGGAGAAAAAAGAGCGGACATGCGACATAGTATGCGTAAGAAGACAATGATGCTTAACTATACAGTTCTTTCTCCCTTGTTTGGGAAGAAATGACATACAGTAGATTTCCCCCCAACATGAGGGGCCATCTGGGTACGAATAGCATTACTACTAGTAGTGGTGTACTAGGTATCGTTCTTAGGGCTTCAGTCTTCCTGGCAAAGAAAGAAAATTGCCGAGTAAAAACTTCTTCGTCTCATATAAAATGTCTCCTCTCCAATGCGCTCACACCTCACGCAGGATGAAGGGAGCGCCGCTAGGGGAGGCCGCCCATGGCTTGGCCGTGCTTGGCCGTCTCGGTACGCCGGTTGCGGGGAGGGGGAGGGGAAGAGAAGGGAAGGGAATCAAATTGTATGCCCGGCTCATGTTGACTACTACTGCTACTACTACTACTACTACTACTACTACTACTACTACTACTACTACTACAAGAGGTAAGAGGGAGGCAAGCAGGGATCGAGAAGTACCATTCGCGGATGGGCTTTCCATGTGAGCCAGCCCAGCCATCTTGGCCTCGGGTGAAGACTACCACCGTAGGTTGTAACGTATATTGATATTTACCCGTGGCTTACAGATAATGGTTTAGGTCTTTTTACTCATACACGTTGAGTCTTGGCAGGACCGATTGAAATATATTACTACTGGACAGGTTACGACTACTATACGGATACTACATACTATTACTACAGATTACTACTACCAATAATACTACTTACTACTAATACTACTATTCTAATATTACTCCGCGCACACATATCCTAGGATCATCATATATCACCTACCCTCGACCTATATTCAATTCAGACATCATAGCACTGCACCCATACTAGAGAAGGGAAGAACACGACATCGTAGACATCGTTCGGCGTCCTGTTTCTGCATTGTGAATGAGGCATTTGATCCAACATAGTACATTGCGGTGATACTCAGAACTAGCAGTAGTGCTGTACTACCAACAGCATTGTAAGCATGACGATACCATCATACCATTCCCAAAGGTTGTTCCTCCTTCTATTCCTCTCATCTTCTGCCCTCCTAAAAGCGGCAACCTCGACTCTTTTTTTTTTGCCGTTGCGGCTTACCTGTTTGGGGTTGCCCTTTTTGCTTCATCTCTCCCACCGTTTCCTCTCCCACCCTTCCCACCCTCTCTCTCTTTCTATCTCTATTTTAGAGAACAAACCCTTACATCTGTCTCGAATGCTGGCTAGCCCTGTACTTGTATGCTCATCAATATTTGTTGCATGGTCTCACCGCTACGACAATTGCCATTATCGTACATGGTCGACCATTCCGTACTTGTCCGATTCGCTTACCAATGTTTCCATCCGTACTCGTACAAGCCACTCAGTTGTAGACTCCCTCCTCCGCCAAATGTTCATGACAGAATACATAGAAACCCCTCCACCACTCAAACAGTAAACATGTCCCTCAATCAATCCATGCATCTCCTTCAACCCTAATGCAGGTGCAGAGAAGCAGCAAACCGCTTCGGCCCCTTCACTCCCTAGCTCCCTTTTTTCCTTTTTCCCTCCTTCTGTCTCGCCGTGCCCCCCTTGTCTGCGCTTCCCTGTAATGGACAAGAGAACATGATGATCTCCTTTCTTTCTTCTGTTCATCAATCCTTATCTTCAACGTGTTTTACTCCGTCGTACTCGTATCTTGTATTATATGCAACAAGGGGGAGGAAAATGAGGGAAACATGGACCGGATATTCAACATCTGCTGGTTCGCACAAGCGGTGAGACAAAATCAACACACGCAACAGAACATTTACATCCACACGCCCCTCCCCCTATTTTATTTCTATTTTTATATCCTACTTGGGATAACCGTCAGTACCTTGATATCCAACAACATCACCATCCCCCTCCCCTCTTCCCTCAGTAAACGAGGAGGGAAGGGGGAGGGGGGTATCTAAGATGATATTGCGACACATGAGTGAATACAGTAGACTCATATCAAACCCCCCCCCCCGACGTTTCAGCTAACATGTTCAACTCTGCTCGTACTCACATATAAGCAGGGCCTCACCGATCTTCACGTCCTCTAGTGTGCCCCCAAACTTCACCCCTCCCCCCCTCTCCCCTTCCCGAGAGGAACCATGTCCCTGGTATTCGTCTTCTCCTTTCTTTTTTCCCCCTGTTTCTGCCGCTTTTACGATCGGACCACTGGGTAAGCTCTGGCCATGCCATGTGCCCGTAACCTTTAACGGACAGGAGTTTATCAAGTCTTTGGAACCTGGGAAGGTGTGGGGGGGGTATAGCTATTAGCCCATGTATATGCACGCAGTATCACCCACGGACTTTCAGCCATGAGCCATCTCGGATGGCTGCATAACACTACCGTGTCCCAGCTCCTGTCCCGTGTATCGGGACGTACTTGTATGCATGACGCCTTGGCCCCGAGACTCGTGGTACGACATAAATATGTCGAGTAATGCTCTTTTGTAGCCAATGTGTTACTCCCTAGCAGCCTTGATGCCGACTATATAACATCTACCTACTGCCCGCCCACCGCTTATCCACTCATGTAGTACATAATGTCATCAAGTACTGTTACCTACGTATACCGAAGCAATTCCCTCTTCTCTCTTTCCTACCATTTTATGGCCCCCTCCAAGACCTCCTTGTGCGTCCTAGGAGAATGGGGGGTGGGAGGGAGGGGGGGGGGTTTCCGTGTCTTCGCTGTTGCTCGAAAACTGGATCCAGAGATAGCTAGATCCTCAGCTCCAAAGAGCTTCTTCCATGTGCAGTATCGTGCACCGTGAACCGCCGTGCCTCTTGAATCGCATTTTATGCGTCTGCCTCTGGTCTTGGAAGTGTGGTTTCGCCAGAGTCCTTCATTCCAACTTGGGACATCAGTTCAGCTAGTCGGCTTCCTGCCGACGTCGTAGCCTGCCCCGAGTTGTCAACCTGCTCCTCGAGTTCCCCCGAGTCGTTCTTGTACTCGACAAACCGTGTACGGTAGACCGTAGGCTTGCCCTCTTGGCTCGACTCGAGCTTCCTGACTGCGTCCTCGTATGCTCGGTCGTACACGTCAAACTCAACAGCTGTCGGGGAGTCGGCCACAACATTGGGACTGGCATCGCCATCGAAAAAGTTACTGTTTGCGCCCGTGCCAATGCCTAGAAAGAGTGTCGGATTCTCCTGATCACCCGACTCCTGACCTGAGTCATTGAGGATGGCGCATTGCCTTCCGTCAGCTCCTTGGCTGCGGCACAAAAATGCACGACGCGCCTCAAGAAGTGCCTCGATCTCCTCAGCCTTGGCCTTCTCTTCGATAGGATCAAAGCCGGGTTCTTCCGTCCCAGTTCCTTGAGTTGTAGTCGTAGCCCTAAGAGACGATGGTCTCTTATCGCCAGTACTTTGATCACGGCTTTTTTTTGCCAGCAAGCTCTTGAATTTGTAGAGAACTTTCATGACGTAGAGCAAATGGTTCATTTTCCGCGTGAATGCACGGCTAATTTCGAGTTCATTGGGCGGTTCAATGTGATGAGCGCAGTTTTCTTTTTCGGAAAGCAGGGGATCAGTTCCCTCCTTGGTCACCCATGGATGTTCCTGCAAGGACAATGTCAGTGCCATCTCTTACACTTTGAGTGCGCATGGCCGCTCTCACACGAAGTTGCGGCATTTGTATCCGTTTCTCAGGGTCCTTTTCTAGGATCTTGCTAAATAGATCCTTGAGGGTGGGATTCTCATCGGCAGGTATCGTCGGCTCGTCGGATTTGATGGCCTCGTACATCTTCATTATGCTGTCCCGGTTGAACGGTATCCGTCCGTATCTGAGGCAGAAGAGCGATACGCCCATTGACCAAATATCGGCTGCCGCACCTGAGACTTCGCCATGCTTGCCACAGAGCTCTGGAGGCAAGAATGCGGGTGAGCCAGCAGACTTGTTCGTCTTCATCTCGCTTTTTTTTTCAAACATTTGCGACACACCAAAGTCGACGACTTTGAGAACGTTGTCTTCCGAGAGCAGAAGGTTGTCGGGTTTGATGTCTCTGTGTATAACCCCCTGTGCATGCACTTTGGTCGATATTGTGTCAGTCCACGAAATGCCAGCCTATCTGAGTATTGGGAAGCGAAGCAGACAGTGATACGCACGGTATTCAATGCCTAATATGAGGTCCCTGAACCAGTACCGGCATGTTTCCTCGCTGTAGGGGGTCACGTCTTCGTCGAGACCAACCTTCATGACCACCCCCTTCTTGCACATCTCCAGGACCATGTACAACGAATCCTCTTCAGGGTTATCGAGAACCTCAATGAGTGAGACGAGGTTTGGGTGGTTCAGTTTTTTCATGATGGCAACCTCCTCACGGATGAGGTAGAGGGCGTCGTTATTCTCTACAGCCCTCACATCGTAGGGACTTGAAAAGGGGCCATTTGGTCCTGAGAATCGCTTGGCTCGATGCGGACCTTGCCTAAGTATGTTCGATTGGGCACGCTTTCGTAGACGTGTCTTGGAAAATTCTTTGACGGCCTAGTGAAGTTCGTGTTAAACCGGCTACGATCCTGGGTAGTAGACTCTAGGGGCCCGGGAGTGACTAGGGTGTCAAGGCGGTTGGGAGGAGCTCACGTATTCGTTACCAAATTGGTCAGTCGCTTGATGGACGGAACCAAACGAGCCACGCCCTATCTCATCCGCTATGATATATTGGTTTATCCTGTGATGGGTTCTTCCGTCGGTCTCATCGCTGAGGAATTCTACCCGAGCGTCCAGTGTCTCCTAAGAGTTGCGAAGGTTGTGTCAGTCAAACCAGACAAGTCCCTCGCCCACGACCCTGTGGCATCTCCCATACCTTAATTTCCCTATGCGCACTCGGCGTCCTTTTATGCTGTCTCGTGGGACTTGCATACTGCTGCTGGCCCGGATGCGTAGGGTTGGATCTAGTAACGGGAGTGTCAGTTCAACGGTGACTGGGCGTGGCAGCACAGGGCCTGAGAGGGGTTGAGCAAGCCCTACCTGTCCGAGGATAGATCCAGGTGTGAGTTGTCGAATGTGCCATCGTGATTCTCGATAGTGACGCGCGGCGAGATCGTATCTGGTTGGGAAATTTGGTCGATAGCAGGATTGGCGTCGTCTCCCGTGGGGCCTGCCATTGCGGGAGGGTCTTCTGGATGGGCAGTTGTCGACAAGTTCGGAAGAGGAGGATATTCAAGAAGAGGAATGGAGGAAAATGTCTACGACGGTGGTATATGGTCCCCTCAGCCCGTCTTGTAGGTTGTAGGAGCAACGGTCGGCCGTGACGGAAGGTGCTGCTAAGAAGGGGGGTATCTTTGGGAATCGTTGGTGGGGGAGGGGGCCAGAAAACAACAAGTGGGGGTCAGCCAGTGTTGACACTTGAGGCCCGAGATGCCGTCGTCGTCCCGCCACCTGTGAATCCAGGTCCTGCAGCGCGATATACGCACCATGATAGCCCTGCGGAAAGATGAAGCATGCGGAGTCGAGGTAGCTGAGGTGAAATACGAAGGACAATAGTAATAATCACAGGACCCAAAATTGTGGTGTAAGCAGCTTGTTGATCAGAGTACAGGGTATTACGGAGTTCGTAATAAATTCGACCCACCTTGAAGCTATTATTACGACTGAGGCAAGCACAGCTGGCTGCCCGGACTGGTTCGTACCTGCTTACCACTCTTTGTTTCCCCAAACAATCTCAAGGTCCCACCTACTTCAGCCACTCTGTGCGCCGCCAACGACAAGCCCTCGATATTGCCTATAACCATCGGCCATCACCTAAACTTGGGACCGGTCGATCTGCTCTCTTGTCCTTTTTGAAGAGCGCATCGGCGGCATCGGACCGTGGATCCTGGTATCTTCAACCCTACCCCACATACCCTGCGTGCCATACTCTGCCTGCCGACTACCTCCGTCGCCATTATGACAGTCTACTCATTCTACATCTTTGACCGGCACAGTACGACGGCCCCCCCCACCTTCTCCCTGCCTCTCTACACGATCATAACGGACTGACACTCAAGTCGCACGAACAGCCGAGTGTGTTTATGCCAAATCATGGGCCCCCGCCGACCGCAATTCGGCCGCATCGATTCCCGCCCCTGGCGGCGCTTCGCGAGCCTCGGACGACGCAAAGCTCATCTTCGGCACCATCTTCTCGCTTCGTAACATGGTTCGGAAGCTCGGCGGCGAAGATGACACCTTTATCAACTACCGCACAGCCGATTACAAGCTTCACTTTTACGAGACTCCTGCCAACCTTCGCTTCGTCCTCATCACCGACACCGACACCTTGAGCATGCGTAACGTCCTGCACCAAATATACATAAACCTCTGGGTCGAATACGGTAAGCACCACTTTCTCTTTAGATACAGACACACACCACCATATTCGTACCTTCATACTGACGTTCTACAGTTGTTAAAAACCCCCTCGCCCCCGTTGAACATAAAGCAGGTGCTGGTGTCGGGAACGAGTTATTTGAACTCGGTCTCGACCAGTTCATCCGTGGTCTTATGTGATCAACCATCGACAAAATCTATAGTAAGGCTCTTACGGTCCCCCGGTGCGAGGTCAAAACGGGCCACGAGAACACCGGCACAATCCGCACGAGGCGCCCAGGAGACGTCGGAGCGTGCGAATAGGCTCGTAACGTTTCTCCACGGAAAGAAACTGCGGTTAGGAGGTAGCTCGACAAGGCGTCTGCGTCTCTAGCATGAGAAAACGACAAACAACAACACCCATTCGCGCATCCTAGAAGCTCTGGGAGATCATTTCTTCCGCGTAGAGATAGACCTGTCGGAGGGCATCTGGCCCTTCCAGTCGGACGAAGAGGAGCAGGCTGGTGTACCGTCAATGGCTCAGATCGGAGAAAGCAGACATAGATCCTCTGCTGAGATATCATATCAGACTACGCTTCATCGTGGTGGGAGTTGAATACTGCACTACTACATGAAGAACCACCATGCCCATACCAGCCCACATAAAGAGATCCGGCATGAAGTACCCTCTTAGATGGCCCAAGAGGAACAGGGAATAACGAGACGAGATGAGAGAGAAAGAGATCCTTACGTTGTGTCCAGTTTATATAATCTCCCTTTCTAAGGAGAGGGGAAATCACACCTCTCGCCCGTTCCATCTAAACCCGGCACGCAGCCCATGTATATATGTATGTGAAATCGTGATACGCAAGTGCCAATTCGCGTGGCGGCAGAATTACAAAGAAAGTAAAATGCCATTCACCCACAACTCCCCAAGAAGTCCCTGCTCTCCCTAGTTTTTCTTTTCTGTCTCCCTTTCAAGTTATTAGGATGGGTTTTTCCAGAGGGAAACCACGAGGTTTCCCCCCTTGTACACATCTATAGAAGTACCGTCTACCCCTCGCACAAGGGGCCAACGGCGTATATAATGATAATATTTGTTCCAGAATCACAACCCCTTATCCAATGCCCTTTCCCACGCTCTCTCCAGTCCGCTCTGCTGCTCCTGCTCCTGCTCCTGGTGCAAGACTTGAGGCGTAGGAGCTGTGTTATCCTCGATAGTGGCAGCAGCAATGGGAGGTTCGTCGTGAGTTGATGAGTCAGGTATGTCGACATGGATAGCGCTGTCCATGAGGTGACCTTCGTCCCTGACCTCATTCTCCCAGTTGCTTGAGTAGACGACGGCGGCAAAGGCCTCTAGCTCGCGGACGGACTCCATGTCGCGCAGGTACTCGTTTGGCATACCGTTGCCGATGACATGGGCCTGGCGGGTGAGGACGGAGAGAATCTTGGGGAGGAGCACGAGCTTGGTCCGCTTGAGGACAGCAGTGGGGTCTTCTGGGATGAAGAGGCCGGTGACTGCCGCTGCCGCGGGGGACACGGAGCTGTTACCCTTGTTGGGGAGATCGAACGCCTCGGAGGCGAGCTTGGTGTCGACTAGGGAGGAGAAGCCAGTATCGAGGAGGAGGGTGAGGATGTGAGAGAAGGACGGGGACTCGATGAGGTCGGCCGTCTCGTCAAGGAGGTGCCTCAGGGGGGGAGAAGATGGGGAGGGAGAGGAGTTGTCCTCGAGGATACCCGATTGGCGAATGACGTCGGACTCCTGATCCCGCGGCGGCAAAAGGAAGGCCAGCCAGTCTGTGGACCGACGCTCTTCGGGTGTACCCCCCTCGACAAGCTTGCGCACCTCCATGGTCAGCTCAGAGAAACGGTCGAAGCTGATGAGGTCGCGTGGGCTGAGGCTACCAAAAACGGCGCGGACGGCGCCCTCGACCTTGCCCGCGACATCGACCCACCCCTGGTTCAGCAGCCACCAGCTAAAGGCCAGGTACTTGCGGTTTGTGTCAAAGTCGCTGCCGTAGGCCGCCTGGTCGGCGTTGTCGTCGTCGTGGTCCTCCAGGCTGATGGTGGCCTGCTGGGAGCTCGTCGCTAGCGCCACCACGCTGGACAGGTAGCTCCGTCGACCGAGGAGGTTGAGTTGCACGCGGGTTAGCATCGTAAGCAGGCTGAGCGTGTATATCAGGGTGAATGATCTCGTCACGGCTATCGTAGTCTTGTGTGTCAGCATATGATCTCTTCCTTATTGCCCTACTTCGCTTGCGTGACAACATACCGCTGATGGTGAGATCATCCCACAGCTGCCTCTTAGACTTGGAAGGCTTCTGCTTCGGCGGCGTAGCTCCTCTGTCCTGCTGCTGGCCGGCACTACTCCCGCTAGCAGCTAGAGGTGACGGCATGGCAATCTGGCTGGCGTGTATGCCGCTCTCGCTCTGGAGACTGACCATGCTCTTGCCCTCCTCTTCAGTGAGCGACGTGTCCGCAATACTAGGCGGACTGACCACCGAATCTCCGCTCCTTATGCCTTTGGAAACCTTCATCTGCTGAATCTCGTAGGTGATCTGCTCGGTATTCATAGCCTCGAGGATATTGGTCGTAGCGGTAGGTAGAAGGGCCAGGACGGTGAAAGTGCAATCTTCTTGATTCTGTTCGAAGCGACGTCGCAGACTGAAGAAGGTTCGCTCAGGTAATGTCAGTGAGTCCCTTGAAGAAAGAGAGAAAAAGAGGTGCTTGTGGTGTGTGTGATGTACTTCTCCTTGGCGATGCGATCGCTACTCATGCGCTCGCGCGCATCATTAATCTTGGTAAGGACATACTGCGTCGCCAGGTATCCGGCCCCCAGGACGCCCACGCCAATGGCGACAGGCGTCCTATTTTGGCGCAACCAGCGCCTAGTCCCCGAGAACATGATCTGCGTGCTGTCTCTGGCGTCAGGCCTGCTGTTGCAGGGTTGGCAGGGGGTCGGTTGTAGGTAGCAATAGCGAGTAGACGTCACGAAACTATTCCCATCAAGGGGTGAGAGTAGTGTCCGATAGTTACTGCCCGCCGCAGAAGAGGGAGTTGGCAGTCATGCGCCGATCGAGGGGGGGGGGGTGGATCGAATGGAGGAATAAATGATGCTCGTGGGTAGTAGGTAGTCGCGTGGTGCGTGGTGGTTGATGGGAAAAGAGAGCTCAATCGAATGAATACTATTGTACCTCGGCCCTTTCTTTGTCTTGATGTGTTCGCCGTCGGCGCTCGATGGTCGTGCGTGCGTGTGGCTCATGTGAGTGGCTTGTGACGCATTCGGCCTAGCTATTAACTACTAACTCGAGGACTCTCCACATGATAAGATACATGTGGCTTATGCGCGGGTTCCCTTCCCTTTCTCTTCGTTGCCCCTCCTGTGACGTTGATAGAGTCATTATACCAACAAATGCTGACGACGAAAAAAAAAACACAACATCTGCATACTACCACTACTCTTTCTAACTGACCCCCCCCCAACCCAACCCAACATTTTCGACGACCCCGAAAACACATACGCATAAAAGACAAATTGCCGCTCATATCCCAATCAACAGCACAACCTTCATCACTCTCGTCAACTCCCCACCCTCGCATACGTTTTCTTCTCCTGTCGCCCGCCGATTCTGATCGCGGGTCCAAGCCTCTCCGCAATGGAGCAGCTGGAGCAGCAGGAGCCCACAGAGTTCATCCTCGACGTCTTTGCAGATCCCCGCTCCGTTCGCGACGTCGTCAAAGGTGAGCCGATGCAATGTCCCCTCTCTTCTGATTCCCTTTCCCTTCCCCTCACCTCAAAATGATGCTCAGTGATTTGATTACAAAACCTGGCGTCTCCAATGGACAGGGGAAAGAAGGGAGAGAAAAAAAAGTCCCCGCAAAGACGCCCTCATTCGCTCGCCATGCTAGTCACCATCGCATTGCATTGCATTTTTACAGGATATCTTATCCCTTGCGGTCTTGATATTGTTCGTCATAAAATTCATTACGCAGCATACTGATATCATGAAAGGAATCCTTCATACAATCTTCTTCCATCGCTTCTTCCCTGCCCTAACGCCTCGCACCCGCGACGTCCTCGACCTGGCCCTTCCCTATGTCGATGACGACGAATTAGAGACCATGATCGACCAGAGGGTCGCTGCTCTCGAGCGCCAGCTTGATGCTGAACGCTCTGGAGCTGGCGCAGTTGGCACAACCGGCGCCACCGGAGGAGGCCGTGGTCAGCTGGCTGTCCAGTTCTTTGAGAAGCGTCGCCGCAAGGCCTGGTTGTCTCGCGGCGACGACGAAGTCTGCTGGGAGCGCTGGACCGTCAAGGTCACCGTCGCCGAACCCAAAACTGAGAGTGGTGCGTATAAAAACCCAGTATATCCTTCCGCGGGCCCAAACGCCGCAATATTCCCAAAAAGCAAAACGAAAAAAAAATCCCCTGGTAGTGAAGCAAAATAAAAAGAAGCGAAAAACAAAAAACACAACCAAAGGACACCCTGCTAACAACATGAAGAACGAGCAAAAGTTCGCCGTGCAATGGAGCAGACCCTCCTGACGACAGTCATTAAGATTGTGACATTTGCAAACTCCCACAAGGATCATATACCTCCCATCACCACACAGGCGACGAACCCTTTCCCATACAAGATCAACATTGATCAGAAAGAGACCAGCTGGGCCTCGCGCATGCGCATATACTGAAAAGTGATCAGGAGAGCCAGTGAGCACAAGAAAATATGGTACACGAGATAGACTCTGTAATGGGATCCTGGGACTCAGGCGCAGCTTCTTTTGGGTTTGCTTTTCACCTGGCGTCTGGGAGCATGTGACGGATTTTGATTTTTGTTTTCCGTCGACAAAGTGTTGGCGCCAGCGTCGTTGGGGCCTTTTGTTTGCGTCGGATTTTTGTTTTAAAATTATAGAGCGATATTAAGTAATAGTTGTCAGTTGCTCAGTGAGCCGTATCGTAGGTTGGGTCATAGGTAGCGTCGCGCTGCACACCATAAGAAATAGCAATGGCGGCGTCATTCTCAGCCCCATAGGGCTCACTGCGAAAGAATTGCCATTCAAGAGGAAGCAAGTCGTCATCGGTGGCGTGTGTGTAATCCCTCGTGTCGAGATCGTCGAGCTTGAACTCGGGGCTCCACGGGGCCTCGTTTTCGTCTGTAACAAGGGCAGCACTCTTAAGCATTCCCTGTACGACATTCCTGTGGTTCTTGAGGTTCGTGTTGGGCGACACCGAGGGCGGGTGCTGCATAGGCGGGGGCATCTTGACGGGTGTTTCGAGAGCAGCGCGGTTCCTGTTGAGCGGGCGAAGGGGCGAGGTGGTTGGACGGAGAGGCGACGAGGGCGCGTTCCTGGCGACTGAATCGGAGCGGCTCTTGGTTGGGCTGAAGGGCGAAGAATTGCGTAGACGGGCGATCTCCACCTCGGCGCGGCCGTGAGGGTTGTGCTTGCGCCTCTTCCGGGGCAGGTCCTCATCGGGGGTAAATTCGACCGTCGACTTCTTGGGGCGGATGACTGACGAGTCCAGGGAGGAGATGTAGCCGCTGTCGTCTTCTGCGGCCCTCTTGCGGGAAACAGGCCGAGCTGAAGGGGCACTTTGACCAGATCGGCCATTCCACGTCACCGGGGGTGACGAGTTCAGGCCAGCGGGGGCCGGCGAATAGAGCACTGCGTTGAAGAGGGCACTGGTTTTTGGCTGATGGTCACCAGGAACGTCGTCGTTGCCTGCATTCTCAGCGTCCGAAATGGTGGCATCTGAGGATGGTATGGGCTTGAGGTGTTGCGATGACTGGCTGGGACCGGCGTCGGCGGGGGCGGGCGGCGGCAGGCAGGGTTCGGACGTGGGCACAGGTGTGGGCCCGGATGGCTCGAGGCGCGTCGACATTACAGGGAGGTTTTCGGGAGTAGACTTGCCCTTGGGCTTGTCCCGGAGGAACTGACCCTCGGTGCCGGGCTCAATAGTCCAGTAGTGACCCTTTCCAGGGTCCTCCTTCGGCCTATCTACTTTGATAAAGTTCTTGTGCAGACTGAGATTGTGTCGGATGCTGTTCTGCCAGCCGGAATCGTTAGGTCGGTAAAAAGCGAAGTTGTCGCTTATCCACTTGTAGATCTGGGCGAGGGTGAGGCGCCTGGTGGGTGAGCGGAAGAGGGCCATGGCGATCATCTGGGCGTAGCTATGGGGCGGTTTCGAGCCGTCGTCGATGATGGGGGGGAATGAGTCCCAGGGAGGGATGACGGTAGTCTGGTCGGACTGTTCGATGGCGGGAGTGGTGGTTGGACTGGGTTCCTGAATAGGAGGACCGAATTTGATGAGGGACTCGGAGCCGCTTGAGCTGTGCATGGGCTTCCCAACGAGGGCGGCTAGCGGGGAGCCTTGTCCGAATGTACTGTCCTCCTCCCATGGTGACTTGTGGTCCTGGTCCGACTTTTTCGGCCGCGTGTTGAACTTCGAGAGAATGGGCTTCTTGAGGGAATCCGTTTGGTTGGGGTAGACAGCCCTACCGGGCGGGGGCATAGAGACCTTGTTAAGCCTCTTGCCGTTCGTGGGCTTTAGGGGCGCCCGCGTTAAGTTCTTCATCTTGAAGGGGCTCTGAGGGAACTGGGGGCGAGGCTGCGACTCGATCATGGCGTTCAGGTCGACCGAATTGAGGGGACGTCTCGGGCGATTCTCGAACGAGGGCATAGGAGCGTGACTGGTCATGGGTGTTGTGTCTTCGAAGATGTCGTCCTGGAACACGTGAAATGGCTCGCCGGAGCCTGGGAAGAGCGTGTGTTTGGCCATCCTGGCCGGGGCGAAAGGGGACTCGAGAATACCGCCTAACTGTGTGAAAAGGACCAAGCAGTTCTGCTGCAGTTAGTTGGGCGTCAATCAACCAAGCTGATGAGTCAAGTGGGAATTGACGGTGTGGGTGATTGATTTGCAGGGGTGTCGTGAATGATGTCGTAATAGCGAATAGCAGATGGCGACAGTATGAAGGTGGCGAAAGGAACGGAACATAACAGAAAGAAGAAGTAAGGGAGAAAAAAGTGAGAGAAGAGAGGGTATGGTACCTTACAATGAAAAAAACGTGGTCAAGAGGAGTTGAAAGTCGTGCCGGTGGCGCGCGCGTCTAGAATGGTAGAGCGATCTCGATTGATGCGTGAGCGAGGCGGGCAGTGGGCGGAAACGACGTGTAGCGGACGCGTATAGCTGGCGTTACTATCTAACGGGTAGAGTTTGTGTGTCGATAACGGCGATATGATGTACAAATTTTAAACAAGAAAAAGACCTGGAGCGATTCTGTAACGATATTTGGTGGTTTTGCGAACCGGTTTGTCGAAGGAGGAGGTAGACGGTGGTAGTGGTGGAGTTGGGTCGAAAAGAAGAGGGCAAGAGGAAGAAGCAAGAAAGAGAGAGAGTCTTGCCGGGGGGGTGTGAGAGAGGGGAGGGGCGTGTCAAGGGTGGGAAGTGGGAAGGTGAGGTCAGAAGTAATATTTTACGAATTTCGGGGGGGGGGGAGGAGCGCTGGGAAGTTCTGGGCAGGTGCGACCCAAGTGCCAGCTAAAGTGCTGGGAAAGGCAGGAGCGGGGCCCACCGGCTGAGAGGGAAAGAGTCCACCTGTGACCTGCTACAGCCTACAGGTACGTATATTATTCACAGGCTCTCGGTACAGGCTATCACAGACCACAGGATACTCGTACAGACTACAGACCACAGGGCCAGGGTGAAAGCCGAGTACAAGAAGAAGTATTGCCTGCAACCTGTGCTCGATATCAGCCCTGCTTTTCGCCATAAAGTACTCATAGGTTCGTAGTCGCGGTCATAGGCCTGTGAAGTAGAGTGAGTGGGGTGGGGAAGGAGGCCAGATGGCTGGGTCAGCCAGGCCAGACCCAGAGGCTCCAGGCCATTACGAGTTAGTAGTTTTCTTAGGCTCTTAGCTAGTACCGCTAGTACCGCTAGTACCGCTAGTACCGCTAGTAAGTAGTCTGTAGGTACGGCGTGCGCTACAGCCTCTGCGAGTATCAGGTATAATCACTACTAGTAGTAGCTTATTTATGGCGTTCCTGGATAGCAGGCGCTTGCTCGTGAATGCCCCTCTCTCATTCATTATCTTTCAGCGAGCCTTATTGACAGAAAGAAAAAAGGGAGGGTCGTCGACAAAAAAGGGGAGAGAGAGAGAGAGGGGGCGCGTGCCGACTCCACACTCACAGAATGGCGCAAGGGAGGCCGTACCCATTCGAGGGAGGATTGGGCAGCGAGTGCCAGCACTGACACATGAACACGGCAGGGGGGCGGCCATCCTTTTGATGTGAGGGCGAGGGGAGGGGCGTGTGCGTGTCACTGGGAATGTATGCACCGGGGCATCTCTGTCCACGGCCATCCGTCTACTCCGTCTACTCCGTTTCATCATTCTGGATTCTGGAAGCAAGCCGTACGTGGAGTAATTATGTTACTACTGATCCTTTTTCTTGGTGAGAGTTTTTATCTCGACTCTGCTGCGCGTGCATCTTTTCACAATGGCATCCATCCAAAGCCCCCCCTCCCCCTGGTTTTTTCATCATCCCCTCTCGTAGAATGGTCTCTCTCATCACCACGGGCTGCGATAGTAATAATGCTTGCCAAGACCCGTAAGGCTCTGAACTTGTATAATACTTGAGGCTACTCGTAGTTCTCGTACATGGTGATCGGTCCAGGAGAAAGTGGACAAGGTCAGAAGAGAAAGAAACGAACTTTTCCAAGTGGAGTCGGCAGGGATGAGCTTAGGAAAGAAAAAAGAGATCTCGATAACGTCTTTACTACTATCACCGAAAGCTCTAGCCCCGAGCAGAAAAATAGAGAGACAAGGGGGGTGGGAAGGGGAGACTTGGAGGGCAGAAGGTGGGAAGAAAAAGGTCTCAGGGCGTGGCAACTGTGGGACAAAGACGACCGTTGAGGAATGATCTACGCGACATACGACCGCATTGAAAGGACAAGCTGGTGCTTCAGTTCGAGATCATGATTACACTCCCTTTGAGTTAGCGTCGGAACGAATCTTTCTTTCTTTTTTGATATTGATCAATGCTGATTGATTGATGGATATCAGGGCCAGGTTGGGGGAGACCTGATTGATTGTTGGCACTTCCTTTGCTGCGCCTCGTGGAGATGAAGTGAGTAAGTGAGTGCGTATGTGTGTGCGAATGGAAACCAAGTTCATTCATCCAACAACACAACACACACACACACACACACACACACACACACACCTCATGGAGACTTTGCCATGATGTAGAAGAAGAAGGTGGTGGTGTGGTTGCGGGACCTCTCTATCTCCGTTTGTCTTCCCGTCGATGCCGACGATGACCTCGGGTGTTGGTGGCGCGCAGCTGCAAAGGCCAGCCCGGACACCAAGAGAAAAGGGTCTAGACAAAAAAAAAGACGTCACCAAACCCCCTCCCCCCTCTCTCTCTCGTTTGACGCGTCTCACGACGCGACGGGTTTGTTTTGATTTTGACGCGTCCCGGCCAATCAAGTTTTCTTTTTCTCTCTCACCACCCCCCGGTCATCCATCTTCATGCGACCTCTTGGGGACGTGAATAGCCTTTTTAACGCATTCTGATTTGGCTTCTTCTACAATGGCGGTGTGTGACTATCTCCGTACGAGGCGTGATGATATGGGCCGTCGTACACGTTTCCGTTGCAGATTGGACAACAGGCAAACCTCTTGTTCATGCGGCCGTCAACGACGGCCAACCGTCACTCTTTGAACAATCACTGATATCAATTCTTCCCACCATCAATCATCACAAGTCCCTTCCCTAGCCTCGAGAATGAAACCTTGGCAAACCTCTTTTCCTTTCCTTCCCCACCCTCATCTTCTCGTCTCTCCACACCTCCAGCTGAACTGGCATCTTTTTGTGAGAAGAAAAAGATGATGACGATGACGAAGATAGAAAAAACACGCGGACCAAGTCCGGCGCTTGACAGGGTCATCAAGCCTAGAAATCGACCACCATTACTGTTTTCTTCCCCACATCTACTCGCACGGTAGAATACCATATCCAATTACTCGTACTTTAGTATAGCGTGTGCCATTTCCACGAGATATTAACGTTGGACAGAATGCTCGGCTTGCCCAACTAATAGTCAGAAGATTAGCTGCAATGCTCGTACTCTAGCTGCGGGCCCGAGAAAAGAGAAGAGGAAAAGGTCTTGACATCATTGTGGAGGAGTATTAAGTGTTCGTTCCGGCCCCTGGCTTCCTCAGACACGCGGCACATCAAATCTACTGCGGAGCCTCGACGCATGTCTGGGGTTACTACGAGTACTTACCATCTTGCCTTCCCCCCCTTTTGCCCCCTCTCCTCCCAAAACTCGCTAGTACCTGTATAGGGAGCAGTGGTCTCTCTCGTATCGACTGCCGTGCCTCTCTACCTCGTACCTATTCTATATTCTGCAGCTCCATAGCCTTGCACCGTACTGGCGCACGCACGGCAAGCACATCGCATGTACAGTGTATGTCGTAATAGCTGCTCGCTCCGTGACACTTGCGCATAGGAAGGAGCCCAAAGTAATCTACGGGTTCCGACCTGACTGCAGCCTACGAGCACGACTCACTTACTAGTTCTAGTACTATTATAACTGCTGCTAACTACTAACTGCTAACTGCTAACTACCAACTACTACTATTATTAGCGACGTTGTCTCATTGAGCACCCTCAAATCTCATCCACGTATCTAGTTTCGAGGTGAACAAGTAGAAGAGGAGAAGGACAAGAAGAAGGGTATTCAAATGATCCACCAGCCTGAGAGCTTACAGAGTATGTATTTCTACCAAGTAAGAAGCTGCTGCAGGCCGTCTACGCACCCATGGCTCGTCGTGCATCATTCTGTGGCAGCGTATTACAGATAACAGGAAGAGATCGGTAGATATTACTCGTATTCTTGTACACATACTGTTTGAGTACAGACGAAAACCTAAAAGGCGGAAATGAGCAGCAGAATCGCCAGTCATCTCAGTCAAGTTGTGGATCTTAACTCTCCCTTCACCATATAGGTGGGTCCATGTGTAAGAGCACGTACAAGTACGAGCACGTACAACGGCGCAACGCAGAGCAATCATCAAAAACTGTTGCTACGCACTTACCCAGGCAGTGATTATTACCAACAGTCTGTATTCACGGGGAGCAAGTTTGCAGTCATGGAGAAACGAAGTTTGCAATCGAGATTAAGCAATGGAGACAACATTATATAGACCTACAACAAACAACAGTTGCCCTCCTTACCGACCTTGTGCATCAGAAAAGGAGGGGGAGAAACAGGTAAGCCACTACTAATACTACTACTACTACTACTACTACTAGATAAAGATGTCAAAGATACAATAAGAAAACGCACACACAGAAATTCCCTTTCTTAATCAAGAACCTGGCCCGCCGTAGCGGCAGCGCTCCTATCCTTGGTGACCGTCTTCTTGAGCGTCTTACCCGCTTGGATCTGGCCCAGGAGACCAGCCGGACGTCCGCCAGCAGGAGGCGCCGAGGGAGCGTCACCAGGCGGAGGAGGAGGGGGGGCTCCAGCACCAGGAGGCGGGGGAGGTGGAGGGGGAGGAGCGCTGGGCGCACCCGATCCGGGGATGGGAGGCGGCGGCGGCGGCGCAGGTGGGGGGGCAGTAGGCGCGGAATCGCCGCCATCCTCCTCCTCGACAGCTGCGGAGGCGGGAGCAGGGGCAGGTGCAGGCGGCGGTGGCGGCGGTGCAATGGGCGTGTCGTTGGCCGGGGCAGGGCTTGAAGGCGACGACTCCTTACCGGCGGCCGACAGAGGGCGAGGTGGCGCCATGGTGCCAAAGAGAATCGACGCTAGCTGCGCGGCGTTGCCACCTCCGGGCCGGTCATCGTCGTCGGAGTCCTCGTCGTCGTCATCCTTGTCGGAACCCCAGTCATCCGAATCAGCACGCTTGCGCGAGACGGGCCCACGGGACTGAGGGGCCGGGACAGGGGGCGCAGCCTGCGTCTCCTGCTTCATGCGGTAGAAAGGGTTGGTAGACGCCTCCGTGGCGACCGGTAGGGTCGACGTTGGAACACCCGGAGGGGGAGGAGCCGGCACGGCGGGAGCCGCCGTGCTGGGTATGGTCGCCGCCGCCGGGGAGGAGGCCTCGGATGGCTGGGACATCATCTTGAAGTAAGGGTTCTTGCTCTCTGGCTCGTCAGCAGGGGGAGACATGACCACGGCAGGCGGCGACGGGGCCTTGTGCTCGAGCTCCTGGCTTCCAGTCTGGCTGTCTCCCATGGTGGGGGTCGACGCCTGGGGCGTTATCTGCACAGGTCCCTCATCATCGGACGAGCTGTCGTCGTCGTCGTTCATGGACTCGAGCTGGCGCTGGAGCTCAAGCTCACGCTTCTTGGCGGCTTCGATCTCAGCGCGCCTGGCGGCCAGCCTGTCCTCCTTGTCCTTGGCGTCGGCAGCAGCGGCCTTCTTGCGCCTCTTCTCTTCCTCCTTCCTGAGCTTGCTCTGCTTCACCTGCTCCTCAAGAGCCCTGAGGCGAGACTCGGACTCCTTCTGCTCAACGGCCCATTCATCCTCTTCATCTTTGGTATTTTCCCTGCGGTATAGTTAGTTTTCTGGCAGTCCAGATTGATCATTATCTGTGGATAGACCGGGCCTGTAACTCACTCCGATTGCTGCGTCTGTCGTTGCTGCTCTTCCTGCTCCCTAACAAGACGTTGCTCTTCCTCAGCAGTTTCATTACGGCCACCCGCCTTTCTGGTAGGTGGCGGGGGAGGCTTCTTGGCTGCCAGTGCAGGGGCCTGAGGTTTCTCGGGCTCGGCGGCGGCAGACACGGGTACGCCCTGCTCCTCGGCGATACGCGCTTGTCGTTCGGCTTCCCTACGTGCATCCTCCTCCTCGGCCGCACGCATCTTGGCCGCACGCTCGTTCCTTTCGCGCTCAGCCCTCTGGGCCGCGGTTTCTCCCGGCTTGGAAGGTGCCTTGATCCCCAAAGCAGCCAGGCGCTCGGCCATACGTTGCTCAGCCTGCTGCTTGATAAAGGCGGCGCGCTCCTCGGGAGTCTTGTAAGCAGAGTAGGAGCCCCCCGCACCTCCCGGGGGGGTGGCAGTGCGGGAGGTCGACACAGGGCTTTCGATACGGGGGCTGGCCACACGCTCAGAGATGCGAGGTTCCTCGGCAGGGCGAGCGGATCGCTTGTCTTGGGCTCGCACTCGGGCAGCACGGCTTTCGCGCTGGAGGTCAAAGATGAAGTCTCGCACCTCGTCCTCGACGCCCAAAGCATCCTCCCAGCGGCGCTTCTCATGCTGGCTGGACTCGTCCTTGGTACCCTGCTTGAGGCTGTCCTCGATGCTGCGAGAGAAGTCGCGGACGCTCTCCTCAACATCCTTGACCATGCGCTCGTTGCCCTCGCGCTCGTTCTTGGTACGGATCGTTTCCTCCTCGAGACGCTTGGCGGACGCATCATCACCCTCGAAGTTGGTGTCGACCTTCTTGCCCGTCAGAGCGGCGGCACGCTGTTGCATCATAGCCTTTGCCCTGGCCTTGAGGCGGTCCGATTCGGTTACAGTACCACCCGGTCCAGTGCCGACAATGGTGCTAGCACTGCCGGGGTGCTCTTTGGCGTCACGGATGCGGAACAGCTCGAGCTTGGCCTCCTGGATGGCCTTCTCAGTCTTGCGGACCTGCGAGGCGAGTTCGGGAATCCTGTCAGTGAGGTTCTGCAGCTGGCGCTTCAATGTACGCCTCTCAGCCTCCGAATCTCCACCAGACAAAGCGGCCTTAGGGTTGCGGTCAATGTCATGCTGGATGTGGCGGATCCTGCGGTAGAGCTCCTCAGCCTCCATGCGGTCGCGGCGATCAAGAATGTCGTCCTCTTCGGCGTTCTTCTCATCCTTGAAATCCATGGCCTCCAGGAGAACCTCCTTCTCCTTGATCTTCTTTCGGAGCTGATCCAAAGTAAGGTCCTCGTTAGAGTCGCTGGGGGCGGGTGATCCCGAGCGGGGAGAGTTGTGGCCCATCCTGCGGCGAGCACTCGACTTGTATCCAAAGTCCTCATCCTCGTTCCTGAAGACCGTAGCATCCTTGCGGCCCAGGGGATTGCTGGAGGCACCGCCACGGAACGAGCGGTTCTTCATGTAGCTTACACCCGTCTTCTGGGGCAGGAGAGCGGCACCCGAGTTCTTGCGGTCATCGGACTCGCGGTGGAGCATAGACTTGACAGTGCCGATCGACTGGTTAAAGTTGCGAGCAGAGGGAGGCACCAACTCGGGGGGCAGCGAGTTGGGAATGGGGTAGCCATTGAGCTTTCTGTAGATCAAGTGCATGGCAACAGCAAACTCGTCGAGGTCCAGACGGCCCTTGTTTCCGCTGTCGGCCAGGGTCCAGACGCGCTCGAGGTCGGGTTTTTCGAGACCGCTCTGGCCGAAGATCTCAATAGCCTGAGTACCGCCAATGGAGCCCTTGCCAAATCCATCCCAGGCACGGAAGAGGGAGTCATAGCGAGTCTTCTCCTCCTTGGTGATGGCCCATGGAATGACAGCATTTCCCTGGAGGCCCCGGGCGGAGAAGGCACCGGCCTCGCGGCCCTGCTGGGGCATCATCTGCGCCTGCAGGGCATCAATATTGGGAAGTCCGGTGGCAGGGGCATTGACCAGACCCCACTGGCCAGGTCGGCCTGTAGGCTGGGCGTTGAGGGGAGCCACCATGCCGCCAGCACCCGCGGGCTGACCAGTAAAGCCAGTAGGCATAGGGGGCAGAGGGGGAAGGGGGCCCGAGTATCCGGCGGGCTGGGGGTTCTGCATACCGGGGAAACCAGTCTGTTGAGGCTGCAGACCGGTGGGCTGTCCGGGGAAACCGGTCTGCTGGGGCTGGAGACCCTGGCCGCCGAAGCCAGTAGGCTGGGGCTGCATGCTCTGCTGCTGGCCGGGGAAGCCGGTCATCTGAGCCGTGAGCAGCTGGGAGTTAGAAGCCTGGGGCTGGGCCGGGGGGGCAGGTGTCGCGCTGGACGAAGGACCCTCCTCGGCGACGCTGAAGCTGATTATGTCCACAATGCTCGAGACCTCGTTGCGGATGTTCTGGGGGAGCGTAGGGGGGAGCGTCTTGCCCGTAAGCTTCAGGTTGCACAGGTACATGGCAAGGGCGAACTCAGGAAAGTAAAGCTGGCCAGCCCTCGTGGTATCGGCCAAGGTCCTGTTCAGTCAAGTCCGTTAGCAATGACATCCTTCTTTTTCTATTCTATTCTATGTTACTTATTTCTCACCAGATATGTGACAGCGAGTCTCCGTCCAGACGAGATCGAAGAAGCAGGTCCCTCGCCTTCTCACCAGACATGGTAGCCGAGTCGCCATTAGCTGACTTGAAGAGAGCCTCAAACTTGGACTGGTCCTGGGCCGTGATGAAGGACAGGCGCACGTTGGGGATGATGTTGGCCGTCTTCTTCTCGGCAGGGGCAGCGGGCTTGGCCGACGTCTGGAACGAGGCAGCCATCTCGTTGAATCCGGTCGGCTGAGGCTTCAAAGGAGAGGGAGCAGCAGCGGAACTTGTGGACGGCCGCAGGTTGTTGCCAGCAGCGGGGCTCTGGAACGTCGTCGTAGTCGCCTGCTGGTACTGCTGGGGGATAGACGGAACGGGAGGTGTAGACGTCTGGAACCCCAGCTGAGGCTGGGCCTGGCCAGGAAACCCTGTGAACTGCTGCTGGAGGGGGCGAGGCTGCTGCTGCTGTTGAGCCGGGAATCCCGTCGGCTGCGCCTGCATAGGGAATCCCGTGTACTGCTGCTGCAGAGGCTGTTGCTGCTGCTGCTGCTGCTGCTGCTGCATAGGCTGCTGAGGCTGCTGGGGTTGCTGACCAGCAAAGCCCGTCGGCTGAGGAGCAAACGGACTGAGCTGGCCAGCGAAGCCCGTGGGTTGAGGAGCAAGCTGGGGCTGCTGACCGGGGCTCAGCCCGCCGCTAAAGGGGCTGTTGCCATACTGCTGCTGGTTCTGGTTGTTGGCGCCCAGGTACGAACCCTGGTTGGAATACATGGCAGGCAGTATGACTTGATCACAACACCTCTGGCAAGGATCAATATGCCCCTCGGGTGATGCTTATTTTCGGTTTCGGTCGGATGAGCGTAGGAGAGCTCCCGCTCGAGAAAGGACGCGGCGGGAACGACTCGGGTCGCGTAAGGTCACGTTTCAAATTAAGGGGATGATGACGATGACGATGATGGAGTGAGAATGAACTCGCTTCACACACGCAAAATCCACCCACGACAATTGGTGCTGGGGGGTGGGAATGTGGGAGTGTCTAGGAGAAGATTGTTGTTGATGGATGGAACGATGACGAAGCTGTTGGCAGCTTGCAGGTTTGGCGAGGAGGGACGACGGACGGATTGGGGGGACCGCCCTGGGGGAAGACGAACAGGGCTGGAAGCCAGTGGATGGGATGTTACGGGGCCCATTAGTCGACACCTGTAGGCGCTTAGTGGATCCAGTAGTGTTATCACCCGCGCCACATTTACTTTTTTTAAGCGTGGCGCAGTCGCCGGGCAGGCAATGAGCATAACGAAGGCTTACGAATACTACACCTTACATTATTACTTATTACTTGTTCCTGTTGGTCCGTATGCCGTTGACAGTTGACAAGATCTCCTTTCATTGCGAAGCCATTAACACCCTAGTCCTTCTCAGGGGCCCCATACAACCCATATCAGTATCGCGAAAGGATCTTTACAGACCTACAGAAGAAAATCATAAAGCTGAAGCAGTGGATGAGCGATACTGCTACTCAATACGGCAATCGAAGGTTCAACGGATGTATCGACCTAGTACGAAAAACTGCGATCGCGAGTGACTATCAGCGAATATCAGTTGAAAAGGAGTGCCCTCGACAAATATCGTGGGATCTTTCATGATGAGAAGAGGCATCGCGACGTTAGGAAGTGGCTTACTTTTGCGGAATTAGCCTGTAACGAACTCGAAAGAGTAGGCCTCGGACCCGCGATGGAATCAATCCTTCGGTTTAGCGATTTTCTTAGTGTACTTAGTTAAATCTACCCCAGTCAAGTTAGCATCTGGGAAAAGCACTGAGAAGGAGATTGAGAAGAATAGCCTCACGATACGCCAGTTCATCAATGAAGTAACGCCTTTCCACGAGACTGCGATGGCGGCAGGAAAGTATGCTGTTCCCACGACCGCAACGGAGGGGACCGAATCTGAAGGAAGCCCTGAACTAAAGTTTTACGGAAACAACAAAAGGAAGAGGAAAATGATATTTCTAGGGGAAATATCCGAAAGCCTTAGAATGCACGCCCTGTGTGCGAGCAATTCCATAGCCTTGATGTGTGCTATTGCATATTTCCACACATAAGCCCTCCTGGCTTCAAACCACAACCTCAAGTGATCGAATTGGCTAAGAGGAACCTCGAAAAGAAGGGGGTAAAGTCTCAGGTAGCCAAGATCACGAAGAAGGTTGCCGATGAGTCAGATTAACTCCCTCGGGGGGTGGAAGCGATCTCAATAACGGTGATGGCGACAGCAAGGCAACATCCTCTTCGTGATGCCTTCATCCTGGATTCAGGAGCCACTATCCATGTTGCCGATGAGAAGACAATATGATCAAGATTCGCACCCCTCACGTCACACAGCTCCCTCCTTACTAGCGATTTAACGGTTCCAATCGATGGCCCCGGCGAGATAAAGATTATCTGAAAGTTAAAGGGGGTTATTATGCTCGAGGAAGTTGTGTTCTGTGAGAACTTTGTCGGCAACGTTATTTTGCTTCGTCGACTTGAGGAGTAGGAATTATAGTTCGATATGTCGAAAATGGACCGATATTGTGTACGAAAAAGATCGTTAAAGGAGGTTATCCTCAACCTATCCATCTCGCATGATCAGCATGTGATTGATAAAAGAGCGCTGTCACCTACGACGACATGAAGCGGGAAAGGGTGAAGTCAGCTTCCCATGTTGTCCTCCATTGCACGTATTTTTCTCCGTCTGCTGCCAAACTTGCTAGCCTCCACGAAATCAGCTTGAAGCCGGAGATGCCTATCATCGGCGTGGTGGTGGCCATCTTGACATTGGACCCTTTGTTACGGAAGCTGTCATAGCAGCTGCTGCCTAGAAAGAACTAGAGGACAGATTCAACCAGAGCACAAGCAAAAAAATTACTACATCTTTCGTCAATTTTTACCGGGATCCGGCTTGCTGACGTAGCAGACCTAAGACTGAACCTTGATCGGTGCTAGAGCTCCGGAATTGAATTCTACATGTACGGATGATGGTACACTTCTTCTCAACTCAACATTCCCAAGACTATACTCCCAATTTCAGACAAAGGCCCGCTCTTCCTACTCACTTCCACCAAGAGGAAGAGCTTCACGCAAATTCAACTCTACACAGTTGATAGAACATGGAAGACGGTTGGGAACAATACGAACACTTTCTACTCTCCGCGTTGTACGTATTGCTCGATCTGTCACAATTGTGACATCTGTTGTGGAGAGACGCTACATACTATCGTGAAAGCTCCACTTCTGCCGTATGTGTCGTTTGAGCTTCCATCCAGCACAGATCATTGATCCACACATTCACCACTTCCACTATTAATAACATCATCAAACATTATTTCAATAATACAACTACTACACGGTAGTATCAGAGGGTATCTATGTGCTTCCTCCCATGGTAATATTTTCCCAATAATTGCAAAGAAAATCAAAGGTGAGTGTCCTAACCTCGCTTAAATGACCACATGCGCCAAATGATTGAAAAACAAGATAAAAAGCCGAACCAAACTTGTGCGAGTCCATCACAGGGAACGGTAATCAATGTGTAAAGAGAAAATAAGAAGAGGAAATGATGCGAAGAGGAAGGAGGGGGGGCGAGGTATGAAGAGAGGGAATAGAACAAGATGGTGAGAGGGAGGAAATCAAGGTAAAAGACTTAGGCCGCGCAAGTAGCATCATCCTCTTCATCGATACGACTCACAGAGTCACCCCACGTCCGACGAAACGCCTTCATCTGAATTCCCAGATCCCCTGCAACAGTTCCCACCGGTGGAAGAGGACCGTCAGAGGCATTGTTGGAGAAAGTATAGTTCCCGTCGGCAGAGTAGTCAAAGGATCCGCCATCGGGGTTCCTGAGCGACAGTGTTCTGGACTTGGGAGAATCGTCTTCCTCTTCTCCTTCTTCCTTGTGGGTCGTCGTGTCACCTGGCGGCGTCCTGGTGGGGCTGATGCTGCTCGTGGGACTGATGGCTGCGACATCGCTCGAGGCCGTGGAGGAGGACCGCCTGATACGCAGATCCAGACGGCCGACCAGCGCTTGGAGCTCTGAGATGCTAGTCACCGACCCCGCAGTGCTGGGCTTCCTTGCGGGTAGTGGTCCGACGAAAGAGCCGGCTTCGCCGCCGGTATTGACGATAGCTGCTGGATTCTTAGCCTGGCGCGCCTCCAGCTGTCTAAATGCAAGACCTCCAAAGGATTGGGAGAAGATGGCATCCTCGCCAGCGTCTAGTATCTGTTCCGCGCCCAGCGGCGCGGCGTGCTCGGGCGGCGGCAGGGTCGGCGGCATGTCGACCGCTGGTTCGTCCACAAGCCTCTGGTTGCGCTCGAGGATGAGCCTGAGATGCTCGACCGCGGCGTCCCACTCATCCTTGAGGTGCTGGACGAGGGCCTTGTCGCTACTACTCTGAGGCCTTTCCTGACGGAAGCGGGACACGATGGACGCGCGGCGTGTGGGAGGCGCGGCCATGGTACCAGGGGTGTAGGCAGACTTGCGGACAGAGCGTTCCAGTTCGGCGGGAGTGAAGGCCGAGAAGTGGCAGATGGTGGTGTTGTCACCGAGGTGCTTGATGAGGTGGCGGAAGTTGGACAGGTTAAAACCGTTGTCCTCGCAGTCAAGCGTGTGCAGGGTCTTGTTGGCCGAGATGGCCTCGGCCAAGTCGCCAATGTTGACGTTGAGCATCTGGCTGCGCACGCGCAAGTGCTCGATGCGCGAGTTGTGGCGCATGCCGCTGAGTGCGCTGGAGAAGTTCTTGCCCAGCCTGCCCTCATCCAGCTTAGCGTTGTACCCTGAGATATCGAGGAAGCGAACGGTGTCGTTCTTGGCAAAGAAGTTGGCCACCGTCTTGCAGGCGGCCGTACTCGCTTCGTCGGGGATCGATGAACCGGCCAGGGACAAACACTCGATGGACGTGTTAAACGTTAGAGCCTCCCATAGCTTGACGTAGCTCGACTCGTGGCTAAACTCGACCATCTGGATGAACAGGCTCCACGGCCCGTACCCGGCCGCAAGAACCTGGCACAGCTCGTCGATTCCCTCGTCTAGCCGGCTGGCATTGGCGTGCACCGTCATCTCCCTCGTCCGGCCCATGGCTCGGAACAGCTTGGCCATCTGCCTGCCCGTGAGGCCGCAGCTGTCGACACGCAGCATCTGAAGGTCCTGCGACTGGGGCGTCTCGAGGTATCCTGCCAAGACGTCGACCGTTGCCTCGTTGAGCTATACCAAGTTAGCAGTGCATTCCTCCCTGTCTCTTCTGGAGCACATGTTGCCAAGTGCTTTCCCCCCCATCTGTTTCGTCCCTGAAAAAAAAACATACCACTATCCCAGAGAGGTCCAGTTCCGATAGCGCCCAGCTATAAATAGCTTCGTCAAAGAGCGACGCATCCGGATGAAGACGAGTGTTCCCAGCAATCATAAGCTTCGTAACATTACGTAGCTGGCTCAGGGTGTTGCGGAGAGTATCGAACCATACAACACCCTGGTTGTCAGAAGTATTGATCACCTGCAGGGAGCGTGCTTGCCCCGAGAGGCCACACCAGAGCTTATTCAGCCCCGCATCCCCGAGGCTGCAGCTGGCAAACTCAATCTTCTTGAACCGGACATGATCAAGAGTCATGATGTTCGCTACAAATACAAAAAGTCAGCAACACATCTTTCAGCCAGTGGGTGATGAACGCTTTCATACCAAGTTCGTCGACGTCGCTGAGAAGTAGTGGGTTCCCCGACATGACGAGGTTTCGACACATGCAGAGACCGGCTCTGGCAAGCATCATGATGGGACTGAGCAACTCGGAGCTGGTCCTCCTATGACCAGAAGAATCGACTGACCGCCTAGCCTGGGCGGAGCGCCTGATTGACAGACCCAGACAGTTGCCTAGGTCTATGCTCCTGACTGACTCAGAGGCGAAAGCCAAGGCGTGAATCTCTTGCGAAAGCACGGGGGCCTCGAGAAGGTCCCCGCAGTGATCCTGAGAGATCTTACACCCGTTGAGCGAAGAGTATACGACCCCTTCTCCGTAGGGGGAGTTATCCCTCTTGCCAGCCAGGGCGGACAGATCAACATCGCGAAAAGAGATTGCTCTGAAGAAGTTGTTGAAACGAAGGGCGCGAAAGACGGCCATGAGCTGCATGGACGAGTAAGGGACGGCTACTGTCGAAGAGGACGATGAAGACGATATGGAGGCGGTGTCGTCGACAAGGAGCGGCAGGAGGCGGAACTCAGGCTGGTACGAGGCATGCCAGTCCACAGTCCATAGGGGCACATCGACGTGATATGCGGCGCAGTGAGCCTGGAGAGACCGTCCTATCCCACCCAAGTCGCATCCGGCCGTGAGCTGCAGCGGCGCTGGCAGACCCTTGATCTCGAACACGGACTGCTGCAACTGTTGGGGCCACATGGGCTTCACCAGGCGGTCGGCGCGGCTAAAGGCCTCGATGATGCGACGATAGTGGAGGCTCGCGAGGTCGAGGCGGGTAGTGCGGCCAAAGGGCGACCGGAAGCTTAGGGTGAACCTATGCTCGTGAGCGGCTACGGACGCCGTGAACTTGGTCAGTGTCACGGTACCAAAATGGTTGAACTTGATACGCAGATCGCCCGGGGGCGTGGCAAAGTCGGCCTTGAGCACCTCGATCAGGTAGCACATGCAGGGGCCAATGGCCAAGTAATAGGATGAGCCATCGGTGACGTTATGGGCCTCATCGGCTGCCCCGGACCCTACAGCCCTCTTGGCTACGGGGAAGATGACGTTGGCGGGAGCGCCGTCGAAGGGTGCGCTCTCGTGGTGGGCGACAATATGATCGACGCGCACGCGCAGATTCTCGGGAGTCAGGGAGCCAACGGGCGACTTGCGTAGCTTAACGCGGCACATTTTGTGGATGGCGGAGAGCCACTCGTCGCGCTCCTGGGCCAGGGAAAAGAGAAGGTGTGTTCGACAGTACGCCAGCCTCGGGGTCTGGGAAAACCACCAGAGGTCGATTCCCGGGACAGCCCCGCCGGCCTCGTCATCGTTAAAGATGGCGACGATGGATCGCAGAGGGACCTCGAATCGGATCTCGGACGCGGCCGACTTGCTGCTCAGGCTGCCGTAGGAGCTCGTCCGGCGGGGCGGAGGCTGGACATCGGGAGACGGGGCCAACTGCGGAAAGATGGTCCTGGCGGCCTCGACGCTCCCACACTTGACCAGGCACTGGTCGGTGAGGACGAGGTACTCGGAACGGGCCTTGAGCAAGGATACATCCGCCTTGAGGTGGCCGTTGCGCACGACCTCCATAGTATAGAAGGGTTGGTCGATAGGACTGCCGGGCGAGTCCAGGTCGGCGGCGGTGAGGTTGCTGGATGAGTCGCGTGACGAGGCACGGAGGTGCAAGCGCTCCAGCATAGTGCCGGAGCTCGAGTGTGTCTTTTGCAGCCTGCGGGAAGATGTCGACCGTCGCGGCACCCCGGCGCTGAGCGAGTCGAGAGATGAGCTACTCAGTGACCGGAGGGCCCTCGAGAAGCCCCGGGGGGTCTTGGGCTCGACAATGGCCGGCTCGCCTGTGTGCTGGTGGTCCTCATACTGCTGGTCTGAGGAGGCCAAGGCCACAGAGGTAGTCTTGAGGGACGTTCTGGCCTTTCTCCTCAGCGTATCAGCATTCATGATGGGGGAACGGTGTATGGTTTTTTTTTCTTTGAAATGCCAAACTAGACCGACTGCCGTATGGCGACTAATATGACTACACCCATGCGAGAAGAAGGAACGGGGATGTTTTTCTTCTTCTTCTTGGGGGAGAGAGAGAGGGTCCCGTCTGCCTGCAAAGGGAAATCCCGTGTGTGAAGGGAAAGAAGGTTGACTAGTTGCCCCGGAGGAGTTCTGGGCTTCCTAGTACTGGGTTAGGAGGGAAAGATGGACAGCGTGCCTTGGGTAGGGTTCTGGGGGGAACAAGAGGATATGAATAGCAGGATCACCCGGAGCGAATATGGACTATGACGTTTGGGCGTGACTTGGTCTCTCCCAAATGAGAGAGGGAAGAGAGAGAGAAAGCTGTCCGATCTGAGGTCATACGAGATAGATGAAGACTGAGACACTGCCGCAAGCGTCGCTTGGGTAACGACGCAGGTGAATCTCGGTATGGCGAGAGAGAAGATATGTTTGGGCGTGGAAGGGAGAGAGGGAAGATCCTTTACAGGTACATCGGAGTTGTCTTTATCAAAAGGCAGGGCAGCAGCTGTCTTTTTTATCCTGTCCTCTTTTTGTTTTCGTTGCCCACTGCTGACGAGAGCTTCTGCTCGTTGTTGTTGGTAAATGGGAAGATTGGTGGTTTGGCCCTGCCGATGTGAAGAGGGAGAGAGAGGGAGAAGTTTGGTTTGACACAGAGCAATCAACAACTTTCTTCCCTCCCAGGTACGTTTGTTCTGACGAATAAGGTCTGACCGTGACTTTACTAGTGTTCTTTTGACAGATTTTCGATGACTGGTATGCGATCCGCCGTGGGGGGAGGAGAGTGTGTGTGTGTGATGTGAGTGCAACAGGAATGCAGGGATCGACGCTTGAGGCGGCTTCCCGTCAGTCGGTCGCCGAACTTGTGCTTGTGCGAAGCCGAATGCGGAATGGGAGCAGAGAGCAGGCGGAAAAGAAGGATGGAAAGCAGCAAAACACATAGACAAGAGAAGAAAAAAACCAAGGTCTTGTTTTAATGTTTTTTTTTGGGAGGGGAGGGGGGGGGGAGATTGGACGGCGAGGGCTGTGCGTTATCGAAGTAGCTGTCTTTTGTTTTGTTTTGTAGCTGGGTCCCTTATATTGAAAGCCGGGTTTTATTCCTTTCCTCTCAAATTAGGACCCATGTGAGGGAGAGAGAAGGGAAAGGAAAGGGTTGTCGCAAATGGAGGGGGAGAGCGTGTGTTTGTGTGTGTGCGTAAGTGTTGCACATTGAAGAAAAATGATAATAACAAGTGAGAAAGGCGTGCTCCCAAAACCCGAGAAGGCGGGGCGCGCGGGTGACGGCGGCGGTGGGGGAGCGAGTTGATAAGGAACTGGTTGGTGTGTGTGTGTGTGTGTGTGTGTGTCCGATGTCGTACTCGAGAAACTGGAGCTTCCGAACGGGGAACCAAGGTGGGCTGGGTTTGGAAGCCAAGGGTCAAAATAGCTGGTAGGTACTCGTAGTTCGGTTTCGAGTAGGAATAACCGTAGCAGTCGTGAGAGCAGATCGAAAGATGCAAATGCCGGAAGGAAAATTGGGAGGGATTTTAAAACAATAATAAGAGGGACAGGTTATATGAGATGCGAGGCAAGAGAGACTGAGCGGGAAAACCGGGTCATCAAGGTAGGGAGGAGAGGTGTAGAAGATGAGGAGGAGGAGGAGGAGAGTGGATGGATGAGAAAAAAAGAGAGTGGGAAGGATAGAAGAAGAGAAGAAAGAGACCGAGAGAAGAGAGAGAGTGAGGATGGGAAAGATGGAAATGCCATGCACAAGAAGTGGCCTTTTGACTGCTCATGTGCATATGAGCTAGCAGCGTCTTCATGGTCGGCCATGTCACTCTGGTCGGCTCGTACGGATATTTACAGCAAAGGCAGAAGCGTTATTTTTCTTGGCTTTATTTTTTTCTTTATTTTTTTCTTTTCCTCCTTCTTTTTTTCTCTTACCACAGGTACAGAGTATCACTACCATGGAAGTAGCCATGATCGCCGATCGGTACAAGTACAGGGATATCTCAACACCATGGATTTCCTCTCACGGACTAGTACGTGACGATTCTTCTCCCTCTCTCTCTAGCTTTTTCTCTCTCTTCCAGAGTGGATTGTCCGATCCTACCATCTCCATATATCACAATACGAAGCTAGCAACGGGGCCACCGGACATCGGACACAACACCCTGCTTTCTACTGCGAGGCTGAGTGGGAAGGAGAGGGAGAGAGTGGGACGATGGATGCATGTACATACGTATGCACGCACACACACACACACACACACACACACAGAGCCAAGCTGTACCGTCAGAGTCTCGGGGGAGAGAGGCGAGGCTTGTTGGGCCCAATATTAATCCAACCCCATCCCCCCGTAATAAGGACTACGAATGGGAATAGCTCATAGTGATCACAGTATTATACGTACTTGGCTGAGTCCTCAACCTCGTGCTACGACTTCTGCGGTCTGTGCAGCCCCTCCCCCCACACACACACACACGTCCCTCGTGTCCCCGCCAGCCAGCCAGCCTCTCTCCTGCTTAGCTCCCACCCACCTACCTGGTCGGAGCCGACGATAATCATTACGATGGTCGTCCATGACTTGCATGCATTGATTTTGGATCAAGGTCGGGATTTGCTTGCTCCGTTTCATCGTAGCCGAAACGCAGTCGTCGTCGACTTGTTTTGTCAGACGAGACGACAAGCTTTGTCTTTTATTGCCTCCTCCCCCACTCATCCTTCCCTCATTCTTCCTTCATTCTACCTTCCCTCTCCCCTTTCCCTCAGTCGCCGCATCGGGGTTGGCGATTAAGAAAGAAAAGGACGAGCTGGCTGATGATGGCCGTAGCGAAGCGGCTACGGTCAGAGATCCCACTTGGGGGGGGGGGGAGCAGAGAAGAAAAAGAAAGGCTTAGTCCAACCTCATGTTTTCCAGCCCATTGAGTGGCGACGATCCATTAGGTGTTCGTGGATGTATCCAAAGCATAAAGAAAAATTGGAGAAGAAAAAAACATGTATATACGGATAAAAGTGTTTTAGGTCTCTTCGTGTACGAGTACGGACTCTCTCTCTCTCTCTCTCCCTCTCTCTCGTAAAGGAAAAGTCTATCCAGCTCGTAGGTGTGACGCCATGGGGAGGGTACCATATATCCATAGCTGACTACTCGTAGTGATAATAAACAATATATTACTACATACATGTAAAACCCTCCTCCGCACGAACCACGCCCCCAAAATTTTAGCATCGATCACGGAGGACAGTATCCGTCCTTTCCACTCTCTCTCTTTCACAATGCGTTTTCATCCGATCGGAAAGCATCTCCGATCAAGGTTAGAAAGATACCGGGGGGAGGGGGGTTTTTTAGGCTTTTTTTTTTTTTCTGAAAACACACATGCCCGTTTACGAGCTGGATGAGAAGTAAAAAGAGACTGGTAAAGCAAGAATAACGGGCATGCTGAACCGAAGCCTTGACCTACCTGTACAGGTAGTACGGAGTAATAACATTATAATAGTTCTATTACCATTAAGATAAACCCACCATGAAGTCATACACGACGAATATTGCAGCCTTGGGCCTTGGGCCCTTGCCGATCTCCTTTTCACGTAACGCCCACCCATCTCGTCTGCCTTTCGGCGGTTTTCTTTCGTGTCGTTGGTTCAGCTAAGGAGGCCAATTGCGGTATGTCATGGAGAAGAAGATGAGAGGAGACATTCTGTCTTTCGAAAAGGTTTCCCAGCTTGCCAGCCCCGGCACCTATGATCTTTGTATGATACGATGGGGAAGAGAGCAATGGAGCTAAACGCTTGCTCGTAGTTTGTCCAGCCAATCCACCACGGGAAGGATATGGTGGCAATAGGAGGAGAAGGAAAAGCAAAGGTCAGCTCCTGATACTTATTGGAAGTGATTGTGAGTATGAGTAGTGGTACTAATGCACGATTTGCTGCCTGATCGTCAGGTGCCTGAAAGTAGGCTGCATTCGAATGAGATCATCCTGCCACCCTTATGATGACTGATCGCGAGCATGTGTGTCTGTGTGTATGCCTGCGTCTGTGTGTTGTGCCTGTGTCTGCATCTGTGTGTCGTCACTAGTAACGGATGCCCAAGGAACGTTGAGGATTTCCCCCGTCTACTAGGGACTACTAGGGACGACAAAGTTGGATACAAGCAAGCCCTCTGTCAACGGTCTCTAAAATAAAAAAAAGGGAGACTGTAACAGGACAAAGCAAAAAAAGGATACTCCGGTACAGGGAATCGAACCCTGGGCTCCGCGGAAGATGTTCCCTCAAGTTATGAGAGCGCGAAATGTTAGCCACTACACCATACCGGAATAAGTTGTGCACGGCAAAACATTGTCTTGATCCGCATCTTGTGGTGTTGGCAGTTGCTTCCCTGGCCTTGGACCCCTCCTGCCTGATTCTCAAATCTTACCCGCTGCTCTGTCACCAAGACCGAGGTCTGCCATACACCCACACACACACACACCCGATCAGTATACACGTGCATACGCAAGGGACGAGTGCCCAGTAATACAATGTTTACGCTTACTTGTAACGATCATTGATAAGACGAGAAAAAGAAAGAAACGATCAATCATATATGTATGGAATTTAAACTTTCAACTCTATTACATTATTCTGACTTGTACGACAAAAGAAAACCAAAGAAAGAAAAAACCAGTTGGATTCTGGTACCGGGTAATCAACAATGCCATTGCTCACCGCCTTTGCCATTTCGAGCCAAACATTTTGTGCGGTCAAGGGTCCTTTTTTTAAGTTGGGTGTTTTTCGTAGAAACACAAAAAGAAAATTAAAAGAAATCTGTTCTTTTGACGCTTTCCGCAGTAATCATGAATTGTAAAATAGCGGTCATAGAGTAGAAGAGTATCTTAAGTAAGACCAGGGCTCAACTAACCACTGTCTCGGTAAGTGGTGGTGGTTATTAGCTCTCAATAATAGCAGACATCTATCCGTTGATCGGAACGCCCTCCACTCTTGGCCCAATCTTCCCCAACAACCCCTCCTCCCACTCTCTACTCCTATCCCCATCCTCTTCCTTACACCAACCTTTTCTTTTCTTTCTTTTTTTTTTGTGTGTGTCGCGACAAAGGAAAACAAAAAAAGCCAAAAAAAAAAACACCCAGCTGCTCTCTTCGGCGCTGAGGTTCAATCTTTTTTTTATTGTTTCCTCCCCCACCACCCATTTCTTATACCCCTTCCCCATCGGGGACAAAGAAGCTTTCATCCCGAGCTTGCCCATCATGTCCACCCTCGATACTCAGACATTCAAGCTCCAGCGGGACTATATAATTATCCCCGCTGCACTTCTGGTCGTTGGCACCTTCATCGTTAAGAAGGAGTGGGCTCCTTACTCTGCCGTTCTGGCCGCCTTGTTCGGCCTCTGGAACTACTTCAGCCTTCGTGAGTTTTTGTGTCTCAATCACATATCATCTCCCCTCCCCCCAATCTCGCACGCATCAGACAACCGAACCACAGCCGACTAACCGTATTTACCCTTTTTATCTGCATAGGTGTCAATGCTGTTCTCAAGCCCGACGTATTCCAAGAGTTCCCTCTCGAGGAGAAGACCATCATCTCTCACAATGTAGCCATGTGAGTTCTTTCTCTTCCTCCCCCTTCCCCTCTGCGAGCTAGATGCGCGCGCGCCACGCCCCAAATGCCGAATACCGAAAAAGCCCCCGGACGCAGGGTTACTGACAATACGCTCCCCCTCCCCCCCCCCAAAAAAAAAAACAGCTACCGCTTCAAGCTTCCCTCTGGTAACTCGATCCTCGGACTCCCTATCGGCCAGCATATTTCGATCGGTGCCCCCTGCCCCCAGCCCGACGGCACCACCAAGGAGATTGTCCGTTCGTACACGCCCATCTCGGGCGACCACCAGCCCGGCTTCTTCGACGTGCTCATCAAGTCGTACCCCCAAGGCAACATCTCCAAGTACATGGCCTCCCTGGTGGTCGGCCAAACGATCCGCGTCCGCGGCCCCAAGGGCGCCTTCGTCTACACCCCCAACATGGTCCGCCACTTCGGCATGGTGGCCGGCGGCACCGGCATCACCCCCATGCTTCAGGTCATCCGCGCCATCGTCCGCGGCCGCGAGGCCGGCGACAGGACCCAGGTCGACCTCATCTTCGCCAACGTCACCCCCCAGGACATACTCCTCAAGGAGGACCTCGACGCCCTCGCAAATGAGGACGAAGGCATCCGAATCCACTACGTCCTCGACAAGCCCCCGGAGGGATGGACCGGTGGTGTCGGCTACGTTACTGCCGACATGGTCGAGGTTTGTTCCTTCTCTCTCTCTCTCTCTTTGTGCGGTACACCTCTTCTTAACGTGAAACCTCTAACACAAAATATTAGAAATGGCTGCCCAAGCCCGCCGATGACGTTAAGATTCTCCTCTGCGGCCCTCCTCCAATGGTTAGCGGCATCAAGAAGGCTGCTGAGAGCCTCGGCTTCAAGAAGGCCCGTCCCGTCAGCAAGCTCGAGGACCAGGTCTTTGCTTTCTAAGGTCCCCCTTCTCTACCCTTTGGTCAACAAGACATAAGAAGGGAAAAAAGGAAGCCACCACATCGATTCATTGGATACCATGTTTTACCAGTCATCTCTCTCCCTCCCTGATATGTGTTCTTGAGATAAGAAAAGACATCTTGCATTGCTTTTAAAAGCCGAAACATGGTAAATGACATCTTTGGAGGACCTTTATCTTCTCTTCTCCTTTCTTTTTTTCTTCCCTTTAAAAACAAAAAGTCTGGGAGAACAGAGAGGAAGAATGGCTATAATGTCATCATCTACTTGATGAGGGTGGGATAGTATGAGCGAGATATATACCTTTTCCAGTACAAAAAGGCGGAAGAAGGAATTTTTAGTCTAGGATTTTAAATGAGAGGAAATGATACCAAGGTTTTTTTTTGAGACTCGAAAGGCAGGCATTATGGCAATATACGACAGTAACCCTATCTTTCTCGACCCTCATCCTTTTTTAGATCTCTTTCTTTTTCACTTCTTTGAACAACTGCTCCTCCTTTTTTTAAACGGTGATATATTTGTACAACAAGTAGGAGAAAAGGAAAAAAAATGTTCAAGTCATCGTCTTTCAAACAACAAGAACAAAGACAGGCACTATTCGTCATCCTCGGCCATGCTAGTGTCAGCCCCCCCATTCGTCTTGGCAGGCGCAACATCCTCATCATCGCTATTACTACCATTCTCTTCCTCGTCGCTGTCGACCACGCGACCCCTGCGAGACACCCTCTTGTGACGTGGCGCGGACACTTCGTCGTCATCGTCACCACCACTCTTGCCCTCCTCGTCGACATCCATCTTGTCATTCTTGCTGCCGCCTACATCGCCCTCGTCGACTTCTGACAGGGGCGTGTCCTCGCGTCCAATATTCTTCTCAGCACGCTCGAGGGCATCGTCGTCGTCGTCGTCGTCATTCTTATCGGCAGCGTCGTCATCGTCATCGCCATCCTCGTCGTCGCTGTCGACAATAATTTCGGCAGACTTGTACTTGGAGCTGGTCGCCACCGTTGTCTCTTTCTTGGTCAGGCGACGCTTCTTCTTGGCCGGGCTGCTGTTCTGCTCCTCGTCACCTTCTTCGTCGTCCTCGTCGTCCGACACGGCCGCCTTCTTCTTCTTGCTTCTCTTGGGCTTGCCCTCGCCCGAGGCGCGTGGTGCGGACTTGCGCTTGCGCTTGACCCTTTCGCCCGTCTCCTCGTCCGTCGTGTACTCAGCCGCCCTGCGGTTCTCTTCTTCCTGGCGCTCCTTGTCTCGCAGCGCGGCTAGCTCGCGGCCCTTTGCTAGCATCTCCTCGCGGTCTTTTCGAAGCTGCTCTTGACGTTCACGCTCCTGGGCCAGCTTCTTCTCCTTCTCCTCCTCGCGCTTCCTCTGCTCTGCCTCACGCTGCCTGCGTGCCTCCTCAACCTTTTCCTTGTTGGCCTCCTCCCATTCCTTCTGCTTGCTGATGGCACGCTCAAGCTGCTTGCGCAGCGTGTTGCGTGCCATGCTGGCGCGCTGCTCGATGTCATTTTTGGGGTAGGGAGTCTGGGGGTGTGCTGCGATCTCATCCAGTGATGCAATGGCGGCTTCCAGTCCCTCTGACGCCTTCTCTAGCTGCTCGGTCGTCTTCTTCTGTTCCGGCACGCCTTGAATTGCCGTCACCAGCTGGATCTGCACAAACGCCACATTGAACTTGTAGTGGACTTGCTCAGGGGAAGTCTCCAGTGCCTATAGTAAGCCGGCTGGTTAGTCGGCTGTCCGAATGCATTCGTCGATGATACATCCCACGATATATCTTACCTTCTGGGCACACTCGAGAGCCTTGTCGTAGGCTTCAATGTTGCGTTCTGACCGGCCCCTGTTGAGCCAAGTTCGACCAAGGCAGGCCAAAATGACGGGGTCATTGGTCTTGCCTTCCTTTGACAGCGCAATGTCATAGTGCTCGATAGCCTTGGTGTACTGGCGAAGCTCCGAGTATATGTGGCCGAGATTGACAAAGAGGTGGGCGTCCTTGACTGTCTCGCGGATCTTGTGGAAGATGGGGAGGGCGTTGGAGAGGTCCTTCTTGTCCTCGACCAGGGCGATGGCGACGCCCTGCGCGGCGTAGGCGTTCTTGGGGTCGAGCGACAGGGCCTTCTCGAAGAACTCGACAGCCTTACCATAGACGGCGCTGCGCTTTTGCTTATCGGTCTCCGTATCGCGGCGCATCTCCCTTGCCTGCATCAGGTACAGGTTGCCCATCCCCACCAGGGCGTAGCGGTCGTGCTTGTCATAGTTCTGGAGAGTGTGCTTGTAGTGACGGAACTCGTGGTCCTCGGTGACATTGGCAGGCCGCTTCCTAGAGTGGACCTTGCCCAGGTACCAGCCATACAGGGCCCGGACCTCAAGATCGCTCGTGTTCTCCTGGTACAGCTTGGCGACAGCATCGGGGCCTCCCTTATTAGGATGCTGTCGCAGCTTGATGTACGCCAGCCTCGTACGGGCATCAGTGTAGTCCTCATGACGTGCGAGAAGGCCCTCGTAGACCTCAGCAGCCTTGTCCAGGAAGCCTCTAGTCTCGTAGCTACGACCAAGGTTGAAGCTAATCGTCGAGACGAGGGGATCCGTTTCGGCAGTGGGATCCTTCTCACCAACCAGAACGCAAGCACTCAGGGCAGCCTCGAACATTTCGCTGGCCAGCTCGTGTTTCTCGGCCTGAAACTGGAAGCAGCCGATGTTGTTGAGGAGCTGCGGCGGGAGGAACTTGCGAAGAGCCGAGCGAATCTCAGCCTCATCAGTGACACCCTCGGGGCGTTCTGATTCGGGGACCTCGTCCAGCTCCAGCTGCTCCACCTGCTGAAGACACTGGAGTGCCTTCTCCGGATTCTCTGTCTCGTAGAGGCGGGCCAGATTTAGCAGGACGGACGGATCGGGAGACAGGGACTTCTTGGAGTCCTTCCAGGCGCTACGGACGCTTTCGAGGTATGAGAAGGCCTTCTTCATCTCGGCCGACTTGTCCTCATTGGAACCGCTGTCGATATTGGCGAATACCTCCTCGGCATACAGGGTGCCGAGGAGAATCATGGCTTCGTAGTTGCGCGACTGCTGAATCATCTTCTCGAGGCGAAGCTTGGCCTCGCCGAGGTCATTCTTCAGAACGGAGAGTTGGGCAGCACCAAACTTAGCCGGCAGATGTCCACTGTCCGTGCCACCGCGAGCGTCATCCGCGCGTCGGTAATAGTCGCTAGCGCGGTCCGCATTGCCGGCAAAGTGCTCTTTGCGCGCCAAGAGGTACCATCCATCACTGGCGATGGCGTTGACGTCGGTATACTGAATGGCCTTGTGGGCAAGCTTGTCGGCGTTGTCCCAGTTCTTGCGAGATAGGAAGTAGCTGGCAAACGTCGAGCAGGTGAGTGGTTCGTCCTTGTCCAGCTTGAAGGCCTTCTGTGTGAAATCAGTCATGGCCTTCTTGTAGAGACCAAGGAATTCGTCACTGTTGACGGGGACGTGGCCGCTGGAGTCGAGATAGAACTGGCCCAGGAGGATGTTGGCAATCTTGGAGTTTGGTGTGAGCTCCAGAGCTCTCTCCCAGGCGGCCCTGGCATCCTCCTTGTAGCCCAGCTGCCAGAGACAGCAGCCGATGCCGATGCGCGGATCAGGGTCGACCAGGTCGGGCATCTTGAGGACGACGTCCTGGTACAGGGTCAAAGCCTCGCCGTATTTTTGCATTGAGAAGAAGGCACGAGCCTTTCCGAGAAGAGCCAGCATGTTTTTCCCCTGGGAAACACGAAGGGCGTCGTCAAAGGCCTTGATGGCGGTTCTCAGAAGCTCGTACTTTTCAGACCCGGGGCCGCCAGCCGTCTTGGGCGGGGCCTGCAGCGAAGCGCGTAGTAGGAGTAGGACACCTCGAGCGAGATACATGGGTGAGAACGAGGGGTTCAGGCGTGCGGCGTCGTTGAGGGACGCGGTGGCCAGCTGCAGGTAGTACTCCTTTGTCTTGGCGTCGGAGAACCTGGAGCCCTCGGGGGCGACTCGGGGCGCCTCACGGCTCTTCCAGAGATACATCCAGCACAGGCAGCAAATCATGCTGACCTTGTCGCGCTGGCTGGTGCTTCCGCCGGCCTGAATGGTGCTGCTGCCGCGCATGAGCATCTCGATGGCATGGTCGACCTTGCCCTGCTTGGCGTAGGCCAGGGCGACCGTCATCCAGTAAGGCTTGGCGGCCTTCTCGTTCTCGAAAAGCGTACAGAGCTCGGTAGGGTCGTCGCCCAGTTCCATAAGGTCAATCTCGACAGCCTCGTCCTCCTGGTCGCCCTGGACGGGGACTTCGATGGCAGGGGGGACATCGGAGAAGCGAAGGCTGACGGGGCCATGGTCCTTCGCAGCGCCGTTGGCGCTCCCATTTTTCAGAGTAGCGGCCATGGTCTGTATCGTGTCCTTTCCTCTCTCAAATCTCCTTCTTTTTCCCTTGATGAATCGTTGTTGTCCCGATGCGGTCGTGGAGGAGAGGATGTCGGCGTCGAAAAACAGTCAGAGGCTGCAAGATCGACGCGTCGCGCCAGATGCGCAGCTCCCTTAGAGGGCCGTCGATGAGTCTGTGGGTAAAGATCACGGACCAAATTTTATGGCACAAATCATGATTCAGCAGCGAACAGTATCAGTAGCGCGGGCGTCGATAATTGTGTGTCGTGGAAGAGGGTAAGACGAAGGAAAGCCAGAGAGATGAAGCCGTCTGAGGCAGCGCCACGCTTTCCCAGAGCCAGCAGCTAAATGGTCCGTGCATGAGCGAGGAAACTCACGTACTGTGTACAAAAAAGGGTAAGAAGTGGGTCTCTCTTGCGCTTTGCACTCGTTCACATTTACTCGTACGTTCACGATTCCGTATCTTAAGTTATAAGAACGAAAAAGATGAACTAAAAGGGTGAAATAATGGTGGTTATGCAGGCAAATGGCATAACGGTAGGCTTCTCTCCTGTCTTCTAACATGTTTGCCCCCGTCGATCGCCCCCGTTGATCACGCTGGCTGTTGTATATACGTACTGCAACTGTCAACATTGAACTGACTTGGCATCGGGAGAGTAAATAGACTGCGTATATCGAGGTTAGGGATAAATCAATTGATCGACGGACAGTGAGAGCTCTAACACCCATCATGTTCCATGTTCTGTACCCATCAAGCAGCTGTAAGTCAAAGGGGTGTTCGCCCAGCTGCTGTCAACAGCTGCGAAGGGCACGCATCCAACCGTTTACACTCACCTCTTCCCCGTCATCCTAGGAATTTCCCTATATCTGATATCTCTGTAGGGTGATTCAGCACTGGGAACCCATATCACCCGCTCTCGGTAACCATCACAATATCCTCACCGCAGGGCGAACGGTCGCCATGTCCCCCGAACCCAGGTGCTTCGGATGGCACTGTCTGACCGTGGCCGAGAAATTCGGCATCATATTCAGCGCCGCCGTCGTCATCATCGTTCTGTCCATATCCTGGATGTGCTATATGGGCAGGGCAGCAAGTTCTCATCGGGTACAGTTCTCCGTGTCTCTCCCCGGAGGTCGCAGGATGCGCAGGAATCCGCGGCTGCCCCCCAATATGGTCGCAGGACAGCTCCCCGTCGCCTACAAGCAGCCCGGCTATCCTCTCCGGATCCTGTACCAGCCAGTACTATATAGCAATATCGACTCCATAGATGCGCTGCGGACATATCCCCAAGAGACTCTCCCAGGCCCCTACGACCACAATATACACATGATAGCAGGGGCAGGCATGTCGGGTCCATATTACGGTCCTGAAGCGCCACCGCTGGGCATACACGAAGGGCCTGGCCTTCTTCCTCCACCCCTATCCTCTCACCCAGTCAACTATCCGAGGGCACAGACTCAGGAGGGTCCGCAGTCGACGTGGAGGAACCGCTCCGTTGGCACGTTCAACATGCCGACGGGCAGGGCGTCCACTATCGCGAGCAACGACGAACGACAACGCAGCACAACACCACACACCGGCTCTCCTCCCCAGAGCAGGGATGAGAGGGCCCCCGTCGCCAGCGCCGTTACCAGATACGGCGGTATCCGCCTCGTGCCTTCCTGTGAACCGGAGCAGCAGCAGCAGCAGCAGTCGCCAACTAGGATCCGGAACGAGGACGACGATACCCCGTCCATAAAATCGGGTGCCGCCACGGTCCACAGCGACGACTACGACCTGCCAGGGGAGTCACATCTGACTTCTGTGGACGGGATTTCACTACAGTTTCGCTCTCGATACCGCTCTCGACGTTGGGAACAAGACGCTCCCCAGCCTAATCAGATTGGTGCTATGGTCGTGGTACCGACTGCGTCTTCAATTTCAGAAGAGTCAGCCTTGCGCGGAGGCGCCATGAATGGCGTGCATATTCCCTTGGGAAGGCTTCCCGACGTGTCTGATGATGGAGACAAGCTGTTCCAGGCCTTTGAGAGCGGCCCATTCTGCAGGGAAACGATGCGCGCCGACTGGGAAAGGAGGTACGTGACGCGACAGGCAGAGTACGATACCGGTGTTACCCTGCGTTCGAATGGGAGATGCTAACATGGACAGAACACCGACCACTAATTCCAGTGATGATAACTCTGAAGAGTATAGGCCAGAGGTACCGGTACCGATTCACTAGGACTATGACGATGTTTGCTGTGAACTAGAGGACTTAAAACTAGGGAGCAGTTGTCCCGGGGCTTTCTATGATATTGTTTTGGGCGATCCATCACATGACCATGCAGGCTGAAATCTCCATGGATGGGGTGGAATATGTACGCTCGATTCCATCTCCGAAACTTACTAGTATTTTGCTCAATGCCGTTTATGAAATAAATACTTGAACAACCGACTTGCTATTTTTACTATCCTTCTGCGTTGCTCACAATGCACGTATCGTGACGTGCCTGCAACCAGGAGACCGCGCTGGGCTATCAGCTTAGTGGGACGGCGGTGTAGGTAGGCGACAACGCGACAAAACCTGTCACCGGCATCAAACGCCAGCCAAAGCCCCACGACGACGCGCCCGACGGCCCCAACGAAGAATGGTATGGCCCTTTGGCAGTGGCCAGGGCGCCGATGCGAATCGTCAGGATGAGCGGGCATCGACACGCACGACTGACATCCCCCCCTCCGACGCTCGACAGCCAGTCTCATGGACCGACACGATAGGCCAGCCGGCCAAGGCCTTCGGCGCAGCGCAGGAGTGGGCTCCCGTGGTGGTGTGCTCGCTGGCGAGCATGGGAGCACTGCAGCTGTACGCAAACTACCTCCGGCGGATACCGGGCGCGGCGTTCGTTCGGCCGTCTTTCTTCCGGAGCAGGAGTCTGTTCGGGCGGGTGACGAGCGTGGGGGATGGAGACAATTTCCACCTGTTCCATACGCCGGGGGGTAAAGCCGTGGGGTGGGGATGGCTACGGAGCGTCCCTACGGGGAGGAAGCAGCTCAAGGACCGGACGGTACGCTTGCCCCCCTTATCTCTCGCAGTGTTACTTTCTCAACTTCTTTCTGACAACGCGTAGATATCTGTCCGACTAGCTGGCGTCGATGCCCCTGAGGGAGCTCACTTTGGTAAGCCAGCGCAACCGTTTTCGTCCGAGGCCCTCGAGTGGCTTCGAGCGTACATTCACAACCGTAACGTCCGGGCGTACCCATACAAGCGAGACCAATACAACCGTATCGTGGCGACAGTATACGTGCGGCGGTTCCTGCTACGCAAGAATGTAGGGCTGGAGATGGTCAAGAGGGGACTGGCCACCACGTACGAGGCCAAGTCCGGAGCCGAGTTTGGCGGATTGAAGGATGTCTACGTCAAGGCCGAGGCTAAGGCCAAGAAGAAGCGTCTTGGTATGTGGTCTGGTAAGGCGAGCGAGTTCGAGAGCCCTAGGGAGTATAAGACCAGATGGGCTGGCCAGGATCAGGGAGGTAAGTGATGTCAGATGCGGGTGGAGGGGAGGGAGGGGGGAGGGAAGGGGGACATCATATTATTACAGGGTGACGATGTTTGCTACTACACTCTGAATATACATCCATATCATTATACGGAAGAAGTGTACGACGTAAGGACTACCGTCCGTCCGGCCATAAGAGACGATAGAAGGCGCCATGCTCCGACCAGACGGCATCTGAGATTCGGTGCGAGGAAGTGTGAAGACTCGGGGTTGAAAAGCTATGACAATACGAAGGTAGGCTCGCGGTCTTGTGAGAAAGCCTCTCCCTTCCGTATACCTGAGGTGTGTATCTGAGGTTGTCGGCAAGTGATGGAATATTTGTAGGCCCTTCATATGTCGGAGGATGCACCCACAAAGATTGACCCCGTTACCATCATCCACATCGTACATATACGTAATACGTATAATACACTACTGGCTAACAGATGATAAGATCCACACTAAACTTCCAAGACGCCAGTGGACTACAGGTTGAACAGTGTCGCCATCGTTCCCGTCTCTGCGGAATTAAAATATTGTCAGCTCGTCTGTAAGGTCCACGAGTTATCGGCTTTCCCCAGTAATTGTGTCGTGCATGTATGCAAGCACGGAAGCCTATGTAGCATGTGTATATGGATGTTGGAGAGTCCCAACCCGGCCGAGAAAGGAAACCCCTGCCACCATCTAGGGTTCTTATTAGTAGAGTCTAATATTACACGGTCATAGTTAGGCTATGGTACTTCGGTATAGTTGCGCGTGGTTCGCATCATAAGACATAGCTTCTATATACATTGGCACCGTTTACAATGGAAGAGCCACCTGAGAGCTGGCACTCGAACCCTTCTCATGCCTCCCGGGAATCACCAAGTTGAGCACCACCCCTATGACAGCAGCAATGATAAACGGCGTCTCGACCACCAGATTGATACCCTGCTCGAAACCGGCAAGATTCACATTGGAACCTTGGTACGCGAGGATCTGGCTGAACCAGCTGGGCGACACAATGTCCATGAAGCCGACGCCAAGCGCGACGGTGAGTATGAACCGATTGCGCCTCGTAAACTCGACAAAGCTGAGCACGCGGATGCCCGCCACGACAATGGTGCTGAACAGGAAGACCTGCATGCCACCCAGCACAGAGGGTGGCATGGATCCAAAGACGGCGCCGAATTTGCCGAATATACCCATGAGAACGAGGAATGCGGCAGCGCACCAACCCGCCCTCCGGCTCTAACTCTCACCATCGCATATCAGTACATACATATTCTCGTTCAAGTGTCAATTTCAGTAGTGAAAGGTGTCTAGACTCACCGCACAGCCAGTCAGCGAAATAACGCCATTGTTACCAGCTTGGCTGACCATGGGAAGGCCGGTGCCCAACGCGCTGACTAGACTTCCCAACCCGTCGCACAGTATGCCTCCCTGGATGCGCGAGTTGAAGTCCACCCCGTCAATTTCCACGCCGGAAAGCTCCGCCGTGGCCAGGATATCCGGCATGCAGCTGACGGCCTGGCACACGAACATGATGAGCAGCGGCAGGACCAGCGCTCCGTCGACCGACAGGCTGAACGTCTCCACCCAGAGGAACGTGGCCACGGGGGCGGCGTCGATGTCATCGCGGGACCAGTACCCCGTGGCACCGGAGATGGCGCAACCCACGGCCAGACCGAAGACGACCGAGGCGGAGCGCATGAGCGGGGACCCGAGGATGTCGACTATGATGATGGTCACGAACACGCTGAACCCGAGGCCTATGAGTTTCGGGTGGCCCCTACGTAGTCATTATCAGTACATATACGTAAGCAGAGAAATCTCAACCTATGCCAGGGAAATAACTGCTCACCAGGGCAGAGGCTTCGGGGCGTCAACACTGGGACACAAGGCGTAGTACCCCTCACCGCCGTTGCAGTTGGAGCTGCCCCCCCAGTTGTTCATCCCACTGGAGATGAGGTACACGCCGACGAGCAGGAGCAGACTCCCTGTGACCATCTTGGGGAACACGCGGTTCAGCACGCGCGGGGGCACAAACGACAACAGGATCTGTATCCACACCGTACACAGCATGGTCCCCAGCATGGCTCCCCACGCATCCGGGCAGGCCAGCCTCGACCCGTCCGCCGCCGTAGGGCAGGTGCCGTTGCCGTACCGCATGTCCGCGTAGCTCAGCGCCACGGCGATGATGTCAAACGTCGGTCCCACGACGGATAGGAGCCCCGTGCCGACGTAGAACGGCGTCTTGGCCAGGTGGATCCTGGTCACCTGCAGTGCTGTCGCGATGCCCGTCGTTATGAAGGCCGCCGAGACGAGGTACTCGGTTTGCTTGGTGTTGAGGTAGAATGCGCCGCCGGCGATGGCCAGCGGGGGGGATACAACGGATCCGATCATGGTCAAGGCGTGCTGCAGACCTAGAATGATGGTAAGGAGGATGGGCACCTCGTCATTCAGACCGTAGAAGGGGGCTTGGTAGCCGGCGTAGCGCTTGTTGAGGGGCCATATGTTTGGCGTGACGAGATACCTGTAGTCCTTTTTTCCGAGGCGCACGTTCTAACTGTCAGCTTGGTACCAGCGGTATTACGCATCGGATGTTTCCAATTACATAGTCTCCGATCCAACCTTGACGGGTGGTGAAGTAGCGGAGGAGATACTGCCATTGGGTTTCACGGATGGGAGACACGTCTTCGGAGGACGGTGCCTGCTGTGCCCCTATGGGTGCCTTTTCTCGGCTCTCGTCCATGACGATGGGCGGTACGTTTCCTTGTGACAAACGCCCATGATGGGAGTTGCAGCGCGGCTGTATTATTTATGGCCACAGCCTTTATCTGTAATGGGTCAGGGTCAAATGTACATATCTGTAATATGTAATCTGCACGACGATAATCTGATATGCCCTCGGCCGAGGTTGACAGGTAACAACAGAAAGATACACCACCTCGGCCGAGCAGCAAGAGCTGGAAAACAGGGGAATCTCCATCTTCGGACGTGTACCGCTTTTCTTGTACTTGTAGACATTCCGACATCTCACGTTGCATGCAGGTGCAAGAGCATGCATTTTTATGCCCGCAATGACCGAGTGCACCATCTTCCACGGTGCGACAATCATCACTGTCAACCCGCAACGAGAGACCATTCAGAATGGCTACATCCGCGTCGACGCACGGCGCATAACAGCCATCGGCAAAGGCCGCTACCCCGCCGAGGCATCACTGCCACCCGGGACACGGGAGATAGACTGCCGGGGCAAGATCATCATCCCGGGACTGATCAACACGCATGCCCACCTGGTGCAATCCATATTGCGCGGACTAGCCGAGGACCTTCCGCTGCACAACTGGCTGTGTGACGCCGTGTGGCCGCTCGAGGCGTCCTTCGAAGACTACGATGGGTACCACGCCGCGCGGCTGACGGTGGCGGAGATGCTCAAGACGGGGACGACGTGTTTCCTTGACCCCATGATAACCTACCGTGCTGGGTTTGACAATGTGTGCGAGGCTGTGGGGGGGATGGGGATCCGGGCCTGCCTCGTACGCATCAATCCACGCTTCTACCTAACGCATTATCCGAGTGGTAGTAATTGCTAACAGTCGTGCGTGTGTGCGTATGTGTTTGTATGAAGGGAAAACTGGTCAAGTTCGCCGAGACGAATCGCCAACTATCCATCTCGGACCCGAGGGATGCAGATCTACTGGCCATGTCCACCCCGGAGCTGCTGCGCGCCCACGGACAGCACCACGGGAGCTACGACGGTAGGATCCACGTCTGGGCAGCGGCCGGCACACCCAGGGGGGTGCCCATCTCGCACTACCGCGATTTGGGCCAGACGTGTGCTGCGGGGGGCATCTCGATCACGATGCACTGCGCCGAAGCGCCGCGGGACCGGACGATCTACCACGAGACGTACGGATGCAGTGCCATGGAGTTTGTCCGGGACGCGGGGCTATGTGCGCAGGTGCAGGTGCAGGGGCAGGACGACGGCAAGACGGGTGCAGTATCAGAAGGAGAGGGAAGTCGGCCACCATCGCACAACCTGGTCCTGGCACACATGGTCAACCTAGACCCGGACGTCGACATCCCCCTCCTAGCCAGCACGGGCACATCGGTAGCGCACAACCCTACATCGAACCTCAAACTGGCGTCGGGCGTGGCGCCTGTGCCCGCCATGCTGTCGCACACGCCAGACGCGGTCAACGTGTCCCTGGGGACAGACGGCGCGCCCTGCAGCAACCACTACGACATGATACGCGAGATGCACCTGGCCGGCATCCTGCACAAGGGCGTCAACGGCGATGCCAGGCTGATCCCCGCGGAGCTGGCGCTGGAGATGGCCACCATCAACGGAGCGAGGGCGCTGGGACTGGCCGACGACGTCGGGAGCCTGGAGGTGGGCAAGATGGCTGACGTGGTGGTGATTGATCCAGGGATCGGGGCTGCGCCGTGGGTGCCCACGAGTGATGATGAGGCTGATGGGACTACAGGTGGTACTGGGAATGGGAATGGGAGCGAGAGGGTCACTATCAGAGGAGTGAGTGCCGCGACGACGGTGGTTCACGGGTGTACAGGGCGTGATGTGGACATGACCATGGTGAATGGGGTAATGGTGGTGGAGGGAGGCCGCCTGTTGAAGGTGGAGGAGTCCGAGGTGGTGTCCAGAGCAAGGGAAGCTGCCAGGGGGGTCATAGACAGATGCAGCCCACAAGCGTAGCTCGCAGGTGAAGACCATAGGTGTACAAACACGAAGTGATCATGGCGGAAGAGTACGAGTAGGTTAAGGACGGTGTGTGGGAAAAATTGATTGTTCAGCACCAACTCCGGGTATACGGAGCATTTTGGGCGGTGCTGAATTCTCGTAGTGATATTCGTAGTATGAGCAGTTGCCGGTAACACAGGCACTACTCGGTAAAAAGCGTCAACACGGACAGAGGGGGAAAAAAGCTGTTGAATAACCCGAGTCCATGACTCCGTAGGTGCATCAATGCGTTGTCCCCAACAAAAGGGGAGTTCGCGGGGCATAAAGGGCCAAGGGAGGGGAAGGGGAGGGGCAGAAAGTGGGGGGGAGGGAGGGAAGTACCTACAAGTAATATCGTACGTGCTAAGAATGGACGGGTGTTAGCGAAATGGCGGGTGAAGTACGGAGTTTACGTACCTGTAAGTGTAGGCAGAGATGGTATTAGCAATCCGGTTGAGGGCCCTGAGCAATTCTTTCGAAGCCTCACAAATACTATCGCTACTACTAGGTAGCTACTACTAGGTAGCTACTGCTAGGTAGGTAGGTAGGTAGCAGTATCAGGCTACCAGAGTAAGACCTATCACCACTGTATTACATACGTTGAGCAACAGTGCGAAGGGAACCGAGAGGAAGACATAATAACATAATAATACATGTATGTGGCGAGGAAACTCTTCAAGGTGCAGCAGTCAATAGCGGTCTTACCAAGGTGACGGCAAAAAAAAAAGGGCCAGGGTCCCAACCAAACAGGAAAAAAAAGGGGTCCAAGTTGTTGTGTGGCTGCATCCCCAAGCTTTCGCTTTGGGAAAGACTTCACGTGTGTACCGGTGCTAGCCTTTAGTGCAGCATTGCTGTTAGTATCCGCACTACTCCGTACCTGTAGAGATACCTGGTAACTCTTATTAGAGTTGAATCTACTAGTAGTATCTACGATGACAGTCTTTCTTATGATGGAAACCCGATATGGAATCCAAGAGATAATAATTACCAACACCTGATCTTTTGCTTATTTCCTCCTTTTCTTTTCCCCATTCTCATATCATCTCTTTCTATCTTTCTCCGTGTGTTCGGATGATTGGGCCGAGGCTCAATGGTGTCTAAACCCTGCGGTGAGGGAACTTCCCCCCCCCCGGTCCTTCCGCCAAGTCTATCCCGCTGTCACTCTGCGGCTACAATCTTGTACTAGGTACTCCGTACTTTTGAAATCACTCTGAACTTTTACAACAATTGTGTGTGTTTTATTTATTTTTAATTTTTTTTTGGGGGGGGGGGAGGGGCGAGGGTCTGGCACTACTACTATCAGTACCATCCATAATAGAGGTGTGACTTCATTATCGATCAACCCAACTCTATTACATCTTGTTTCCGCCCCAAAGTATTCGATACATGTCAAATGTAGCTCCGGTACAACAAAATTCTCATCAGTCGTGTAGACCCTCAACCTTTAGCTTCGTTATTACAATGTTCTGGATAGTCTCTGGTACAGGTGGTATGGATCACTCGTAGACTCCCAATACGCCGTAACTCGCAGTATCGAACAATACCGAGAGTGTTAACCAGTAGGTAACATTTTTCTAACCTATCAGTAGCTTGTAGTAGCAGCACTGCACCTTCTCGTACTCGTACTGTTGAGCCGAGAAACCGCTTGTCCCATCCACTTCTTCTCGGCTCCTTCTCCTCAGCCGAAACAGAAACATTGCTCTTTTCCTTGTCTCTCATCCTCCGCTCTTCCATTTCCCCCCTCTCATCCTCTCTCCCTCCCTCTCCCTCCCTCTCTGCTCTTTTCTTCTTGTTTATCTTCCATCTTCCTCTCTCCCCCTTGACTTTGCCTGGTATTACTCCTTCTTCTTTCCTTGTCCTCCCATCTCCCTCATCTCTTTCTTCTCTTGTCCACTAGATCTTGTCTGATAGACTAGCTACTTACTATTTCCCTAGCTTCCTACACACATACATACACACAGACACGCCGGCTTGTCAAGAGAATACACAGACATGGAAAACCTAGGAATCATGGGCACAGTGCCCGAATCCAACCTCTTCACCTGGCCACCTACGAACCACCCGGCACCCCTCCCCCCTCCCACCGTCGAGTCCCCCTCGGTCATGTACCCCTTCAACATCCCGGGGCCGGCCTTCGTGTCTGCCCTGGACGCCCGCGTGCCCCTCACCATCGCCACCGTCTACGCCGTGGCCGCCAAGCTGCTGACGCGGTACAACTTGTCGCGCGGGAAGCGCGCCTGGGCCATCAGTCGGACGAGACCCTTCTTCGCCTTCGTCGTCCTGCATAACGTCTTCTTGGCCGTCTACTCGGCCTGGACCTTCTGGGGCATGCTCGGCGGCATGAGGAGGAGCGTCGCCAACCCCTTCACCACTGGGGGCGGGGGCCTCGCCGCCACCGCTGACTCCCTGTGCCGCGTCCACGGAGGGCCCGGCCTCGGCAACTCCGTCTACTTTGACGACGCCTCCCGGAGCTGGACCTCGCTCTCCCACGCCGGCGGGCCCGCCGCCCCCACCCTCTCCCAGGACGGCCTGCCCTCCCCCCTGCAGCCCGGCCGCCTCTGGAACGAGGGTCTCGCCTACTACGGTTGGATCTTCTACCTCTCCAAGTTCTACGAGGTCCTCGACACTTTCATCATCCTCGCCAAGGGGAAGCCCAGCTCCACCCTCCAGACCTACCATCACGCTGGCGCTATGGTGTGCATGTGGGCTGGTATCCGCTTCATGTCGGCCCCCATCTGGATCTTTGTCCTCGTCAACTCGTTTATCCATGCTCTCATGGTAATTTCCCCCCTCTCCCCATCACTCTCCCAATGCCAACTCTAACAAAAAAAATCTCTAGTACACCTACTACACCCTCACGGCCTTCTCCATCAAGGTCCCCGTCTTCGTCAAGCGTACGCTGACCACGATGCAAATCACCCAATTCGTCCTGGGCGCCTCGTTTGCCATGGTCCACTCTTTCGTCTCCTACATCATCCCCCTGACCATCACGCCCACGGACAACGTCGACGTTACCGCCGCCGCTGACGCCAACACTCTTGTCCCCTCCATCGCCGCAGGCGCATTCGACTCTCTCCGCCAGCTTGTCCTCGGTACCGCCGGCGACCACGCCCCCGTCAAGGCTGCCACCGCCTCGGCCACCGGGGCCACCGAGATCATCTACGTTTCCCAGCCCTGCATCGTCACCGCCGGCGAGACTTTCGCTATCTTCGGCAACGTGCTTTACCTCGCCCCCCTGACTTACCTCTTTGTCAGCTTCTTCATCGCCAGCTACCTCAAGCGCAGCAATGCTGCTAGCAAGATCAAGGGCAAGGGCGCCTCGGGTCGTCGCCTGAGCAACGTCACCCTCGCCGAGAAGGCTGGCTGGGATGCCGCCCGTGGCGTCGAGAAGGAGGTCTACGGTGGTGAGAATATGGTCATGAACCCTTCTAGCTCCAATGGATCCCCTACAAAGTAGATCTTGGTCTCTTTCGCAACACACACCAAAACAAAACAAAAAAGGAGAAGTGAAGTGCATGCGTGCACACCCCAAAAAAGGGAGAGTGGTTGAGTGGTGTATGGTGTCACAAAAGGGACGCAGCAAAATATGAAACAACATTACAGTTGACGAGGTACGAGTACGACTTCAAAACATCTACAAGATGACGGGAAGGGATTCAGGGAGATAAATGTATGTGGAGAAAGTGTTCACTATCGCCCTGTTTGTTTCACGCACGGATTATCATTGCATTTTCTTGACTTTTTAATGCGAGCCGGGAATGGGGGAGATTATCGGCGTTTTGTTTTCTTACTATACATGTTTATTTCTTTCTACTATTTCCCCAAAACTTTCATTTCTTCATTAGCTACACATGGACGATATATATGCACAGGATGATTTCAAGAGTCAACACGGCACGTTACCGCCATCTTCCAACGTTTCACCAGACTGAACTAAATCTTTGACGCAAGACGCTTGACCATCACTAGACAAAGGGGATTTATTCACATATATTACGTATTATGTACCAAGTTTAGCCGTCTATATTGCATGTATGGAAGATGAAAAAAGATAACAGCATTAAGTGAATCCTATTAGATAAGAGTAAAGTAGGTACATAGCGCCGCGCTCTTTCTATATGCGAGAATCTTCAAAATAATCCAAAAGAGGGGTAAAAAGTCTCTGGATATGAGAGACATAGAAAATGGAATAGCATAGATAATAGATGCAGAGATATATCGGGTGGCCATCACATTAGGCCAGGGTTCGACGCAAGTATATGGACTCGAGCCAAACAGAACACTATAACTCCGATCAAGATTGAGCCATGACGAAGCCATGATACAAGTCAAACTCAACCCAGTCTCTCGCAACATCGCAGTCCTTCAGTCTGGTAATAGGCAACAAGTTGTAGTGGAAGGTCGCTTCATGAGGCTCTTGGAGCCGGGTATCAAGAAAAAATGCTGTCCGTGTCCAGGACAGCCGCAGTGAAACAGGAAGCTGAAAATCAAAGGGAGACTAAAGCTCCCGAGAAGGAAGAAGGCGCTAAGATCCGTGACTGCAGAGTAGTATATGTAGGCGTGATTAGGTGTGGGTATGTTTGTGTACTAGAAGGTGCTCCAATTCCAGTCGCGAGGAACGCTGTTGGCAACGTCAGGGCTCTTGGCCAGGCCAAAGTCGGGTTGGGCGCCGGGGTGGGCCATGACGGGGGTGGGCGGAGTACCACCGTGGCCATCGGAGGAGACGGAGCTAGGCGACTGGCTGTTGTTGCGGCTGTACCAAGACTTGTACTGGTCGAAGCAGTGCTCGCATGTGCGGTAGAGGGGAGCGCGAGGGTTGAAGTTGGCATCCTGGTCGAGAGGCACGCCGAGGCTGGAGTGCTGGTCGCAGAAGATGTTGCCACAGCGTCGGCAGTGATGGCGGCGGACAAAGTAGCTGAAGGTGCGCTTGCAGGTCGGGTCATCGCACAAAGAGGACTCGTGGTCAGGCTGCAGTGGTTTGTCGCGTTAATATGGGGTACGAGTAGGAATACTCTGTAGAGGCAGGGATAGGACGAAACAATACCTTCCAGTGATCCCTAGTAGGAACGTCAGTGACGGTGGGAAATATGTCGTGGTTGTGAGAGTGGCCCTCCGGGCACTTGGCACTGTCGGCTGTGGAGCGACGGCTGAGACGCTGGATGACGCCTATGCCAGCCATATTCATGAGGGTGCTGCTGTTGGAGAGGCGGCGGCCGCCGTGGCACACGCAGTCCGAGTCGTGACCGTTGGACGAGGTATCAACGGCGACGCCGCCGGAGAGGGGCGGAATAAAGTCGCTGTTGGGACGAAGGACGGCTGGCATATACATAGGTCGAGTATAATGTCGAGAGTCCTGGTGCTGGTTCTGGTAGGCCTTGGGTGAGGCGGGGACCGAGGCGTTATGTTGGCTCTCACCCGAGGAGCTGAGGGGCGAGATCTGGTGGTTGACGGGCGGAACTTGATAGGAAAAGGAGCGCATGTGCTCAGGACGATGCTGCTGGACGTGATGGGGTGGGGGAGCTTGGTAGTGGTGGCGGTCGGTGGCCATGGTAGGCATGATGAGCTCAGCAGTCATATTACCGGGCTGAAGGGGGTCCTAAAGAGTAAGAGTTGTGCGTGCGGCGCGTGCGTGTGTGTATTCGGGTTGTGGGCGAGTATGCGACTGGGGTGGTGGTGTTTTAAAGCGGAGACCGTTGTTGTCGGCGATGTCTTGGGTGAGAAAACAAGACGAGAAGGCTTATTGCGGGGAGACGAGTGTGCGTAGGTGAAGAAAGGCCGGGTGTATTTTCTCGGCGAGGAACCACGAGTAGAAAGTGAGAAATATGAGGGGGGGGAGAAGAGGACCAGTTTCGCTATTAAGGAAGAAGATAATATAGATGGGGGGGTGGTGGGAGATTTGGGGGGGATAAGCGATGGTTATACGACATAGACGGATAAGACGAGCGTTGTAGAGGAGGGGGGGAAGAGCAGAAGGCGGGTACTTCTCACTTTTCGGGGAAGTATAGGCGGCGTGAGTGGGGGAAGGCGCCGCCGGCGGGTGGTGGAGTGCTACGGAGCATTTGTTACTGTACTATGCTTGAATCTTGGGTGGCCATGTCCTGGACAATGACAAATGATGATAATCACAGCACCTACAGTACACTAGTCAGAGACATGGTTTGTGACGCTTTTAGTACGGCAGGGGGGAGGTAATAAGTGATGGGGAGGAAGGGCGCTGACAATGGTGCATCATCAATTGGGTAGTAAGGTAGGTGGCTTGGTGGGCTCTTTGACGGGCTCCTTGATGGAGGGTTCTAGTGGCGACCGTGGCGACGGACCGACCTCGTTTTTGCGTTGTTAATAGGTCAGTACGCATTGCGTAGGCGGCGTAGCAGGTTTACATCCACTGTAGCCGGGCTGTAACAGCAGAGCACTGCACTTGTAGTATTACTGACGGCAGTTCGGCATCGGTAGCTGGATATTATTACGACGCGCTCGGCTTTCTCCTACTTAACTTACTTGTACGAGACATGTATTACGTGCGCTCATTCCGTGTCATTTTATCTCCAGTTTGAGCTTATCTTTATCGTACTATGTATATCTGTAGTGGTGGTCATATTGCCCCGTAAGCTAGTATCAGCACGAGTAATGGTAGCATTTTCACTCGCCGAAAGTCCTTGCGCTGATAAATTGTAACACGACGAAGAAATCCCACTCTTTGTCTGTACCATTGCCGATTCTCGGTAAGTAGTACACCTATTAGCACCTACTCGTACACTGGGTATACTGGTACGCACAGCGGTATTCCCTTGCGTTCTAGATCTAGTGCCAATGGAGATAATTTTGGCTGGACTATGCACCTTGGGCGCGTTTTCTCTAGTGGCTCTCCCGGTATCTTGCCGGTCAGCCAGTGCTATCATATTATGGTGAACAATAATGCTCGTACGAGTCGTAGCATCATAGCCATAGGCTACTAATTTAGTAGTGTTACCATCTGCCCATGATTATTGATTGCAGAATGTCGTAGGCTTGTGGCCCGCCTCCTCGGTCCGCACCTTCCCTCATCCCCTCTTTCCTCAACTCCGTACGCACCGAAACTGAATCGTGCTGGCCAGAGAGGCAGGAACGACCCTTTGGCCCAAGACAGGTAGTAGCCACGAGTATTACCAGTATAATTATTTCTAGTATTACTCGCAGCCTGTACCTTGTTATTCCCCCCCTCTCGTCAATGCATGTCTCGTTTGTTGGCTCTGCGGGTACAGTGCGGTGCAAGCTTTAGCAATCCCGTCAAATCCCTCCTTCCTCTCTCAAGTGCTCACCATTTACCAAGAATACCACCCAACCACCCGCCCCATCTATTTACCTGTCCCCGGCCGCTGGCCATGCGACCCGTCCACACACAAGTCTGGAGTTGCCGTGCTGCAGGCTTGGCCTTCAAGAAAAAAACAAGTGGCGCTCACCGTTGGCTGCTTCGCAAATGAGAGCTTCCCCAACGCCAAAGCAAAGATCATGCTGGTACCGAATAGAACTGAGGGTCCGTCCACAGGGACCCCTACCAGCTTTGCCAGCCTACCGTGAACTATTCCAAAGGCGGAAGTAATACTTCGTCCACTACATTAACTGTCCCTCGACAAGAGTACGGGTACGAGTGCACGAGTGAGCAACATTACGTCGTGGATATTGTGCTGGCTACCATGTGTTAATCACTGAGTAATTTACAGAGTACCGATGATTGTCATTTATCACTCTGCGGTCTTGCTTCTAGGCGTTCACCAGCCCACCCTACTGTTGCCTGACTACGGCTTGGATTGTGCGTCCGGATCGTCAACAGACTTCTGCGTTATTAATAACTCGGTAGGAGAAGCAGGGTGACGAGATGACGCAGACACTCAAACCAGGGACTCAAGGTCGGGGTTGCCTAGTGCCAGGCGTGGCAGGCGGGCAGTACCCTCGAGTCGTTCCACACTTCTGTTGGATCCGGACGGACCCTCTGGGTGGCAACGGTTCGGCCGGCATGGCTTGTCAAATAAGAGCGCTCATCTTTCCCATCTTGACCAATACAAGTATTTTTGCCTCATATTTACGAACACGGAGTAGGAAAATCCCTGGCTTGGCACGCGTGTTACCCACAGGCGACGATACATACGCTTGTCCAAGTCGGCGAGATAAACAAAAGTAAATAATCGGTTGTCTTCAGAGTTCCCGGGCACCCACCTCCGACCAGAATAGGCAACATGGCACGTTTGACGGCCTCGCGCTGTTAGTAAACACATGACGACTTTTTGCCACTGCTTCGTCCGAGCTGTGCTTTCTAAGCTGTTGCTTATCACTGTTGGAAACAGCTGGCCCCATCTCGTCGCTCGAGGCCCTTCTTTGTTTATGATGATGAATGTGGCTCTGCATCATCGTGGTCATGACGAATCCATTTACACGAGAAGTTGCATCCGTAATTTCACAGGTTCTTAGTACGAGTCTCGTACTCCGTAATACTCGTTAGAGGATGCGTCTGGGCCGTTCGCTCTATCCTTAGGTGGGTATTCTTCTGATTTGTCCAAGTTCTTCACACATGGTAGTCCCTTGAGTCTTGGCAACCAGATTGGGAGACCCGCCATAAAACACACTCGCACTGTCACACAAGCTTACACAGCAAACCCAGCTACAAGTCTCAGTAGTCATTCTAGCGGTGAAGGACCGAGGGTCCGACGATTGGATATCCGTGCTGCATGCCACTTCTTTAGCTCCTTTTTGAAAGAGGGTAGCTTGACCCGCGTCGCATCCTAGACTGCCCCTCATCTGCTGGTGCTACGGCTACGACATGCGTGTAATACGTAGTATTCTAGCATTCTATGTGCCTGCTCTCGTACCGTCGTCCTGTTCTTGCATCTCCGAGATATCATTAACCAAAAGCGGACTGGACCAGGCTAGAGCCTTTTCTGCCGCCTTCTTTTTTCCTTCTATTGGAGGGGTACGGCAAAGAGAGAAAGTCTTGGCTTGACTTGGCTCGGATCATGGCCTAAAAATATGAATGGCAGAATTCATCACACGATGTATTACCATACATTACCTAAGCGCTATGAGGTGCTGCCCCGCGACGTACGCCTGCCGAGCCCCCCCTTCTTCCTCCGCCATCGCAGATGATCTCTTATGCTACAGTTCAGTTGATAGGGAGCTTAATACTGGTATTGTAGTCCCGAGACGGCGGGTTCTATCGGGGTTCATAATCAGGTCCGCGTAATATCTGTGATCGATCCCAAGTGGTGCTATGTGTTGGCGCGTTACTGCCTAGGTGTTAATACTATTATTTGCATTATTTGCAGTGGAGGAGAGCGATACTCGCTTGCTCAAATGATTAATTACGAGTAATGTCTAGTACTCGTACATTAGTAGCTGCCATAAAAACCAGGACGCCCAAGGAGGATGAAGCAGGACCCCCCTTACTCCTCTGATAGGTCACATGTGTCTGATCCCCCTCCGGTGTCCCTTTTCAACTGCTCTACAGTACTTCCCCTCTCACCCCGCCAGGGTGTGTCATGTACATCGTATCTAATGCTCCAGCGACGAGGAGTAAGGATTTCCTTATCTATGGTGCCACCATGATGTTGTGGCGGGCGGTGCGTCACTGACCTTTTTAGAATTCGAACGACAGAGGTCAACAGTTACGAGTACTACTACTAATTATACTATGAGTACTCCGTACTGCACAAGTATTTCTTCGCAAACCTACGTATAAGAAAAAAAAGATGAGACGGTGTGGTGTGGCCGAGCGGCATAGTGTAATGTAATATTGAGCTATGCATGAGATCAGATCGGCTTCAATTAATCCATCTCCCATCGACCACTCTTGCCACCATCCTTCAGCACAACCCTCAACCCCTCGATGACCATACCCTTGTCCACAGCCTTGCACATGTCGTAGATGGTCAGGGAAGCCACGCTGGCAGCCGTCAGAGCCTCCATCTCCACCCCTGTCTTGCCACTGCACGTGACGGTGGCGCGAATCTCTATCACCCCAGCACCAGCACCGTCATTGGAGGCGGAGGAGGAGACGGAACTGCCGTCGCGGGGCTCTAGATCGATGGCTACGTGAGATAGGGGGAGCGGGTGGCAGAGAGGCACCAGGTCTGGCGTACGCTTGGCCGCCATGATGCCCGCCACGCGCGCCACGGCCAGCACGTCCCCCTTCTTCATCTGGTTGTCCTGTATGAGGTTCACCACCGTGGCGACTGAGAAGCGCACCGTGCAGGCTGCCGTTGCCGTCCGCTGAGTGACGGCCTTTTCGGATATGGACACCATATGGGCTGTTCCGCGGTCGGAGACGTGCGTCAGCCGGCCCTGGCCTGGCTCGCTGCTGCCGCTGCTGTCATTATCACGGTCGGATTCCTGCGCTCTTCTCGGCGATGACGAAAAGAGTCGTCGCTGCTGTTGCAGGAGGACGGTAGCGGTGGTGGTGTTTAGTAGACGTCGAACCCGAGGTGGCATACCACCTGTGAGGGAAGGTCTGATGGGATCTACAATAGGGCTCAAGATTTAGCAGATTGTAACAAATTTTTTGTTTCGTATAATATTGATGTCACTATGAAGTGTGTGTGTATGTGTATACAAATTCCACCATACAAAGAAAACGCCGTATCATATGCCAATATCGTCCAGTCATATAAGCCATATTGTGAAGAAGAAAAGAAAAAGATGAAAGTGATAAGGAATAGAGACAAAGAAAAGGAAAGGAGAAAAAAAATCACCCACCTATCAATATCATGGGCCTATTCTTCATGTGCTCCAGCTCACCCATACCGGCATGTTTGGCCTTCTTCCTCTTGACAGCCATGCCGATGACATCGAGCAGCTCAGCCTCGTTGGGGGGCAGGTCCAGACTCAGGCTGTCGCCATCGACGGCAGCAGTGTCCAGACGCTCCATGGCCGCCTTCTTGATGGCATCATAGGCCTGGCGGTCTATCGGCTCGCCACCGTTGGACTGGCGCAGGATATCGCGGAGGGAGACTTCGGCGTTTCCAAACAGGCAGACCTTGAGGTTCCCGTCGCCGGTGAGGCGGAGACGGTTGCACGTGCCGCAGAAGTTGTGCGTCATGCTGGTGACGAAGCCGACGCGACCGGCGTAGCCGCGGATGCGCCACGTCTTGCTCGTGTCGTTGGGCTTGTCGGCGACCTTGTCGACGAGCCCCGGGTACTCGCGGCGGATGAGGTCGAGCATCTCGTCGTAGGAGAACATCTTGCGGCGGCTCCAGCGGTTGCCGTCGAAGGGCATGTACTCTATGAAGCGGACCTCGAGGTCCTTGTGGCGCGTGAGCTCGACAAAGGGGAGCACCTCGCGGTCGTTGACGCCGCGCATGACGACGCAGTTGATCTTGAGCTTGATGCCCGCGCCGGTGCGGTTCATGTCGAGGATCCGGTTGATGCTGCGCTGCACGGCGTCGAACCCCTTTCGCCGCGTCATGATCTGGAACTGGAACGGGTCCAGCGTGTCGAGGCTCAGGTTCACCCCCGTCAGCCCGGCCTCCACCATGCTGTCGAGCTTGCGGTGCAGCGCGATGCCGTTGGTCGTCAGGCATATCTCACGCAGCCCGTGCGGCCGCAGCCGCCCGAGCTCCTGCATCAGGGGTACAATGTCCCGCCGCACCGTCGGCTCCCCGCCCGTCAAGCGGATCTTGCTCACCCCCTGTGATACGAAGACCGACGAGAGCATCACTATCTCCGGGGTCGTGAGGAGCTCCCGGTCTGGCGATAGCTCGACGCCTTCCTCCGGCATGCAGTATACGCATCGCAGATTGCACCGCTCCGCGACTGATATTCGCAGGTAGTCATGCTGTCGGTCGAAGGTATCAGTCAGGAAGTCTGACAGGGGCCGGGCGTCCCGGATGCGGTCGCGCCGTTGCCGTGATGGAAGCTCGGGGGTCGACGATTCAGGTGTTGCCGCCATGTCTTCTGCGGCCCCAGCTGTCGTGCCAAGATGCCTCGTCGTCATTGCCGGGACCGCCACGTGCCGACTGCTGTTGCTGCCGCTGTTGCTGCCGCTATTGCTGATGGGCCATGGCCGCAAATGGGAGGACCAACCAAGAGTTGCAGCGATGAGCTGCCTTTGAATCGTCGGCAACACGGGCGACGGTAGGCGGATGGCCGACGCCATGGTGTAGAGCCGGTTGTTGGATACCCCCGCTGCAGGTTTGAGGGTGGAGAAAGCCGTCTGCGCGCAGTTGCGTACTATATGGCGGGGCAGACGAGAGCCTGAGACAACAATAGCAAGCAGCCTAAGGGATGGCAGTCATGTCGTCTCGATTGAGAATGCAGAGGAGAAATAATTTGCCATGTATTTGTCTTTTCTGGGAGGTTCACATGGTAATACGGATGAACGCATGTGCCACGGCGGGTGATTATGTTGATTCCAAGTCCGGGCTTCGGAGACGGCCGCTGTCGATAGGCGGCATCACGGCCAGTTATCTGTCAGGCCGCCCTTTCATTGACAATCTCTAGCAGGTCGATATGATTCAACGGCTTTATATAACATCCGCTTTTTTTTTTCTATTTTATTACAATTCTATTCTGCCCTAGCTGCTTCTCTTCGTTTGCACGTCCACATCACCCGAGATCAAATATGATGTGATGACCGTCGATGTACATGTTGATTTCATCCATGACCATTTACTATTTCGTGTACCCTCACATTATTAGCTACTAGTGAGGCCCACCGTACTGGCAACAGAACCCCAGAGCGTCGTTGACAGTCGACGGCCATACATTCACATCAAGCCGACTGTTTCGTTGCCGCCTACTTGTTACTTTCTCTATACCCCTTCACTCGTTACTGTATTCTACGAAGATGCGACCAGACTTGAATGGAAGCATGATGCCTTATGAAAAAGTACAAGGGCTGGCCCCGCGCAGGTGACAAAAGTAGTGAGTGATTCTTCATATCTCACACATATCCCGACTCTTTTATTTTGTCACCCTGGCGCGCTCTCATCAAAGTGCCCCGCGTCGTCTCTCCAGACATCATCACCCACCACCATTCACCACTGGGGCACATGCTCTCCGGCTCTGATTGTCCCTCGTTCAAGAACCCACTCTTTGATATTGAAGACTGTTCACCTTCTGTTTCTGTCCGGGGTTGGCCCTCGAGTGTTAGAGCCATGCACTTCTCCCCGCCCTTCAGATGTGAGCTTCTTGTCCTCATCCTCACCCATCTCCAGACCCCATATCTGACCTCTCTCATAAGCCCCATCACAGTGCGCCGCCAGTCCCGACGGACAGCTGATAGCCAGCCTGTCTTCCCCCGAGATCCTGATCCGGTCCACGGCTACGTTGGAAATCATTCACGCCATCAAACTACCGTCTGAGCTGGCCGCCGCCACTATCCAGACATTCCTGTGGTCGCCGTCGTCGACGCGCATCCTGCTGTCGACGCCGGACCAGATCCAGGTCTTCCCGGCGTTAGAGACGCTCCGCTCCCGAGCTGCAATCCGCAATGCGGTGCCTAAGCACTCACACATACAATTTGGCCGCTCGGACTCTGAGATTCTCGTCTTCTCTGCCTTTGGACTCAAGCTCCTGATCATCGACCTGTCGTCCTCGCGGGCCGTCGAGGTCGCCAGCCCGAAATTCTATCAGCGTACCTCGGTGCCGCGCACTGTCTCCTTTCGGCCGAACTCGGGACACATGGCGCTCCTCACGCGCGTCGCGGGGAGGGACCTCGTCAGTATCCACTCTCCGGCGGGCAGACAGCTCCAGCGGTCTTGGGCTCCCGAGACGGTCGACGCCCAGGCGCTGGCTTGGTCTCCAGATGGTCAGGTCCTTCTCGTCTGGGAATCGCCCGCTCATGGGTGGCACCTGCTCCTGTACACCCCTGACGGGCAGCTCATTCGCAAGCTCGAAGGGCCAGACGGCAAAGCGGACGACGACTCAGCCTTAAAGCCAGGAATCAGGGCCTGCCAGCCTAGTCCCAGTGCCCAGTGCTACGCTGTATCAGACTACTCGCGGTCCGTGTCCATTCTCGACTCCATGTCCTGGAGACAGACGCTGCGTCTGGTTCATCCCATCACCATTTGCCCCAGTGACACACTGCAAGTGAGTTAATTCTTTGCCTAGTACTGCTACTATGTCAAACATTGCTGACACGAACCCTCCCCTCCAAGGTCTGGCAAGAACAGCTTAGCTCGACTGGTATAAGCCAATTCCACCACGCAACACAAGAGATATCCCCAGCCACCAGCATGACATCTACGGGCTGCTCAACCATGGCCTTTGACGCCTCGTCCAATCTCCTCGCCACAAAGCTCGACGACTCCCCCACCACCCTATGGATATGGGACCTGTCGGCCGGTGAGCTCCGTGCCGTCCTGCTCTTCTACCACCCCCTCGAATTCACCTGGCACCCTTTTATCCAGGAGCTTCTCCTCGTTGTGTGTCGCGACGACGCTAACCGCTGCACGCCCTTCATATGGGACCCTCTGTCGGACGGCCCTACGCCCGTACCGTTTGAGCAGCACATTGGCCGCAGTGGTGGCGGCAGCAGCAGCAGCAGTATCAAGGTCGGTAACAAGCTCCAGACTGACTGGGTGGCGGATGCGGAATCAGATACGGGCATGCTCATACTCTCGGATTCGAATCGCGCTTGTCTTGTGGCCTTGACTGATGGCGAGGACGGCGGCGGCGCTCCTCCTGCTTGGAATATGGCAGATGATGGGGACACGAGGGTTAGAGATATCCTCCGAGACAGCAGCATCGTTGATGATACGTCAGTTTTGGATGATACCTTTTCGTTCAAGCATGGGGTATGATGCCTTGTTGCCTTACATGTATTATCAGCTCTTATCGAGAGGGTCTACACAATGTTCGTGACGATGTAAAAGTAAACATAGTATAGTATTCACCATATTGACATTATGTTTTTCCTGCTTGATTTCCATCATCATACTTCTTGCCTCCTTCTTTTTCATGCTCTTGTATCATCATCATCTTTTTCCTTGTCCTCTTATATCGGTTCTAATTGCCAAAGTTCATCTTGAGAGCAATCGTTGGCTGGCTCTCATCTGGACCGACATCGTCCCTAGGCGCCGCAGTGGACATCTGCTGCCCTGACCTGATGACTTCTTCCAGGAACGCTCTCTGACTGGCGCTCATGCCGCCCACAACGGCCCGGAAGGCTTGCTGGTCGACGGCAACCAGCTCGAGTAGCCTCGCGCTCGTCTCATGGTACAGGCCTGTAGCGGCGCCATTGCTGCCCTCGGCCGTGGTCCTGGCCAGCAGCGTGGGGATGACGAGAGACATAGCGGCGGATACGCGGTCCTTGTCGACGGTGCCGACGTACTGGGTGAGCGTGTGACAGACGAGCGACCTGGCGCGCTCTGGGTCCTCAGGCTCGCAGTTTGTCGCAAAGGCGATGAGACGAGGGAAGAGGTACCGCGCTATGCTCTGGTCTGCTGCCGTCCTCGAGGGTTGGACCAATAGGGATCGGATGCAGTTGGCGGCAATCTTGGCAGTCTAGATGGGGAAGAAATGTGTCAGTCAGGTTAGTTGTTAGTGGACACGGAGGGGCAGACACACCATTCTATCCGTGAGGCAGTCCATGACCTCATCAAGATAGCGGGCCACCAGCGGGTCCGATGCTGGTAGCTGATTCTGGCCACCTGTGAAGAGGATGGTCGAGGCGAGGAGGCTGTTCTTGACGCACTGCAACGCGTTGGGGGCCTCGCGCTTTTGGGCCTGGAGATAGATGGACACGAAGCGTCGCAGGCAGCCCTGTATCTGAACATCGGTGGCCGAGGCCGCACCGTCTTCGGATGGGACCGTTCTCGACTCGGACATACTCTTAACGAAGCGCTTAAGCGTGGGCAGCCACTGCGGCACGATCAGTTCCTGGCATCCAGGGGTGGCCAGCGTCGTAGCGAAGATGTGAATGATGCACGCGTAGAGGTCCGTCTTGATTATGGACGGGAAAACCTCCGCCGCGTCAACCAAGGCATCCATGGATGTGCGCACCAGTACAATGGCCTCCTCGTTCATCTGGTGGCGAACGGGCTGATTGCCTTCCGACAGGTTGGGCAGCAGACCCGTCAGGACGAGGACGAAGATGCGAGTTAGCTCAAACAGCTGGTCAATATCTTCGGAAAGGTCGGCCTCGTGTGTCACGTCACGCCGCGCGGACGGGTGCGCCAGGCACAGTGCGCTGGCAATTTCGACAATTGCGCCCTGCACGTCCAGTCCCTCGGTTAGTACGAGGCGATCGAGAAGGTCCATTGTCTCGGCGAACACATCAGGTCGGTAGATGGCGTGGCCCGAGACGCTGGGGTGCAGGATCTTCTTGAGAGCCTGGAGGATGGCCAACGTCTGCTCGTGTGTAGCGAGCGAGTCGCCGTGACCGGGCCGGATGGCCAGCGCCTCAAAAGCGAGGCCGAAGAGGACGAAGAAGAAGGCGACTGGCTCATCTCGGTAGTTGATGCCGGATTTCCTTGACTGGCCATTGACAGCCACAGAGTTGTCGGCCTCCTTGCCATCTAACGCATCAAAGACAAAGTTGCTGTCCTGCTCAATGAGGCTCGCGATGGCATCAACCAGCTTGAGCCACGCGTCCTGGTAGAAACGAAGCAGTGTTTCCCTGTTCAATGCCGCGTAGATAGTGTCGAGGCTCCCCGACATGGACGGTGGGCCGAGGGTCATGGAGATGTCCGGCTCGAACCGGAGCTGGGCGAACTCGCGGAGTGATTCGAGCCACAGGGGTGTCAGGGTCCCGACGTGCGGCTTCAGCACGTCCAGCAGGTACTTTTGCTCGCTGCTCGAGACCTGCAACTCGGCCCAGGCGCTGAAGACGGCCAGCTTAACCATGACCTGGGCGTTGGAGCTCAGACCCTTCAGGTCACCGATACCAGCATTCTCGGTATCCTGGGCGAAGCCCTCGAGGGCGCTAACCAGGGTTTTCAGGATACGTCCCATGCGGTCGACGTCCCGGACGATGCCGATGGAGATGAAGCTAGCACAGACACTGACCGCCTCCGAGGCAAGCTCCGGTGATGAGTCGGCAGCAAAGGCTGGTGTCAAGGCCGAGCCGATCTGGGCCTGGTACTGCTCAAGGAGCATGGCCTCGTCAAAGTCGGGATCAGGAGTCTTGCCAAACATGCGAAGCACGGCGCCGATAATCTTCAGGCCCCAGATTCTCAGTTCCGAAACGCTTGATGTGGAAGCAGAGAAGGCCATGCGTACCACATCTCCCACCCTTGCCTGGAGTGCAGCCTGGGCCGGGCTCTCGCCGTTAGCCATTACATCCTTGGAGATGAGAGTAAACGTGTCGTGCATGCAGCTGATAGCAAACGTAGTCACCTGCCATCTGAGGGGTTCCACCTCGGATGAAGCCAGATTTTCCTTGTCCTGCTTGATGGTGCCTGACGCGGAAGCAAAGCCGGCGACCTCCTCGTCGTCGAGAACAGGTACACCTCCTCCCTTACCCACGGCATGGTCATCCTGGCCCTTGGCGCGACCCCTCGTCATCTTGAGGACGGCCTGGAAGCGCGCCAGCCAGACATGGGTCTCGCTGAGGCACGTCTGGATCATCCAGTTCCGGATGAGGGTTCTGATGCCGTCGTGAGACGGCACCGTGTCAAGCACCCTCCAAATCTGGTCTTCGAAGCCATCTTCCGCCTCGGCGAGAACATCTCGGGGACCCCTCTTCATGATATTGTGCAGTCCGTCGATGGCGATATCTCTTAGTGTGGCATTTTCTGAGTTGAGGTACTTTTGCAGCAGGCGCACATACTGTCCAAAATGCATATGACCAGGCGCGTACAGCGATAGGTGCTCCAAGCAGCCGAGAGCAGCCTTTTGCACACGAACTTCATCCTCATTTTGGAATTGCCCAACTAGTGTCAAAATAAGCTCGCGAGATTTGAGCGAGTCTTGGAGGTCGGGGCCAAGAACGTTGATGAGCGAGTCGACGCACTTTGCAATGGTGGATGTCGTCTGCAGGTCCAGCTCGAGGTTCATGGTGGCTACTACAGCGACCTCGCAGTGATGCGTCTCTGAGACGTATAGCTGAGCAAGCATACCCAGAGTGCTGGGCACGTACGAGGCAAAACTCAAGCCCACAGCGTCTGAAGCAAGCGACAGGGCTTCTAGAGCCCAGCAGTGCACGGTAGGATGGGGGTCATTGCAGAGCGACATCAGGATGCTGAGTATCGTCTGGAGATGGTATCCGGCTGCCATGCCTCCAACCTTTGTTTGGATGGAGCCGAGGGCCATGGCGCAACCAGCACGAGCATTTGGCTCTCGGTTGGTCACGATCGTGTCCACGAGGAACTTGACCTCGTTGTTCGTGAAGGCATTGCCATAGACGTTGCAGAGGCGCGCGACGGAAGCATAGCCGAGGCTCCGAATGTACTGGTCAGAGTCAAGGACAAAGTCACGGACAAATTCTTGCAGGAGCTTCTCCACCGCCAAATTCTCAATGTTTCCGGAGCCTGACTGTGTCTCCTTAACAGCAATCCTCAACGAAGCGAGGATAGCCGTCGCCAGGTTTACCTTCACAGCCTCCTTGCGTCCGGGATCACGCTGAAGAGAGCCAGCAGAGGAAAAAGTGCGCATCTGCTCAAGGATACTCTCTTGCACCTTCGCAGGCGTCAAGGGGAAGGCAAAGGCAAACAGCTGGATGGCAGAGTTGATAACCTCAGTTGCTGGCGGGTCGGGAGGCTCCGAGGAGTCGGCGCCGTCAATGTAGAGAGAAGAGGCATCGTGCTCCAAGCTGCCGCAGATAGGGGAACGCAAGAGACGGTCAATAGCGTGTTCCGGGGTCTTGTCCTCGTCAACAGCTTCCACCGAGCTATCGTGCTGGCCGGGAAGCCTCTTGGTATCGAATCCAGACAAAAGCCCCGTGACACCAAAGCCCGTGTTGTCACCAACATCCCATATTGATTCAAAAGTAGCCGCAGCATTGGCGATGGAGGCACTGAGGGAGCTAGGGGCGTAATTTTCAGGGTCGGCAAAGCAGGACACGGCCAGGGTCAGAAGATTGGACTGGAGCAGGGCCTCGCTGCCCGCAGTGGGACTGAGATTGACCAGCTTGATGTAGCACTGCAAGACTCGCCTCTGGACCATCATATCGAGGTCCTGTAGCTGCAGTGCGGGTGTCAGCCTCTGGGAGATGTCTTCCGTCACCTTCTTATTCGGCAGGGTCCTCAGGAAGGCGGTCGTGTTCTGCAGCATGGTGGCAACACGCTTAGAGACATCGACAGTTAGCAAACGGCTGTTGAACTGCAGGAAAGCCAGTATGGAACCAAGGGCACACTCCCTGACGTGAGTCAGGAACGACGACTCTAGCAGGCTCCGGGCTGAAGTGTTGTCCTTGGCCAGAGGCTTTGGCAGGGCGTTCTTCCATAGGAGAAGCAGCTGCGAAAGGTGGATCTTGACGAAGTTGGGCCCAAGAGCCATGAGGCCGCCGATCAGGATCCATGCCACCTGAATTTGAGTGCTCGAAACGCGGAGCTCGGACTGACTGCTTGACTTGAGAAGGTTCGTCGACATGGACAGGACACGGCTGTTGATATCGAGTGATCCGTGCAACGGCCGTGATGGGCTCGCACTCAGAGCAGCAGCAAGGCCATGCGCAAGGCCGATGCACTTTGTGTGAGAGCTACGGCCAGTTCCAAGAAGAGGCAGCTCCCTGGTCAGGCTGTTCATACAAATGGACAGGCATGATAGCAGTTGCTGGGGGCACGCCGCCACAAAGACCTTGATGCAGTGGGAGGTGAATACCTGGACCGAGTAGCTGGGGTGTTGAAGGACCTGTAGCAGGGCATCCCTACAAGGATCGGCAAAGGAATTGGCGGCAGAGCCGAGGGATACTATGAGAGACGACAGGGCGCTGAGGACGGTGATGAGCGTATGCTTGGACGGCTCGGGCTTTTCGGCGAGCGCCTGCGGGTAGTTCTTCAAGATGTCGTTGACGAGAAGTTTGGCGGCAGACTTCTGGCCAGACTCTCCAAGGATCCTGTGGCCAATAACGTCCTGTATGACAGTATCAATCATCTTGCGAGATATGAGTAGGCGATAACGATGGTTGTGAATGGACCCCTGGCCCAGGATGTCCACGGTAAGGGTCTCAACAATCCTCACGTAATTGCTCTCGATGATCTTCTCCCCCAGACGGCGAAACAGCTGGCAGTAGCACACGCCAATGGCGGCACGAGTGCGGTTGGAGGTGGTGGCCTTGGTGAAGTGGCTGGCCAGCAGCCTGAGAATCTCCACAAGGGACATGGCCAGGTCGGGGGCGCGCTTGCCTCCCGGTGCAGGGCTTTCTGGCCTAGGAGGGAGCTCGTCCTCATCTCCGGTGATGCCCGGATGTGTCGAAGTGCGTTTGAGTTTCTTCGGCTTCTTACCCCTGGCTGCAGCATCGCTGGCGGCCGAAGGCGAGTATGCGTGGGCCAGGGCCTCGGAAAAGCAATCGGCGGCAGCGTGGCGGACCTGGAGGACGGCGGAGTCAAAGGGCTTCAGGATCGCCGTCTCAAGCTTGTCAAAGTCGGCCGAGTTGCGGAAATAGCCGGTGTGGCGGACGAGGGCCTTGAGGCAGCGGCAGGAGGCGGCAACGACAAGGCCGCCCTTGTCACTAGACGCATAGTTCCTGGACTGCTTCCATATGTCACGGGCGACGCTCTCGTCGAGTTGATTTCCCACCATTGTAACAATTTTTTCGAGAGCGGTAAATGAGGCGGCACGGAGGCCGGCATGATTCGAGGAGGACTTGAGGTGCTTGATCAGGGTGGCGCACGAGATCTGGTGCAGGCCAATCGCGCTATCACCAGCAGCGGCGAAGACGTCGCCGAGACAGCTGACGGCGGCATGTTTTGTCCGCAACGTCGACTCCGATTTGGCCTTTCCGCCGGCGATGATGGCGACCAGGTCGTTGACCGTCTCGAAAAGAAGCTTCCTGTCTCCCTTAGAGAAGACATGTGCCAGGCATCGTCCCAGGTTGTTACGGATAACCCTCGAGGGCGCCGGAGTGGACAGGTTGATGATCTGGAAGATTTCGCGCTTTAGGTAGAGTTGTTGTGCGGTGCAGCCGTCGGCGTCGAGGTCGAGGACATGCTTAGATAGGGTGGCGACAAAAGCCAAGAGAAAGAGGTCCTGCTGCTCGGTGGGGAGAGACTGTAGCTTGGGGAGATCGAGCTCGGGGGTGGTGACGGCGGCATCAGCGGCAGCGGCGGCTGGCGTCGATGGCTCTGCTAGGGCAGGAGGAGCAAAAGCATGAGCTGGCTGGGGGTCAGATTCGGGTTGCGACCGGGCGCTGGTTGGCGACACGGCTGCCTCGTCTTGGTTAGAGGACATGACACGAGACACGAAGTTGACGACCGGGGAAAGAGGGGGGGTTTGTTGGCTGTCGAGGGTGCCTGGTTCCCCGTTGTCGTTTTTCTGTATTTTCGTATGTCAATGTACAAGTTAGACGTTGGTTGCGGGGGGGTTGTCGTTTTAAAGGGGGAAACTAAGGGAAGGACAAGGGAAATGCGAGGTTGTTGTAAATGGGAGAAAGGGGGTCTCGCTTGCTTTGTACATGAGGTTGGAATTCCTGCTGTGTCAAAAGGTGGGATGTCATAGTGGTAGCTGCAGCCAATCAAGGCCATCAAACATACTCAAAGTGCACGTCCAAAGACGAAGTAATCCGCCAACAGTCCAACCCACGACCTCCTTTGCCTCCACTGAACGAACCGATCATGCATTGAGATTCTTGCGCTGGTTTGACAGAGCAATGAAACTTCAACTGCGACAGTTCCTGACCCTCAACGGTGCATGGGGTCGTGCACCGACAGCATCACCATGTTGCCCCCGACGGTCATTTGTCGCGACAGCCTGCGCCCAGGCCGGACACAACAAGTGGTCCAAGACGAAACACATCAAGGCGGTGACGGACAAGAAGAAGATGGTTGCGCGGACATCCTTTGAGAAGCTGATTGCCATGCATTCGAGGCGTGAGTCTGCATTCTCTCTGCGACTCCGACATTTGGTCTGACCATGCGCAGTCAACGGCGAAGATTTGAAATTCAATCCGCAGCTAGCGAGTGCCATAACGGCAGCAAACAAAGGTACCCTGAGTTGAAGAGGAGTCTCAAATACACAGTGAGAGAGGCTGACCTGGATCCGACATAAATAAATAAAAACAGCAAGCGTCCCCAAGTCCATCATTGAAGGCGCCATTGCCCGCGGCCAAGGCCGCTCCACGACGGGCGCCCGGCTTGAACCCATGCAGCTCGAAGTACTTCTACCACCAGATGTCGCTATCATAGTCGAAGCCGAGACGGACAATAAGAACCGCACACTGGGAGATCTGAGAGTGGTAGTTAAGAAGGCCGGCGCCCTAACTAGCTCTACAAACTTCTACTTTACCAAGCGGGGCCGCGCCGTCTTCAAGGCTGCCGCCGCCGCCACGGAGGGCGATGCTGGCAGCAGTGGCGGGGGCCCGGACCTCTCGGAACTAGTCGACGCGGCCATCGAGCTGGAGGGCGTGGAGGACGCTGAGGATATGCCCGATGGGAGCTTCCTCGTGTGGACGGAGCCCTCTAAGCTGGCCAGCATCACCGAGACGCTGAGCCGCCAGCTAAACCTCGACGTGCGGGAATCTGACATTGTGTGGCACCCCAATGAAGATACACGCGTCGAGATAGCCTCATCAGAAATTGTCGAGGTCCTCGAGATCCTGCTCTCGGGTATAAGAGAGTACCCCGAGGTCAAGGGTGTATTTGCCAATGTGTGCCAAGGGTCATCCATCACGGACGATGAGTGGGACAGAATCCAGAGATACTTGGACGTGTAGGTGTAGAATGTGTATATGATATTGTAAGAGTGCAGCTTGTAATAATAATAAAAATAGATGTGCACGATATTTCCTCATATCATCTTTCCCTCGCAAGGGATAAAACAAAAAAAACGCCATCATGTTGCCTTTGCCCGCCATAGTCGTACACATAACCCTCTCTCAGAATATGAATTTGTCACAACCTCGATACGTCGTTCTTTTTCGATTCGCAAATCGCCGAATCAAGAGTCGTTAGATCCTTGCTGCTGCTGCTGCTGCTGCTGCTGCAACCTCTTCTCCTCCTCCATCTTGCGCGCCATGCGCAGCTTCTGTCGCGCCACGATTCGGTCGTACTCGGCCCTGATCTCGTCCCGGTCCTTGGGCACGGTGTTGCACTCCTCAGGCTTAGGCCAAAAGTCGTGTACCGAGAATCGCTCATCTAGGTTGGTGCCAAAGTAATACATGATGCCGATCGGGAACAGGACATATGTTCCAAACTGCATATGGGTCAGCCAGTCAGTCTTTCCCCTCTCCCCTTTCCCCCACCTCCCCAGTAAAGATAGGGGGGATGGTATCATTATGTGCTAGAAGAGCCTCATCTTACCTTAAACACTTCCAGATTCAGTCCACCCATCTTTTCTTTCTTTTTTCTAATAAACTGTTGCGTTGTTGGGATGTCAAGGTTGGTGATAAAGATGGTGGTGGTGTGAATGGCGCCACTGTAACTTTTGCCAGTTAGGGAGGGGAGGAATCAATATTGTGGGTACTTTTCGATACTTGCATCACCCCGATATTGGAGTTACCCAACCACAACTCAGCCAAAGGTAACGACGCCAATGGCAACAAGCATACATCATACAGTTGTACCATCCAAATCATCCAAATCTAATTTTTTATATATAGTAGCGATCATACACAGTGCCCATCAAACAATTCCTTCTGACTCCTACCCCTCATATAGTATACCAGGAAGAGTAACGTCACTCACATAGCCCCCCATGTCCCATATAACTTAGGCCTATACCCAACAGAAAACCACCGTCACGAGCCGCACCTCCATCCAATTCAAATCATAAGCTGTTCCGACAGTAGAAGTAACGCCTTGAATATGCTCCCCGAATAGTAATTATAAGGAATTGAATAAGAAAGAAAATAAGAAAGAAGATGGTGTTTCCAACAGAAGCAAAATGAAAACATGTTGGGCTCGTAGACCCGCTAACTCTGCCTGCCATTCTGCTTGACCTCTTCTTCAGCATCCTCCATCATCATCCGTTCAGTCAGGCTGCGAGGTGTCCCCGAGAAACGAACGCTTCGGGACAGGCTAGCCCGGAAGCTATTGAGATCACCCTCGTCCACGCCGCTGCGCCCGTCCAAGCCACCAACAAACGTATTAAAGTCTCCGAGTGAGGCTGCTTGTGCATGAAGCTCTGGGTTCTTCACGACCGGCATCATGAGCGGCCGTCCCATGTAGGATCCCAGGGACCGTGCTTCAAACTTGGAGGTAATTAGCGTAGAGGGACTTGATGAGGATTCCAGCTCCCGGGGTCTCGCGATGGGGACGCCCGGTGAGGCAAGTGGAGCCTCGACTGGTCCAACATCGTCGCGCGCCGTTGCGGAACCATAGGGCGGTCCTGTAGCCTCGCTCGTGTCGTCTTCAAATGCAGGTGTCCGCTTCTTTGGTTTGGGAGGAGCAGTCAAGCCGCCGCCGGTCTCAAACTCGAACATGTCATCGTCGTCGTCGTAGTCTTCTGAGGAAAATAGCTCCTTCTCCTCGTCCTGGGTTTTTGATGGTAAGCGTTTCGAGGCGGGTGGCGTTAGTGGAGCGGCAGCGGTTTGTGTGCTGCCTCGTGTTTGTGCGCGAGCAAGCCCGATCGAGGACTTGGATTCGAACGATATTGGCTTTGCCATGGACAAGAAATCCCCGTCATCTGATGAGTCGTCGCTCTGGATATCGTCACTGGCAACAATGGATTTGGTACTCCTGAAGGGCGCTGTGAGTTGGCGAATACCCGAGCCTTCGACGACAGGCATGGATGTAGAGGCCGGTGGTGGAACGGGTGTGACTGACGATGACTCCTCTGGGCCCCACCCAATAGGCACTTCCGTAGAAGTCGTAGAAGCTGCAGCCTCGCTGGAGTTGTCAGGATTGACTACAGTCCATACCGTACTCTCATCCAATGGAGCACGCGAAAGAGCCCTCAGAGCCTCTGATGACGAGATCTTGCGCGGCGGAGGGTCGAACTCAGTAGGCTCGCTAACAACGTCGGGACCATTTTCCTTTCCAGTAATTTTGTCAAAGTGTCCTGGTATATCACCCTGGACTACAGAGGACACCTGGCGTAGCGGCTCGAAATCGGAGTCCCGGGGAGAAGATGTAGGTAGGACCTCGTGGCCTCCAAACTCGAAGCGCACCCGCCGGGGGCTCGCCTGGTGTGGTCTGGGAGAGCTGAGCGGGCGTCGCAAGGCACTCCGCGGGAGCTTGGCCGAGAAGTTGTCGGACAAGGAGGAGCTGGTGGTACCGCCAGTCGAGGTGCGCACGTGTGCAGGGCGCACAAGGAGTTGCATGACATCCGTTGACTCGCCGGGCTGGTTCATTTTGCCGCCCTGCCGGGGGAGAGGCTCCTGTGATGAGCTGTGTTGTCGCCCGGCCGGCGCAGCAGCCACATCAATGGCAGAATGGCTGCCAATTCCTCCAGTGCCAACAGTAGCCGTAACGTCTTCCGAGTCGGCTGACGAATGACTGTCAGCGGTAGTGGGAGGAGGCAATGCTGGCGGTGGTAGCATGGGCGAGCTCTCTAGTAGTGGTAGGAAAAATGGAGTGAAGAGTCCCTGAAACTCCTTCTCTCGATCATGGGGGCTGCTTGGGGAGACGGGAGGAAGACCGTATACCGTGTTCGGGGATGGCGGGGATGGTGACGCTAGAAACTCTGAGTCAGCCACCCTGGGCCGGGTGCCGGTGGTGGTGTCGGTTTTGGTGTTGGTGTTGGTATTGGTGACGCTAGAATGAGCAGACGCAGAAGTAGAAGCCGCAATAGTCGTATTGTTGCTTGCTTGTAATTCAGGACCGAGAAGTGGATGAGTAGGGTAACTAGCCGCAAGGGCATTCTCGATGTCGAGGGCAGTTGAAGGAGCCACATCGGCTAGAGTCTGGTGACAGAAGGTCTGAAACTCGACGGCCAGCTCATGACGGTAGACCTGAACCTTGTGCTCCAGGTCGTCAAGCTTGCGACGAAGGTCATGGAGTAGTTGTTGCTCCATGGCGGCGGGTGGGTTGGCCTTACCGGCGAGGCGTTCTTCCCGCAAATGGACCGTATTGTCTCAGAAATCTCGGGGTCAGCACTCGCATGACGCAACCCAAGATCTGGGGGCAGGAGCCGCAAGCGTGGGGGAGAAAGAGCAAATGGCTTGGCCTGGGGATCAATGTTGCCGATCTCCGTCAATGCGCTGCTACTAAGTGGTGGCAGGTTGGTTGCGATTGGTAGTAGGAGTGTAACCCTGTTCTCCCTCACTCCTTTCTCTGTTTCTTTCCTTTTCCTAGCCCCTCCGTCCTGTTTTCCGAGGGAAAGGCGCACCTTGGTGAGCTGGTGGTGTGGTGTGTGTGTGTGTGTGTGTGCGGTAGTAGATGGTCCGGTGGTGGTGGTGGTGGCTGGTTGTGTGATTATCTCTGCTGAATAAATGCCTGAGGTGCGGTCAAACCCTGCCTATTACTAGCTGGTATTAGCAGTAAACTAAAATTCAGTGCTCTTAGCGATAGGAGACCCTGAAATATAGCACCCGATATTCCTCCATTGTAAATACGAGTATTTCACAAGTGCGCGCGGAGCCCGAGGGCGAATCACGACAATCTCGGCTTCTCTGTACGCATTGTAGTGAGTGGAAAAGGAAAGGTGAGGGGAAAAGGTGATCGTCTCATCAGTATCATCGGAAAAAGTGAATGGGTCACCCCCATGCATGTCAGATCCTTGCCTTGTCGACGTTGGCTGCGTGGCCGCAGTGATCCCAAAAATAATATTTACCCAGTCGAGGCCTGTCGTGCTAATGCTTCAATGCTACCCGTATTTGTCAGTTGTTCCTTGTCAATCAGCGTCATGGCCTTTCTTGAATGACGCCCATGACTCCATCATCGCTCAATGGGGTTATTGTTTCGTCTCGTCGAAATTGCAAGTTTAGCCTGTGTTAGGATCCGGGCACATGTTGCCATCATAGGCACAGGCCGACCGAAGTCAGTGGACAAAAGTAGAGATTATCACATTGCACAATCCGTTGATGAATGCAATTGACCCTATCAGCAATGCTAGTGACAGCCTCAGCATGGCAGTACTGTAATTGACAATAGATATATTTCTATCATACACAAGACTACTAGTACCAAGGTGACAATGAAAAATATCCATGGCGCAGGTAACGGTTGTCAATTGTACCAGACGTGACTGGACTACCTACACCGCTTTCCTCATCAGGACACACTCCTATCTAAGCAATTCTGCTCACGATCGCTCCTTGACAGAGGGAGGGAGAGCTCTCTTTCCAGAGTTGCTCCGTAAATATCCTGAACCAACCACTGCAGCTTTGCTTCACAGTCCACGTACAACGCAAGCCTCCCCCGCCTCACTCTCAATCTCGTGGGCTCTTCATCGCGGTTTACGCATAAAAGCGTCATATACAAAAAATAGATTAGGAACGAGGAAACCACAACCCCCCCCCCCCCCCCCGACCAATAAACCATGTCGACCATTGCCCCGTCGGCCCAGCAGTCGGGTCACAAGCCCATCATTCCCATGTCGTTCAACGCCAACCAACCGGAAAAGGTGACGTTGTACCCGCTGTCAAACTACACCTTCGGGGTCAAGGAGACGCAACCGGAGGAGGACCCGTCGGTGATTGCGCGGCTGAAGCGCTTGGAGGAGCACTATGCTGAGCACGGCATGCGCCGCACCTGCGAGGGCATCCTCGTTTGCCACGAGCACAACCACCCGCACATCCTGATGCTGCAGATTGCCAACGCCTTTTTCAAGCTTCCCGGCGATTACCTACGTCCTGAGGACGACGAGGTCGAGGGTTTTAAGGCCCGCCTTGATGAGCGTCTCGCCCCGGTCGGCCGCCTAGGTGAGGGCGAGGAGACGGGAACTTGGGAAGTAGGAGATTGTCTTGCCCAGTGGTGGCGCCCCAACTTTGAGACGTTCATGTACCCTTTTGTTCCGGCCCATGTTACCCGCCCAAAGGAGTGCAAGAAAGCCTACTTTATTCATCTACCGAAGACGAGTATGTTCCCACCCTGCTCTCTCCTCTTGTGCTCCCGAATGGAAAGGGGAAGGAGGAAGGCGAGAAGAAATGTTGAAGCTGACCACGTGCACACAACACACAGAGGTCCTTAGTGTCCCTAAGAACATGAAGCTCCTTGCCGTCCCGCTGTTTGAGCTCTACGACAACACGGCACGATACGGTCCCCAGCTCTCGGCCATCCCTCACCTCTTGAGCCGCTACAACTTTGAATTCGTCGACGAGAATGGCAAGGTCGTTGCCGTAACGCCGGGCTCCGCTGCCCCGGAGGGATACGTTCCGCGGACGAAGGTTCTGGCCGGCGACGACACGGAGATGAAGGAAGAGCCGGTCCAGCAGAACAACCAGGCCTCGTGATGGAGAGACATGTACACAAGCACATAAGAGTAAAGGGATTTGGGAGTAGAAGCTGGAGTTTGGCGCTGCATGTACTACTGCAAAGAAAGGGTGAATTTATGTGGCTTTTCTTTTTTATTATGGCTGTCTTGTTCCTATGAAAGTGGGATGGGCACCTCCCTTTATGCCTTTTCTCCCTGGATAGTAGCCACAACCCGACGCTGGTGTTTGCTAGCTCGGAACTCGAGGTACCAGATCCCCTGCCATGTGCCGGTGGCCTGCGTACAAAGGAGAGAATGTCAGCTCAGAGGCTGTCCATTTGGGGAAGGTTGAGGTAACTGACCAACTTTCCGTCCTTGATAGGAATGGTGACGCTGGCTCCAATGAGGGCCGACTTGATATGGGCGGGCATGTCATCAAGACCCTCGGCACTGTTTTGGTATTAACAAGAACCCCTTTTTTTCCCATCTGCCTCTTCGTTCTAGGGAGCTAGGGGTAAAGGAAGGAGAGAAAACGTACTCATGACGGTAAAGAGCCTCTCCCTTGGGACCCTCCTCAGGAGCAATACGATCCAGAGCGTCACTCATGTCCTCACGAACATCCTCATCGACTGATTATTAGTACCAAATTTTTATCAGCTACAGTCGCGAAGTGGGGTAGGGTTCTCGGGGATGTTCATTGCTCACAGTTCTCGTTCAGACTGAGGGCGCAGCTCGTGTGCTGGATGAACAGGTTGAGCAGGCCGACCTTGTATTCCCTAATCTCGGGAACAGCCTGGACGACCTGGTTGGTGATGAGGTATGAACCACGCGACTTGGGCTGGAGAGTGAACTGCTTCTGGGACCACATGGTGACGGAGGGGCTGTTGCGCCTGCTTAACGAGTTGGGAGAGGAGCTGCTGGTGAAAAATGACGGGAGGAAAATGGCAAAGGAGGCTGACCAGGTGGTGTAGAAGAGGTCTGGAAATAGAGCGAGGACGAGAATGAGACTGATGAAAAATGTGGCAATGGCAGAGGAATCTACTGCGTGGTTGCTTGGTCGCGGCATAATGAACACCTATCTACCTGCCACACAGTACTAGCAGTTAAAGATTCTCTCTGCGCGGATGGGTCCCCCTCCCATTATCTCTCTCTTCTGCTCGCCCATGATGTATTTCTGGTGGGGCATCACCCGTCATCGGTCTACGGCAACGTAACGGTACTGTACCAGGTTCTCAAGCAGTGCTCCGTAATTCACACTGGCGAATGAGGCGGGGTTTATAGGCAAGCTACGAGCACGCATTAAATACGTAGTGGCAGTAGGTACTGTACATGCTGTTGAGCTCTCCCTAGAGAGGGTAGCTAAGCTTACAGCTGGCGCACGGCGCGCGGGGAGTCAATAAGTACTCGTAGCAGTCTAGATTCGTTAGTCTGGACGAGTCCATCGCTGCATAGTCCGGGGTACCGTTGTCCGACCCGATTGAGAGTTATCAGTGGTTGAGACTCTCGCTTTCCTCGTGTCCTCTCTCTCTCTCCCTCCGGCTCGCCTCTGGTAAGTCTCCAACACGCACACGCCTATTTCCCCCGCACCATTCTTCGGCTCGGTCATAAACTCGGTGAGGGGATCTCGATCTCCATCGTCCGCTATGGTTCATCAGGCTCTCGTGTCCGGTGCTACAGCGTCGACGATATCGGCATCTTGATGGGAAAACCCCCAAGTTGGTCAGGCAGACGTTGGATAGACGGAAACTACGCAAAGTTGTCTGGTTTTAAATAGGCAGGGATTATGGCGGCCCAAGACAACTCCATCGGGAACGAATGGGTGGAAGAGGGCGATACTTCAACAGTGCAATACGATCCATCCTCAACCGCACACCAGCGGCATCGCCAGCAACAGAGCCGCCACGGCGGCAATGGCAAGAAGAAACGAATTCGAAACTGGACAGCCAACGACCGAGCTGCACATCGTGCTTTTGAACGGTCTCGGCGCGAGGCATTCAAAGAACGGCTGGCGGTACGCTTCCTCACCATCTATTCCAAATTCGCATCATCGTCAACTGACTCTCTTGAGATGCACTGCAGAACCTCGCTAAGTTGATACCCAGCCTCAAAGACATAGATTCCAACAAGCTGTCCAAGCACGTCGTTCTTGACGAGAGCATCACGCTACACGGGTCTCAGCAGAATAAGCTGTCGGTGTCACTACAGCAAGTTGATATCCTCCTTTCCGAGCGCGATGAGATCCTCACCGAGCTGAATCAGTGGCGGATCGGAGCCGGCCTCAGTCTCCAACAACCACGGCCGCTGCCTGATATGCCCGATGACCCTCAGCCAGCACTGCAACAAACTGCTGCCACTGCCGCCACATGCGAAGGAGGCCCATCACTGCCTCTCGGTGGCGGACTAGTGGATGACCGGGAGGAGAGTCCACCGAGTCTTGACGGGAAGTATCACTCGGGAGGAGAGCCGCCCTCTTTTACAGTGGTGGATGGTCTGGAGACCATGCCCACTACAGCTTCTGCTGCTGCGCCCAAACCGACGGCAGCGGCGGACCCTACATGGGATACCCTCGCCCTGTCGACTGTCGGCCCCGATGGACGTGGGGTATCCGAGCTAGATCTACGAGATTGCATAGCACCAGCAAATCCCTTTGTGGACAATAGTCTCGAGGATTTCAGTTTGAGAAGCTACGAGCTGAATGACATGCCGTTTGATGCTGAGGCAATGCAGATGCAGATGTCTAGCCAGCTAGGCATCCCCGATGGTATGAATGGTGGTCGACGACAGCAGCAGCAAGGGACTCGAATTTCATGGCGTTCAAACTATATCTGATATGTATCCAATTTCCATCTCTCCCTCTTTAATACGGTAGCAAACATCGAAGTGAACACCGCCTACCCGAGAGCCTTCAACGCAGCCTCGACCTTGTCCTTGCTGCGATTCTCTCCACCGGTGAAGAGTTCGAGCGCAATAGCCAGCCTCTCCTTAGATGTAGGGTCTGCCTCGATAGCCTTTGTGAGCTCAGCGCCCCCGTTGGCGAGGTAATCAATGTCCGTGCTAGCCAGTTTGCCATCCCAGTTGGGTGGGGCGAGTGGGTCGATGGTAGCCAGCTTCCTAAGCCTCTGGGGAACAGGCGCAGGATTCTTGTACACGTGGCTAGGTTTGGGGCTGCCCTCGCCGGGCTGCTTGGAAGCATCATACTTGAGCTGGGCGAGCTGGTTCAGAACCGTGTGCGAGATGGTGGCAGAGTGGCAGCCCAACTCGCCGGCCGCCATGCACTCCTGCGGGGAGATGAAGCTGGCATTCTTGAGGAAAGGCTGCTCCCGTCCAGTCTCCTTGTACAGCCGGCGGTATGTCTCGAGGATATGGAATACGCGGGCGCTCATGGGGTGCTGGGTTGCGGGGTCGGCGACGTCGGGCCAGAGGGATAGATCATCGTGTGCGCGGGTCTCTGAACATTCAGTGAGCGACCGTCTCCCACATGCATACATTGCATCGAGCAAGAGTTGTCTTACCATTGAAGTAAGGACTGATATAAAGCATGCCGGCTTGACTGCAGGCAATGGCCTGGGGAAGGCCGAACAGCGCCGTACCCAAAGTTGGGATACCCTCGGAACTCAGAACCTTGGCGGCATTGAGGGCGGCTCCCGTGGAGGGAATCTTGATGCAGTACCTGTCACGGGTAATGCCCGCACGGGTGAATTCCCGGTCGTACAGATGAGCGTGGTCGAGGGTGGCCTGTGTATCATAGGCCTTGGAGGGGAGGGTTTGGAGGAGGACCCGGCCGTGAATGGAGTCGATGTTCTTCTTGCACATGAGGACGGCCTTCCAAGTCTTAGTTTCTGCTCTGCTTTTCTCCTTCTCAGAGAAGTAGAGGGGAGGGGGGGGGGGCGGATATTGCGAAAGGGATCAGGGACACACCATGCGAGTGTAGATAGCTAGCCATCCTTGGTCCTTGAGCTCTTTAGCCGTCTCAGCAAGAAGGTCGGCGTTGGAAGGATGGCCGAGCTGGATATCGACCCAGAGCTGATTGCTCGTCTGGTCATGGGGCTTGACAGGCATGGACTTGACGTAGTCGGGGTCCATCCAGTCGACATCAATGTTGACTATGGACCCATGGTCAGCAAGGGGCAGATAGTGAAGAGGAAGAGGAAGCGAGAAGGTGACATACGCTGTTCTTCAAGCTTCTCGAGCCATGTTGGTGCCTCGACGCTTCCCATTGTTTCGAAGATTCTTGCTTTGAATGATACACAAGAGATTGGCGAACCCAGTCGTATAGCTGGCTACTGGCAAGTTGATAATAAACTCCGAAGCTGATTGAGATGGTGTTTTTGTTCAAGAGGAAACAAGTCAGGAGTAGGGTACAGCCTCTTATATAGAGCAAACCACAGCAACGCCGCAAGTAGCACAATGAGCCCCAGACCCCTCACGATTGACGATAAGTGGCACCCAGGTGCCGGGAGAGCCCAGGGAAGTCGGAGAACAGCTCTCCATACCCCTACCGAGCCCAAGGAAACAGGAGTACAGCTATCCATATGTCTACGTGCCCAATGAAGCTGTTGTCGCCAAATCATATGGAGTAGAGTCTCACCCGTCATCGGCAGCAAGCAGCGGGCAGCGAGTCAATGAGTGGGAGAACGTGGTCGGCCTCACGACCAGCCAGGTCAGACAGACGCGCATGCCCAATTAATCTACATGGTGTGGAGAAGCGATTCCAATCTGTCCTGCACAGGGCAAAAAAGTCAGTCTATGGGACACACGCAGGGCAAAAGAAGGGAAGTGAGAACGGACGCTCATGGGTCGCAATGAGCTTTGGACACACGCAGGGCACAAACGATAACCCCGCACGAGGGAGGGGAAGAGGAACGATGTGATGAGTGGGGGAGAAAGGGGATTGAGAATTATTCATCCACCCCTTCCTTTTTTCATTTCCGCCGGGTTTTGTCAGTCACATGAGAATTCTGATCTGCGTAAGACTTGACTTCCCCCACATATCTGATTTACCCCGGATTCTCAATGGGAGACCCACCAGCTTCGATCGGACAGCAAATACGGGCCTTTCCTGAACTGGTAGACTTAAACTGCCCTGCACAGGTTCCCTACTCCCCATGTACTCGTAGCCCTGCACAGGTTCGCTTATTGTCCTGTACAGGTCAAGAGTGCATCCATGGGACGCCGGTTTCGGCAGCAGGTAAGATATCACCGAGGAATGGCAGTGGTTGGGGTTGAAGCTGATGACGGTATCTCCTGTTGGGGGAAAAGAAAACGTGGGTTTGTTCAATGTCTGATGCCATTTCCCCCTCAAAGGTTATTTTTCTGTGGCTCCACCCCCAGATTCTGGCACATCCCCGGTCTGTTTCTAGCGTGGTCTTCATGCTCAATGTCCTTTCCGATATGGCAACACTCAATTCTACAGAGATGTGTTGGTATCTGAGATATCATCTTGAATGCTTCTATGTAGACAAATGTGCTTTTTGAACGACGGGATGTGTGCCTTGGTAGAGTCAAGGGATGTTCAAGCAGCGTAAGAATACCCAACCCATGGAAAAGGTAGACAGATAGAGAGGAAATACTGATTCTATTCCGCTAGTGTCAACATTCCCATCGTGAGATGGTGGCACGACACGGAAGGTGCCACCCCCCTCCTTCTTTCCCCGGCTAACGGATCCCAGCTCCCATTCAAAATGACGAAGCCGAATGTCCCCAAATACAGGAGTACATCTTCTGTGTATCTTGGATTCAGTATTTAAGTGTTCACAATGGCCCTCCATCCCGCTCGTTTCTGCCCCCACTGCCTTCATAGTCATTATCTCCTGAAGCCGTTTCTGTTTACATCCTGCTTGGACCTTCCCCCTTCTGCCGCCGTGTAACTTGACGATGGGTACGAGTATAGACACCAAGGACATCAAAAACGGCGGTGGACTATCCCACGTCGAGAATGTTCACTACGGGGATTCTCGCAATGTCAATGCCAAGTATGTCGACCGTCAATTCGCCAATCAGCCACTAGAAGCTCATGCATGCGTGCTAACCTCAATCCTAACAGGATATGGAACCCTCTAACTGGTATCCCCAAGAACGAACTGCTCTCTCAGGTGACAGCATTCTGCGAGGAATATGGCTTCCAGGATAGAAGGGATGTCTTCATCCGAGGAGCCCTGGCCGCCCAGAATGCAAACGACTACGACACGATTCCAGACCTGACAGACGAGGACAAGTACTTCCTCCAGCGAGAAAAGACGCACCGCTGGCACCTCCCTCGGTCCCTGTACTTCACCATCGCGTTGTGCTCTCTGGGCTCCGCCATCCAGGGCTGGGATAACACGGGTGCCAACGGCGCCAACCTCTCGTTCCCCGTCGAGTTTGGCATCGAGGACAACGGCTGGCTCATCGGCGTCATCAACGCGGGGCCCACCCTCTTCGGCCTGATCAGTGCCTGGGCCGCCGATCCCGTGAACAACCTCGTGGGTCGGAGGGGGACCATCTTCCTCACCGGACTTTTCTGCATCTTCCCCGTCCTCGCGCAGGCCTTCACCCAAAACTGGTGGGGGCTCCTCATCTGCCGCCTGTTCATGGGTATCGGTATGGGAATCAAGATCTCCACCATCCCCGTCTTTTCTGCAGAGGTGGCGCCTGCTGCCATCCGCGGTGGTCTCGTCACCAGCTTCCAGATGTGGGTGTCTTTTGGAATGTTCATCGGATACTGCTCTAATCTGGTCTTCTACCGCGCCGGTAAGCTCGCCTGGAGGTTCCAGCTTGCAGCAGCATTTTTTCCGGCCATCCCTATTGTCATTTTGGTCTGGTGGTGTCCAGGTAATATATTGACCCCTTTACCAACCCCTTTAACAACCCTTCCCCCCCCCCCCCCCGGCAACGCACTACGTGACGGTGCCGTAGTACTAACTCTTGTATGTGTGGATAGAATCCCCCCGCTGGCTCATGAAAAAAGGTCGCTACCAAGAGTCGTTCGCGTCCTTCTGTCGACTGCGAAACTCGGAAATGCAGGCAGCCCGAGACCTCTACTACGCCCACTGCCAGGTCCTTGAAGAAAAGGACGCCTTTGCGGGAGTCAGCTTCCTCCACCGTGCATGGGAGTTGGCTGCAGTTCCCCGACTACGGCGCGCAACCATTGCCAGCGCCTGGATTGTCATCAGCCAGCAATTCTCCGGGATAAATATGTTAGTTTTCTCCTCTTACCTCAGGAAGTAGTAGCTTCCTGAAGCATTACACCTTCCATCTTATCAATACTAAACCCATCGCAGCATGGCATTCTACAGCTCCACCGTCTTTGCTGAGGCAGGATACTCGACCCTCAGCTCCCTCCTGGCCTCCATGGGCTTCGGCATCGTCCTCTTCGTCACCTCCATTCCCGCCGTCTACACGATGGACACGTTTGGCCGGCGTAACCTTCTCCTTGTTACCTTCCCCAACATGGCCTGGTGTCTTCTGGCTGCTGGCCTGTGCTTCCTCATGCCCACTAGCAATGATGCGCGCGTCCCGTGCATTGCCTTTTTCATATATCTATTCACTGCTTTCTACGGGCCAGGTAAGAGACACCTGTATACGCATACAGCAATGAATCATAGTGCTGACTGTGATCATGTCATCAAGGCATGGGCCCTCTACCATCCATATACTTCTCTGAGGCATTCCCCCTGTCCCACCGAGAGCTAGGCGCAGGTTTCACCATCTGCGTTAACAACGCCGTCGGCAGCGCCCTAAGCTTGACTTTCCCCTCGCTCCTGGCCAAGACTGGTCCCACCGGCGCCTTTGGATTCTATGCTGGTCTCAACCTGTTGGCATTCTTTGTTATTTTCTTTATCGTTCCAGAGACTATGTGAGTCCTCTCCGTTTCTCTCTCTCTCTTTCTCTCTTTTGTTTCATCTAGTATTTATCTTCCTGGAGAGCACACTAACTAGTCATAACATAGGAAACGCACACTCGAGGAACTCGACTTTGTCTTTGGCGTGCCCACGAGCCGTCACATCTCCTACCAGGTGAGAACGTGGCTGCCGTGGTGGACCAAGAAGTACATTCTGTTCCAGCGAGATGCCAAGCTTGAGCCTCTGTACAAGCTAGACGGGGCTGTAGATGCGAACCATGATGACGATGCATAGTTCGAGCTTACATTGTCCGAATCCTCCAGGATCTGTTTCTTTCTTTTTTTTGTATAGGCCCGAGAAGTGTACTTGTCCAGTTTTTCCTTGTTCGGGTGTACCAGTGTCATGTATAAAGTCTTGTAACCATTTCGATATGTTACTCTCGTCTACCAACTGATATCGGGCGCCTTGTACGTCCATCACTGTCTCGCACAAGATGTTGTTAAATTGAAAGCTGAGCCATAATAAGCAGTTATGTTCTTTTCTTCTGCTCTAATACATGTGTTCTACTAACCAGAAGAGTTGACCAATAGACCAAACAACGCCATTCCAAAAATGCTTGAAAGATAGGAAAAAGAGGGGGAGAAGGAAAGGAGGATAGATACTGAGGGCGGTAATGAGAGTATAGAGATGACTACAGGAAGATCGTGCTAAGTAGGAAGAAATTTAAGAGTCTTTTTCCAGTTCATAGAAGAGGAGGTAAACCTCTCTCTGCATACCGAGCAGCTCACTCGTCTTGCACTCACGGACTTTCTCATCACTGACGCGCCACCACTTCTCAGGTAGGGACTTGCGCTTCTTCGCAGACGGAGGGTGACTCTGCTGCTGCTTCTGCTTGTTCCCACTGCTGGTGCCCATGCCGTCCTGGCTAGATCTGGATCTAGGCGGGGCGGCTAGTCTCGAAAAGGCAGACTTGGTAGATGCAGCGACGGAGCGAAGACTTCCCGAGTCCGTGTCGTGACTGCTGTTGTTGTTGGTGTTGTTGTTGATTGATGATGGCGGCGGAACGCTACGCCGGGGGGGAGGAGTACCGGTGCTGGCTTGGGCGGTAGTAGACTCGAGGGAAGGGGTGAATACATCGCCTGCCGAGACGGAGGGTGAGGACGACGTGCCGCCGAGGACTAGATCGGGCGTCGACACGGCAGGACTAGGGAGGTTTGCGGGGGCGGCGTTGTTGTGCGCGACCGTCGACTTTCTGGCGGCAGAGAGCATCTCGGGCGTGGAGGCCGGGGTCGGGGTGCGCGAGTAGATGTCGGAGGGGCGGAAGGTATCGACGTTAGCAAAGGGCGGCCGGTGCGTAGACTGACGGCGGAAGGCCTCATAGTGGCCGCTGTTGTGGCCGCCCTTGTGGGTGACAACGCCGAGGAGCTTGTAACGCCTGCGCGAGTCGGCGGCGATGCCGCCGAGCGGGAGGTGTTCGGGAAAGGACACCTTGGCCGAGTTCTTGGTCATGGTGGCACCGCCGCCGTAGATGGACCGCGAGAGGTGAACGGCCAGGATCTGCGGGAAGATGGTGATGCGGGTCGTCTTGGAGATGCGGCGGCGGGGCGCGCGTGCGCCGTCGCCGTCACCCAGGTCCACGCCCGCCGGGGGGTGCTCCGGGTCCGTGTCGATGGCGTGCGTCAGCTTGGCAATTGCCTCCGCCACCGACGCCGTCGCACCTTCCCTGTCCCTCTTCTTCTCCAGGTTCTCCCGGGCCTGCAGGAGTCGGCACTTGTCGCACTTGAAGTCATCAATGTACTCGGTCTTGAAGACAGCGTCAAAGCAGCTCGCCAACGAGGTCGACGGCACCTGCGGCACGGCCAGGGTGAGCGTGCAGAACGTCTCCTCGCGCGGCTTCGGGAGGTACCGGCACGTCGTGCACTGCAGCTGCGACTCGTACTTGCCCTCCATGGGGAAGGCGTCCTCCTCTACATCGATGCGAGGTATCCTCCTCCCAGACGTCAGCCTGCCATCTCCCTCCTCCGTCGCCTCCTCCTTCTCCTCCTCCTTCTCCTGCTGCTGCTTCTTGTCCTTGTCTACGCCTTCGACCGACAAGTCTGGTACCTCTGAGACGACGACCAGCGAGCCACTCGTATCGCTGCCGTCCGACGCGGTGATGCCGTACGTGCGGGCGCGCTGCCTCGCCCTCCTGCCGGCGTGGTACTCGTCCTTCAGGCGCTCGGCGATGATCTGCAGGAACTCCTGCGCATCCTGCTGCTGACGGCTGATGCGCTGGCGGAAGGCCGTCTCGAGCACGCGGACCAGAGGGAAGGGTGAGATGGACTTCTTGTAGATGGGCCTCTCGTTGAGCGCGTCAATCATCTCCTTGAGACCGAACGTCAGCAGACCTTCCTGCAGACCCTGGATCTTCCACTCGGCCATATCCGCCGCGCCGCTGCCGTGAGGCTGCACGAGCTGCGCGTACACGGCCGGGTCCTCAATGTGCCGTCGATGCGTCTCGCGGATCAGGTACACGCGCAGGTCGTCGAGCCCGGCCAGCGCCTGCAGCACCGAGTTGATGAAGCAGTCGTTTGCCGCGTTGCGGAGGCCGACAATCGTCTTCTTGCGCGACGACTTAGTGCCATCGTCGTTGTCCAGGGCAAAGGTAGGGCCAAAGACGTATACCAGCGCTACTGCTGCCAGGGATGCGCCCGCCGCGTAGGCCACTGTCCCCGATTTGCTTGTCATATTCGATGATGGTGACGGAACGTGTCCTCTCTTCTTCCGCCAGTCGGTTTAAGGGAAGGGAGTGGGGGGAGAGCCCCCAAGGCAGAAAACAGAGAGGCTTCTCGATCAATCGGTTGGGCCGCCCACGCAGGAGGAGGGGACAGGTTCAAGACGGCTTTGGGATGTTTCTCGAAATCAGAGCAGCGTCATTGGCAAGATGGTTTGCGTACTCTGGGTAGAACTGGGTCGTCGGTTAGATTGGGGGAGGTCGCGGCTGGACGATCAAGTTCTGGATCGGGGTAGTCGGGCAGCACAGTCGAGGGTAAGATCCTGCTGGGAGTTCTTACCACGTCGCAGGTGATTCGCTTGCCAAGGTATAAAGAACAAGAAGAAGGGCTAGTAAGGCATCACGGGTATGTGAAAGAAAGGAGAGTCGTGATATGACAGGTATTCCTTAATTCCTCGTACGGTGACTGGGTGGATCGAACTGGTGCTAACAATTAATTTAGTATAGTGGGGTCCGTTCCTTTCTGTCTGCCTACTCGTACTTTGCAAATGTCCTATCACCTCGACTGAGTAATGCTGCTGGTTCCTCCATCATCATAACCGAGACTTCACTTTTACTCGTTCTGCCCAGTTTGCGATTCAGCAACTGGCCTAATTAATAGTTCCTTCTCCTTGACTCTTCTAAAGAGGGGAGAGTGACAGGGTAGCTGGCCTATGATGATGATGGTGATGATACTCTTGCATATATTCGCTCACCAATCTTCATTGTCTACCAGAAAAACGAGCCTGTCTTACAAGTTTTATTATTCAGCTTTTACTTTACGATTATGCTACTCCGTGCTCGTACTACTCCGTACTCGAGCCATGTTTAGCAGTTTCTAGCGATAAGCATGGAATGTTTGACTCTTCGATGACAGCGAGACAAGACCTCGCTCGACATAGCGAGAAGCGAGAATTTGTCCAGGATAGCCGGCCAGGCGGAACCATTGGAACTCCGAACGGAAAACACGCGGATGCTCGTTGATCTTACATGTATTTGGTCAAGCTGGACAAAGACGGACAAGAGC